CGCATTCTCAAAGACTTTCTCGTTACATTTGATATACATACATCACACACATACGAGCTGATAGCACGATACCCTCCTAAATAGCATGTGGAATCCAATTTCCATTCAATAAAAAGTCGAAGAATAAGACATGGTAGTGTAGATGTTTATCAAGTAAATAGGAGGATAAAGGAACAGCATTGTAAATTGGAAAAGATACGAGGTAAATCAACTAGAGAGCAACAGGGATAATTGTGTCATTGTATTCTTGGTTGCTGCCGCCATAAGCGTCTTCATCCATGATTGCAAAACAGTTGCTGTATACATTGACTCGAGTATTCCAATATCGTCCACAGCTTGAAAAATCCTTCCTTCGTCAAAGATATAAGCCCCTTCGTCAATTCCATGCCATCCATCCTCCCTCGTCAGCCGTATCCACGTGCGATGATCCATTCTTCCTGCTGACAATGCGCCAAGTAACCAAAGCAACATTCCAGAATCCTCGTCACTCCACTTGATTGTATCCATCCATCCATAACCATTGCTGTTGGTCTATTTCTTTCTTGGTCATTTCCCATGGCAGCTCAACCAGCTGAATCTTGCTTGTATTGCGGCGTAGTTGATGGCTGATATGGTGTCATTCAAACTAGACATCACATTGTAAACGGGCCAAGGAAATCAAACCGGTCAAAATACCCATTCCTTCCATCCCATGTATCAAAGCAATGCAGTATCCATATCCATGTCCATATCCATAGGAATTCATATGTATTGAATCACGTCGCTATACGTAAATACAGCTGCTTGCATATAATGACTGTCTGCTGTTCACGTAAAAAAAGGCTGTAAACAAGTTGCTGCATGCAAACACGCTGTTTGTGGCAATGGTGCAAGGAACTTGCTAATAGCAGCTGCTGGAATGAATGCTGTTACGTTTGATTGCGGTAGGGGAGTGAACAAGAAAGCGCGTTGTGTCAAGAGACTCGTGGTTGAAGAAGAGTGACAAGAAGGCTGTGTACACGCCGTGGACCTGCCATTCGGTCAAAGGCTTTCTGTTCAGGGCTGTTGTAGGATTGACATTGATGGGCTGAAGTAGGACAATCGTTCGCAGATGGTAGTTGTGCTTGAATGGAGCAACAGTTGGAAATGGGAAGGAAGAGAAGATAGAGTGGGAGTGGGAAGAGCTGGAAATTAAAGTAGGTTGAGCTGCCAGACAAATGCATGAACACTGTACACAATGTGCTCTTGGACATGCTGATCAACTTTGTATTGTAAAAGAACCCACGCTTCATTATGAAATTTGGACTGGGAGAGTATAATGTGGTGTTTACTATGTAAGTCTTATAGGCGTGATGGAGTTGTTTGATGCTAATTGATTGTGTCGCGAATCGAGAGCACTATAGGCAAGGTGATGATCAGAGTAGCACGTGGTGGTTATTCTATCCATCATCCTCAAACAATCCCATCCATCTGTTACCTTCAATCACTTGCTGTGCTCAAGTTCCACGACATTCGAGGATGTGTGTGTTAGCGTTTATTTGAGAGAAAAGTCGAAAGCCGTTGATACCTTCATCGATGAATATAGTACACACATATGTATACATGCTCCTGGTCATCATACACTCCATGGGATGGGGGTAGACAAAAATGCAACAAAGGGAATATCCATGCGTGGTTATCTTTTTATTGTTCTTGATATTGAAAATGCCAAATTGTTGCTGCCATATCTAGCATAGCAAGTATATCTTCCGTGGTATAAATAGAAGTAGAAGCTGTTTCATCACCAAGGCTTTTGGTGCATTCGAGACCCAAAAAGTCATATCGCTTGCCCTTGTTGGCGTTTGAAGCACCGTATCCGTCTTCCAGGAAAGAAACAACCGCTGAAAATGATATCTTGTTCTTGAGGAGAGTAACGTGTCTGAGAATGGGCAGCTGCTTGACGAGATCAAGTACTTCATCGGTCACACCTGGGATATCAATCAAGACAAGCTTGCTTAGAGACGATCGAGGACCACAAGTAGAAAAGAATTGGGATAAGGCCTTTCGTGTGATATCACAACGCTGTAACTCCAAGCTGCAAAGATGATGGTGATATAGTGCTCGTAGTACATCGCCCGTAAAGCATGGGTTATCCAACACTGCCACCCGCTCGAGATCTGGATGCCGTGCGAAAAATGTATATAGTACAACGTTGTCGATGATATCATCAAGATAGGATATGGGTTGCTCGTATGATCTTTGCTGGTTCAGTAATCGCACAATACGCAAGTGTGGCATGGTGATATCTGATACTGAGTTGAGGAGGCTGTGGATGCTTGTATGAGATGTCCTTAAAGCAAGAGTCTCCAAGGTGGAATTGTGTTTGTAAATGATGGGACTAACAATACGATGATGTGCAGCCGTATCTTGAAGGAACAAGTGTCTCAAATCTTGATGACGATGATGATGATGCTGTTGATAAGGCGATTTGATAATGGATGGGTGCCTAGATACGTCATAATGTAAAGGATCTTCTGCTGATTCGACAAAGACTGAGATGGTGTCGATATAGATGCAATACTCCATTAATGCCTGGATGATCCTGGATGGCTCATCGTAATCACGTGGATGAATGCTGAGTCGCCTTAATTGTGGGAAATGCATAACAGCATGCTCCAGAGGTAAGTACCAATTGTTCTTGTTGCCATACAAATCGATGTGTAAATCAACCAGTCGATCATGGGTTCCTTCATAGTTTGTGTCCCATAATGCAATGCGTGGTTGCTGCAAATGTTGAAATAGGATGGGGCATGTCAAGCTTAGATGTTCAAGCAGGGGAAACTGTTTCAGTATGGATCCCAGATGCAATACGCCGCTGGCAATATCATGATCGGAGCATTGGATAGTAAGGTTGACAAGTGAAGCATGTGCCATCGTATACAACTTGCTCATCCAAGATCGAGACCAATATGAGCTATCAATGTAAACTTTGTCAGATCAATCAGCTCGTCCATGAGATAGAAGCATGTTCACTGCTGTTTCTTACTTTGTTGAATATGCGTGCAATGCTCGAGGAACATCACATCCTCTTCCAATGAAGCGTTCTTGATTTCTCGAATAAAGTCTTCATCATCATCCTCATCTGGTTCAACCCAAGGCTTCAATAGTGTCAAGGATCGTACGTAGGAGGGGCGAATATAGCGTCGATAGGGTGTCAAGGTCTCGGCAATACTGATCATCTGCTCGTGCGATATCGAATTCCACATTTCAGGTGAGTCAAGCAAGAGATGTTGCCATTGCCTGCAGACCGAAGTCAATCTGATACGCTCCTCGAACGAAAGATATGAAAAGATGCAATTCACTATTTCATGGGGGATTGTCATGGTGCGTTGACTGGAAGCAAAAGAGCCGTGTAACATTTTAGACGCTGGCATCGACCCGATAGTCGTGTGGGCTTTTATGCATCATCATGTCATAGGGATTCGACGTTGCAATTTGGTATGATACCATGAGCCTTTTATTCATAGGATTGATTTGGAAGGTCATTGTTCAACTAGAATAAAGAAGCCCTGAGCTGATGCTATACATAATACTGCTACTGCTGATGTTGTAAGCCAACATGGGCGTCAATGATGATGGTTCATATACATATGACGTTGCCATGGAATTTAACGCGTCCTGTATCCAGTTATCGTTCTTCTTCGTTACCGGGATCTTTTGGACGACTTATCAGGATCACGTAGGAACGTAGTTTTTCCGAAATTCTCCGTACATACGAATAGGGTCATCCTCATCCCCGTTATCTTCGTCCCCCGTTATCTCTGCCCTGTAATGTATTTTCGTTCTCTCTCAGTATTTTCGACAAGATCATCATCCCATTCCGCTATTGCTTATAAACCACGCATATTTCCATGATCAACGAAAAAGGAACACGGGGGAAACGGAAGCCGTATGGCCAAGACGCAAAAATACGTAGTAAATAAAAGCGTCGTCTGCTATGGACTAACCTATGTTGTCATTGAATGTGCCTTTTTGGAAGATACATTAATGAGATTTCCTCATCATGTTATGATTCATCCAAATCCACGATTACAAGCAAGGTATGTAAAGCGTATTGAGGATAACGTTGTTAGTATAATCGGGCACATGAGAACATTTCATAATGAGATTGTCATTGTTGATGTGAGGCTCCTCGACTTCCATGGTTACCACATTTAGAGCGGTACATCATTGTTCTGGTGTTTCTCAACCTATGTATTAGTAAAAAGGTTATCTCCGGTGCTGACCATTAGATTCATGTGGCTAAAGCTACAGCCAGCAACATGGTGATTATTAAGGAATGAGCATGAATTGTCTGCTCTGGCAAAAAGCAAGCAATAGAGCAATCACGGCGTTCATCTTTCACTCAACATCTCCAACGCTAGTTTAGGAGACATGGCATTGTATATGAAAGGCGATGATCACATCATAGTCATTATATCAACTTTGGAAGCTACTACATCATGTACCCCACGTCGGCGCATGATCCTCGATACTTTTATTGATGAACATTGTACATGGTATAAGGATAATGTGGATAGGATCATTAGCTGCAATAAACAACAACCAATCGAATAGCAAGTGTATCATAGGAATAAAGAAGGGTTGGTGCTGATATCACTCATTGAAATGACAGCTTGCTTCACATGGTGCCTGTCGCTCGCATTGTGTCGGAGACGAACCATGGAAACCAAAATATGGTTGGTTGTCAACAAGCAAGGCCGAAAATCCTTTGTTCTTTTTCTCCAACCATGTCTGTTGATTTATCCACTTCCATCGCTGGTGTCAAGCTTCCCAACTTGTTCTTCAATGCTTCAGGTGTTTGGTGCCAACAAGAAGCCGAATTGACCGAATTGTTGAACAGCGAATCGGGATCGCTCATTACCAAGTCGGCTACCTTTGAACCTCGTGAAGGCAACCCCAGCCCTCGTTATCTTCCTTTGGAGCATGGCAGTATCAACTCGATGGGTCTTCCAAACGAAGGATACGAATACTATCTTGAATACGCCAAAAAGTACGATTACAACAATGCAAAGCCTCTCTTTATCTCGTTGTCTGGTTTGAAGCTCGAAGACAACATCCAAATGGTGACCAAGTTTGTGGAAGCTGATCTCCCTTGCATTCTCGAAGTCAACTTTTCATGCCCCAACGTTCCTGGCAAGCCACAATTGGGTTATGATATGGAAGGCATGGCAAAGGCTCTCCGTACATTGGCACCCATCATCAAAAAGCCATTCGGTATCAAGCTCCCTCCCTACTTTGATATCGTCCATTTCGATCAAGTCGCCGAGATTTGCAACAGCGTCGATAACTTGGCCTTTGTGACATGCGTCAATTCGGTTGGTAATGGTCTTGCTATCGACTTTGAAACCGAAACTGTTGCTATCAAGCCCAAGGATGGTTTTGGTGGTCTTGGTGGTCAAATGATTCTCAACACTGCTCTTGCCAACGTCAACGCCTTTGCTCGTCGTCTCAAGAATGGAAAGCAAGTCATCGGTGTAGGTGGTGTCACTTCTGGCAAGGAGGCTTTCTTGCATGTATTGGCTGGTGCCAGTGCCGTTCAAATCGGTACTCAACTCAAGGAGGAAGGCCCTCAATTCTTTGCTCGTGTCAAGAAGGAATTGGAAGACATCATGGTTGCCAAGGGATACAAGTCGTTGGATGATTTCCGTGGCAAGGTCAAGACTTTGTAAAATACCAAAATAGCATCTATAGCAAAATCACACACACACACGCACGCACCTTTGTAATTGCATCCCATAATATCACATTGTCTTCATAGATATGCCAAACAACATATATAAAAGCATTTCTATTCTGTAAAAAAAATGGTGGTTCGTCGTTGTATAAAAGGATAATGGTTGTGTATCGGTTCTTCTAGGCATGGGATGGAGGGGGATGTGGTTTGAGAGGTATCCATGATACCCATCTTCTCTCTCTATTTACACGTCAATGACATTGCAGAAGCCGGTCTTCTCATCCTTTTGGATCTTGGCCTTGCCATCCACCAACTTCTTCACAACAGCATGGACTTCATGGAAGGTATCGAAGGGAATGAAAGGAATCTCGTGCATCTTGCAGTAGGTTTCCAAATCACGATCCTTACGAGCAAACAAGACATCGGCATGCTTAGCAGCTGAGATATCGGAAACACCATCACCACAGAAGACAAAGATAGTATCAGGGGATGCGGCTTCACGAGCAGTCTTCAAAGCTAATGAACAATACATGCCCTTAGTTCACACTTTCCTTGACAACAACAACCATCACCACCATCCTTCCATTGACACTTACTACGTGACTTGTCGTTGCCATATTCGCTATCATCTCTGTATTCGATCTTCCAGTTGCGACCATCCACAGTGCCGTTGTTGGACACAATCTTGATATCCTTTGCCTTCTCACCCAAAAACTTGGCCATGATCTTTTCAAGAAGAATGTAGAGACCACTGCAAAGAAGAATTAGATTTTAGTGATCGATAGCCATGGAACCAATCATTTCTCTTTTCTTTTTACCTGCTGATGATGGTGACAGGGAAGTCCTTTTCACGGCAGTATTCGTTGAAATCAGGGAAACCAGGATCGATACGGCAATCTTATCAAGCGAGACATTGTTTCAGCAAAAGTTACATCATCGGCGAGAGATTAAAAGATACTTACGATCCAAGTATTCAGCCCAGGCTTCATCCCAGCTAATGTGAACAGCAGCCCACATTTCGGACAAACCTTGCCTGAACACCTTATTAGCATACATCCATTTACTACTATAGAAGCCCATGAACTTACTTGTAAGTGATCTTATCGGTGAGAATCAAATGCTCGAGCTCACGACGACGCTCAGGACCAAGCGATCGATGGTCATCAATCAACATGAGACCAGTATCTATGTAGAGCGCAAGGCGTGTTTAGTATATAGAAGAGTGAAGAGAACGGTGTATAAAGCTTTTACCATCGAGGGAAAGAGTTCCATCGAAATCAGTAAAGACTTGGACCTTAACGTCAGAAACCATTGCGAATGAGGTTGAATAAAAAGTATAAAAGAGAAACGACAGCAAGTGGTTGATGGTCCAAGATAAGTCAGGATTATATAGAATTCACTCCGATCTCTTTTTGGGGGTACACAAACGAACACTTGTCCCCATCATCGCTTTTTTCCTTTCCTTTGCCACCTTACCCCTGACAGGTCCCTGCCGAAACAAGGTTCATGACGTATTTCGAGATGGCTGGACACACGCACATACACCCGATATGTCCTTGATATGCATCGATCATACAGTCTTATACTAGACATTCAAACGCTTATACACAGTATCATAGTCATTACCATGTATCTATTGTTGGGTATTATAAATGCCCTCCCCATGGGGGGAAGAAGGCCCGTTCGTCAATGCTATAGGTCTGTGGGCCTGTTCTCGTCCTTGGTCTCGGGAAAGTTGTCTTAATCAATATATCTCCGATTGCTCCCACCCCCCAACTTGATCATGTATTGATATGTCCACACGCTTCTACCAACCTTCACTTGCAGAAAAAAAGTGCTCCTTGGTCTCTTGTTTTCTGCACGTGCTTATCATACAACATTGAGCGATATCGATTGATTATAATCGATGACGTGATATCGTTTACGTTCCTGATTTACACACACACACATTGGAAATGATCAAGGGACCTCTCAACAAACGCAACACATTTTAGCCTCGCTCACACACAGGCCCTCTTTTTCTTTCTCTCCTGCAATTCACTTGCATTATGTATTCAACTCTAGAATAAAAGATCGTCATTCAGGCTGATCGAATTTTTCTTATCCAACATCATCTGATCATGCTGATCACAGCAATAAACACTACGCATTGTGCATATTGAATACAATGCCCATTCGCATCTTCTCGTTGAAAGGAAGGATTATCGATCATTGTTACAGTATCCATTCAACAATATCCCGCTTTCGAGATTGTTCCAATATAGCGGCTCCAGAAAACACGGTACAAGTTACATTCCAAAATCTCACGGTTGTTCTTTTTCCTTCTTTACCACCAAATGCATGATTTTTTTTTAATCTTCAAAGTATAAAACGAGGGAAGGGGGTATGAATGAGTGATACATGTCCTTGCATAATGCTTATCGATGGGCTATGGAGAGATCCTATCATGCAGAGTATTTGAAGTCATAGGAATAGTGTGTGTGTGCGTGCCCCGGTTACACAGAATATATGCAACAGCGTACAATAATCTTGTACAATCCACAAATCAAGATCGGCGAACCGTGTTGGCATTGGTATCATGTTGATGACGTTTTGATGATGATGCTCCTGATGATGACGAAGCTGTCGCTGCTGTTTTTCGTGATCGCTGATATCCTTCATGTGTATCCGCAATCTGTAGTCGACGTTAGTGTCCACTGTAAGCGTATCATTCTATCCATTACAAACCTTTCGCATGACAAGAACATCTGTATGGAGCTCGTTTTCATCACGTGTATCGAGCGGATTGGATAATCGATCTCGTTCCTTCTTCAATCTCAAGCGTAGAAAAAAAAGAGACATTAGGTTAAGGACATTGATGATACCATGGCAACAGCGAGAGAGCGAGAAAAGGTAAAAAAAGGATATGATCTGCAGCTTGTCGTCGATTGGTGACTGAATTCATCATTCCAATTTTGTCTTTCAATATCTCCAACACAGGACGCTGGCTGATTTCCTTTCGTTTCTTGCGAGGCAATAGTTCATCTGCAGGAGCGCCTGCTGTTGGTCGAGTTATTCTTGTTTCCCATTTCCCTCCGCACAATAATGCACTTACCATTCCTGTCGTCAACGTATGCTTTCCATGCATTCCTCAGATGTCGTTTGCCTATCTAAAGTTGTCATGTAAGCATGGTGTCCTTTGCATCATACAAATACATAACCAAGACATACATCCAAATCCTCCTGGGCCATGCTACGTTCCAACTCATATTGATTGTCGACATATTTCACTCGCATTTGAGCTATTGTGTTGATGCGAAAAAGCCGCTGATCACGCTCATGTTCCAAAGCCTTGAGATTTGCACATAATGTTGCATGCGTTCCTGCTTCCAATTCGCTTAACTCCTTCTTGAGCTGCGTCATCTTCTCGGCATAGAGACTTAAAGGAAATGAGTGATCAAGACATCATGACGTGCATAGATCCACCTACCTGTCCTTTGCTTCGTTGATGGCATCATCGATCTTGTTTGCTTCCAGGTTATACTCCACCCACCGTAAGAAGCTATCACCATCCAGTCGTTCCAATAGTTCCTCTACACGATCAAGCAAGGTGAGTTTCATATGGTCAAAGACGATGGTGACAAAGGACGTACTGGGTGTCATGTAAGAAGTGCTGTTTACAATTTGTTCAATGAACGCCTTTTCCTCTTCTTGCTCAGTTGCTTCATGTTGATGAGACGCTGATGCAGTTGCTTGTTGGCTCGATTGTGGGTTGGTGTCATTGGCTGTTGAATGTGACATGGTGGGAAGGAAAGTGGTGGAGAAGGAATAATGCGGTTCTTTTTTTTGGGCAGCCGCCGCTCTCTTTTTACTGCCGTCCAAGATACTTCAAAGTTCCAAGACAACGTCGCATATAATATGATGACTTGGTAATCAATGTCAATTGAATGAAACCTCTTTTTGCTGAGTACATATCAAAAGGGCGTGATACAACATGAGAGAGGATGTATTCTTATGCTACCATCATACATTCCATTGGGACATTGTATTAACGTGTTGATGATACAAAAAGGAAACAACGCATCTCCATCCATCAATTTATCAATAGTAATGGGGAACCTTTTTTGCAAGATGACACTAAAAAGACCATGCGTGCTTGGGTGTGGATGTGTACTACTACTACGCCGCCTCTGTTAGGCAGTGTGAATTTCTGAGGCCGCTAGAGAGGAACGAATTGCTGAGGTAGGCAATGCACACGTAACAGCTTCTTTCTCACTTTTAGTTGTATATCCCATAATGACATCCATTGGCACTGGTGTAAGCAATTCCACTCGACGTATACATAACCTTGATTGATGCTGACCCGATCGTCGTATTTCAAGTATGATCTTGCAGTATCCACGTACTCTCCTGATGGACGCGTGTTCCAAGTCGAATATGCAAATAAGGCTGTCGACAATAGCGGGTAAATACACTCTCCACTTTCCATTGCCATTACCTTGGACATTGACACATACGCTCTTTGTATTCCTTATAGCACTGCTGTTGGCTTACGAGTCAAGGATGGTGTTGTTCTTGCAGTCGAAAAGTTGGTACAGTCAAAGCTTCTTGTGCCTGGAGCCAACCGTCGAATCCAAAGTGCCGACTTGCATATTGGTCTCGTGAGTAGATAGATACATCAACAACATCTTCTTTCCTTATTACTTATACATTCAATGTACAGGCATCTGCAGGCTTAATAGCCGATGGTCGACATTTGGTCAAGCGTGCTCGTGACGAAGCTTCAGCCTGGAGAGATATCTATCGTCAGCCTATTCCCGGCAAGACCATCGCTGATCGTTTGGGTCAATACGTATCCGCCTACACTCTTTATTCAAGCGTTCGACCTTTTGGATGTGCAACAATTTTGGGTGCTGTATCAGATGGCGAACCTACCTTGTACATGATTGAACCTTCGGGTGTATACTGGGTAAGAAAGAGAGAGCGAGAACAACAAGGTTTCATGCCTGGATATTGATGAAGGTGACATATAAAAGGGATATCACGGCTGTGCAGCTGGCAAGGGCAAATCGGTGGCCAAGACTGAGATCGAGAAGCTTGATTTGGAAAACATGACAGTGCGTGAAGCTGTCAATGCTATTACACGCATGTAAGTTGTATTATCATCATCATAGGCGGATGATTTCAGTATGGCTCATATCTACATGTAGCATCTATACCTGTCACGATGACGCCAAGGATAAGGAATTCGAGCTCGAATTGAGCTGGATTTGTGCCGAGTCCAAGTACAAGCATCAATTCGTACCCGCAGATATTCAACGTGAAGCCGAAAGAATGGCAAAGGTAAAAAGAGAAAGATGGGTAATATTTGATGATACTAAATTAAAGATGTCATAGGAATCAATGGATGAGGAAATGGAGGATTAAAGTAGCATGTGTGTGTCATCATGCATGATGTCAAATTCTGGAATAAGCCTATGTCAAATAAACCTATCTGTATACGAAGAACACCTGCTCGTGAATCTTTATATTGCTAAATGCCATTACCAACGATCCCAAGAATACGTCTATATCAATAAAAAACAATATCGTATTGCTTAAAGGAGAGGTGCTTGATGGTTGGTTATCTTGATTTCTAAGAAGGGAAATTCAGGAGCACATGTGCCATGCAATGCGTCAAAGATAAGCAAAGGTGGTGACTTTTTGTCATCGTATTCCGATCCCCTTCAACTATGAGCGCTTAAAGTTTAGAGATAACAAAAGGGATTGCCTAAAAGTATACTGCAAAATACCCAATCTAGCTTTAACCGGTATCTACTCGATTCTAAGTCTTACAAAAGCTAGGAGAGAATGATGCTTACTATGCTAAGTGGGAATCCCATATTGATTGGCACATCAATGGAAAGGTTGCCTTGACTACCAAACGTTGCTATGATACGTGTGTTGCTATGTATACCGAAACATGGATCTTGATGCGGCAAGACTGGGCCTTGCATTATCACTTGATTGGTACCGATACATTTCACATTCGACCCCGCATGTACATCATTCCCCCCTAAAGGGCCATGTTGGTCATTTCAAGCCTACGGATCGACCATAGTATATATATTCATTGTCTTTTTTTCCTTGTTCTTTGTTATGGATGATACCTCAACGATGCTATATGGGCAAACACCATGATAGATCTACAAAAAGGAGTCGAAAGGAATTGACGAGGTTGTCTTTATCACCATGATGTTGAATCTGCAAATGCCCTTCGTTGCTCAAATCCCCCCTTTTTTTGCCACTGCTTTTCTCCCCTTCCAACAACTCCATGTATGTATGTAATTCTGTTATCGCATCCATTGGTTCATTCATCCCGTGCAAGGTCATGTATAGATAGACAATCGGCTCGAATGTCTCAGCAGATAAAAAAAGGCACAAGATAATATCCATTGGCAACTCTTTTTTTCTTTTCGTCAAGTATACATTTGTTCACTACCACCACCCCTGCTAAGCATCCGCTTGGTCTTTTTTCTATACCCTAATATGCCGGCAACCCGGAAAAGGCACAACAGAAATGCAACTCGGTCATACCAATGTCCCCTGTGTCCCAAAGCATTTTTTAGGTTGGAGCATCAAACACGCCATATAAGGACTCATACAGGCGAAAAACCACATGCCTGTCATTATTTGGGATGTGGAAAGCGTTTTTCGCGTTCGGATGAGTTGACACGACACGCACGTATTCATACTACAGGCCATAAACAACCCCTGCCATCCGAACATGTACTCTATTATTATCCACCATCCCCATCAATGATGCCTATGTTACATAATGAATGTCTCGAATGTCGAGCAGCAGTAACAGGAGAAGGCCTACAATCATCATCACCACCATGTTTAACGCCTTATTCCAGCTACTCGGATTCGGATTATGGTACCAATGATTCCTTAATCACACCAAGATGCTCACCTGCGGATCGATCCACGCTTCCTTTTCCTATCATGATGATGCCACATCACGCACCAAAACAGCAACAACAAGAGCAACCACCAATTCTACTTGCACCGTTACACATGCTTGATCACAAGACAAAGAAGACAAATGATTGTGATACGGCTGCTATGCATATGCCAACATGCCTTTCTCGTCCGACGCTTCCATCCATCCGCTCATTGTTGCTCGATGATTAAGATCATTTTCATTCAACTCGTATTCACTCGTTTTCTCCACTTGATTTGTTATTGTTGCTGCTATTTTATCGCTGCCATTTATGTATGTACCACTCTTTTTTGTATATAGATATAAGGTTATATGTATGATTTCATGTATTTCCTGCTTTATAGCTGTATCTCTCTCACGATATATGTATATAATTAAACAATGATATGGATGATTCCAAAATGGAAGGATTGTACATACAATGTGGCTATCCTGCCGGCAACGACTACTACTACTACTACTACCACGGTGCATTGTGGTCCCTCGAGTCCCTCTCTCTCGCGTAGAGCGTGTGTGTGTGTGTGTGTGTGTGTCAGCATGGCTAGCCATTCAATGGAAGATAGGTAGGTGTGTGTGATTGTGATTGTGATTGGAAGCGGTATGTTGTGGTGTGTGTGTGTCGATGGATGGCTCTTTTTTTATTTTAAGTGGATGATGATGTTGTTGATGATGACGATGATGACGAATGGGTCATGATGGCTGCCCTTCGAGTATCACTGTTGACGATACGACCTTCTTCATGGAACCAATAACATGTCAAGAATTTCTGCCGTAACTCCACTACCAAGACCGACTTGTGAGCAAAAGGAGATGTGGGCGGTGGTGAAGGATGGCCATTATTTTCCCATTGAATCGTTTGATCCCACCGTGCTGAGCTAAGACCGGTAATAAATTCATCCCATTCATTGTTGGTAAATGTCAAGTGAAGCTTGGATCCACTCAACTCCTTCGTCATGAGCAATACACCTTGGCCGACCACCTTGCATAATTGCATCATACGTTCACCCACAACAATGTTGCGACGAAAAGCCGCCCAATTGGTTTCTGTCAACAAGGGTTCGATCCAACTTCGATAGGCCTTCATGTTGGCATTGCGATCTCGGTCACGATCTCTTTCACCTGTACCAGGCATATCCACATATCCATCACTTGTCCATTCTGGTAATTTGACCACCTGGTTGGGAAACAAGGCTGCAAATGTGTTTTGAAATTGCTCAAACGCCAAATACAGTCGAAAGTAATCCGTATTGTAATAAATGCCGTTTTGATTCATGCCATTGTCGAGATGTGGCTTCATATTTGAATGATTGGTGAGGATACGCAATGAAGGACCAAGCAACTCGGCAGCTTGTTCAGGTGTCAATGATTCGGGAACAGCTGAGATAGGAGGCACCGTTTCGATAGCAAGGGAATACTCAGCTGGAAGACGTTCAGCCTTTTGCTCGAGATCGGTCATGGTGATGCTACGTAGTCGATTGATGATATCATCACCTACATGCATGATATTGAATGAGCGATAAGATCCTCCTTCATACTCTCATTGATAGGATAAAAGAAAAAAAACTTACGTCTCTGCTCAAACTCGCCGTGGCGATGGGGTATTTTCGGTTTTTTGGTTGGAACAGGAGGTGGAGTCATCAGCTCAGAGGATGGCGGATCACCATTTTGACGTTTACGTTTACGCATCAATGAGGCTTGTGTCAATACACCATGTTCAGCATAGCGTTGTAATAACATGGGTTCTCGGGATATCCGGCCATCTTGATAATAAAAGCCACGTTGTTTCGGCTCCATGACGTATTCATTTGATTGATGTGAATGTTCAGAAGGAAGAGGAGCAATGTCGAGTGAATGAGGATGGTTGGAAGGATGTTGTTGTTGATGATGGTGAAGAGGCGTATAACGTGCTTCACTTTGTCTCGAGATAGAGGTGACGGATGCTGCTGAAGATGATGCTGCTGCTGTTGTAGGGTCTGATGTGCTTGGATAACTGGGACGAAAGTTGGTGTAAGGGCGCACTGTATATGGATCGGTTGATGTATCGTCATTCGAAAGTTTTTCCGGGTGAGTATGGCTATTGTGCGACGAGGCAGGCGAAGACGACGATGGTGGATTGTTTGTAAGATATGATACTGATAAGAGTCTTGCTAATGGAGATCCTGGTCCTGTCGATGATGATGTGGATGAAAGAGAAGCTGTATCGGGCCATTTGTGTTGTGGTGCCATATCTGCTACGGTGCTGTTATTGCTGCCAGGGATACCACATGCTGTTGATGGTGGTGCTGCAGGCGTTACTGATGCTGTCACAGAGCACGATGAAGGTGTAGCGGCACTACCAGTAGTGCTATTGTTGCTATGACCACCACCACAACAAGTGCTCGCACTTGGTAACCGTACAGTGTTGACTCCAAGCTTGCGATCATCGAAAATAAGCTTGCTTTCATGAACAGGCTTGTAAAACTTGACTTCATCACCAAGTGCATATGAAACACAAAAGAAAAGTCTAGCAAGGCTCTCGGGATCCCGCTTCTTTTGCAGTACTTGCTTGACAATGCGAAAAAGATCGAGTAGGTGTTCATCGCCTAGAATGTCCTCAGCTTGCGGGCGATAAGTCTTGCCAAGGTTTGTTCGTAGCAAACAGCAATCATCTGTGGATGGCGGTACAGTTTGCAACTGACTCATGAGTTTTGTGGGAAAAGTTAAAGTAAAAGGTATGTGAAGCAAAGCGTTTCTCACTGGTATTGAATCCCGCCCGAGCAGGCACCATCCTGAGTCTGAAAAGGTGAAAGGCAAGATTGGGTTTCTTTTCACACGGATTTCCCTCTTTGGCTTTATCCATCCTTTCCCCGGACCTATACGAGAGAGATGTAGATCTTTAGTGTGGAGACATGGTTATACATCTCACTTTTTCCGTTATTCGTCATTGTGTGGGGATAATAATAAACCATATGACTCTTGAGACACACACACACACACACACGCATATCCTATTAACCATCATATGACAAGATAATAATACACATAATACCCCGCTAATCCTTCTTGATAACACTTGTCATTTCCTTTTAATATAATCAACCCCCTGATGGAGTAACATTGTCTCATTTTTCTAATTTGGTTCTTTGATCTCAATTGTCCACACCACTGGTGATGTCGTTTCGATTTCAATTACATCCTTGGCAATGCGATTGGAAGTACTCACCATACCTCCAAAGAAGCACTCGTGATTATCTAGAAAGGGCAAGTGTCAATTGATGCATGCACAAGCCATGAGCTATATCAATTATACCTAAATTCCATTCAAGGCCACGCGTTGTAAGTGTGGCTGGAACACCCATGGGGATAATTCCACAAGTTGGTCCTAAACAATGCAAAAAGTCAAATTGTCTCGTCTCGTATCCCCCTCCTTACCCCACCCCCAACTCTGTGCCATTTAAAGTTACCTTCATACTCAGGCTGACAATGAATCTGATGCGTCCCCTAATTGGTTAACGGCCCGTAAACCCCGGTGTGAGTACAACTCCTCATGTGAGATGTTGGAGATCCGTGAACTTGTTCTTTTTTACCTTATCCAGCAACACAGTAAGATTCTCATTGCTCACAAGCACAGCCCGTCGCTCCACCTCATCCTTCAACCGGTACAGAGTATTGATGTTGGAAATGATTTGATCAAATCGACCACTGAGAGTGGGGGTGGCAACAATGTCATACTATGTCAAAAAGAAGAAAAAAGAGGAAACAAGAAATGAGAATCAATCCATCAATCACCCCCCGGCTTGCTCCATGCATTGTGATACAAAGATGTGATCCATCCTTACGAACCATCTTATCCATTTGTGCTTCTCTTTCCTTGAGTGATTGGATACATTTCTCAAAATCCGTGGAATTTTGCTCTTCGTAATGCGTCACCTTGACATTCTACCCTTGACATGATTATTAGTATATAGCATACACCAATTGGTGGTATTCGAACATTACCCTTTTCTCATAGTATTCGCGAACATCATCTCGCAATGAATCCAAATCACCAGCAATCTCATCAGGGACATAGCTGCAGTATCACAAGTATTAGTAAAGAAGGCATTAAAAGGTACCAATCATCAAGTGTAACAAACAATTCACGCTTTTGTTCATCATCGCTGAATGCATCGTAGAGTCGGTTAGCAGCGCCGTCAGCACAATAACGAAGACTGGCTAAGAGTGTGTGAAAAATGAGTGTGCTTGCTGGTGTCAGGTGCAAGAGTATCGGGGAGCTATACCGTTTATCCACAGCCGATGGAATCGCTCCAAGTGTTGAATAGGTTGATTCAGCAAGATCAAGCAGTAGTTCCGTGCCTTGAAATCGGCAGCAAGAATGTTGGAAGGGCACCAATGGGTGATCAGGTTGGCACCATTCATAGTGAAAGCAACAAGGTAAACCAATGGAATGTGATACTCGCGTTTGCCAGAGGCGCTTATGGTAATTTAACCAATCATAGCCCTTGATTGAAAGATATCTTTCCATCATCCATGGAATGTTCAAGAAGTAAACGCTGTCGAGAACTGGTGCTACGAGCCATATTGTACATCCTATATTAGCATTTGTAGACATTGTCACCGGAACTGCCCTTTATCAATATAGCAATGTACGAGCCTAGACTTTTCTGTGGATTACATATGCAGCGATCTTCTTTCTTCATGCAGCAGTAACTTTTTCCGGAAATCCAATGCATGCTATCATCGCCCTCTTTTTTGGGGGCCTGTGAATATAAAAAGACAATAGGAAAGATCGATTGCTTGAGGAGCGGTCTTGTTGCTATGATACCATTGTTGATATTAGGGTCATCATTCTTGTGCTCTCGTCACCAAGCCGCTGTGGTTCTTCCTTATCACATTACATGTATCTACATAAGCTATCATAGCACCATCTTATAGTATCCTCTTACAGCTACATAGCTGCCTCCATTTTAGAGCATGCGACAGGACCAACCTAATACAAGAAATTGCATAACCAAGCATCCTTCTTTGTGAGAACCAAAAAATGATCTGCGTACTCACTAGGATGCATCATGGATCATGGCAGGGCCTTTGAAGTGCTCAAGGTATTCTTTTTCCCGATGCGTTGATATTCATGATCACTGAAACAAAACAAGCACGTGAGCTTACGATCCTTTATTGTGGTATAAGATGATGTGGTAAAGATGAATGAGGCATTTCGTTTATTGTACTATAAGCAACAACATGAGGCATACCCACTGTTGGCAGCTATTTTACAATGAAAATAGCATCCAACTATGTGCTGATCAACGAGCACGTCAAATACCCATACTATGACAATAAGGTGATAGCTATCCTTGACACTCTATAAGCAATTTTGGATGTACACAGATTTTCCCCTACCAGAAACGGGCGGGCTTTGTATCTAATAACAGCCCAGTGAGTGAGTGAATAGAGTGTGTTGTGGAGAAAAGAGGCTAACTACTTCTTGGTTTCTTTTTCTTTTTCTTGTTTCTTTTCCAATCCGGAAAGTTTTCTGGCCTTGCCTTTATATGCCAGCTCATCCACAAGCCTTGAATAGTACTCCTTCTGATCGGCATACTGCACATGGCCTTTCTCCTCCGCCAGATTTCGATCGCAGACCTCCTCATCCATCACCATCCAAGTCCTCATCCCACTCTACTCATGACCACCAAACCAAAAGATTGGACGCTATGTTTTTCTCTCAGCCTTCTACGCCCACAAAGTTTCAAATCGCTTCGCAAAATGGGCAACCGCAACGATTGTCCCAAGCAGTTACCAATGCAAAGCATCTACCGTTACGGAAACGCATCACCAAAGACACTTCTCAACCCTCAATGCCAAAGAATGTTCTCCCACCAGTATCAGAAGCAACAGTTCCAGAGACTACATCGTCCAATGGCTCCTTGTTGCCCATGACTACAGCAATAGCGAATACACCCCACCAGCAACCGTCACCACAGCAACAGCAACAGCAGCAGCAGCAGCAGCAAAAAGAAAGGAGAGTCTCTTATCCTCCGACGCCAACTAGCTCGCATGATGCAAAGGCAACCGATTATTATTATTCAACAAAAGAGAGTACATCATCACCACAAAGCGAGAATGAAGATGTGATAGAGAATGAACGAAGGAAGCCGATTGATTCATATAACAACAATGCCAAGACATCATCAACCGAACGACGAATATCCATGCCTTTGCTGTCTCAGCCATCTACTACTACTATTACTACAACTACAACTACTACTACTACTTCCATTATACCCGGCCGTACAGCACCACCACCACCACCATCAGCACCGCCATCATCATTATCAACAACATCCGCTCCATCAGTACCACTTTCCAAAATGAAGCCACTTAAAAAAGTCCAACATTGGATCAGCAAGGGGAAGATGCATTCACCTACCACAAATGGACAAGTCATCAGAAATGAGGAGGTGAGTCTTTTTTTCTTTGATCCATCTTTTTTTATTCTCTTATTAACATGATGCATTAGTCTGTTAAACCTCGTCTTCCTACTACATCAAGGCGACTATCATGGGAAGAAGATGATCGGGTATGTATATCACACACACACACACACAAACATCCACATGTACAATGATAAAGACTGACCATGTTTCAATCTAGCCTGCTCCAAAGAAATCAAAGCGTGGCCGACCCCCAGCAAGCATGACGAGACCCAATTCAGCACCTTCTTGGGTAGATTCATCAAGAGCGAATGGTAGACCAAGGACAGGAGAATCCATTGTAGCAGCGGCAATGGCTGCTGCCAAAGGCAGTAGGAGAAACAGCCTACGACAAATGGGTGCAAAGAGCAATGATGATCAAGTCCTTTATTGTATTTGTCGCAAGCCATACGATGTGCCACGTTTTATGATTGCATGTGATCGTTGTGATCAATGGTTCCATGGCGAGTGCATTGGGATCAGTGAAAAGGAAGGCGAATTCATTGACTTGTATTTTTGTGCCGAATGTGCAAAAGGTATGTGTGTATCATCAATGATAAACAATGGTAGCACTCATCATGTTACACAAACAATGCAGCAACCGGCAAGATGACATCGTGGAAACCGAAGTGTATGAATCCAGCATGTCCCAAAGCAGCACGCATCAGCTCACACCAGGGGAGGATATCAAAGTATTGTAGCGATACATGTGGTTTACAGGTGGCACGTGCACGTGTGGAATTGGCAGAAATCAAACGACGTGGTCACTCTGAACAAAGCTATACCGACATGTTGACACAACGACAACGACGTGCTCGATTGAATCAATTGGTGAAGCATGATATGGCACGATTATCCCAATTAACGGAAGCATGGCGTCGGATACGAGATCAAATCACGATTATGGATCAGAGATTACGGTTCCTTAAGCTCATTGTCCAACACCATCATGGAGAATATTGTGGTCTCGACACTCGGCTTCATTGGACCGATGATGTTTGGCAGCAAGTAAGCGAGATGGTCATGGATGATGGCGAAATCGTGCTCAAATTCGCAAGCAAGGATGTACCACCGCCACCAGCGTATAGCATATGCCAACATAGGCCGTGCAACAAACATCACGGGTGGAGAGATTTGAAGCTTCAAGAATTTGAACAAGATCGACATGAACTATTCCATTCCTTGGCACGTTATGCAAAGCAACGAAGACAAATCAAGGATCGCATCAAAAGGAAACGAAACACGATCGATGATGAGTGGATATCAAACGCAACTATTGTTCATAAGGAAGATGTTATAAAGTGATTCAACCAAAGAAAAAGAATGTATATACGTGTATTATTGTGGTTATCAATTCTTCATTGTGCCTTTTTGGGGGTGTTTTAAATGCGCTTGCATGATGGAAAAGAATACATACATCATCATTTATATAACATCATGGGTCTCTTTTACATGTAAACTTGGGTACTCGTGTTCATGTTGCTTTTTTTAACGCACCATGGTGGTCGATTTCTCTTGTATGCGATTAAAGATGATAGCAGCTTTTGATCCTTAAAGTAGTACGCACGTGTATGCAATGAGGTTGGGGTCCGCTGAGGATTCTGGTACCGTAAAGCAACATCAAATGACTTTTAGCCACAAAGGATACGTTATGATCATGCAACCTGAAACTTACATATCAACTGGGGGCAGCGGCAGCTTGATCAAGTTTGACGATCCATCTTAATTTTGGTCGTTTTCGGCCTGGAGATCCACATGCCACTAAATGTACATGAGTCCAAAACTTTAATCACTTGGTGGTATTCAAAGCCTAAAGGCAGCTGATGCAAAGAAATGAGGAGGGCCTGCATTCACGTTATCACGGTTCCTTCCCACGTCATTTTTGACTCAAATCATAATAAAGTGTGACCTATCAAGTCTCTTGAATTGAGCCAACACTATACCAATGATCTTCTTTAAATGTCTTGAGATCAAAAAGACACGCGGCTTGGCATAGGCAATTGAGGGGCGGGTGAGATTAACATATGATCATCAGCTTCCGGTTGTGAATCGGTAAACTTGATATAGCGAAAAGCTGATACCGAGTGTTACATCCTTGGCTTACATGCTTGGGAAAACCACGTTAGGCGTAGAATTATTAGACCCGTGATCATTTGGTAGATTATTGACCCATGTATGATAACGCGCTATGGGCACATGAGAATCCATCCCGCATAAACATGTAGCTTTAACATCTCTCACGGGACAATATGGGTATTATGGCGCGATATCTCAGCTGTCAAAGGAAATAGTTTCCATGTATGTATTGTTCTTTAGGGTTCCATAATGGCATTGCGGGGTGGTCTCGAGACGCGCCCCCTTTTCCTTTGAAGGGACATCAATCATGAGATGCGGCTGCTGCGGCTGACGGTGAACTCCTTAAAGGGAACGGTGCATTCACAACAGTAGCCGAATACTAGAAACATCCAGTAATTCCTATATCTGATAAAGATAGCAATTGTATACATGTCGGTAATAGATATCAATTTTAGTAATACGTCTCTTGTTGTGCCACGCTGCGCATCAATAATGCCGGAAAAGATGCGTGTGTGTGAGTGTTTATGTATCATGGTGTTCTTTCAAGAGTGGCTGCTGCTGTATGGATTCTTTTAAAAGTGGACATAGCATTGGCACCTAAAAATCGGGAACATGGTGAGCGCCCGCATGCTGCCGCATGTATGTGTGGTGGTGCTTCACTTTTGCAGCACGTTAATTGGAATCCTGACATGGTTGGCTCAAGATGCAATCTATATCAATTCTAGATCCAACAAGGTCCTGTAAACAAATGCACCATTGTAGGCTGCTGCAGAAAGCGATGATCACCACACGTATGCAGTAATTATCATTTTGGACAATTCCGTTGTTTCACTCTCTTGTTATTTGTTTCCTCAAAACTCCACGCACAAAAACATCATCGCTCCTGATTATTGCTGTTGCTCAGTTTTAACAAGGTTAATGGGGTGCTGGAAAAGGAGGTGGGAGTACCGGATTCAAAAAATGGCGTAGTTTGACAGGTGTCACTATCAAAGTTGTTCTTGTTGACTAGGTATAACGAGAAAATGAAAGCTTGATACCTTTTGATGATGATGAGCTGTCAACCTTAGTAGTACAAATATGGCAGCATATGCAATGCATGGTAGCACAACCCATCATCGGTACATTACACGGTAAACATCACGAGAGCCCAACATCAAAGGAGTGTGTGCGTGTGTGTGTGTGGAGAGAGAGAGACAATGCATAGCAAATGTCTCCATGTGTGAGGGGTGGGGCGTTTGCAATGTGGGAGAGATTGGACATCTCTGTTGTAAAAGATGGATGGGGGATTGAATGTATAGCATGTGCACGGGCGCACAGGGCGTGCTAACATAACGGTGCAGACAAACATGGCATGAGGATATATAAAGGCTGGCATAGACATCCACACACACGATGAATAATTTTTTCCAAACAAGTATTTAAGCTGTACGCAACATGTCATTGTCAATCAAGCCATTGAATTTGACAGGTGGTCAATGGTAAGGCGAATGTGCGCGTGTGTGTCGGTGTATATGGATGCAGCAGCATCTCATATAAATTCTTCTTCTTCAGCTCATGGTGCGGGAAATACGGCCACTTGCGTGGGAGATGTCCATATCTCAAGTAACGGAAAGGCCATGATTATTGATACGCATGTATATACATATACCCGATGAGGCAAACCAGGATTCCTTTTGATATACGTATTCATCATCAAAAGCTAGCTTTCATCATCTGTCATTCCCTCCACGGTTTTACTAGTACGGCCATCATTTGACATGTTCTTTTGGCAAAGCAAAAGCACCCCATACTCTCTTTATTCATCATCTATCTAGTTTTTTGTACCAAGGATCTATCTATGTTCCCATTCATATTCTATGCTTTCATCCCCACATCCATCTTAGGCCTAAAACCCCCCATTGTCCCATCACCCTTGCAACATTTTGTTGTTTAAATCTCTTGCTTGCGTAATGATTTAAGTATATTAAAAGTTGAACATGAATCACGTATACACACGCGCCTGACAAGACGCTTTGGGCGAGTAATAAGGAGATAGGAAGGTGGGCGAGTGAATGAGTGAGAGTGAGAACACGATAAGAAAGGAGACAAGTAAACAGCCACGTTCCATCCTTGAGAGACATTCCTTTCTCCTCAACCACTACCACGACAGCTATCAAACGACAATAATGGACGTTGGAAAACGGCCGTCTCGTTTACGAAGGCATTTGCCAATGACAATGGCGGTCTCCGGTTCTTGTGAGCAAGCATCCCAGCAACAAGATCAGGTCGTGTCACAATCAAGCTTTCGAAATCATCCCAATCCAAGCCATGCGCTGCGGAGAAGAAAGCAACAGCAACGTACACGCCTTGTGTCGGATACGGTGGCGATGGAAACCAAGAAACGGTCTTCGTCGGATATGGCCAAAGAGGTGCAACGTAGTGTGATTTTTGGCTGGCTCATTTGGATCGGTTGTGGTGGATGGATCGCGTTTCTAGTATTTCGTATCGCTTTCAGCTTATGGCGAGGTGAATACAATCAACTCAGTCTTGTTCATTATATTCGTTCTATGATCCAATAACTGCAACAAAGAGCACCAACATACCTTTTCCCCCAATAACAATATCCCTGATCATCATCATCCACACAAATAAAGTAAAAGAAGGTTCATTTGTTTTCCCAGTCTATCGCCAACTTGCGAATCACGTGCTATCTCATTGTTAAAGTTACGAGTACACACATATCCGAAAAGAGCCGGTTTGGCTCAAGTAATGCTTTGTTTTTTTCCTTTGTTTACTTTGGCCTTCTGCCGTGTACCTCTTTCTTTCTTTCTTTCTTCTTTTTCTTCCCATCCCTCCCCTCTTGTGGGTTGGTAAAGAACCACGACGACAATATGACATTGGATAATCAATATCCACCTCCAGCACATAACGACGCCCCTTTTAACAATCATCCATCGCAATCTTCTATGCATCCTCAACAACAGTGGTCAAACATTCCTCTATCTCAACATCCACCACCTTCTTCTTCATCAATACCGGAAGGAGTCAACAATGATATGGATCCCAACTTTGTGCCACCATCATTAAGCAGTATCCCTGCTGCTGGTGAAGTAATCAATAGTACTATGGGTACTAGCAGCTGCGGCCATCAACAGCAAGGTGACACGATAAAACCAGAACAACAACACCAACCATTGGATCCCAATAAGGAATATCATGCTGAATGGGGCGTGATGCGAGATCAAGAGTTTCATCAACTTGCCTTGAAGCATCAGAGGGATCTAGAAAGCCATCATTCTAGTGGTTCGTCCATTTCAGACTTTTACTTTTGGCAAGCTAACCTGGGTGGTTATTGTATGGCGGACATGCATCAAAGTAAGCTATCGTAAAGGAACGCATCCTTTAACTCATTGCTAATAATATCTCTTTTACAAAGGCATCGTAGTCTCCTCAGAAGGAGTATTTGTTCTCGTCCGACGTATGGTGGAAGGTGCGCCCCATCCAGGGAGGAAAAAGAAAAAACATGGCATGGGCTAAAACAAGTGTCACTATTTGGTGTTTTGCGTTGCGTCAACCCATTATGTATTATCTCTATCTCCCTCTACCCCATCCAATACTATTAATAAAGTATTATCAATCAACTAGTGGCCGTACAGTATATCGTAAACTATCATCATCACATACACACACACCATGCCAATAGGAACAGGGGTATTTACTTGCTTAACAATCATCTGTGATGTGTCAGTTGGCACTAGTTGCAAAAACGGGTGGCTATGTGCAACCATGAATACATATCTACACAATGAATTAAGCTCACAATGAATCAATCCTCTGTAACAAGCACTATGTTTGGCATCATCATTCCCTCATTTATTATCTATGCAAATCAAGCGTTCGCAAATTACCACTGCCTTTCATCTATCAAGACGTCAACTAGGAAGCTTTAGCGAATGTAATAGTGTTGCGAAAAGAACAAAAGCTATTCCCTCTTCAAGCCAGAGTCCCGCCAAGTGATCCACATCTTGCACATACGAGCTGATAGAACGATGCCCAAAGCATCATGTTGAATCCAATTTTCATTCAATGACAAAGTCGACGAATAGTACATCATGATAGTGCGGATGTTTATAATGTAAGATGATAAAGGAGCCATGTTGCAAATTGAATAAGATACGGGTGAATCTCGTAAAGGTAATAAGTGTAATTGTGTCTTCGTATTCTTGGTTGCTGCCGTCATAACTATCTTCATCCATGATTGCAAAATAGTTGCTGCATGCCTTGGCTCGACTCTTCCAATATCAACCATGGGTAAAAACACCTTGCTCTCCAATCCATCATCATCCTCAGCTGTATCCACGTGATATAATCCATCTCGTTCCTGCTGACGACATCCCAAGTAATCAAAGCAAACCTCCCAGAATCCTCATGATCACTGCACTTGATTACAACCATCCATCATAGCCATTGCAATCCCAACACGTTGAGAGAAAAGACATCTGTGATCTCTTGCTGATGTAGTCCTCTTTATCATCCGGCTGCTGGCGTATCTCTTTTCTTGGTCATTTCCATAGCAACTCAACCAACGAAGACTGCTTGTATTTTGGTGTACTTGATAGCTGATACGGCATCATCCATAGGAAATCGTATGCATGAAAGCAAGCTGCTGCACGAGAATAAAACTACTTTTGTATAATGGCGAGTTGCTGCTCACGTGAAAACTGTAAGACGAGTTGCTGCAAGTAAAGAGCGTTGTTCGAGACAATGGAGTAAAGGCCTTGCTAATAGCAATTGCTGGAATGAATGCTGTTACGGTTGGTCGTGGTAGAGGGAGTGTACAAGAGAAGGTGTAGCATCAACAAACGCGGGTGTTGTAGTGGGGTGTACACGCCATGAACTTGCCATTCAGTCAAAGGCTTTCCGATCAGGGCTGTTGTAGGATCGACATTGATGGGTTGAGGCAGGACAATCGTTCGTAGCTGATAATTGTACTTGAATGGAGCAACGGTTGAGAATGGGAGGAAGAGAAGGTAAAGTTGGAGCGGAAGAGCTGGAAATTAAGAAGATCTTTCTGATGTTGGATGGTGTTTCTTTGTTTGACCGTTGCTCAGTCAAATCAGCTCGAACTAAGAAAGTTGAAGGGTGGAGATGTTGGGCTGGAGCAGAGGAATCGTTTTTATGCATTGGATTGGGTAACAAAGGTGAGTGAGAGGAATGGGCTATCAACCAGCAATTTACAAATAACTTTGCCAAATGATTTTTCTCATATTGGATGATACTTCTGTGTTTGAGCGTTTTTCAGTCAAATCCTCTCGGATCAAGAAAGTTGAATGATGGGCATGCTGGGCTGGAGCAGGACAATCGTTCACATGCATTGGATTGGGAAACAAAGGTGAATGGGAGGGTCGCGCTATAAACTGTCAATGTACGAGTGTTATTAGATTGTGTCAAGTATCATGCATCGCCTGTTCTGAATGACTCAAGTTACACAACACGTCCCTCTCCATCTTTGGCTCTATTATAGTCATACTACTTTACATTAAACAAAGACCACTTCTCATATAGCGTCACGCTTACAAACATAAAGGTGCCTGTATCTCCAAACTTTACAATCAAACGTGGGGTTTTTATTAGAGCAATGTGCTCAGCTTGGCCAACTGCACCTTGTGTGAAAGTTTTACGTTCAATGTCGCAACTAGCCCAAAAAATATTTTTTGGTCGTCGTCGTCGTCGAAGAGGTCAACCCCCCAGATCCAGTTTGGCTGGTGGCGACATTGCGAAATCTGGGATTGGCAAGCTCGATCGTGAAACTGGCACCCAAGGTGCAGTTGGCCAAGCCGAGCACATTGCTCTAATAAAAACCCCACGTTTGATTGTAAAGTTTGGAGATACAGGCACCTTTATGTTTGTAAGCGTGACGCTATATGAGAAGTGGTCTTTGTTTAATGTAAAGTAGTATGACTATAATAGAGCCAAAGATGGAGAGGGACGTGTTGTGTAACTTGAGTCATTCAGAACAGGCGATGCATGATACTTGACACAATCTAATAACACTCGTACATTGACAGTTTATAGCGCGACCCTCCCATTCACCTTTGTTTCCCAATCCAATGCATGTGAACGATTGTCCTGCTCCAGCCCAGCATGCCCATCATTCAACTTTCTTGATCCGAGAGGATTTGACTGAAAAACGCTCAAACACAGAAGTATCATCCAATATGAGAAAAATCATTTGGCAAAGTTATTTGTAAATTGCTGGTTGATAGCCCATTCCTCTCACTCACCTTTGTTACCCAATCCAATGCATAAAAACGATTCCTCTGCTCCAGCCCAACATCTCCACCCTTCAACTTTCTTAGTTCGAGCTGATTTGACTGAGCAACGGTCAAACAAAGAAACACCATCCAACATCAGAAAGATCTTCTTAATTTCCAGCTCTTCCGCTCCAACTTTACCTTCTCTTCCTCCCATTCTCAACCGTTGCTCCATTCAAGTACAATTATCAGCTACGAACGATTGTCCTGCCTCAACCCATCAATGTCGATCCTACAACAGCCCTGATCGGAAAGCCTTTGACTGAATGGCAAGTTCATGGCGTGTACACCCCACTACAACACCCGCGTTTGTTGATGCTACACCTTCTCTTGTACACTCCCTCTACCACGACCAACCGTAACAGCATTCATTCCAGCAATTGCTATTAGCAAGGCCTTTACTCCATTGTCTCGAACAACGCTCTTTACTTGCAGCAACTCGTCTTACAGTTTTCACGTGAGCAGCAACTCGCCATTATACAAAAGTAGTTTTATTCTCGTGCAGCAGCTTGCTTTCATGCATACGATTTCCTATGGATGATGCCGTATCAGCTATCAAGTACACCAAAATACAAGCAGTCTTCGTTGGTTGAGTTGCTATGGAAATGACCAAGAAAAGAGATACGCCAGCAGCCGGATGATAAAGAGGACTACATCAGCAAGAGATCACAGATGTCTTTTCTCTCAACGTGTTGGGATTGCAATGGCTATGATGGATGGTTGTAATCAAGTGCAGTGATCATGAGGATTCTGGGAGGTTTGCTTTGATTACTTGGGATGTCGTCAGCAGGAACGAGATGGATTATATCACGTGGATACAGCTGAGGATGATGATGGATTGGAGAGCAAGGTGTTTTTACCCATGGTTGATATTGGAAGAGTCGAGCCAAGGCATGCAGCAACTATTTTGCAATCATGGATGAAGATAGTTATGACGGCAGCAACCAAGAATACGAAGACACAATTACACTTATTACCTTTACGAGATTCACCCGTATCTTATTCAATTTGCAACATGGCTCCTTTATCGTATACTTGATATACATATTCAATCACACCAAGACTCGTATTAATGAAGCCGTTCCATCAATCTATCAGCTCACCACCGTCCCCAACAAACATTTTATCGCTCATTGAGATCACTGAAATACCCACGCCCAGCAACATGCAAATAGAAGATGTTGTCGTCCATCATTTCACTCCCACGCGTTTCTTTCTTCCATCATACATCCACTCTTTGTTTGCTGACACCTTAAAGCCCAACTTCATGTGAGTGTGCCATGGATGCATGATCCTTTGTGAGCGATCCATATATTAATCTTTGTGGTGATATTTAGCGGTTCGTTATCGTCCTACTGTGCTTTCATTATTACTATTGCCATTATTATTTTTGGCTCTTTTAATAAGGTAAAAGCTAGTCATCTCGCTTAATGAAGCACATACTCATATACATTTGATGTAGCTACCTCCCGAGATGCATCTCCAAAGTTGGGGCAGGTGCCATGGATAACTACAGCCCGCATGTGGTGACATAATGGCTTACGCGAAAGCTGTCGATTGATTTTCAATGAGTTAATGACGGTAAGTTTACAACTTATACATACACGTTGGATCTAGCATTCTCATCTGATGCTTACTATATAGGCAGCATATGAAGAAAACAGTGAATTCATCGCGAGTTGTTGGATACTGCCCTTTGTAAGAGGAGACTGGAGCTATAATCATCACTGTACAAGGTGCATACAGAAACGAAGGAATTTCTGGATATCCTTTCAGCCATCGACAACGACTTTTTTTGCTGGTTTATTACGAGAGAAGGGATCAAGATACAAGCAAGCGATGCAACTTCCCTAAGGAGATTCAAGATATTGGGTATCATTATGTTGCGTACATGGCACAAAATTGCATTGATGAGTAAATGTCTTGGAGTGTGATATAGAAATGGCATCAAGTGTAACATCCATATTTCATTGTATCCTTGTAGCGGTGAACAAATTTGCAAAGCATCCCAAAGCATCACTCAAAGGAACGAGCGTTTTGGTACTGGTGATGATCACAAGCCTATAGGAAGAAAGATCGATCTTATTTGTGCAAGCAAAGACATCCAACTCTGCACCAACGAGTGGAAGCGGGATGATGTCATGATCAGAACAGCATTCAAGCAGCAATGCTAAGGATGTTATGGTAGGTTTTGTTGCCCAAGTTAGGAATTACTAGATGCGCCACAGCATTCAACATCAGAGACGCGGCAAGCTCCTTGTAGTTTAGTACCCACATTACCGATATCAGATTATGTTCCTCCGATATGTAGCCAATTGGCATCCCTTACATCGAAGTATTCATAGAGGACAAAAAAGTAAACATGACATTTAGAAAGATTGAAAGCCTTTACTTGGAGCACTCTACATCATATGCATATGAACTTGTAGTCATTGTCCTATTATGACGCTATACACAAAGGCATCTACTAGCTAAAGCTATTATTTAACAAAAGGTGCGACAATGACATGCAATTAGAGGCACAGCATGCAACATAGGTTCCATGGCATGCATCCTTCTCAGCCAAAACAACAAAGCATATTAATGGGGGAGATGACTCCGGTTGAGTGGGGGTCACGTTACTGCACATCAAGGATTTTGTACGCCGATGTGGAGTTTTCCTTGGTTACCCAGTTCATGCTTTTCCTCTACTATGCCTTCTCGTGGTAGCACCCCTACTGGGGAACCTTCTTCATCCTCCATTTCGGTACACAATCCAGCATTCGAGCAAGACGACAATGACAATACCCATTTACAGCGCAAAGACAAGACTCGAGCGAACGGCAATTATGGCTCAATATCAGTTCCGGAAGGCTCAATGGATCATGACGACCGACACAATCAGGATGGCCAAGAGAATGAGGATTCCTTAGGACCTGGTGGACCATGGCGGTTACCGATATGCGTTATCTTCATCCTTGTTATGGTTCTATCATGCGTGGCAGTGTTGATATTGCTCATAATGACGCCCGAGTTTGCACAGCGTTCATTCGAGACGGGTGTGATATTTGATCTTAAAGAAGCATCTATTGTCAATGCAACACAAGAAGACAACATCAATGTCCTTGCAATGCATGTAGCAGGAAGCATCACTCTTCGTGACCAAGCATATACATTGGCATCAACAGCAGCCTGGATATTGGGGAGCATTGGGATTGGACATTCAGCACTACTTGTATATCATGCACCATCTTCCTTCATCATCGGCAGCCAATCATCAGCTGATCACGCCGCCATGGGAACAATCCATTTGCCACCCCTTGAACTATCATCTGATTCAAGATCGACACCATTTGATTTCATCACTCGCTTCATCGTGGATAATGACAAGGAGCTCATGCTTTTCGCTCAAGATGCTGTGGCTTCCAAACAAGTAGCTTGGCAATTGACGGGTCCAGTTCGTCTTCAGTTGGGTTGGTTTAGTGCTAAGGTGGATTTTGACAAGCAAGTAACACTGGAAGGTGAGATGAGAGTGTGACTCCTTGATTTTACCTGTTACCAATAGGCTGATTTATGGTTATTGTAGGGATGAATGGGCTAAAGCAAGCAAGTTTGCAATCGGTTGCATTCCCTGGAACACATCCTCGTGGTGGTATTGCGCTTGGAGGTGCTGTTGAAATCTATAATCCATCGAGCACGTTGAGCCTACGACTTGGTGATGTGGACTTTGGGATCTATTTGCCAAACGACCATGGCAACGACAAGCTTATTGCCGTTGTACGTGCTGAGGATGCAAGTTTACTTGGCCAGCAAAACAATGTCTTTGATATCCATGGGCGCACCCTTCCAATCAGCAACAATGATCGGCAAGGAAAAGAATTGATGGATAGGTTCCTATCAAGTTATTTGCATGGCAACACCAGTATCGTACATGTGCGTGGTAGTCCATTTGGTCCTGACGACGACCCACAAGAATCCTCATCTTCAACAACACCTCCTTGGTTACGAAAGGCGCTACAATCATTGACACTCGAGATCCCTTTTCCTGGTACCAAGCAAAGTGATTTGATCCGGTCGCTTGAGTTGAGCAATATCAAAATCGATTTTTCAGACAGCGGTCGACCTGTCATTTCAGCTGACATTGCTGCCATGCTCCAAAAGCCGGATGAGATGCAATTCACGATCAATGTCACTGAAATTTATCCTCGCGTGTTCTTATACCTGGAAGCTGATTCTAAGGAACCATTCGGCAAGCTCATTCCTGATAAGCCATCCCCTGCTCACACTACCGAAGACGATGACTTGCCACCAGGGATGCTCAAAGTGACTTCAAGGATATCACGTGCGCCTTTCACAGTGATGCCTGGCAAGGATGATGAGTTTCAAAAGTTTATTGGCAAGATTTTCAATGGCAAACGAGGCACTGTTTATGTTCGTGGTACAGCCGATGCTATGGTGGATAGTGCGTTTGGTCACTTGACAATACATGATCTTGAATTTAAAGGGCAAATTGATAGTCAAGGTACGCATGTTAAGCAAAATGTTACATGAATCAATAAATAGTAAATATTGCATTATCCTTAGGCATGGACGGCATGAAAGATCCGCCACCTCGCGTGACATCCATCTCATTGGAGCATGGTGCTGCCGATGCACTTTATATACAATCCGAATTGGAGATCATGAACCCCTCTGATGTGCATGTGAATATGGGCTTGATACATTTTTCTCTTGAGTTTGGTGGTCAAATCATTGGCGAGATCATATTACAAGAGCTGAAACTTGAGCCAAATACAAGCAACAAGATGTCAACTAAGGGTCGGCTTTTTGCTGATAACCCGGTTCCAGTGGTGGATTATATTGGGAAATACATTTCGGGTAAGTCTGGAATTTAAGTGTGTGTGTGTGTGTTCACAACACATGCAAAAAAGTGACCTGTTGTACTCACATGTTGCTGTGGATCAATGCACACTATAGCCGAAGCGGATACGCCACTCACGATTTCAGGGCGACATCCCAATGCGACCTTTTCTGATCTCTTATTGCCGCTGGTGCGTAGCATGGAATTTACAGTAGTCCCGCCATTATTTGATGAGCCTCCTTTGCTTGCAGCCATGCAAATGAACGTGTTATCGTCAACAGCCGTTTTATGGTTACGAAATCCTTTCAGCCATATTAGGCTAGAGATGATTCAGCTTAATGCAACAGCCGTGTACGAGACAACCGAGATTGGTACAGCACACGCAAACTTTCACGATCCAGGTGAAGGTTGGACAGAGCCTGTGATGTTACCACCACTGCTTTGTAGTAGCAGCAGCAACATAGCAGCCGACAATTGCTCAGCCATCACCGTTGAAACACCAAAGATACCCGTCATGACAAAGAAACTTGGACTTGACATGATCAAAAAGGCCCTGGGTGGAGAAATCGAATTATCTATCGACAGCATTGTTACTATTCAGATCGATGACCTGGTTTTACAAGATTTACGATACAAACGCAACAACCTTACTGCCACGGTCAACAAAGGATTTTGACGCTTGCGTGACAAGAGTTTGCGGAATGAATGAAGAGAGGAAAAGAAAGAAAATACCTCTTTAGGGATAGTGGCGAGCGCACCCACGCGGTCTTTTTTTTATACTGATTACCATCAACCACATGTATTGTCAACCCCTCTCCCCGCGATAGCATTTTGCACAAAGATAGCATTTAACTTGTATGTGTATATATAAAGACGATAATGATATCCTATAAGACACGATGAAAAATGGATGAGTCAATGACCTTTATCGAAAGATGAGTGTTGAGCGTTGGGGTCTCTCACATGTAATAAGACACGTACGATCGGTCGGGGATGCCTGAGTACAGGGCCGACAAAAAAAGTCCTCAATTCAATTAATAGTGCTTGTGCCACGCTGTTGACGGTGATCCAAATCATGGTAGCCTTCCGAATTTTAATTACACATGCTCACCGAATCTTTTGCTCTCTTTCTCTCTCTCCTTCTTGATATTCTCTCTCTCCTTTCTTCTTTCTTTTATTTTCCCTTCATCACTCTTTTAGCCTCCTGTTCCCAACCCATTCCTTTATTGATTCAATTGTATAATGCGGCTTAGAGCTACCGAGATTATTTGGATATCGTTCATATTGATAGCATTACTAGCTACTCAAGCAGAGGGTTTTTGTATCTTCCTTTGCGATGATGATGGAGATAAATCATCATCTTCTGAAGTGGGTCCCTCGACATCAGATACAGCCTCAGCAACATCGGATAATTCAGCACTACCAACATCCTCTGCCGATCCTACCAGCTCTAATGGACCTCAGCCTTCGTCGTCTGCTGAACCAAGCACACCTCAATCATCGAGTAATCCCACGCCAAGCTCAAAATCAGAGGAACCATCATCCACTTCTTCTAAGGAACCAACACCTACATCATCCAAAACGGATGATAATGACTCTTCCTCGTCCACTGATTCAGCAACATCATCTTCCTCGGCTTCTTCCTCTAGTAGTACTAGTCCCAAATCGGATGATGATGGTGACAACACCACTGCTATTGTTGCAGGATCGGTTGTGGGTGGTGTTGTAGCTGTGGGTGCCCTTGCTGGTGCTATTCTCTTTGTTCGTCGTAGAAAAAGACACCAACAACGTGCCGATCGATTCCAGTATAACAATGGTGGTAACAATACCAATGGCAACAGTGATAATTTGTACGAGTCGCGACCTTCTCCTGCAATGGCAGCTGCTGCTGTTGCAGCTGCAGGTGACATTCATCATAATCAAGGCCATTACGACGACCAGTATTATCATAATGGAGGATACTCACCCCAACCTCCTCCAGCAGCTGCAATGGATGCCTATTATTCACCTCCCATGTCTTCTCAAGCTGTCAATCCTGCCATGAGCTATCCCGATGCTGCAATTTCAGGTGCCTATTACACTGCTCCACCACAACAACAGCAACAATACTATAATCAGCAACCTTATTACGATCCTTACGCCATGCAACCTGAACAACAAGTGGCGTCGCCCATTCCAGGACAAGCTATGGTTGCCGCTGGTGCCGCTGGTGCCGGTGTTGCTGCTGGTGCTGCTCAATCCAATGTTGTATTTTCTCCACCTAATGCATACGATGAGAATGAGAGCAATAATGTGCAACCTGGTAAACATCAGCTTGCATCGCCATCTATGCAACATGCACAGATTCCCGCTCAACAGCAACAACAACAATGGCATTACGGATAAAAGCATTGTGCGTATGTGCCAAAAAGACATGCATCAATATTCCCACCCATTCTCCCAAACCCCACCCTGTAACTTAGCTTCATCTTAGTATACGTACTATTCACTCCTCTCTCACTCACTCACACACTACTTATTCATTATGTTATTACACGTAGTATAGTTTTTTTTTCCTTTCATTTCTTCACCCCGGGCAAAGTTGATTTGTTTGTCAGTAAAGTTTATTTGATTACAGCAGATACTATTCTGTTACACGAAATGGTTCCACATGGTTTATTGAGCTTTCTTTTCCTGCTTGGCGCGGAACTCGGCAATGTCTTTTTGCACCTCAACTTCAACTTGTTTACGAAGCGAAGGACGATAACCAAGGGCAAATAAGACTTCGAAAAAGACAAAATAAGGGGCAGAGACAAGGGCTAAAGGAGGAAGAAGCCATCAGCAAAAGATTACTTTATCATGCGTCATACATTACTACTACTACTAACCTTGTACCAAATTATCCACGAGCTTGGGACGACGCTTTTCTGCTACACCATGACCAATGAATTGAAAGATCCATGCAACAACATGACCTGCCAAGGCAATCTTCATAGCATTGGGATTGGTTTTCTCGAAGCGAGTAGCTGAATAGCACATGCCATACAATAGAGGAGCGTACAACAACTAGTAGAGAATGCTACGGGTCAGCGTATGATTCATACAGAGACATTGGATTTACTTACGGATGCAACTGGGTCAAGGATCGTATAATAAAGACTGTATCCAGCAACGGTAAAGAAGCTAAGGTTGGGCCCAACATCCTTGAGTACCTTGGGTAAACCAGCAGTGCTCACAAGAGGTCCCGTTTTGGCACCAAATACAAGAGCTGAAAAGAATGAGTTTGTTTATGCTTGAGTATTGTATAGTAGCTTCGACATTACCAGTCCAGAAAATGGTGGGGACAAAGACCATGTGAATAGCGACATTGACCTTGTTGTTGTGGTGAGAGCCATATGCAATGAGCTGCTTCTTTAGATTAAAGACATCTGAGAGCGGCATTATGACAATGCGACTTGTTGACTAGTGCTGTTGATATTGAGGGAAGACTTTATAAAAGGTGATTAATGCTGGGGGAGCACAGACAAGAAAAACACGACTCACCATCAATCTCGTCATGCGAAATTCACCAAAGGCAGCCAATGTGATGTAGCACAAGCCAGACGGCGTATCGGTTTACGCATCGTTTGATACATTGATAGACTCGAATTATACCTTATTCATCCTCGTCTTACATCTTTATTATTAAAATAATTGAATGTTGATAAGATGAAGTAATCCATAAAAGGAACACGATAACCAAAAAGGAAACGAAGACCAAAGAGATCACGGAAGAGGAACCATAGTAAAAGAAGGTTGTTAGTATCAATAATGAAAGATCACAACACCCAAATGCCATTACTTACCCCCACCTGACCAGCAAGCAGAGAACGCCAGGATAAACCCGGCTCCGACCCCCTCTACGTGGTTAGCGTAGGGGGGCCGTGGATGGCTGTGCCGTTGTTTATGTTCCCTGCTATTCAAGATGTCAGTATAAATCATACATTAAGATCCAAACTTGACAGACTTACCTTGCTGGGGAGGAGGATGCAAAGGGGAAAGGGGAAAGGCGGAGGCGAGTGGAGACGAGGGACACCGAATAAATAATAAGACCAATCCTTGCTGAACAAGGAACTTGACCACCATCTTGGCCATGGACCATGAACAAGGAACTTGACCGTCGACTTGAGCAAAAAGAATCCTTCACTTGATGACAATAACACCATAAAAGATAACGCCTGCATGTTGTCAGACCAGTGCAATAGTGTGCATGACCAAGAGCCGTAGACAAAATGTACCAAGGTTCCAATACCAAGAGACCATGACACCACCCACGCTTTCTGCTTGATGACGACGCGACAACAATGACTGCTGCCTGTTGTCAGACCCAATGACATGATATGGCAAGAGCAAGGACCATGGATCAAAGAACATGACACCCACAACTGAAAGTAATAGCAAGGACCACCGAGTGATAGTAGAGGACTACAGCAGTCTTGGAGAGTAACAGCAAAGCTTGATTGTAAGAATAGCGCTTCGTGATAGAGCAATACATAGAGCAAGAGAGTAAGATTGTATAGAGAAGAGAGAAGAGAAAAGAGCGAGAAGAAAGTGATGGAAAATGGTCCGTGTCAAATCATGCTTATATGGGGTTGTGAAAATGGAAAGGAGTAGATCCAAGTAGAAAAGATAACGAGGATCCAGAACACCAGTATCATCAACATCAGGTGGATGTATCATACACGGGCGTTCTTTTTCACATTCTCAAAGGAAGGATCTTTTTTCTCGGATCACAATGACGCACTAAGTTGGAACCATTGTTTGCTCCCCCTTATTCCTCTTTACGCGTGCGCTTTTTTTGCAAGTGGCCAAATGATAGGATCCTTTTCCCCTACATCACAATGACGCATCAGATTTACGTTCGCTGATTATTTTCCCTTCCCCTATCGTTAATAAACCGAATTCATTTTATAGCAGTTATCAACAACGATCAATGAGCCTGAATGGCATTTCATTAAACTTATTGCATGATTCAGTGTGATGGAAGTGCATGGGCGTGTCAAAAGAAAAAGGGGATGTTGATGACAGCTACGTCAACATCAGCAGGTGGATGTCTCGAACGAGGGCGTCTTCTTTTTCATGCTCTCAAAGAAATGACTCTTTTTTCTCCCATCACAATGGCGCATCAGATTACATCCATTGTTTGCTCCCCCACATTCTTACCCATCGATTCCCAAAGGAAGGATACTTTTTCTCGCATGACAATGACGCACGAGAATTACAGTCATTGTTGCTCACTCCCCCTTTCCTTATCGATAATAAATCACTCTCATTTGAAGAACATAGCAGTAATCATTAGCTATGGGTGATTCTGAATGACATTTCGGTATTCTCATTGCATGATTCAGTGTGTTGGAAGTACAAGGGTGCGTCAAAGGGAGGTCATGTAGCAATCAAATGAAATGTTACATTGCATGTATGTTCGCGCATAAAGAATCTCTCCTCTCAACCGCATTATTACAAGTATACAAGTCAATTATACAAAAAAAGAAACCCAGATAAGACATCGCCATCGCAACAGATATCTTCCAGAATACTTCCAAGCGAATCCTTGCAAAGAATAAAAGCAACATGTAAGTCACTATGTAAAAGTAAAGTGAATCTCATTTGGGGGTGGATGGATGGGTGGTGGGATGAGCGGATGAGTGGGTGAGTGGGTCATTTGCAGCACACATAGTGATAAGCCGTTCCACACAAAATCGACGTTTGCGAGCGAAGCGAGCCAGTTGGCGGCCTAGTAATAATAAAGATTATGGTTGCATGGGTATTGGCTATTGGCTGTCAATGTCGTTTGGGGAGGAGTATCAGGCAATAAAAATGCTGTTGCCATGGGAACATCAATTACCCAGCAACAACAATCACAGGACAACCACACGGTCTTTGTCTTTGTCTGCTGATTGTAAAGGCTTTTACTACATGTATTGTTCTTGAGGAAGAGAGGATGGCAAATCGTTTTTTACGGGACCAGTGTAATGATCATTGTATCTCTTGCCATTGTTGAGGCATCATCATCATGATACCACCATGCATCAAAGGCACGCATAAGCATAAACGTCATACATGGGTGCCATAGCAAGATGGAAACCTAAGAGGGTCAAAGAGCCATTGTAGGTGATGGCTATGACCATAATAATAACCCAAAGAAAAGGGGCTGTGTCTTTTTTGGGTAACAATGACTGTAGGATAAAACGTTTGGTTGGGTACTTTTGCAGGATCAAATGACAAGGTTCATTGTAAACATACTTCTTTATTAGCATTGTCCTCTTCATAATGAAAGCGGCGGGGGTTTCAAAAGCATGGAAATGATTCTAAGGAGTTTGTCGTTCATTGTCATATGGGAGTTCCAGCATGTCAACCCAAAGCATAATCAGATGCACCAGGTATAGTTTAATATGTGTAATGTTGAGTCAAGGTGCTTAATGGGTAGGGGATTATGCATGCTTATCACCTTTTGATAAGAGCCGCAGCAGTAAAGAGGTTGAATCCCGTAGCCGAAGTGAGTCACGATTGCTTTGTCCCAAAATCCCAACTTGACAGCCGCGCTGGTTCAGGCTGACCACAATATTCTTTTTTTCTCCTCCTCCTCCTCCACCACTACCCGTTATTCCCTCATGGAAGCCGTCTTTGTCAAAATTGGTCTCTCTGAACAGAAGGCCAAGGACACTGTCAAGAACAAAAAGCTTGCACCACTCCTCGAGGCTGTCATTGACGAAGCCAATGTCCGCGACTCTGGTTGTGACAAGGATCAAGGCAACTTGCTGTATCAACTCGCGTCCACCATTACCAAGGATGCTCTTCCCCACCGTGCCTACATTGTGAACAGCATCATGGCTGGCGATTTGAAGACGGCTGATCAGGTGTCAGGTATGAGTGGTGTCTATGTACTGGTGGTATAGGACCATATTGACACACGTTGTTCTTTCTTTCTAGCCGCGATCAAGTATCTTGAAGATGTCCAGGAACCTATCAACAAGGAGGAATTCAATGCTGCAGCTGGTGTTGGTAAGTTGAATGGAGGGATGGATCGATCGAATATGGGGGAGAATTGTTTATTGATATACATAACGAAATAGGTGTTGTTGTCACCCCTGAGCAAATCAAGGATGCCGTTGCCAAGTACATTGAATCCAACAAAGAGAACATTGTCACCAATCGTTATCGTTTACTCGGCCCTACCTTGGCAACTACTCGTAAGATGCCTGAGCTTCGATGGGCAGATGGTGTCAGCGTCAAGAACGAAGTCGAGGCTCAATTCCTTGCATTGTTGGGTCCCAAGGATGAACGTGATGCTCCTCAAAAGAAGAAGAAAGAGAAGAAGGAACCTGCCAAGCAGCAGCAGCAGCAGCAAAAGAAGAAGGAAGAGACCAAGGAAGTGGATTTGTCCAAGATCTTCTTCGAAGGCGAACTTGCAAAGCTTCATAAGCCTGGCGGCAACAAGCAGATCAAGCCTGAATTGATGGAAGAGCACTTGAAGGCTACTGGTGGCAAGGTGTATACTCGTTTCCCTCCTGAACCTAATGGCTACTTGCACATTGGCCACGCAAAGGCTATCAATGTCAACTTTGGTTACGCCAAGGCACACAATGGTGTTTGCTATTTGAGATACGATGATACGAATCCCGAGGCAGAGGAAGAAAAGTACTTTTTGTCCATCTTGGAGACCGTAAAGTGGTTGGGCTTTGAACCTTTCAAGATCACCTATTCCAGCGATTACTTCCACGAGTTGTATGATCTTGCCGTCAAGTTGATCAAGAAGGGTCTTGCTTACACATGTCAGTGTACCGGTGAAGAGATCCACGCACATCGTGGTGGTGATAATGGTGGTGCACGTACCGCCTGTGTTCATCGTGATCGTCCTATTGAAGAAACGCTTGAACAATTCCAAAAGATGAAGGAAGGTCGTTACAAGGAAGGTGAAATCACTCTCCGTATGAAGATGAACCTTGAAAGTGGCAATCCTCAGTTCTGGGATTTGATCGCTTATCGTGTCCTTTTCACTCCTCATCATCGAACTGGCTCTGAATGGTGCATTTATCCTACTTACGACTTCACCCATTGCTTGGTCGACTCTTTTGAAAACATTTCCCATTCGCTTTGCACCACCGAGTTCAGACAATCACGTGAGAGTTACTACTGGCTTTGCGATGCTGTCGAGGTTTACAAGCCTGTGCAGTGGGAATATGGTCGTTTGAATGTCACTGGTACCATCATGTCCAAGAGAAAGATTCTCAAGCTCGTTACCAACAACTATGTCCATGGATGGTAAGCTTAGGATTTATTTAAGGTATTCACACAATGGTATTGACGGATTGATTTATAGGGATGATCCTCGTATGTATACTTTGGTTGGTATTCGACGCCGTGGTGTGCCACCAGAAGCCATCAACAGCTTTGTATTGGAATTGGGTGTGACTACAGCTAAGAGCACAATCGACGTTTTACGATTCGACAGCAAGGTTCGCGATTACCTTGACAAGACGGCACCACGTACTATGGTTGTGATGGATCCTATCAAGGTGACCATTGAGAACTTGGCGGATGATTATTTGGAATGGGTGCAAGTCCCCAACATGCCTCGCAAGCCCGAGTTTGGCGAACACAAGATTCCTTTCACCAACACCTTTTACATTGACTCTTCTGATTTCCGTGAAGTGGATTCCAAAGATTATTACCGCCTTGCTCCAGGCAAATCAGTGGGTCTTTTGCATGTTCCTCGCCCTGTCAAATGTGTTCAGGTGAAGAAGGATGCCAATGGCAAGGTGACCGAACTTGTGTGCCGTTATGAGAACGAAGGTGAATTCAAAAAGCCAAAGACCTATATTCACTGGGTGGGTGAAGCACCTGCACATGGATCCCCTGTCAAACTTGATGAAGTGCGCTTGTACGAACCTCTCTTCAAGCATGCCAATCCTGATGATGCTGAAGGTGGTTTCTTGAATGATATCAATCCCGATTCGCTTCAGGTGGTCAAGGGCGCTTTGGCTACTGTTGGCATTTATTCACAGATTGAGGAATGGATCAAAAAGACCGAGGGCCACAACAAGGAAAGCATGCGATGGCAGTTTGTGCGTACAGGTTACTTCTGCCTTGACTATGATACCGAGTTGGATGTTGCAAAGGTGGTTGCAGGCAATACAAAGGAGGCTATTTCTCGTCTTGTGGTCAACCGGACTGTCACTCTTAGGGAAGATGCCGGCAAATCAAGCTAGATGTTGTTTTCATGCATATTACATTAAATGTGTAACCATGGATCATTGCAAGAAGGGTATTGATGGTTTATTAGTGGTACAAAGAGTATTGTTATTAGCTGCTAGTAGTATGTATAAATATGTATAAATCAAGGAAATGGGTTTTGATGGTCTTGGACAAACTTTGGAAAGACGCTGGTGAATATGTTCCAAAAGACTTCTCCACTACATGCTTCGAAAATACTGATGGAAACGAATTCTTGTTGTTGTTGTTGTTGCTGTTGTTGGTTTTTGTATGGATTACTAGAAGATCCTTCGCATGGATTAGGTGGAGGAGCCTTATTCAGGTTACTCATGGCGGCTTCGAGCTCTTTACGAGTTTTTCCGGTGATGTTGATTTGGAGAGGAGCAGTGTCAGGGATGTATGTCTTGTAAAGTTGAAGGCACTCTGACCACTGTAAGGTATCTTTTTTTGCCAATCTCAAGTACTCCATGTAAAATAAGACGTTTTCAGCGCTAAAATCTTTTGTTGCCAGTTGTAAGAGCGCATCAGCTGATTCAGGATCGTTGAGAGCGTTGCGTAATGATTCAGCAGACAATTCTACTTTATAATGGCCGATAGATGGATTGTTGGCACCGGTATCATGAGACAATGTCGTTGTGTTGGTGATTGCAATTGGACGGCTGAGTGATAGAGATCTTTGTCGAGAGGAAACATAATAATGAGGGCGGCGAAACAATGGGACAACAATGTACATGATATGGCCCGTGGTTGTCATGATAAGTATCCAATTGCCTGGTGCGAACATGACTCGAGGCATGGAAGGATGTTCAGTATTAGGAGGTTCAAGGGCAGCTGTCCAAATAAAGTACATGATAATGCAAGGAATTCCAATGATACATTGAGTCAAGATGCTGGCACGGATACCATGCAAGTCTTTATACTTGAAGACATGCCATACACTAAACGGGACCACAACAATGACAAATACAACGTCGAGCACAACCATTACGTAGCTTCCCCAGCTGTAGATACAATGTGCGCCATCACGTGTCATGGTAACCACTTCTACCATGGCAACAGTGGTTACCCCCACAATGAGAATAAGACAATATGGCAACAGGCCATGACGAGCTTCAACGGCATGGCTGTGGCGAATAAACCAATCCTCCCATTCATGCTGCAGAGATCGTTCAGCGAAAGACTTTTTCATGCGATTGATACGGATAAGGTGGTATAGACGATATGACGACCAGCATAGACCAAACATCCAGGTATAATATCCGATCATTGTTCCCCACATGAATAGCTCGCATGATGCACGTGAAAACGATTGGGTGAATAATACTGTTGTGCTGAGAATCAAGTGTCCTGCTGTTCGCATAAGCAATCCAAAAATGCTCCGTTGTCCAAGTGTGTGGTAATTCATTCGATCCTCGAGCGTGGGGCCTTCTCTTCCTTGGTCATCTTTTATCCTTTGTCGTATTCTGCTTGATAGATAGGCTCGGCGGAAATAGATGAAACTCGTTGTGGTGACGAAGCAAAAGTTGAAACACGCCAATGCAAAGTAGACTCGTGCTGAAATAAACCGTTTGCGTTCGTAGCTGCAGTCAGCACAATCGGGTATAGGCAGGAACGGTGTCACGAACATTGTTGAGAAGGGGTTACAAAATAAACAAGAAAGGAAGACGACAATGCAAGGGAGACATTTAAAAGAGAGAATGGCAAGTTTATGTAGTTAAACTAGGCTAATTATTGGTTGCATAGATCCCAAAAGTCCCTTGTAAATTTACAACAGCTTAAGCCATTTACCCCATGCTGTAGCACACGTGCAATAGACCGACATGCCCGCCATGATCCAAAAGAAGTAGTTGAGATCCAAGTAGTTTTGGCCTGGTACTTCCACGTTCATACCAAATAGACCACATAGCACCGTCAATGGCACAAACACCGTGGCAAGAAATGTCAATCGATTCATGACCATGTTGGTAGTACTGTAAGTCTCCGTCAGCTCCACGTTCACTTGTGCAAGGTAGTTTGTATGTGCACGTCCCAAGATACGGTTGTAGTGCCCAATGTTTTGCGTCATGGTAACAACGTGATCTATTCAATAGATGTAAGGATCATTTGCTTGTTTCCTTTTAAGATTGACATTTACCTTGAATATCTCCCAAGTACAAGCATACATCACTAAAGGCCTTTTTACTCTTTGCTGTCAATGGATCCTCGCTGATATCATCAAGATCACCATTTGCCCTGTCCTCGTAACGTTTGATCAAGCTCTTGATAACATCCATCTTCGAAGTCAGCAATCGTGACAGCTGTGTAGAACGGCGCCTGCAACGACTAATGCGACGCAACATGTCGGCTTGCTCCGATCGGCGTAACACAAGTGAAAGTTCATCGATCGACACAGCTTCCATTTCAACTTGAAGGATAGTGGGTCCAAACTCATCCACAATAGCATCAATGATGGCATAATTGAGCCAATCTGGCGTGATCACCATGTAGGTCTTGAGCTGCTCAGTCCGCTGTCGTACTTTTTGAGGGATATCGGAAGAACGGAAATGAAACTATAGCGCCAAAAGTCATCGTTAAAATGGGATGATCCTTTCCGAATAAGCACAACTTACTGTTAAAAGGCCTTGTCGAAAGATAAGAATATAGAAATTGAATGGGCAAATCTGCTCGGTATAAGGGTCGATCTGAAAGCTGCGGAAGCAGATAAACGTGTAATTCGGAAACATTTCAACCTTCTCGCGTGGTTCTTGAGCAAGGACATCTTCAGTTGTCAAGGGATGGATATGAAACGTCTAAGATGGATGAATGAGAAAGAGACAAAGAGGGAGATCAATGACTTTTTTTTTACCTTGCTTAATGCCTTCATGTCATCCGTCGTTGGTGATTGAACATCCACCCACCATCCTGGTGTTTTCAGGGCTCGATCCAATATCTGACGTCCTTCCTCGCTGAGCAATTGGTGAAACTCTTGGGTAGGCTCTCCGTCTTGCCGAACAGTGTAAATCCAGAATCGAGTATCATATACGTCCATCTCACTCTATACACATACTATAAGTATAAAGAGCATCACAACCCATGAGCTATTCTATATTACCTTCTGATCGCTTCGGGTATGCTTGCTCAATGTTTTTGATAGCTTCAGCGTCTCTGTATCAGCCGACATCTTTCGATCAAGCATCTCGTTGAAAGCCTCCATATCAGCGTGGTCGTGGGACTCAATCTTATACTGTGGAAACAACACATCGGCTTCCACATCTTGGGCTTCATTGACGGGCCATTCCTCAGCAAATTGGTCGTCATGGGGAACAGTAGGAATGCGATCGAGAGACGAATAAGGATGGTGTTGGGGCAGCTGTTGTTGTTGTTGCTGGTCGGAAAGTCTCCTGCGATTTCGAAGTTCTTGGGTAAAGGGAAGAGAGAATGAGCGGTTTACATGCCGTGATTGGCGTATAAAGGATTCGTCGTTGGGCAAAGACATGATGGGAGTTGCATATCCATATAAAAAGAGAGTAGAAAGAGAACCCGCTTTGCATTGGTGCTGCCAAAGCGGCTTATCCTAAAATTGCATGTGTATCACGTGCTCTCACTGTCTCATCCGAAGAACCCTTCTTCCATGCACGTCAACAATGAAGACATTGTCCAGATGCTACACTACCCTACTCCATATCAAATGACTATACAAGGACATAAAAGTTTCATTGCGTAAAAAGTTGAATTGCTATGCGCGTACCAGATCCATCACTGGTAGCCGCAAAAGAAGAGTTGATGATACAAATTGGGGTAAAACTTAGTGTGTGCTCTCATTCTCGATAATAAGGCGGGCAATCCAATGCTGAAAAATATACCCAAAATGTATGAAGATGCATAGCCACACGATGGTCTTCATGTAAATAGCCTAATCAGTCACGTATTACATATACCTTGATGAGTCGATGTTTCAACCTCATATTCACTGCCAGAAGAAGGGATGTAAAAGTTTTATGATCAGCTCTGCTTCATGGCAACAATGATAAGCAAAGGATTTGAAGAATCAATGGGGCGTGAATAACTTGTGGACGTGTAGATTGGATACTTTTAGAAGCGTTTAGCTATAAAGTGGGGTGTCGTAGTATCATGTACCTTGATGATCAGGGATCAAAAACTAATGTTGAGCTATAACACCATTCTTTGATAAAATGAAAAGGACCCTTTGGCACATCCATTGCGCTGGGTTTTGATGCTGCAGCAGCAAATGCTGTGCTGCTGAGATCTTGAAAATGCACCGACGCCTGGTTAGACAATTAATAAACATTTGCACTCCACGTTTTAAAGTAGCACATGTTAGCGATCTGCTTTCGGTATTTTGAACGGAATCCACTCTATGGGATCAAAACGGATCCATCGGCGAATAAGGGAATCAAGGGATCCATATTATGAAAGCAAAACGAGATGTCACATGATAGCCATTGGATAAACGTTATTGGTTGCTGCATGGAAAATGAAAAGAAACATCGGATTGCAAAAGCAAAAGTCAGCTGATGCTTTCAATGTAGTATAGGTTGAATGGTGATCGATCATAAAGAATGCGCCAAATGTGGTCTTAACGAGAGAAAAATGGCAGCTCCCAGATCATCCTAATGATATAGTAACATCAGCAGTAGTAGTAAGGTATCAAAGGTAGAGGAAAAGCTGGCGGGCAAATTGCGGAGGCAAACAAGTGGGCCCGTGCACTTCGGGGGAAGAAGCATGATATGTCATCAACACGTAGCCATCATTCAATCAGTAAGCGTGCTGTGTTGGTTCTGGAACTCAAACATATGGATGTATGAATACACGTGGATCATACTCCTCTCTGATAGGGCTTGTCTTTTTCATCCCTCTTTGATATTCATTCATTGATGGTGCTGTTCCAGACTTTCCGTTGTACGAGAGGAAACAGGGCAGGCTAGTGCTGCTGCTTAGTTCGTGAGAAGCTGAGGAAGGGAAAATCGCCCACCTGGACCAAGTTCGCCTTTTTTGGTAACAAGCTACCAAATGCAAGAGTATATGCATACTTGTAAATGATATGCTTTACACATGCTTTCCAACAACCCAATGAATGCAATCCCCCCCCTCTTTTGTTTGGGGATGTCGTTTTTTCCATTGCAATGGTTATTATAATCACAATACGCAAACAAACATGATTGATGGCGGTGGTGAATGGTTCCACTAGGCGCGCCACACAATAACCATATTTGTTATTGCAAATCGGAAATGTGTGGAGTCCCCGATATAAAGCGTTGTGCCTATCTAAGTTGACAAGAGAGAGCACATAACATCACGGCTTTTTGATTCATTGTGTTCCGATTACCCGTGCGTAGCTCTTGTTTCACAATTGTCGAAAACCTGGTAAGCACGATTGATCGAAACCTCGGAAACCAATGATATTCCAAAGATGGTAAGCATGACGGGAAAATAGTAGATACATACAACGCATCACTCTTCTGTCGTTGGTTTCAAAGCCGAGTCCGAAATATATAAAAGAAGCACGTCTTTGTGAGAAAACAAAAGGATCAAACTACCTTTTCTTTTTACACCCATGCCATGAGTTCGGATACAAGGAACAACAACAACAATAATAATACCACCACGATTACATTTGCAGAGCAATCTGTTGATCGATCTCATCATGAAAAGATTAAGCAACGTGAATTGACCCGGTCATCTACCGGTCAAAGCAGTAACATCTCCTTTGATGCACGCTCCGTAAGAAGTGTCATTATGAAGAAGATGAATCTCGTCAAAAGGCGGCGTCGACGTGCTGCTGAAGAAGAACGAGTCGAAGGCCCACCCTACCATACCATGGATCTTGAAACGGTAGCCAAGCTTCTTAAGACCGATCTTGAAGATGGTCTTTCCGATCAAGATGTAGAAGGACGACGTGAAGAATCAGGGTTCAATGAAATGGAAGGCGAAGGAGGTGTTAACCCTGTCAAATTATTGATCAAGCAATTCTTCAACATTATGGTGCTGATTTTGCTGATTGCAATGGTAAGTGACATGTGCTTTTATTTTGTTCATTATCTAAATAACTCGTAGGTTGTATCCTTTGTCTTTAAAGATTGGGTGGAAGGTGGTGTCATTTGCGCCATCATGTTCATCAATGCTGGTGTCGGCTTTGCTCAAGAATTCAAAGCTGAAAAAACAATGGACTCCTTGCGGCAAATGGCTTCTCCCACTAGTCAAGTAGTGCGCAACGGCCAAGCTAAGACTATTCCCACACGTGAATTGATTCCTGGTGACTTGATTCTCCTTAAGGCTGGCGACGTTGTTGGTGCTGATTGTCGTATCATTGAGTAAGTAGTCATGACCTTGATGTTGTAAAGAGCCATGTTGTCTAATGTTGTATGTGTGTGTGTGTCTTCATAGATCATTCAATATGGATGTTGATGAAGCTTTACTCACCGGTGAATCTGTACCAGTAAACAAAGTGTAAGTGTGAAATCAAATATTGGGTTGACGTAAGCATTGACATTTGCATGATAGATCTGATACCTTGGAAGGCGCTGACATCCCATTGGGCGATCGTGTCAACATGAGTTATTCAAGCACTGTATTGACCAAGGGTCGTGGCAAGGCACTTGTCACTGCTACTGGCATGCAAACGGAAATTGGCAAGATTGCATTGCGCCTCCTTACAAGCGATGATAACCGTAAAACACCTCTTCAACGCTCACTTGATCGTATGGCTTTGGTCCTTTTGGGTGTTGCTATCCTTGCTGTCATTATTGTATTCGCTGTTGCCAAATTCCAGATTGGAGAATCCGAAATTTTGTATGCTATTTCCACTGCTATCTCTGCCATTCCTGAAGCATTGGTTGCTGTTGTTACACTTACACAGGCTTTTGGTGTTCATGGTATGGCCAAAGCCAATGCATTGGTTCGCAAAATCTCCGCTCTTGAATTACTTGGTGCTGTCACTAATGTATGCTCGGATAAGACTGGTACATTGACACAATCCAAGATGGTGCTTACAAGACTTTGGTGCCCTGGTGAAGGATTCTACAATGTTGGTGGATTGGGATTTTCAATTGAAGGCGACATTACACGCGAAGATGACAACCAAGTGGTGACCAAGGATGACTTTTCCAATGTCATGCAGCATTTGGTTCTCACCGGTGCTTTGTGTAACATGAGTGAAATTCGCAAGGACAAAGAAACGGATGAATACCATGGAATGGGTGATCCAACAGAGGTAGGTTGATGATGATGACATGTTTTATGTATATGGATATTAATATGATTCTATCTATGCTCATTCTCTAGATTGCTCTTCAAGTCTTTGCACACAAGGCTAAAATGGGCAAGCCCGCACTGACCAAGTCATCGGATGCGAATGCCAACTGGAAATTGGTTGCTGAATATCCATTTGATTCCTCTATCAAGCGCATGAGTGTCCTTGCACAAGCACCTGATGGCAGCTACTATGCATTTACCAAGGGTGCCACTGAACGCGTGTTGAGCACATGTACCGGAATGTACGACGGCGAAGCCATGCAAGTTAAAGAACTCGAAGAACAAGTGCTTCCACAAGTGGAGGAATTGGCCAAGGGTGGATTACGTGTATTGACATTGGGCATGCGTCAACTTGAGACCAAGGAGACTGTTACTGCTGACACCTTTAAGCGTGAAGACATTGAGCAAGACATGCAATTTTTGGGACTTGTTGGTATCTACGATCCTCCACGTGCTGAATCACGCGGTGCTGTTGCCGAGTGCCACCAAGCTGGTATTACCGTACACATGCTGACAGGTGATCATGCAGCTACTGCTACTGCCATTGCGCGTGAAGTTGGTATTCTTCCTGAAGGTTATGGCATTGATGACACCAAAAAGTATCCCAAGGACCTCGTCATGACGGCAACCAAGTTTGATAAGTTATCGGATGAACAAATTGATGCCATGCCAGAGCTTCCTTTGGTCATTGCACGATGTAGCCCTGATACCAAGGTCAAGATGATTGAAGCCCTCCATCGACGCAACCGTATCACGGGTATGACGGGTGATGGTGTGAACGACTCTCCAAGTTTGAAGGAATCCGATATCGGCATTGCAATGGGTCAAAACGGATCCGATGTTGCCAAGCAAGCGGCTGAAATTGTGCTGGTGGATGACAACTTTGCAACCATTGTCAAGGCGATTGAAGAAGGTCGACGTGTCTTTGCCAACATTTCTCGTTTTGTGGTCCACATGGTGTCTGGCAATGTCGCTGAAGTTGTACCTTTGATCTTGGGTCTTGGTTTCTTTGATGAAAGCGGCAAGTCCGTGTTCTTGATGACACCCATCCAAATTCTTTTCAACAATATCTTGACATCCTCGCCACCTGCTATGAGTCTTGGTTTGGAGCCTGTGCACCCTGATCAAATGCTTGTTCCTCCAAGACCCACATCCGAAGGCCTCTTTTCATTATCCAACACCATCGACATCATCTTTTACGGCTTTATTATGGGTATCATTTGCTTGCTCAACTTTATCGTCGTCGTCTATGGCTACGGTGGTGGCGAGCTCGGTGTGGATTGCAATTACGAATACACTGATGTCTGTGAGAATGTCTTCAAGGCACGTGGTGCTGTGTTTACGGTGTTGACATTGATGGTTCTCCTTCATGGTTTTACTTGTCGCGATTTGCAAAACCCCATCTGGACTTGGAGTGCTTGGACCAAACGCAAACACAACTTTTATCTCATTTATTCATTCGCTGCCTGCTTTGTTCTTTGCATCATTTGTCTCTACGTTCCAGTTCTCAACACAAGAGTCTTCAGACACAGAGGCATCGATTGGGAATGGGGCATGGTCGTTGCTTCATGCTTACTTTATATGGCCCTCACTGAAATCTGGAAGTTCTTCAAGCGCATGATGCTTCGTCGCAAGGCTAAGCGTAGAGAACAACAAGCTCAAGAGGAACAACAACGCATTGCTATGCAACGTGAACAACAAGAACAACAAGAGTCTCCCAGACAACAAGAACCTCCCAACGAGAAACAAGAACAACAAGAACAACAATAAGCTTTCTCCTTGCTCCAAAAAACACATACACATGTACAAGTAGTCTTATATCCATTTTAATCCTCTTTCGCTTCCCTCCCTCCCTCCCTCCCCTCACCATCACCATTACTTGTTAGTAGTAGTACATATAGCTAGACTTGTCAAAAAGCAAAAACACGCATCGCTTTTCCGATTGCAATCTTTGTGTTACTCAATGTTGTTTCCATTTCCCACATAACTCACACACACACACACATGACACACTTGCAGACATAATATGGGAGGGGTGATAAAGACAGGGTATCCTATTACTATTTGATTGTATAGAAGGCTGGATAAAGGTACAAACAAGGTGCGAGTTATAAAAGAATAAAAGAGGAAGCCTGGATGACCAGCATCACAGGTTGTTCTCGGATTGATAATGATAACGATGATAGTACGCATGGCCTTCTTTGTGGAAAGAAGCAGTTGGGGGTGGTGTAGGTAGATCGATATCTTGATCATTGAGTAAATTACGAATGGCAGGTCCACCGCTGGTGGAGGATGCTGAAGAAGTTGTGCTTGTTGATGAAGAAGATGAAAGTGAGCAAGCTGATGAGATGGATGATGATGAAGTGAGTGGTGGCAAATGGAAAGCTGAACCACTACCATTAGGGCGTCTTGGAGTGGGTGCTATAGGGTCTCGTGCAAAATGCCAATTTTGGACATGGGAAGCATGCACACCGCCCATCGTACTCGGCGGTAGCGGGTGATGATAACCGCCGCCGCCGCATGACGCGCTGGAATCAAAAACAGGTAATGAATATGAGGATGCTGTTGGAGGTGGAGGTGGTGGTGTGCCTCCATTTTCTTGTCCTTGCTTTAACAATGCACGTAAAATGTCTTCAATCACACCTAGTCGCTCTTCAATAGCTTCCACTGTAGGCTTGTTGTTGTTATTCGATGATGATGGATTCATTCCATTGACGTTGTAGCTGTTATTGTTGCTGCTGTTGCTGCCTGATGATATTGTGGATGATGCTGATGCAGGTGCTTGGCGGGCCATAGCTCGAGCCTTGTGAGAAGTAATGTACTTGCATTCGACTTTGGCCTTAATACATCCAATGCATGGCGATTCACCGTTGCACTTTGTCTTTTTCCTTCGGCATTCACCACAAGCGCTCACCACTTTGAGGCGTTTACGTCGAGTCTTGTCAATAGGCATGGTGACATTCATCTTTTTTTCACGTTTTGAAAGGGAGGAAGAGATACAACAAATGACAACGAGGAGGAAAAAAAGTGAATGTAGGAAAAATGAAGAAGAGAGGATGGGGGTGAAAAAGACAAAAATTCTGGCGGGTTTATAAATAAGAAAAAGGAGTGGTCCATGTACCCGGAAAAGCAACTAAGGGGATCGGACGTAGAGAGCGTGACCGGTTGCTTCTTCCGGCCACCATCCGTTACATAGAGAGAGAGCATCATCATCACCATACATACACACACATACATACACACGGCCATTCGGCTGAATTGGCTCCTTTCTAACAACGACATACAAATCGATGCCGACTTTTCCCCTACGCCACTCTCCTTGATAAATGTGTCTTGTGTGGCCATCTTCTCCACTTTGAAAAGGAGCAAGGGTTGTTGCGCGCGAAAAATAATCAGGGCCATATCATCACAGGACAACACCGTGTCTTGTCTCTTTTAAGGAATCGTTGCCGATCCGATACTGTGTCACATCCTACCTCGTGCACTTTTACTTTGCTTGCCACACATCTCGGAAGTCGCGTCATATTATTCTCGGTGACCCGCGTCATCAAAACATGGCCTTTATTCTATAGGCATGGATTTCTACTACTATGACACTACAAAGGAAAAGACAATAAAGGGATATTGATGATTACAACAATGGGGAGATGTATAATGAAGCATGTACAAAGAGCCAAGGGAAGGGAAAAAAAGCTCACTTGGAATGCACCTAATTCCCGTTGTCCGAGGTTAGATGCATATTGAGGGGATGATGTACGTGTGCACTGTTCTCTCTCACTACTCATTTACAGTATGCTGTTTTGCCTTGGAAGGAAGAGGTCACCGGACAACAGGGGAGTAGATGCTCATTTTGATATGCAATCATACACGTGGAGCAATGCCATATATCATTGCTGAACTCGGAATTGCCCATTATCATTATGCCGGCCCGAGTAAAATTCTCGACTTGAATGCAAATCACCTGCTGGAATATCACACGCATTGCCATACTTTGGCCTGATGTTTTTCATCAATGCAATAAGTGGCACGAGCCTGTGTCTGTGTGTTTTTTTTTGTCATCTCGGAACAAGTCATCCATGGTGTTTCATGACACAGCTGCTGAAAAGGAGGAGGGTTGGTTTTGTGTGATACTCCGATACCCATTTGGCTATGCTACTCTCTCTCTCATCTCCCCTTTTCCTCCACCCCCCTTAAAGTCTGCAAGCCGAATAAATGATGGGAAGTAGTTTTAAACATTCATTTCGATTATGATAGAGGGTAATATGTATTTCCTAACAATATCGAATGTTGCTAAACTCAAAGATCACCCGTTGGCTCGGTCGTGTCAGGATTCTAATGCTACTCTTTGTGTTTTTTGTGTGCCTCGTTTGCGGTGTCTTCGTGCTTCCGTTTCTCGCTGTATGTGAAACATTCGATTATTCTTATTTTAGACACTGTTATTGCTTCTTCAAAGACAAAGCGTGTTGGGAATGAAAACGGGGGGTTGTACAAAAGTATTACCAGGATGATGATGATGATGATGATGTAGATGTTGTTGCTGCTGTTGCTGCAAAGGCGATCTCTGGATTGAGAGGGAATGATAGGCAATACATGTCTTTCTTGGGAGCAACGTTACGGACCAAGTGCAATTTGCTTGTTGTACGGTCAACGCTTGAGCCTATCACTTGACTCACTCTCTACAGAATAAGAAAATTCCCATGACGAGTTGATTTTTTATCTGGGTAACTCATTCACCACCATCACTTCTTACCTCGTAGATATCGTTGGCCGGTTCCGGGCTCTTTGTGAAACAGTGACAATGGATCATGGGAAGCTTAGCCGTAGGTGCCGCATCAAATCTGTGCTTGTGCTCCCGATACAATCCACGAAACGCATCTACCACGCAAACAAACATCTTTGGTTTAGAACACAAGGTCACACACTTTCCCCCGCGCTAAAATGCAACGCACGAGCGCCCGCAGCACGATTACAACCCATGGTTACCTAGGAATTCAATGGCCGTTGCTGGAAGGTTCATAACAAAGTGATCAAAGGTCTTCCATTCAGTATCACTATTTGCTGTCGCTTGTAAATCTTGCACCGCTCTCCGGATAAATTCACGACCATCCAAGTTGTAGGTATGAATGCCACTCTTGATCTAAAGCATATGCCAATGTCAATAAACAGCTCCCCTCCACCCATTGGTCGATTTTTGTAAACACCGTACCTTGTTCAATTTGACGTTTTCATTCAGCCATTCAAAAGAAACGGGATTGAGATCGTTGGCGTAGACAATGGCCCCCTTTTTAGCTGCTGGCAATGCGAACGGACCGACACCAGCAAAAACGTCACCTAAACAACATTTTCTCAGTCACCACGTGTTATGTAGCAATTGCCACAAACTCACAGACGTATTCTCCGCGTTTGAAGGTTTGTACCAATCGGTCGTGCTCCGTGTGCAACCGAGAATTCCAGTAGACTTTGGAGAAATCAAACTTGAATCGACATCCACTCTCTTTCTACATTGCTCTATATGAGCATATACGCGTATATACACTTGGTCCAATGTAATCCCCTACTTACCACTTGCGCAACCATATTATCCTCGCCTGCAAGTACTTCCATCTTGAAAAACCGGAAGGTGGTATCAATGTTGTTGGTCTTGTTGACAACGCTCGTGATATTTTTGTTTTTCTATGTAAAAAGAACTAAGCACACATTCCATCCAAGAAAGCCTACATGTGAACAAACTCACGTCCAAAATGACTTGGCCAATAAGCTGTTTCCAGGGATAGTATTCTTCCTTCAAATTCATATGTGCTATAATGATGTATATATAAGCAATGATGATCCCAATCTTTGATCCCAAATGACATTATTACCAATATGGCCCACTTGAGTATAGGATCCAGGGGTGGCGTCAGAGCCGGCGGGAAGTACAGCCTCGAAGATTTGTTCTTGATTGCATTGTCAATCACACATTGATCCATTTTCCTATTTTCGGTTCCTTGCTCACCTGCAGTCCAGTAATTGTAATCAACATCAACATCAAATGTAGAGAAACCAACACCATGTTCTTCAATGAGCTTTCTAGCTGCCTCTGGTAACTTGGATACATCTAGTACACGGGGGTCAATGATGGGTTGTTCTATACAAGGGAAAAAATGGTACACTACCTTCAGGTTGAAGCACCTCTTGCTTTAAAAGGAGAAGCTTGGTTTCCTTTCCTTGAGGATCGTCGACAACATTGCGTAGGCGTGGTTGGTTGAGCAATTGTCTATTCCACCTGCGTTACCATGGGGAAGATCGATCAGCATACGAGGCGGTAGGTTGCTTACCCCATGAGACCCTTCATTACAACATTGACTTGTCGAGCAGGTACACGGACGCCCAATGTCTGAATTGTCTTTTTGAAAGCTTCGCGATTGAGCACTGTCATGCCATGGTGGGCTGGAGGAACGAATGCTGTCATTGGAGGAGCTGAAAACAAGAAAATACAGTTGACTTGAGCCAGCTCAATATCAGAAAATCCCCATGCCAACCACGTGATTTCCGCAGGTACGAGAATAGAGCCGCATTCATATACCCTACTAATAGAGTGAATCGTTCCCTTTTCTTGTTATGAAAGGAGGAGCTTGATACATGTATTGGTGACATTCTTAGCATGCGGCGTGATCCTCATCCGGATTTCAAGATATACCCGATTGCTATCATAGGATGGGTGATATACACAAGCCATGCTGGTTCACATAGCAGAATGAAATCCCATATGGCAATGTAGTAGTTGTACATAGTATGCGAAAGTCATCAATAATCAGTAACAAAGAAACGTATTATCCTAACCGATGACGACGATTTCAGTGACATGTGGCTATGGTTATGGTATCCTAGGCTTAGGGAGTGCGAGATGAGAGGCTATGTAGCTCTTGTCAAAGGTAGTAGGAGTCTAATGAAGCTAAGGTGGGTCGTTTTCCCCTATCATAGGTAGCATGATATGATGCGTATCAAGGACATCATCTTCATTGTCTCGCTCTACTACAATGACCCATTTTTTGTTGATCTTGGCTGATTGTTCTTCCCCCGAAAATGGCCAATGAATCATCAATGAAATGTATTCAATAGACTACGCAGCTTGTTTGAATGTACATTCAAGACTATGGTAGCAAGGATCGTTTTACGCACTATGCTGTACGACAACCCCACCATTGTCGGGGATGTAAGCCACTCGGTCGGCTCTGCAAAAAGGGGAGCAACGTGTCGCCTGCTGATGCTCCACAGCTCTTTCTTTCATTTATCTTGCTTTAATGGGTAAGTTGCATTCACTGTTTGCTCTTTGTATACGTGCTATGATGAAAACACAATCAATTGTATCAACTTTATTCTACTGAAAGCGCCAATTGGGCCTTTTCTGAAGAGACAATCTTCTCTCTGAGCACGACATTGAGCGATAATAAGTATCGTTTATTTAACATGTATGCTAACTATACAGTTAAGTAGATGACGTGTATCCACGATGGTGGCCATAGTATGATATAATAGTAATTGTAATAGTAGTAGCAGTAGTAGTGGAATGGGTTTCAGATGTAAATAAAAATGCTGTGAGTTGTTCCAAGACTTTAAGCGCGCGGCTCTTCCTCCTCCTATTCATGGTAAATACCCATTGCCGATAATTGTGAGCTTGGTTCTCATTGCTTCTTAGTCAGTAACGCTGCATACAGATCTCGGTGATCTCAAAGTAGAGGTGTTTTGTGAAGCTGTTCCCACAACAGCCGAGGTAAGCTTGTCCTCACGCTCGTGTCATCTTGGATCGCTAATGGAGTCGCATTCAAGAACTTTCTCGCGCTCTGTGCTAGTGGCTATTATGACAACAATCTATTCCATCGCAACATTGGAGGCTTTATGGTGCAGGTAAAGTTGGATGACAGTGAGAATGGTGGTGACCATGGCAACCCTATACTTACACTACAACGACGCGCCTCGACACATTCTCTCTCTATAGACTGGTGATCCGACAGGCACAGGCAAAGGTGGTAACTCTATCTGGGGACGCAAATTCAATGATGAGATCCGGTCAACGCTCAAGGTAACAAGGTACTACAAAGATGGGGGGGATCAAAGTAGTTAACATGTTGTATCATAGCATAATGCACGAGGAATTCTATCCATGGCAAACTCTGGTCCTAACACCAATGGTTCTCAATTCTTCATCACTTACGCCAAGCATCCTCATCTCGATACCAAATACACTGTGTTCGGCAAGTAAGTATCATGGTGGACGAGAGGTATTTCTTTTTGTGGGGGAAAGTATCATTCATGAACGGCTTTGTTTGTAGGGTGATTGATGGCGCTGATTCTACCTTGGATGCTATTGAAAAGATTCCTGTGGATGAGAAGCATCGACCTATTCAAGAAGTACGCATTCGCAGTGTCACTATCCATGCCAACCCTATTGCCGACAAGGCACGCTGAGCTGATTTGACATTACATCCACCACCACCACCACTACCACCCCTCACATGACTCGATCCATGACTCATTTCAAAATCGTTCGTTGATCACGCTTTTTGTATATTCTCTCACTCACACTTGCACCATATATAAACAACAACTGTCATTTTTTGGGATTAGATACATTCATGGTAGCCAATAGCTATTAATGTTGGGGAGGAGGATGAGGATGAAGAGATACCGCTGCTAGCTTCTAAAGAAGTTCCACGAGAATGGAAAGGATGGCTTAAACGGCTCATGATGCGATGGATCTTTGTGGGTGGTAGCTCAATGGAAGAAGAGCAAGAGGAATGGGCGGTGGTGGTATGAAGGCTGGGGCTGGTTTTACTACTACTACTGCGAGCTCTATTATTATGATGCTCTTGGCGGACTTGACGTCTTTCTTGTCGTAGATCATTTTGCAGCTTGCGTTCCATACGAGCAAGATAGCTTTGCCGATCAATAAATTGTAACGCACGTTCAACACGGTTTTGACATGTCGAAGGATTCTTTTCCAAAGGAGGTCAATTTATAAATGTTATATGCAATCCGCTACTATTACTACTAGTTGGCATACCAGAGATGTATGGAGTGCAAGGTTACGTGCAGTTAAGGGCTGTCGGGTTAACACGTATAATCGTTGTTGTTGAGGAAAGGGTTCTGTGCTAGTGTTTGTTATGGATAGAGTAGAAGAAAGTGTTGGGTCTTGGTGGGGGCATTGGGTGATGGCATTCTTCGTATTCGACATAAAAAGGGGGGAAAGGAAAGCGAGAAGAAAAAGAAAATCAAGAAATAGGACTCGATCACTTGTTGTATAAAGCGCACGGGTAAAATGAGTAGCATACGTGGGCCACATGTGTAACATCTTGAACGGTGATCAACGACTTTTTACCGGTTTGTAGGATAAACTGATGCCGTGTTGCCAAGACCATATGTCGAAAGGTGAATACCATTTAAGTGGTGCTTGCGACATTTTGGCCAGAAATCAAAAGCGAACGGCCAAAAACGCTCATCCTAATCATTAATCGTAATATAATATCTCTTGGATGGTGATACAACGAGCTTCTTGTGGTGGGAGTCATTTGCTTATTAAAGGAGGCGTGGCTTTTGTGCACTATTATACGCAATGCTGTGTAGCCCCATTGGTTAAGTAGTAGCTCATGACAACGATCATCCATTATAAAAGCATACATGGTACCCTAGTGATCGAAATTTGCTGCATTTCATTGAACATGTTAGACAATGAATACGAGTGGGCGATCCATATTAAAGAGAAGAGTCCATGATGGTCCTTATCATTGGTTCTAGATCTTGCGCGTTCTCATGCTTTTGCAGCGGGTTGCTCCTGTACTTTTTTTTATGCAGGATAACTACTTGATGCGATTGCCCAATTCTTGGTAAGGTGATGGATGATATGTATGTGGCAGAAAAAAGAGTAGCTTGTACAAGTTACGTAATGATAGCCCGATACCCTAATAGAGAACAACAAGCACTGACCATCATCCCATCTCTGCATTGTAATAAGGTGTTACAATTTGCATGGCTAAACGGGATATAGATATCAGCTGTGTTGTTTTCTCATGCGGTTCGCCATTGATGGTTGACCCTGCAGTTTCAAGTACCCAGCATGTTACCTGGGGTAATCACTGCGCATGAAAATATTGCTGGGTTGCATGAGTATTACAGCCACGCGTACTCAGCCGTTTCAGAGTCGGCATCAACGCGCTTTTGCTGGCATATGGTTGCATTAAAAGAAGAGCTTGACATCACATTACGGTATTGGATGCTTTAATAATTAAGATAAGAATGAATGATGATGATGTACTTATTAAACCAGTGATGCCTGATGTCTCAGGTCCCTGTTCTCCCATCACCCACACCCAACAATCAAACCCCCATTCCTGGGCCCTTTCTCATTTGGTCATGTGTTGATACCATTGAAATTCTTTATTCTTTCGACCCCTCAATACAATGTGCTTTCCATTGTGAATGCGATCGCTATGGGATCATGAATGTATAGCTTTATGACAATTGCAAAGGAATAAATAGCAAAACTTTACAAAGGGTGGTGCTGCAGTTGAATGCCAGTGATGCTGCTCCTTGCAGTGACAATGTAAAAAAGGAAGGAGATAAAGTGAATGACCCCTGTGCGCGTCTCCCAACAGGGTTTTCCACTATATGGGATTGGGGAAAAGGAGGAGGAGATGAGTCTCAGAGAGAGAGAGTGAGAGAGAGGGGAAAGAGAGAAGAAAGGTTGGCTTATCTTCCTCTTTTCCCTTTCTTTTTTCCTGTTCTAGGATAATTCCCGTATATATCATTTCTTACTCTTACTCTCTCTCTCTCTTTTTCTTTCCCCTCCTCTCCTTTTATTCTATGACTATTGTCTTTTCGATTAAGCGGAATCGTTCGTCAAGTGCTTTACGATCATCCACTTCAGGTCACGATTTTGTTCCATCTTTTCAAGAACCAGCAGCTTCCTTTTTATCATCAAAACCCAAATCCATCTTTTCAAAACTTGTCTCATCATCGTCACCTTCCTCAACCATTTTGGGTGAACATAGACGACGTTCATCAATCACCTCAATTTTACAATCTTGTTTTCGTAACACTGATGACCATGACACTTTTGGTCGCCAAAGAAACAACAGCAATGGTGTCAACGCATTTGAAAATGATGCCCTTTTTGAACGCTATCGCTATCAAACACAACATCAACGGAAACGATCCGATCATCGTCCCCTGTTCGCTGACAACAATCGACGCACAAAGGATAATGAAGACGACGATGAGGATGATGAGGATGAGGATGATGACCCACCACCACGTGTTATTTGTTACCAGGAGGAGGAACAGCAACGTCGTAGTATCCTAGTCAATCGGAGTGGACATCGACATACAACAAGTCTTCAAATGCCTGGAGGTAGCAGTTGCTTGAACAACAATAGCAGCATACATCATCATCATCATCAATCTTCATCATCAGCCATACACCATCGCCGTAGCAAAACTGCCACTCACATTCGACATTATTCCCACATCTCCTACATTTCATCTTCCAACATCACAGCTCACTCGGGTGACCTGACAGCCAAAGAATTCGCCGACATTGCTGGTATAAGGATCCTACCAGATGATGAAATCAGTAGTAATAGTGATAGTAATAACGTTCAACCTTGTTGTTGTCACGAAGATGAAAGAGATTTCAATCGTCGCGATAGCTTAGCGCACATGTTGGAGGAGGAGCAGCAGGAGCAGGAGAAAAGTGATATACCATTACCAGCAACAACAGCCCATCATCCTACTAGCAACAGCTCCTTGTATGTGGATGAGCAACGTGGTTCTCGGTTTTCATCATCCGATGAATACAATCAAACCACAACAGCAGATACGACTACCACTTTACCACCACCACCGCCACCAGCTACTGGAACAACACATAAACCACACATTTGGGACAATGCATTCTGGCGTCAGCCTCATGTAGGGGGTATGGATAACTTTTTCACATGCACAAAAAATGATGCTGAAAGAGAAGCCATTGCCACTACTATCTCACCCGAATCCACAGACAAAGCCTTGGTTCCACCTGTCGTACAAGAAATGCGATCAAGGAACAGCACCGTCTTTAAAAAAGGTCGATTTGAAGTTCATGTCGAATCCCTCTGATACCCCACACCCTTCATCTTATAGTATTATGCCCAACCCATCATTCCTAATACAATATTGCAAAAGCACAATGCTCCATAAGGTATACCAAAAGTCTCTTCCTGGGTGTGTATACATATCCTGTAAAGGGTGTTATCCTTCATCCACAACATGAAAGCCAACAAAATAGGAACGTATGATAGTGATATGGATATTGTATTAGAAGTACATGTACAAATCATCGTCTACGGGGTGGTCTGTAGTAGTTGAATCTGGTACAATCCAAGCATCCGCTACATCTTCATAGGACATGGGGACTTGCTGGTCATCGTTGTCTGTTGTGGTATTGTTGACCTTTGCATGTCGTTGTATAAATAGGTTTCGCTTGATGGAATAATAAAACCCAATCATGAGATCCATTTTCATGTCATCCCCAGGATCATCATCCATCGTAGTAAAAGTAGGTCGCATGATGCGTGTCACTGAAGCGATCGCTTGGAGATTGGCTCGTGCAATAAGTGCAGCGGGGGATGGCGTATATAGATGTTGTGATCCACCTCTGTCATTGTTGGCACGCATAATAACACGTTGGATAGAACGAGCAATGGTGGGGATCATGCATGTGATTTCAGCGAGACGCTACCAAAAGGTGATGATGAGTACGTGCTTTGTAGTAATAGGAGCCATCGTGGATGATCATGGACACTTACTTTGGCATACTCGGATGAAAATACAAGTGGATAGAGCTTACAGAGATTCCGGCCAATGATTTGGTTGAAGACGGATGAAAGGTATTCGTTAAACGCATCGGGTGGTGATTCCAACATGTCTTGTAGCTCGTCTGGCTGTAAGAAAGAAAGCCAGTTAAGGACTTTTATGATGTGTTGAAGAGCGATGGTTGTTCACAAAGCATTTTAAAAAGGATATTGTCTGCCTCGAATTCCAACATCAGGTGAATGGTGGATAGAGTTGCATAAGGTGCTGGTCGCTTGAGGATGTAAGAAAGAGGCGTGCTCACTGAAGCTGAGGATCGGGTGATGTGAAAGAGAAAGCCTATGGTGGTAGCTTTTGTCAGGGGATTGCATTGGTAACGTATGAGTAATAATAATATCACTCGCCTTGAACATTCCCAAGCTTGTTTGATGTGTATATCCTCTCCAAGCGGAAGTCGCTTCGTTTCATGGCCTACATACAACAACATCAATAATGAATGTGAATAAACGTAACATGCACGTAAACCTACATTCTTGAGTGGTCTCTCTGCCCATGACATGGAGGCCACATAATCTAATCCGTTGATCCTGCAACCACAGTAAGAAAAGTTAAGGATGATTGTATGCACATCAAAGAAGAAGCAATAGTAGTAATCGCATGAATGAGATGAAAAAGGATATCTCCACAATGAGAGCACCATTGTCCAATACAACATCGAGCTTGTCAAGGGAAAAGACATCATCAGAGTAATTTGGATATTCGATTGTTGCGATGCATGTTGCACGAAGCGATGACAATGGGCACGTGTTGAAGGATGTGCTTTCTTTGATTCGTTGACGTTGTGCTGCAGGTATCTTGAAGGTCACGTGTAGCTCACGTTCTCTGCAGTGACGAAATCGATCCGTTTGTGATGAATTCTCGCAAGTAGGCATTTTGGATAAAGGAAAAGGAAAGAAGAAAGACAACGCCCGTTTATTGATTTCTTTGTCGCCATGTCGCTATTTTATCATGCGCCCCACACATACACTCGTTTGGTGTCACAGTTGACCTTTTCTCTGTTCCCAATCACCAGCATCGTCAATGGAGCACTTGAATGGAGCGATTTAGTAAGCAGCTGTGGGTGTAGATGGTACTCGATGGATCGTGTTGGCCATTAGTAACGCTTACCCATCCACTTGTAAGCATGTTGCACCGCCTGAAACCAGGTCACTCACCGCCTTTGTAATCACTGACAAAGGCACGGCAGCTATTGAACTCCGCTTCGGATGAGTATAAAAGGACTCGGTGTTCTCTCCTTGCCCTGGAATCAACTTTACAAAGTTTATTCTTTTCACCAAGCAAATCAACAACAACAACAACAATGGCTTCTCGTATTGCACGCAAGATTGTCAAGTCCGTTCTTTCTCGTGAACAAATGGATGGTGATGGTGCTCGTGGTATGTACTCTTCTCGTGTGGTGGTGTATATGATGTGTGTATACTCATCATGATGATGATGATTGTAGTCTTCCGTAGTATCGGTAGCATGCAGCTTCGCAACTTGGATCCATTCCTTATGCTTGATGAATTTGATGTCCATGCTCCTGGTGGTTTCCCTGATCATCCCCATCGCGGTTTTGAAACAGTGACTTACATGCTCGAAGGCGAATTTTTGCATGAAGACTTCAAGGGTCATAGTGGTCGTATCGGTCCTGGTGATCTTCAATGGATGTCAGCTGCCAAGGGCATTGTTCATGCTGAAATTCCTGCCAGCAACAGCCGTGCTCATGGTTTGCAATTGTGGGTAAACCTTTCATCCAAGGACAAGATGGCTGAACCCAACTACCAAGAATTCCCTGCTTCCAAGGTGACACAAGTTTCTCCTGAGGATGGTGTCAATATCAAGGTCATCGCTGGTGAATCTTATGGTGTCAAGAGCCCTGTCATGACTCGCACACCAACCATGTTTATTGATGTCAAGTTGGCCAAGGGCAAATCCATCGAACAAGTCATCCCCAAGGACTATGCTGGTTTCATTTACACCATCAATGGCTCTGGTCTCTTTGGTGCAGACAAGCATAAATCCGATGCTCATCATACGCTTGTCCTTGATGATAATGGTGGTACCTACATCCCTGTTGAGGCTCTCACGGATGACTGCCACTTTGTCATCATCGCTGGCAAACCTATCAAGGAACCCATTGTTCAATATGGCCCCTTTGTCATGAACACCCAACAAGAAATCTACAAGGCTTTCCATGACTACAGCCGTGGTATCAATGGATTCGAAGGCGCTCCCGCTTGGACTTCAAGCATTCGTGATCGATGGATGAAGTAAATATAGATTTAGTAGCAGTACCCAACAATAACAACCTATATCATCACATCCCATCACCCCACCACCCCTATCAAGTCATCCACCTCCTCCTTATATATGCTATTTGTAGATAGATATCAAACAACATCCGTACCATTGCATTTCTTTCGTTTATAAAATACCAATCTATTGTTTGAATGCATTTATCTAGTAGTAGTCATTGATGATGATGCTGTATATCTAGTAAGGGGTATCTAAGCGATTTGCCTTGTAAAGTATTCTGCCCATTGATTATCTGGTATCAGTGCTCCAAACAAGTCCTTCATCACCTTACCAAGCTACATGGAGTACGTTCATTAGTAACATAATAGCCATACATGTTTGAATACACGCTCTATCACATACCGAATCAAGATCACGAATGACATCTTCCATGAGCACCAGATAAGCATAGTAAATCATGTAATGTCCTTCCGAATGCAAAGATGTATCTTGTAGTTGGAGCATGAGTTGCTTGCGAGCTCTTTCGGCGGGTGGTAAATAAGGTGGCAAAGGCGTTTTGAGTTGTAATGCTGATGCAAGAACGTAAAAGTATAAGAGTGAGTTGCCGACCATTTCCTTGTATTCGGTGCTAGCTTCCAGAAGCACAAGGTGGATTTGGGTTTCTCTTTTGGCTACGACAATGCCAAGCGAAACAAACTTGTCCATAATGTTTTGGCATGTTGTGAGCAGGGTATCATAGGCTGCTGCAGGGAAGGTTCCTTTTAGTCTTGGCTCACTTGGTGCGTGTACTAAAAGATCCCGCAAGTGGATAAGTGATTGCTGGCACTCCGTTTGATGATGAAGCATTTCACGTTGGTCTTGTGTCATTGATAGATGCTTGTATACCCATGATAGCCGAATAAGCAAGTCCGATAATCCCTTTCTTAGTTCAACACGTGCTGAATAAGGCCAAATGTAGGCTGTCACCACCAATCCAAAGACAACGCCCAAAGACACCGTAATGCACCGCACGATTGCCAATTCCATCACGTCAAAATCCATCATCTCGTCATTACGATGGTTGTAGCAAAAGAGTACCACAAGATTGTATGCCAATAACGCCACTTGGCCAAAGCGTCCATGCTTGTGATACAAGATAATCCAAAAACTGGGTAGCGAATAGATCCATGACAATAAAGCCAGCACCACAGGCTGCGCTGGAAACAGTGTATAAGTAATAGCAGCCACCACACATCCAACTATCGTTGCAAGCACTCGTAAAACCGCCGTAAGATTAGTTCCACCCATGGTTGGAGATAATAAGGTCATCACCTAAAGCGAATAAACGTGAGCCTTTGATTGTTGGATACCATACCAAAACAACTTACTGTAAGCAATGTCCACTCCATGCGATACTTGTAAAAGTAAGGTTGTGTCTGAGGGATGAATGCAAAGGATGATAGGACAATGGCTGTTATCATATTCTTGGCTGCAAAACGCACCGTATGTTGTCGAAACCAAGAAAAGAAGCCCCATAACCTCACACTGAATTTGTGTCGTTGTGTGCTTGGCGTAGGTGTATGCAAGGTATTGAGCGTATTATGGTTGTTGGGTACAGCAAAGGGTTCATCCGTATCGGTGGCCATGGGTCGTGTCGATTGCTTGTTCATGGCGGTTGTACTGCTACTCGTGGGCTCAATGATGTTTTCAACGCATTGCACAAGAATAGAAAGCTCTTTGGCATACTCGAGTAGACAAAATACAAAAAAGTAGACCAAATAGATATTGTCGACTGGAACTTCCTTCAAAAGTTGTACATGCAATTCAGCGCTGTTGCTTCGACGATACATATGGGACAATGCATGATGCAAAGATTCTTCAAAAAGCGCCATGGCCACTGTCAAATTTTGTCGTAAGAGGCGAAAAGAGATAGGGCGGCGTTGCATAGTGTCAAATTGCGATTGGAGTTGAACAATGGTTTGCTTGCATGTATACGCTAATGATTTCATGGGTGCACGCACGGTCTTTATGAATTCCAATAATTCTCCTCCTCCACCTCCACCATTCTCCTCATCGTTATCGGCTATGGTGGTATCGTTGTTGTTGTTGTTGCTCTGCCAACTTTGCTCTCGGCGTAATTCATGCTCAAATTTGCGTCGTTGATCACTCGTAGTAACATTCCATGATGTCGTTGTCGTACTATCATTGGGATTTCGCATCCTCATTGCTTCAAATTGAAGACCACAGCTGCTACGAAGACCACCCACGTGTCTTTCAAGACGTTGAAGGCTGGCAACAATCTCATCATATCCATCCACAAGTTGAAATTCCAATTTGGCATCCGACAATGACTTTTTCATGGCTGCAAATCCGGCACGTTGCGCTTTGATCGCTTCTTGTAGCTTTTTGTTTGCCGTAAAACTTGGTAGATCAGCATCCAAAAGAAAGGTCTTTGTAAGCAACTTGAGCAAGACGCGATTTGACATGAGGCTGTTGTGGATATCAGCTCTACATAGATGATGAATGAATAAGCGTCCTTAGATGTACATCGTAATCATAATGCATACTTTAGCTTTTTGGTAGCCGTCTCAGGCCACAAAACTAAGCAAACAGCTATTGATATGATGGTGCCGATAGCCACAAGTACAAATAGATGTTGAATGAGCGTGAAGCTATAATCATTGCGATCCGGAGAAGCCTCTCTGACAAGTGTGGATAGGATAATGATGAAGGCAAGAGCCGATGCTACATGATGATGATGATGATGATGATGCATGTTGTATATGAGTAATGTTATCATGATGACAATGAGAAATGATATAGTTAATACCTGTTCCCGTGCTGGGTTTGTTCATGAGACCCTTAAAGTAAGCAATGACGAAGGAGCTGACACCGATCCAGACACCCAAGGTCAACCCATAACTTAAAAGGTATCGGCCATCGTTCAACAAAAGATCATTCACCCAAAGGCTGATCATGCAAAGGATCAAGGCACACACTGTAAATAGCCATCCATAGCCTGCTGCTTCCACCATGCCGCCGATTGTCTTTGCAGGATTGAAGAATACGGTCACTGTAGCTGCTAAATGGCTTGCTGCCATCGAACCCCCCACAAGCTGATTCAATATCGGAACAAACGTAAAAAGCGAACCGAGCATATACGCTACGCTGCATTTGATCACTCGTTTTTGGGCATAACTCAATCGCCATGATATCTTCTTCCTCTTGTTGCGATGGATAGTGTTGTTGTCATGGTGGCGGTCATCATTGTCATCATCGTCGTCGTCATCATCTGAGCTAAGGTCAAGCCGCTTTCTTTGTCCTCCAAGCAAGGGTGTTGATTCATGATGATCATAATGTCTATTGATGAACAATGATTCCATCATCAATGGTGACATTGGAAAATAGGGGTTGCTTTTGTTATTCTATTACCTTTCGAGAGTAGTAGCTGATGATGGTGAAAGCAAGGATCGATCACTGTAACGCTGATAGTAATCCATAATTGACGAGTAGGATCCAGTTACCATTGTAGTCAAGGATACGGTGCGTCTTTGTAATGTACCATCTTCGAGAACCACTTGGTAATCACTCTCTCCTCCTGTGGATGAAGTCGATGCTACATTAAGACCAAAGTAGTCGTCGGCTACACCTTCAGGTGATCTTGGCGTTCGGGCTGGATGCTTGCTGCGTTTGATATTGATAGGCAACGAGTGCTGTTGTTGTTGTTGTCGAGACGATTTATGCAGCTGGTGATGGTCAACATTAGGTCGTCGATGGGTACCAGAAGAGGAGGAATGAGCTTCGACAATAGTGTGACAAGTAAGAGTCGACATTGAGAAAGCATTGAAGACGAAATGGAGTGGAAGAGAAGCGTGTGTAGATTTTCTTCATGCTGGAAGCCGATAATGGCTGATTCAGGCACACACCACACCCATTCACACACAGCATGAGCATGACTTAATCAGCCCAATCGATCGCACAATCAATTTTGGTTGGCTCACCTCCCCCCAATCAAAGCTGGCTGATAAACTCTATATTATTACACTCTCTCGCATATACCCAATGCACCTGCCACATCCCATCCCATGCACAGGCCAACATCAATGGGAGTTCTGCCTGAAAAGGGAATTACTTCAAATCCTTCTTTTGATAATCAAAAAATAGATTGCGATTGTGTCGTATGCACAATGTGCCCATATTCTCTCCCCGCACACACAAACCCATCATCCATATGAGGGATAATAAACGTTGACCTTTTACAAAGGAGTCTACGATGTTGGTAGTGATGCTGAGTACATATGGAATGCATGCAAGGGGCAATGATGATGGTGGTAGTGGTGGATGTATACATACATGCCATTGTTCAAACCTTCTATTACCTTCGATGGCATCTAATAATATGTATTCAACTTTCAAGAAGTGGGAATCCGACCAAGAAGAGAATGCTAATCCGAGTGAAGGGTTTACTTTATTCAGGGGCGGAAGAATACGAAGTTGGATGATCGATCAGTTCCTTTTTTCTATGAAACAAATGACCTCCAAAGTGATCAGCAATCGGAAAGAGTAGCGGAATGTAGAGGGCGCTTCATGCCTTTTGAGGAGGAAGGGCATGATGATCCCTACATTTGGCGCTATCCATTTATTTACCTTTTCCAATGAACGACCCTGCTGTGTAGCGTTTCAGTGCATGAATCGAAAGTTTTCTATTGACGTAAACGCGTTTTACCAAATCCGTCATCCTTTCCATCATAAATAGTGCTCTTTCTCCAGCTACCGCTGAGGTGATATTTTCTCAGTAAAAGTAACATGAGGAGGATGCACGATAATAACAGCTTTACATGTCATTTCGCTGTTCATGACAGAATTGGGATCACGGCCGATTGTAACACGGGGATGTAGAATAGGCTTTGTACATGAAACTGTCAAGCAGTGGGGCATTTAGGTGCTACCCCTCACGGAGAAGACGATCGCCAATTTGGGTAACTTGTGATCTAAAACAAGCAAAGATCCGAGTTAGGGATTCTGGACCCTCGGCTTTGACTTTTGATTTTGTTCCCAGATGCAGTACTTCAAGTCGCATAAAAGAAACGCGCCATGATGATACACTTTCACTCCTCGTCCTCCACACACTACTACAACTACTCTACTCATATTTCATTTCATCCATTTGTTGCCTTTCAATGCCCATCATGCACTACACACAACGACATTTCATCAGCGAGTTACCATTGGAATTACAGCTACAAGTAGCATCTTATCTTGACTTTGCTGATCTGTGGTACCTGAGCACCTGCTCACGCACATGCCGGTCACTCGCACACCAAGTTATCTTGCACAAGTACCACATCAACATCAAAGGGATGCATACATTCGATCGTTCTATTCATGCTGCTATGGCCCACGTGGAACGCCACGACACAGCCACGCGAGACGTGGCTCATCAACTTGCTGTCAAGATCCATGATTGGGTTCCCCTTATCCAATGCAGGTCATCCTTGGATATCTTAATATACAAAACTCTCGGCATCATACTCGACCATGTGCTCTATGACAATACAAACATCGACGATACCAGCAACGCCGTGGGACAACTCGTGGTCAATTGTCTCTCCGCCTTGCATTCGAATTTAATGACGCTCTTTGACAACACAACAGCAGACGTTTTCCATCGCTTACTACTTGCACACATTATCCGCCATCTTGACAACTTTATCAAATCACCCATCAGCACATGTACTCAACGACGACGCTCATTTCGTGTTTTTATTCGCTTTATCGGCATGTTGGCACAGACCAAACTCTTGACTATTGCTGATTTACATTCATTGGCTCAACAACGTATCGCTTATCTCCAAAAGCCTCCAACCTTGATTTTATGTGACAACAAGACCAACGTATCAGCTCGTGAACAATGGATTGAAGAAGCCGAACTTAGAACCATTGTACTATTTGATCTTTTACGAGCCGTCATCTCACGGCAACAGTTGCATTGGGATTCTGGTAAAGATATGCGCAATTTCGCTACCCTCGTCAATCAAACGGTGTCCACCTTGGTCTCCTTCAAGACATCCGTGAACGCCCTTGCTGCTACCACCACAAGCAGTAACAACACAACCGCGTATTGAACATACTATTACTACTACTGCTGATCTATATCCATCTACACGCTCTTTTGTATACCAGCCCTCTCAAAATACTACTACCTTTACTATTACTCCTACTACTATGCATTCATGATGGTCTATATAGTGTTTCATCTTCTTTTCCTTTCCCAAAACATTCGTTTAATTATACGTCATGCATTCAAAAAGGACACTTTTTATCTACGACTATGTACACGATCATTATGTGGTATTACTGTGGTATCTTCATCTTCGTTATCGCTATGGAAAAAAAAGTCAGCAACAACACCATTAAAACGCATCTACACATCTACACAATCACCTTTTCATGGGTGCTGTTCGCGGGGATGATGCTATTGAAGAAGAGGGTGGCGATAAAGCAGAAGAAAAATGTTCATTATCCATGTCTTCGTCGTCATCTTGTTGTTGTTGTGATGGCGTGGTAGTGGTGGTATCATGGCAACGGTGCTGCTGCTGTTGCTGTTCCCGTACCTTGTTGCCAAGGGATTCATCAAGGATTTCCAAAAGTCGCTGACACAAGGTACTTTGCAAAACATCCAAGGTATTGACTTCGGTATCATTTTGAAGGGAAGCGTTGATACTATGTTGAGTACGCGTGCAAGCGTCAGTGGTTTCAAGGACCTTTTGGTGTGTGTCGTCTAGCCGAGTGCTGATCGCGTTGCAACGGTCAATGAGCGCAAGAGCATCTTGTTTCACGCTGGCCATTGCACTTTCCAATTGCTTTTGGTGGCGATTTTGGAAGCGTAGCAAGTCGATTAGTTCACTAGAAAAGTCATATGCTTCGTCTTGGTCTGTAGTTGTAGTTGACATGCCGAAAGGGAAATAAACGAGCGAGATTCGCACACACACACACGCACTGCTGGATTATGCTGAGTTTTCTTGCATAATGAAATTACTCTACATGATAGCTGCAAGGGAATAATGGAGCTCCCGGATGATACGTTGTCATGTTGTACATACTAAATCAATAATGCCATCATCCGTTAAGTTATAGGCATTGGCTATAAAAAACAGCCTCCTTTCTTTACCATTGCATATATGAATATCGCTGCCGGCTAAACAAGATACCGCCAAGTCTTATTGCCAAGAGGAATGTATGATGACTATGTGCCTCCATTATAACCATCCCACCATATCCACATACCAAAGGTGTGCATGATAATGTTTGTCTTTGTCGCAAAGAATACTTAACTACTAAGGACTACGACACGTGTATAAGGGGTACTCAAGAAAATTGGCTCATTGTCTTACTCGACGTCTTTTGTACATAGTCCCATTGTGTGCTTGTCGGCATTTAGTAATAACAATACTTAACATCCCAAAGCATGCGAAGAGGTAAAAACATATCCCATATATATTCTCACGTAGATATACAACAATATTGGTATTCCATCATCATGGGGGGTAGGATGACTACAACAACAGGCTAATTCTTCTTTTTGAGGATGGCAGTAAGGATGGCAGCTCCAAGTGTGACGACGCCACCTACAATGGCCAGACCAATTGTGCCCTCTGAATAACGAAGGTGGGATTAGAGGATATGCAATGACCATGATGATATGTAAACACTTTACCTTTGGACACCTTTTCATCGATCCTCCTTTCCAAATCCAATGCTTGTTCATTCCTGGGCTCATGTCGTAACAACTCGGTATTGAATTTTTTGGCATCTGACAGGTTACCAATCTTGTAGTGGCCGATGGCAAGATAATAAAGACATTCTCGACGACGTTCAGGTGAATCCATGTAGATTTCTATGGAAAGATGAAGAAGAATAAATATCAGGTGAGCCCATCCATTTCCCATATCCCACTTACCTGTCAGCAACTGAATGCCTTCTTGCACTTGACGGTTATCAGCCGAGCGAATCAAACTCCAGGCATAGTTGAACTTGGTTTGGATGGTGACATACTCTCCTTCCTTAAGATATTGCTTGCGTAGAACCTAGTATGTGTGCGAATATGATGATGGTGGTCAAAATAAAACAAGAGGGAGGTACCCAAGACAACATTGTTAGTAACGTTGTTAAATGAGAGAGAGAGTGTGTGTGTGTGTGTTCACCATTCACGAAGGAATGACATACGTCCAATTCTGCAGGGGTGAGAGGAAGTTCAGCTTCTTGAGCCATTGGCATGGCGGTGCGAGTCATTGTAAAAGAGAAGGGAAGTAAAGAAAGAAAGGAAGAAAGGAAGAGGTGTTGAGTGTGTGTGTGTATATGGCTGCAGCAGCCCGGGACTTTGTCGTCAGCTGAGTGCGAGGATTATGCGTCATGCCGCTTCGGCAAGCACCCACAGCTCTTTTCCCACTTCTCTTTCCCCCCCCCCCTTTCGGTTCCTGGTGTCATGCTCTACTTTTGTCATGTGTGCGAAGAACAAACCGAAGTCCTTGTCGACCATCAGCCCATTTGTCTAATTTGTCAATCCGAATTCGTTGAAGAGGTAAACCCTGGCCCATGAGAGCAATGGAGGGAGAGTTTTGACACGAAACAAATAAATAGATCGACTCTGTACAAAACGACTCCTCTTTTGGCGTTTTGTATCAACAACAGCCACAAGTCGATCATGAAGTTGGTGGATCATGGCCCGAGAGTAGTTCGACAATCGAATCTGAATATGATGCCTATGACTATCCTGGGCTTTGCAGTGGTGCCAATTCTGATCCTGATCCTAATTCATACCCGTATGCAGACGATGATGATCAAGATACTCAATACAGCGCTGATGACGATGATGATGGAGCTTATTTCAATAACTACGATGGTGAATCAGATGATGGCAGCAATAGCGATGTTTATGATCCATACGACGATCACGACGACTATGACGGCTATGCATCGTTTCACGAGGAAGATCATCAAGGCTATGGTAGTACCGATGAGGAGGATGATATCATTACTTCGCAATTGGAAACGGATGAACCGACATCAGAGCGCTCATGGTATACCTATTACGAAGGCGATAGCCCGATGCTGTTTGGGGGAGAAGAGATTGGATATGATCCATCACTCCAACAGTCAAGCGATCATTATTTCGGCGAGGTGTATGACCCCTATATCGAAAGTGAATTCCCGGATGCTGATTCATATGCTACACCTGAGGAGGATGCTGGATCTGATGACAACGAGAATCATTCAGCCGATTTTGTTTCGTAAGTACACGTACACAGGGTATACAAAAAAGTGATCTCACAATGATGATTTTACTATGTATATAGTGAGAGCACCAACGAAGATGATACCGATGATGACAATGATGATCCTTCATACTTTGGTGAACCTAACGATGATGATGCAGATGCCACAAATGATCTTGCCCAACTGCTTGAGAATGCCCATATCAGCTACGAAGGCGAGGAACCTGAACCTGAACACTACTACGACCCAGAGGAAGAGGATTGGCCGGAAGACATCTACGACACACCACGTTATGATCCAGAGGTAGAAGATTGGGCAGAAGGCATTTACGATCCAGAGGTAGAGGATTGGGCCGAAGAGGTTCATGGCACAGCACATTACGTCGAGGATTGGGAAGAAAACTATTACGATACGCCACCAGTTTACGATCCAGAGGTAGACTATTGGGGAGCACAGGTTTACGATGCATCACATGACGATCCAGAGGTTGAACCTTGGGCAGAAAACGAAACACAAGATGGATGGGGAGGATTTCAAGAAGCATATGATATTCCAAACATACTACGGTAAGATGATAAAAAGGATTGATCTTTATATGTATTGAGTTGTTTATCTTAGGATGATTAACGAAGAGCATCAGAATGACCCATCATGGTAAGTGCATAGCATGCTATCATATTTTCTTATACTAACTACGTCGTGTATAATCATTTTAAGGGAATCACCGGCAGAAAATGGTGCATCACCAGCAGATATCGAACTCTTGCCTCAACGACGATTGGATAATGGAGATGACAAAGAAGGTCAGCATTTACTTTATGATGTTTCATCCTTGTTTTTCTATTCTCTAACCATTTGCGTATGCTAGTAATTGAATCAGAATGCAGCATATGCCAGGATGTCTTTGGGACAGAGCTTTATTTAATGCGACTTCCTTGTCAGCACGAGTATCATGCGTTTTGTATCGAGCAGTGGTTGTTACGAAATGCAACGTGTCCTATTTGGTAAGCACGCCGCTATGTAATGAAAATGTGGATTATTGATCAAACAACATCATCAATGCAGCCGATCCCAAGCAATCACCTGGACCTCTACAGCATGTTAAATGTCATCAATCCCTGTTTGCATCATTCCTTTTCATTACTCCTATTACGAATGTATATTGCGTGAGACCACCCTGTGTAGATAAATATACCAAAAAAAAGCATGTTTCCTAATACTGTAATCCTGCTATGTAGTAATTAAACGTCATTGCTATATACCATAGGTTGCTTTCTAGTCTGTGTATGAATGATTTGCCATATGTACAAGGGCTGCTTTATTATTGTTGGTATTCTGTTGAAGGGATGGTGGATGTTTCATATAAACGAGTTGTCTCTATTGCGGCTTCCTTTAGAGCTTGCTCCTCCTCATGTGATAAATTGAGCTGCACGTGCTCTTGGGCACCTTGATTCGTAAGGTATACTGGCATAGACAAGCATGCATTCAGTGAATCGACGTAGACCGATAATACAAAAACAGGTGGTGGTGAATGATGATCATCATTGTTCTTGGCCAGGCAAGCTTCGACGACACGTGACAACATGGCTGCTTGACCAAACCATGCACCTCCCTTGAGACGAGCAATCTCGTTACCCCTGTCGGAATTTACAATGCGTTCAAGCGTGGCTCGATGATCGGCTAATTCAGGAATGGTGTTGACAGATCGATTGTTGATATGGGCACTGTGCCATGTGACCACTGGATGCTGTCCACTACCCACCACATATACGCTTGCTTTATCTTCACGATGACGCGCTCCTGATGTTTCAGCAATCCATGCTCGGGCTCGTGCTGTACTACGCGTATTGCCGCCAACGCCGAATACACAATGCCTTGGTAACCCTGTTTTTTCTTGCAGTTGCCAAGTCAACACATCCACTGGATCACTCCCCACAACGATCATCGCACGTGGTTGGATAGGAAGCAAGGCTGAAAGGATGCTGCTCATGAGTTGCTGGTTTCGTTTCGTCCACTAAGAAACAACCATGGTTGGTGATCACCCTACATGCTCTTTGACGGCATTCCCCCTCCCTTTTACAATACCTTCAATTCCGATTCCTGTGGATTCATGGGTGCATCAGCTGTAATGACAATGACATCGGATTGACTTGCTTCGTTAAAGGTGCCTGCGCGGACAATGGTGTTGGTACCAAGTGCGGCGTCTTCAAGGTCAAGGACTTGGCCCTGGAGGATGCTTGTACTAATATCGACGAGGAGAATTTCTGTCACTGAAGCCCGCATTAACAGGGCATATGCCAAAGCTGTCCCAATCGACCCTGCCCCAATAATGGCTACTTTGCTATGACCCATGCCATATAAAACAATGATGCTTGTAAGAAAAGGAAAGGAAAAAAAGTCGTGCTCAAATAAAGATAATGACACTTTGGTCTATTTTAAAATGTCGTGAATGATGTATTACACTCTTCTCGAATGGTTTGACAAGGGAATGCAAAACTAGCGCGTGGGTGGATGCGTAAAGTTAGTATGGGTTCCACTCGGTAATGATAATGATGATGCTACTCACATCCTTGATAAAGGAAACATGGGCTCGTCTACATTGCTTCTTTCTTTTATACTTCCACCACCACCACCACCATCATGCTTGTCAGCATTGTATTAGTAGCACTATTGGGAATCACCTCTTCCTCGCTGGCTGCCAATGATGGCACTCTCAAGTAAGCCAAGAGCATAAAAATGTGTATACCTATACATGAAGGTGACCTTTTATCACCATCATAGCTTGAAATTGTACAAGAAAACGAGGAATTTAAGCACTCCCGAGCGACACTTTCGAGCCTTGTTCAAGTACAACTTGCATGGCAAAGTGCCTCCCTTTAGAATAAGTGATGTCCGTCACGCTGTGGAGTTGGATTCAGTCAACGTTGATGTCGAGGTAAGATTTTCAAGGCTGTATGTGAAACGAGGACTTGCATTTAACACTTGGCCATCTTAAAGTATGTGGGAGCTGTGGAAATAGGCACACCACCCCAAACATTTGAGATGGATTTCGATACTGGGAGCTCTGATATTTGGGTTCCTTCAAGCAATTGCAGCGTGTGCTCCAAGAATGGGACGTTCTTATCATCCAAATCCAAAACCTTTTTCCCTGAAGCTGCAACAACAATGGACAACACAACCATGATCAGTGCCAATGATACAAACGATGGCCACAATTCCTCATGGACGCTACAATACGGTGATGGATCTACCGTAGAGGGTAATAAGGGCTATGACACAATCACCGTTGGCAACGCCACAGCGAAACACCAGCTATTTGGATTGGCCAACAAAGTCTCTCAGCAATTCATAGAAGACGAAAGATTGGATGGTATCTTTGGATTAGGATTTGCCGGCTTATCATTGATGGGTGCCAATCAATCGTTTGTTGAGAATCTCAAGACACAAGGCATGATTCGCGATGCCGTAGCATCCTTTTGGCTAAGCAATTCTTCAAACGGCGGTGAATTGGTAAAAGAGAAAACAAAGGCACAAGCACAAACGTATTGAAACATGCACATGTAGCTACTCGGTGATATCGATTCCAAGCGATACGAAGGTGATCTTACCTATTTGGATGTAAGCAAGCCGCCTCGTTATTGGGAAGTACCCTTTACCGGTGTCAAGGTGGGCAACAGAAGCTATATTAGTGGCATGGATCCAGGCAACGGCACCGCTATTGTGGATACAGGCACCACATTGATTATCTTGCCATTGACATTATCCCATGCTGTACATGAACAAATACCTGGTGCAGTCTACAACAGAACTTATGGATGGCAAATGCCCTGCAAGCCCAACACGACCGAATCAGTTGGCTTTACGCTAGGTGATCATGACTTTCCTATTCCCCTTCAGAACCTTGTTCGAGAAAAGGTGAATCCCGATAATAGCTCGTTGTGCTATTCTGGCATTGCTGAAGCACCTATGCCAATGGTCATCCTTGGTGATACATTCATGCGCACCTATTATACGGTGTTTGACTATGACGCCAAACGCGTTGGATTTGCAAAGGCCGTATGAGATGCCACCTATGATGTTGCTTTATACACTATAATAAAGATTTTACATTAATGATGATGCCAAACATGCTATGTAGTTAGCCAATAATGCCACATGACGTGATCATTTTCTCTTATGATGAAATTGGGCTACCACCCATTGTAGAATAATAATTATCCTATCATGGTGAATAATGCTGGTACCCTTACACGATGAGCATAAAAGTTCAGCATGAACCCATTGTTAAGCGGCATAGTCATGCTCTTGATCAGCTGGAAGTTGTCATCAATTCTCATTTCCCATATTGTCTATATAAGGGGAATGTGGGGTAAAATCCATTTAGACTTGGTGGACCGATGCACAAAGAATTATCTGAGATCAGCAGACGTTGCATAATTGGTTAATACTTTGACATGGCAAAGGATGATTCTAGACACATTGTGGCACACTACATAATACACCTTGCATCTTTTCCCACACCCCACCTACGTACTCAGCAAGCCTGGATCATCGTTATCTGGCACGGGGTCTCAAGCCAATGGCATTTGTCGGAGAAGCTTTTCAGCCGATCCACTGACTCTTAAACGTGGAAATGACAATCGTGATTATTGGAGATCAACGTTTTCGACTACCGCTTTTCAAATGATTCATGGCCCGTGCATGTTGTTTGGGTAACGGATTATCATGATGACTATTTACTCAAGCTTGCAAGCGACCTATCAGCATAACGACGTTGCGTTCCCGCGGAATAATCTTGTATATACTTGTTATGGTGAATGTTTGGGAGAATTATGCACTTGCATGTAAGACAACAGCAAATGTGGGGTAGAGTTGGTGCACTCCAGGATTGCAACACACAAGGATTGATGCCTTTTTCTCTTATGGAAGGTATACCAGATCTCATCTTGAGATCTCATACTCAGCAGCTGCTGCTGCACCATATGCTGTGTACACTTTCACACACCACGCGCGGATACATCTTTAGCCAACTATTGCAGCAACAACAGCACACTAGATACATGGGAAGCAGAGTGATTGGCAATGTAAAAAGATGGCCTTTGCATATGGTAGATCTTTCAAAAGGGGGTTGTGGCTGTGCTTTGCATGCACACTGACAGTGGAGGAAATCACCCATGAGGTGATTTCTTTCTCATTCGTTCAGCTGACCTATACCAAGTAGGGGATAACAATGGACCCGATCTCAAAAACACAATGATCTTTTTGCTCCTCGTTGTTATCTAAGAGACACACACGATGCGGCTTTTGTTTTATCTTTGGTAAAAGTCACCGGACGCATGCTCGTGCCCTGAATGATGCCACGCCCAATTGAATTAATTCGTTCCAAAGGAATGGATTCACTTTTTATTACAAAGGATGGCAGATGATATGGTTTCTTTCCTTCTTTGAAACACCGCTTCATGCTGTGGTTGGAACGAACCACTTGAATTGGACCTTTCAAGACACATAGTGTAAAAAAACCCTTGTTCACACTCCCACACAATCAAAAACTTGGTTGCATGACCTTTGTGGTGCGTTGCACATACACAACTGCCATGTTGCCAAGGCATCTAATTAAAGCAGCAACTCGTTGACGACCGCAGCAACGGTAGTAAAAGGTGCTGCTGTTGCTGTTGCTGCTGCTGCCACCATCATGCATGAAATGACGCGATGTCAGCGACAACGCCACTGCCATTGAGAGCCATGCAAGTCCAAACTTTATTTTAAAGCATGGTTGCTATGATTGGTACTCGTTAGGCCTTCTTCAATTTCCCGCTCACAAAGAGAATGTTATGCAACAAAGATGATTGGGGGTGTGTGAGTGAGTGCAACTGATAACAAAACGCTGTGGAGAGCAGCGTCAGAAAGATAAAGAATGAGGTGCGACGAGTGGCAGTAGCATGAGGATCGGTCTATTCTGGGGATAGTACGACAAAAGATGGGAATACAAATCCGCCACTGATGAAATCATTTGTGTTGCCATGCGTGTCGCTTCATCCGACACACACCTAGCAACACCTATATAAAGGGGTGCATTGTATGCGTTTCTCCAAAAACCACCAATAACAACTTTTTTCCAAATGTCTGACGGTCGATGTGTCCATTGTGGCCAAAAAGGCCATTATTCAATGTAAGCTTTTAGAACCACCACAATCATGTTCATGTCCTTTTTGGCTCACCATCATCATCATGCCCTTCCATATAGGATGTGTCCTAGTAAACCAAGCGTATTCATGAATGACCTTGAAATCTATTTGCTTCTGCTGGCTCAGGAGCAACAATACCAGCAACAATCCTAGCCATGGACATCCTTCTACTATACATCCACCAAGCATGATGCATACCTTTCATTGTTATAAATACTCACCAACAACACCCCCTTCAATCACCACCACTCTTATGTATATTTTCTTTCCAGCACTGTTTTTTGTATAGCCTAGCACATATCCATCACTAGCCAACCACCCATAGTATATCGTTCTTATTGTAGCCCCAACACTTGTTTTGTATTCATGTTGCTTGTACAAGAAGCAATACATTATAATGCCTTATAACATCTATCAAAGCTTTGTGTCTTTGTGTGTTCACACGCACCCAAAAGGGCTTTTCCCCAAAATTCGGACCAGGTCTTTTTTGCACGCGTGTAAAGTAAGGCCAATTTGTACCACAATACATAGCATAGCCATGCGTTCGTGATCATCTGCCAGCAGCTGCTGCAACCCATACCGAAGTTTCGCATGGCGTTTTCAAATGCACACATGACATGATTACACTAATTTTCATTTTATTTGGACATAACCAATATAGTGAGCGAGATTGTATGTGCTTCTGAACGAGCAAAGCAATATGTAAAAGAAGAAGAAGTTACACAATAAATGACCCTAGTAAAAAAGAAAAAGACAACATGTACAGCCGAATGAAGGTGTTGTATGTGTGGGTGGGTGGGGGAGGATTTAGGTGGTTGCATACAATGAGCGGCCATTAAGAATATCAGCCAAGTTGTGTGTAAGTGAAGGAGCACAAAGGACATTGCCAGATGTTGTTGTCGATGATGATGATGATGATGGAGGTGGGTGTGTAGGTGGTGGTGGAAAGGCTACATGGGGTGGAGCAAGAAATGGTGGTGGTGGGAGGAAACTATTTGAGTTGAATGGCAACGATGGCGGTGGTGGTGGCGGTAACATGGATGATAGGGGTGGTGATCCATGACTGCTGGCTGTAGTAGTACTACTACTGCTACTAAAGGTGAGGAGTGAGGATTGATAATTTTTTGATGACCTTGTATTGGATGATGTTGATACTCGAGTGCCATGACACTTTTCTTCATGACGAGCAAGAAACATCTTTTTAGTGTAGCTATGTCATTTTTGTCAGACACGGTGATGACTGAGTTGAAGAAAACATACCTTTTGGTGCATCCAGAATGTGAGCAGCGATAGGGGCGGTTACCAGTATGAATGCGGCTATGACGAAAAGTGTTGATTACTACTTTGTGTGTGCGTGTGTGTGTGCGTGTGTTACAATGCACAATGTCTTACCGATGACGTGCGAGAGAGCTGCTGTCGCTGAAGCTTTTGCCGCAGTCATGGAACTCACACGTGTGTGGGCGTTCACCCGAATGGGTACGTAAATGAACGGTCAAGGCAGATCGCTGATGTTTTGTTTATGTTGTAGATGTGGGACAATGTGTGAGTAAATCATAATCAGTAAACGGGGCATCCAAAAACTTCAAGCTTCTCCGTGGTGCTACCTGGATAAAACGCTTTCCGCACCATGGCTTGTCGCAATGAAACGGCCTATAGTAATAGCGTCATCAAATGATCATGAGCTTCCTCTTTTTTTTTCCTTCATGTGATGACCCAATAACATACCTGTCGTTGGTGTGGATTCGGTAATGGCGTGCCGTATCCGAAGGCCTACCTGTACATGGAAGATGAGGTGAACAAATTGATTGATTTTAGATGTATCGGGTAAGTAAAAGTAGAGGACATACTGAAAAGCTTTCCACAACCAGGCCAAGTACATTGGTGACGTTTTGGATAGCGCACGGATGCTGTTTCTGAATGAATCAATTCCGCGATATCCATAATGCTTGAAAAAGTGTGAAAAAAGAAAACGGGTAGAAAAGGAAAAAGAAGAGTGGAGAAGTAAGGATTATGCAAACCGCATTTATGGATCGGCGGAGTGACCTCTCCTCTTGAATGCTGTTTCTGTGATTCGACTTGTTCTCCACACAGTGCATCCATTTTTAGGTATTGCAGAACGCACATTCATCTCCCTTGACCTCTTTATCGGTAGCTGTGTGTTGTGTGTAGCCATTCCCACGGGCGAATTTCTCCCTTGCATCTCTTGCTGCAACCGTCTCATTGGTGAATCGAATACAAACAATCATCATCATCATTTTTTTTTGTCCTCTCCTCACACACGCACGATCTACGTTTTTCATATGTTGCAGCACACATGCACATGCTACGTATTCCCGATATCCGAGAAATGGCTTTTCATGCTTATGCTTATAAAACGCAAGGTGTCACCGGTCTGTGCGCATGTCGGCAAATAACAGTGGGTGCTCATCTCGTTTAAAGTGACAGATCTCAAAGGTAGAAGCTTTGTTGTGTAAATAGCAAAACGAAAACAGGGACAACGACAATACAATATGTGGCGCATGCACGATCTGAAACGTCTTTTTGGTTCACTATGTGAGTATACGTGCTCTCTCGACACACACTCACATCTAACGTGACCCCACTCCCAGACCACCACGGCCCATCCCCACATGCAGGATTCTAGAGAACAACTTGGTAGAGTGTGGATATTGCTGTTTCAGGGGGGATGATCTTGAAATGCTGGTTCATGAGAACAGTGCATCACGCGCGCGCGTAATGTGTGTGGGTGAGTGTTGTGCGCGCATTGACGCTAGAAGTTTTGAGAATCTAGTTCTTTTACGTTACATACCTTATTGCTTGGCATCCGAATACTTGTTTTTCCACGTTGTCTACAAAAACAACAATGACCATGAAGCGATCAGATGCATACTTTCTTCCCTGGATACATAGGTGCCACAATCAAGGTATCTTGTATCCGATGCTCCGATGATCATGATGAAGATGATGAAGATGGCAGAGATGCAAAAGGATGCTTGTACTCACATAAACAGATACACGCACATGTCCAATCCCATACGCACGTACACAGTAGTAGTAGAGGAGGAGTGTTCGGTCGTGCATGATGAAAATGGTGATGCTGCTGCTGCTGTGACACATATGTGAAAGATCTCGTGGATGCACACACACACGCACACACACACCCCTTCTACCCAAACTCGTGCTTTGCCACAACTATGCTCACTACCAGCATTGGATTTGTATACAGGGTGGTATATTCGATAGCAACAATAGTAATGTAACGATGCTAAATAGCTGCTCAAGGTGCCGTATGGTATGATAGTTGTTGTCGTAGTTGTAGTAAATGGATCGAGTCACACGAGTGCCAATTCCAAGGTCCATGTTCGTCGTGCCCACAGTCGCACCTGCATATCCATCAATTCGACACATGTATGATCCCACCAACATTTTCTCTATTGTAAATGTGTGATCAGCTGCTTTGATGCTATTTGGAGAAATAAAAAGAGATGACTTACTGCTGGTTTGCCATAAAACATCATCAATTTTTGTGCCGTTGCCATGCGTCGTTGGGGTCCACTGGTTTCAAGATGTACAAGAGACAAGCTACTGATACACGTTCTTTTGGGCTCCAAAGCACGATAATTCCAAGTATCCTCAAGTGAAAAACCAGCTTTACACAAAATGTCCACAAGGTGTTGTTCAGCCATGTTGTTTTCCTTGCTGATATTGCGTAACAGCGCCTCAAATACTTGATTTTGTTGTTGTAGATAATGACCACCTGCTGTTTTGAGACTAGCCATGATGCTTGTTGAAGGCTTTGCGTGCTGCTGAGCAGGTAAGATGTAATAATCAAGCTCTTCTCGTAGAACAATGACCACTGGTTTTGTAAACAGGGGATGATGTTGTGGTGCGCTGGCGATGTTTCTATTATCCAAAGCCGTCTCTGCCAAATAAGCTTCCTCCGAAAAATGTGCTGCATGCGTTGTGCGTGCTTGTACAAAGAAATCAAGCATCATTCGAACACACGCTGGATCAAAGTCAACTTGAGCTTGCTCGCCCCCGTTCAATACGAGACCATTTGGAAACATGGCAATCAAAATACTCTCGGGAAAGGCTACCTATCATAGATCATGAGATCATTCATGCACAAGGACTCGTATACTACAATCTATCGCATACTGCACTATACCAGGGTCTCACGGCTGATTTGTATTTGCTCCCCACGAAGTTCAAGTGTCAATACTGGTGGCAATCCTTGTTGTTGTTGTCTCTCGTCATCTGATGCAGTGCCTGAATGCTCCTCTTCGGAATGCGTGTTGGATAGAGCTGGTTGTGTTGTCGATGACACTTGCGTAATGGGGGATTCAACTGGGCTCATGACAAAGAAAGGAAAATAATAGTTTGGTGAAAAGTAAAGGGATACGAGGAAGACCAAGGTGCAAGCTGCATTTTTGTGTCACTTTACTATTTCAGTAAATGAATCTTTATTGCTATGAAACCACCTTGATTACACCATCTCTATCACCGCTAATGATCATAGGATAAGGCACTTCGGTGAGAATGACATCCATCACAGCATCGGTATGATTTCGCAATAATGATTGTTGCTGGGCAAAGTTGATCTCGCTAGGGCTCGAATGGTGTGATCCTGATCCACTGAAAGCTGTACGATGCATCGAAGTACTGGATGTGGATGTACGTTGTGCTTGTGCAAACTCGAGATAAAACTTGATATGATTCTGGACGCTCATCCTAAAGCGCGGCTTAGGCTCATCCATATCCAACCCCAAGACGACGCTTGAATTCTCGATCCGTGCAGTATCCCAAAATCGTAGCTTCCTATCAGATCCTCCTGTAATAATGAATCGGCAATCGGGAGGAGACACCACCGCTCGAATCGAATTTTCTGAAAAGTGAGCTTCACTACTTGTACATGATGTGCCAAGAATATCCTCTTCATTGGGTGCTTCCAGTGCCTACACGATGCATGTGAGTATGCAGCCATCGTGTGGTTTTTTATCAACGTACCTGGAATACATCGGTCGCGATCCCGTTGTTGGTCACCGTCTTTTCATCTCCAGGTCGAACAAGGAACACCTCAACGCAACGCAATTGCACAATATCCCATACGGAGATCTCATTCTTGCCGGCAGCAATAATCACATGCTTTCCTTCGGCCTTGGGATCATGACTTAATAGCATCGTATTGATACGGCTCTTGCTGTGATGTAACCAAGATCTCAACGGGATTTGGAAGCGCAAGTCGTATAACGTCAAGATACCGCGTGTTGTTCCAACCATCATCCACGTATGTAGCCGATCAGTAACCATGCTGGTAATAACACCTATAACACAAAAGTTAGAGTTTTTCTTTCTTTTTGATTGCCAAATGTATATTCACCATGACTCAAGGGGTTTTTCAATTGCCACAAGACCTCCATTGTCATCAAGTCCATCGCATAAATATTGCCCTTGTTGGTTGCAAACAACAGTATAGACTTGGATCCAGCCATAGTATTCGATGCATCTAAGATAATCCATGTGAGTTGATGTTGGCAGTGTTCAAATGGATGTACGTACTACTTGTGAAATGTTGGATGCACACGGCGTATTCATTCATCAATTGATGTCGTCGCACAGGGATACACTTCCCGAATTTGAGAGCACTTCCCGTACTGCGTATATCAACCCTGTATCCCAACATTATGAATAGGCATGAAAAACTCATCCTCATCCTCCGTTATCTTCTTTTTACCTGAATACATGAATACTGCCATTGTCAGATGCTGAAGCGATGCTGTAAGTTTGGTGGATAAAAGTGATGCACTTGATACGACCCCCTATGGTATACCCTTAGCAAAAGATGCGTGGTCATCCTGAAATCCTCAATATACCTTGCTGGTTGTATGTTGCTCGGGACCGATTCGTGACATTACGCTCTAATCTGAAGCAATCCCATATCTTGACCGAGCCATCATCCGAACACGAAGCAAACAAGAGATTATCCCAAGATATCGCCAATTGGTTGATACCAGCCGTATGTTCCGTAAAGTGAGCGACCAAAGTACCTACACCTCGAGTTGAGAACTCGTATCCACCCATGCTTCAATATTCTTACCATCAGGTTTCCAACTGTTGACGGTCCTAAAAGGTGATGTCCCTTGTGGCAACCTTTTTATGCGCTTCATAATAGCTGGATCACCCGTGAACTCTATTGATCCACCACCTTGAGTCACATAATTCATTTGTGTGGTTCCAAAAGATAACATACCTGGCATATGGGGTGGGAAAGCTTCCAAAGCGGTCTTCATGAGTAGATTTTGCAAATGTTCATAGCCAACTAGCAATGGCATTAGTCACTTTTCCGCAAATGATTATACAACACCCACCAATAGATTTGGGCGTGGACGTGGAAAATCTTGCTCGTTCATCCAACTCTGAGGGCGATAAGGAACCTATATCCATATAAATCAATACATGCCTATTGCGGAAAGAAGAATGCAGCTGATACCTTTTGTTCGTGGTTGTGGTGCTGAATGTACATCAAAGCTGATATCAGTTGGGCTGGATATGAGTCCACTATTGGACATCACCGATGCAGTTTCAGGATTGGTGGACTTGTCAAGGTCTGGGAGGATAGCTTGTACATGTGGCTCACTCGCAACTCGGCTAATCTTGCATGAATTCTGTTTAGCGCGTGTCTGCATCGTCGATGGTCTGGAAAAATAGCGTCAATCATCCATAGCACTCGCTCACGTTATTTTTCTCACCTTTCTATGCCACCAGCCTATTTGAAAGCTTGTTAACAAATGACCACTTTTTCGAATCATGGTGCACTTACATAGTTGGATGAAAGATCTTGGCTGAAAGGGGTGTCTTGTGAAAGATCAGGAAGAAACACTGTCAATGGTGTTACACCAATGCTCTTGAGGAAGACATCACCGTTCTACGAAAACAGGTAGCATTTTAATGGAACATCCATCATGGCAAACCATTTACTTACGACGATGCTTCGATCTTCAAAGCCTTTTGGACGGCTAAAAGTAATGACGTTAGCTACACTTCCTTGTATGCATCATGATCCTTCCTTCTTACTTGAGCTTGGCATGTGACACTTTGTACAGGTAATCTCGCAAAAGGGCAATGATCTCTTCATCTTCTGCTGACATGCCTATGTTCCGTAGCCGTTCCAGATAATACTCGTCTCTGAATATCGGGCAAATAAGTACCACATGTTGAAACAACCTGACCAATGCTTACTTACTCTTGAGACACCTCTATTTCTTCGCCAATAGCACTAGTCAATAGGGATCCTGATATCATAACATTAGCGCCACGCCAATAGATGACAATGCTACATGCCATACCTTGACGCAAAAGCATAGCTGGTCCAGATTTGCGTTGTCTTGGCGCATTCGATCGTGCCCGTTTCTCACGTTGATGTTTCCAGAAAAGAGATTTGGATGTCGCTTTCGTTGCCCATCCTATCGCTTGCTCGTAAATCTGCCGTGAAAGCTAATTCATCTCCATATAAGTTAACTTTTTCCCATAGCACTATTTCACAAGAATTTACCGGCGTCTTTGCATTTTCCATCAGCTCCTCTTCATTGATGCTCGATATGTCCGCCTTGAGGAAAGGGGTCAAAAGTGGGTATATAATGCACCAGATATCCGTTTCTGGCAAATGCTTGGATGCCGATACAATAAAGCCAACAGCACCTGATCTTCATGTAAGAGTGGATATCTCATTGACCTCTGTATACACGTCTTACCATGTCGAATCCATACGCTTGGATGGCATATCAAGGGGGCAATAATGCCAATAAGCTCCCATAGTTTCATCTTTGAAAATAAATCCAATTCTGCCAAGCTCGCATATGTATTGAGTACCTTCTCCACCACGAATTCTTCCGCATCTGTAGATCAATGTTGTGAGCCGATGGATATCCATAATCTCCTCTTCCTCCTTCTTTACCAGTCAATGCTTGAACCATCAGTGGCAGAATATACTCCTCCAAGCTACGTGCACCTACGCAAGTACCCACGCCTTTGATGCTTTCGAAAAAGGCACTAATCGTAGTACAACGTAAGCAAAAGAATACTTGCGTGCCCATTCAAATATACTTGCCTACGTAGCATCCAATCCTTGTCATTCAAGTACGTAATCATGTGACTCAAGAGAAGATCATTGGCGATTTGCCTCCCAAAGAACACACACAAGCATGTGATGTTGGTCAACAATGCACGTTTGACAGAACTTTCAGAATCGATCAGCAAGGCGGTGACTTGTTCTTGTATAACAGACTTGAGATCTTGCAATGAGGAATCATAGGCAGACTAATGACATCATTAGAGTTGAATAGTAATGATCGATCCTATTATGTATATATACCTCAAAGTCAAGTTCGTCAGTGTCCATATCAACCACGGGAAAGCTACTATCGCTCTTGAGGAGCTGGGTCATTTCCAAGAATCTCAGCGCAGTCTCGGCGAGCAAAGCAATACAGCTGGCATAGGTCGTTCGCACCAAAACATCTTCGTCTTTGGCAAAGTCGCATACGTTGGGTAAAATGTATTCGGGAAATATCCTTGCATTGATGGGCGAGATAGATTCCACCATACAAAGCTATTGCACAACCATAAGTACATCATCATAAGCAAGAAAGAGATGTTCATAATAGTTACCACTTGAGTCAAAGTCTTGATTGCATTTGCACGAACAAGCGCGGCGTCATCAGATAAAAGAGTCATTAAATAAGGCACCAGTCGATCCAATTTGACATCATCTGGCAAATGCTCTGCCAACGCCAAAAGAATATCCAGTGCTTTCAATTTTGAACTTGGGAAGGATGCATTGCGAAGCAAAGAGCACACGAACGATAAGAAAATGAGTGTCCCATGTTCTATGTTTAAAGCGAAATCAGCTTCCTCTCTCCCTCTCAATTGCCTCTTGAGTCCAAATTACCTCCCGAATTCTGTTGATGATCCACATGATTCACTGTAGTATTCTCGGGTTCGTAATTGGGTATGTTGAGAATGGGTGGTAGTATGATCTATTGTACAATGTAAGCACGTTTTCGATCAATGCCCCTAGCTTGACAACTTACCGATGACGCAGTGGTATTTGGCAAATCTATGTATGTGTACACGACGTTATCATCATGACACTCCTTCTCTATTTTTCTCCTCTCCCAAATACCTGTTAAAGTTCTTCGTCGTTCCCGAGGACCGCCAGGCCGAGCTGTTGTGGAATCTGGTTGAGTTGTTGGTATTGAGTCGCCTTGGAAGGATACAAAATAAGCGATCTTGTCGAAATCATGGTATATCCGCTCGATTTTCTCGTCAGCGTCGATAAGCTTTTTGCTGATACTATTGACACCCATAAGTGCTGAGGACATGGCATCGGCTACAGCGGCTGTTGATTGTTGTGTTGCCTCATAATCGATTGGCTCAGTCACCGAACTAATGTATTGATGCAGGAACGTGTAAAAGTATTGTGGGAATGCTTTGCCACGCCTATCAAAATAAGGTTATCCAAGAGTAATCCATCCACGTTATTCATATCGATCTTACCATTCTGACAGATATTGCTCGGCAGTAAAACGATCCTTGGGGTCCAATTGGATCATGTGCTTCACCATGCTCTGCATAAAACATACCTAAGTCCTCTTTGCATTCAATCCAATCCAACCCCACAATCCCCTACCTTTATGTTTTCATCATCAATTTTGTCCAGGCTGTTGTCTGGATTGTATTCTCCGCTTCGATACTTGAACAATTGCGACAAAGAAAAGATAGATGTCCCTTCCAGAAATAGTTCGGCGATAACACATCTATTAAAGAAGCATCATCAGTAAAGGTATTCAAGCAATGATGTAGAAAGATGTCACAGTACCCAACAGAAAAGATATCCATTTCTGGAGTCAGCTCGCTCACTTGCTCATCCCAATCAAGGTTTTTCTATGTAAAACCTTCCGTTAACTTTTTCGGTTGCTGTAACGATCCATCTCCATGATTTATACCATTCTTTGATCCACTGCCGTGCCAGCGTTGTAAAAACGTTCAGGGGCGATATAGCAGCATCTTCGAGACGACATGTCAAAAAAGAAAGAAAAGTCCGCTGGATTATCCTGCAACATGTGATTAACATACTTGACATCAGACACACATGAGACCATTTACCTCTGGTAAATACGTTGGCTTATAGGAAGCAAAATCTACGAGATAGACCCAATTCCACGAGGTAACCAATACATTTTCAGTCTTGATGTCACCATGATAAATCTGTATCCATTTTGCATAAATCCAATGCTGACAACAATGATATCCATTCCTTCTTCACCTTTTTTGCATGTGTGCTTGCTACTGCCTTGAGAATTTGATATGCGATCCATTTCTTTTCAATCAGCGTCAAGAACGGGCGTGTACTATGCATCGATGAATGGCGTCAATTTTGTGTATGGCAAACGTCAACGACCAAAGAGGCGGGTTTACCTTATGCGATCGTAAAGACTGCTGCAAAAGTATTGACGAACGAGGTACGCTGCCTTGTCGGTTTCCAGGATACGTTGAAAAGGAAATGCGTTCGAAACGTTGATAAGGGCATCATGCTCGTCTAAGAAAACGTAACCATGAGCTGATCCAGTCATATCCAACCTTGTTTTTAAACCACATACCTTGTAGCTTTTTGACATATGAGCGTAACGAAAGTTGAGGGTCTGGTTTGACGAATATCTTGACGACAACAAGAGTGTCTTTGTGTCGGCCACGAATAGTCTTCATGAAACGCGCATTGCCAATACTAAGGATAGCAAGAAGGAATGAGCCCATGTCGTCCCACCAGATTGAATGCGTTTCTCATTCTTTATACCTTCGCTCATAATAGATATCACCTAGTTCACTGACGTAGCTGTCGATGCCTGCAATGGCAGTTACATTGGAGATTTTGTTCCCCATGGTTGTGGAGAGAATAAAAGAGGTGTGGTGGTGGCTATATGCAAAGCGTATAAAGTGTCCAACCGGAACTCGAAAGGGAAGCAACTGCGGTGTCTCACACTCGTCAATTTTCGCTTTATCCGTCTGCATGATCAAATCATCACCTGTGCAAGTGACACCTTCCCAATGTTTTGCGGCCATTCGTGATGATGATTGATATTGAATGGTTGATGTCTTTTCCAAGTACAGTTGCGTGTATAGTGAACTTTGTCATGCATGTCGAGCGCTGATAAATGTAAATGATGATGGTTTCGCCAAACGTAGATGATGCACCTAGTAGTATATCATGAGACGATGTTGGTATACATTTTGGCAACATAGTCTGGCGTCGAGAATGATTTGAGAATAGTACCCTATGTCCTCCGCATTCATGCTCCAACAAAAGAAGAGTGGATATGGATTCAACAAGCAATAAATCAGGATTTACCTTATTACAAAGGTCAAATGTCACAATGAAGATGACCACGATAATGAAAGTTGGACAACAATGAAGCACTATGAATCATCACAAAGACCATTTAATGTCTCACACTGATCCAACGTAAAGGAGGATCCATTTTGATGATGTTCACACAGACTTGGATTTTAACGGTGTTAGCGATCAAAGTAAGGCACGATAGCGGAAAGAGAGGTGTGCAGAGTAACGGGGATAAGTAGTGCCTGTGATGATAAAGCGGTGGACAAACACCAGGGGCATCCGTTTCATTCGAATCTCCAATGCTTATTTTTCACAATATGAATGATGGAAATTGATTGCGCGTATCTAATTAAGGCCTACCATCCTGAATGGTCGCATGTCTATGAACAACAGTGGACAATTTTGGGCTTTTTGCTATGATTGGTTTCATTGTTGGTGGGGCGAAAATGGTTGCTAGACCTACATCCAACGGAAATCAAAAGCTGATATGTATTACATACCACAAAGATATGGATAGCAAAGGGTTTTAGGTTCCTGAGTAATAAAGATGATACCACGAGATTGTAACGTGATTGCGAGACGTAAACGTGTAAGCTTATCATAAGATCATTACTCGATAGGTAGTGAGAAGCCACTCAATGAGAAGTACGATCGAAGCGAGCAATCAGGGCAGCTAGTAAATGACAATCCTTATCTTTATTGAATGCATGAATCTAGTTGACGTGTGCAACATGTGCCGACGAGGGAGGAGTTTAACTGTGGCAAACGCGGGAGAGGGCTGTTCCTTCCATTAATACCAAGAACACAGCACAGCAATGGGACAAACAGGGCTGCTGCTGCTGATCGGCATTGTGTTCCATGTCGTCTATTTGTTCAGCATCTTTGATATCTATTTCACGTCACCCATCGTCCATGGCATGACACCACAGAGCAATCCATTGCCTGCACCAGCAGATCGACTCGTTCTCTTTGTTGGCAAGTAAAGCGACCTCATCATCATTCAACGTGAAAGGGCCTCCATTGACACTGGGTTGTGTTTCTAGCCGATGGTTTACGTGCTGATAAGATTGTCGAACGTGAAGGTCAATATCGAGCACCGTTCCTGCGAGAGATTATGCGAAACAAGGGCAGCTGGGGTGTGTCTCATACGCGTGTGCCAACCGAATCAAGACCTGGTCATGTCGCTATCATTGCTGGTTTCTATGAGGATGTTAGTGCTGTTACAACAGGTACGAGAGGAAAAAGGATATCCAAGTGAGTGAGGGTAATTAAGTAAGTTGTGTGTGTGTTTTATACTAGGTTGGACAATGAATCCTGTCAATTTCGACTCGGTCTTTAATCAATCACATCACACGTGGTCTTTTGGTTCACCGGATATTCTTCCCATGTTTCAACACGGTGCAAGCGATCCCAATCGAGTAGAAACGTTCATGTATCCACCCAAGTTTGAAGACTTTGCAGGAGGTAAGAAAACTACAATCCCCAGTGAAAATAGGATCCAACTCTTATTCACCCTCCCCCTCGCTCGCTCTTAGAGTCATCTCATTTGGATACTTGGGTGTTCGACCATGTCAAGGATTTATTTGCTAGAGCCAAGCACGATCAGGAACTCAACAAGCAGTTGCGAGAGAAAAAGATTGTTTTCTTCCTTCATCTTCTTGGATTGGATACCAATGGTCATGGTTTTCGCCCTCATTCAGAAGAATATCACAACAACATCAAGCTAGTCGATCGTGGTATTGAAGAGATTGTAAAGCTCTTTGATGATTTCTATAACAATGATGGGCGTACGAGCTATATCTTCACGGCAGATCATGGCATGAATAACCGAGGAGCTCATGGTGATGGCCATCCTGATAATACACGCACACCCTTGATTGCTTGGGGCGCTGGTATTCGTGGACCTCTCAAGACGGGATTAGGCCACGATGATTTTTCAATGGATTCGGATTTGAAGGAATGGCAACGGGATGATGTCTTGCAAGCTGATATTGCTCCTCTTATGGCGACTTTGGTTGGCATCGATACACCCGTCAATTCAGTCGGCCAGCTTCCATTGTCTTATTTGGAGAACAATGAACAATTCCGTTCAGAAGCCATTTTTGCCAATGCTCGTGAAATTCTCGCCCAATTCCAAGTGAAGCATGGTATGCCCTACTCAAAGAGCTTCCTATTGTCATATATACTAAAACACATCTCTTAGATGAAAAGGAAAAGAATGAGCTCTTCTTTAGACCATTTGCCCCCTTATCGGGTTTGAATGATCCAGCAACTTTTGTGGATGAGATCCGACAACGCATTGATGCCCAGGAATATCTTCGAGCCGAGTTGTTATCAAAGGACCTGATTCAATTATGCTTGCGTGGTTTACGTTACTTCCAAACGTACGATTGGCTATTCTTACGCAGCGTGATCACCATTGGCTATGTTGGCTGGTGTATTTATTGTACAGAGTTCTTGATACGGAACCATGTGCTCAACCAGGCGAACATCAAGACTCCAAACAAGATGACTACTTTGGTGGTAATTATTCCTCTCTTTCGATTCACGTTGTCTGCTATCCCAAAACTAATCCTTTATGCTGATAGATCAACATGCTATCCGTGTTGGTTTTCATTTTGTTGGGAGCCATGCTGTGGGTTCAAAAGATGCCTTCGATTTACTATGCTTATATTACATTCCCGATCTTCTTCTGGAACCGAGCTATCCATAACAAGAGCACTCTCATTATCGGCTTACGACTCGCTGCTAACGCTGGCATCACCAAGTTTGTTTTCACTTGTGCAGCTGTTATCGTTGTTCTCGAAGCTTTGGTAAGTACGATTTGTGGATTCTATGTATATTTGCATTCTCATCTTTGGCTTTCTATAATAGGTCTATAGCTTTTTCCGGCGTGAGGTGCTATCGGTTTGTTTCGTGCTCGCTTCAGGATGGCCTTTGACAATGCCAGCACAAATGCGTCAAAAGCATCCACTTTTACTCTCAGCTTGGGCATTGGCTTGCATTAGTACAAGTGTTTTCACACTCTTGCCGGTCGAAAAAGGAGAAGATATCAATCTTGTGTAAGTGATGTAGAGGATTGGATCAAAGCGACCCTGATACTCATATCTTGAGAATAGCGTCATGGGTGGACTCTTTGGTGTGCTTTTGGGATCGGCTGCTCTCTACAAGCTGAAAATTACTGGACACGTTAGCAACAAGCTCAATGCTTTGACCAAATTCCAGGTACATGAGACACCCGCACACATGCTTATTTGGGCACTTGCACTGACAATTCATGTATTTAGCTTATCATCAATCTTATCAGTGTTGCATTGGTTTATTCAACATCGAAAAGTTTAGAACGGCGTGAAGGTCTACCAGTATTGAATCAATGGGCAAGCTGGGCTATCGTTGGTAAATTTTTTATGCTTGATCGAAAAGATGATTTGATTGTTATTCACGTAACTTTTCATTAGGCACTTCGACCTTGTTACCTTTTATCCACCGTGGTCCTCACGATGAGCATTATTTGGCACGGCTATTAAGCATTTGTCTTGCTTTTGCTCCGCTCATGACACTTCTCAGCATATCTTACGAGATGTTGTTCTATGTCTGCTTTTGCTCCACCATTCTCTTATGGCTTGAAACGGAACGCATGCTTTATTGTGGCACACGCACTTCGACGAAGCGGCCCATGCAATCAAGCGATATTCGAGCGGCCTTGATGTTCATGTTCTTTATCGAAGTGGCGTTTTTCGGTACTGGCAACGTGGCATCCTTGAGCAGCTTTTCATTGTCAAGCGTGTATCGTTTCATTACGGTCTTCAACCCATTCTCAATGACGGCACTGCTCATCACCAAGATTTTGATACCATTCTGTGTTGTGTCCGCTGTCCTTGGAGTATTGAGCGTGAGCCTGGACCTTGGATCATTCAGCTTGCTATTAACAGTGATGGCTGTATCGGATGTGCAAACAATCAACTTTTTCTACTTTGTCACTGATTATGGAAGCTGGCTCGAGATTGGCATGAGTATCAGCCATTTTTGTATATCCGAACTTTTCATTATCTTTTCCATCATCTTATTCTTGCTCTCTCAACTACTGGTGGGTCATTTAACAGTGCCTCGATTAACAAAAGACAAATCAGCCTAGTATAGCTATAGCAACAATAGACGTAATAAAGAAACTCGCTGTATTATATATCCTTAAGCGAATGATCATGACTAGAAGCAAGTAACATGTCGGTTTGGAATTGTAAGGCATAAGATTGACTTAATAAACGCTTGATCTGGTCGGATAATCGATCGGATGTCTACAACAGGAGGGATTAGAGTTGTATCCACACACACATTCACGTCTCCTAGCAACGCGTCCCCTATACCTCTCGTAGCTCCTTTTGTTCCTTTAACTCTTGTTCTATTTCATTATCCGGGGTATCTTGAATAGTATTGAGAGCGCTCTTATTCTCTTGGATCCAAGCAACTTGCTTCTTAAGAGTGTCAAACAGTGCATCCAGTTCCCTTCGATCCTTTTGCAGCTGAACAAGATTGGGTTCGCTCCGTAATGACTCGCTAGCAGCTTCAGACACTGATTGCACTACCGCAAGGATCTTGTCCCATACATCGCCCAATGTGCTGAGTGCATCGCTCGATTGGTTGTATAAGGTGTCCATTTTTGAAAGAGAAGTTGTCGGCAACAGCTGCTGCTAAAAATGTTTGGGCATGAATTAGTACTACCCCTTTTACGGCTATCCCACCTCATAGGTCAATTGTACGTGTAAATAGAGTCTTTTATTTTATGTATTCTTTGGGAAATCAAGAAAATAGATTATCTTTATGCAAAGGTATTATAGCCATTCGTTTGTTGTTGGCTGTTATTGGAGGTTGTGTTGTTATTGCCTTCTTCTTGGGCTTGCAATAATGCGTCTTGCTCTGCTACATTAGCTATGAAAAAAATGATCAGAGACGCGTACTAGGATAGTAGTCCAAATCTTACCTGATGAAGAAGTAGTAGTAGTAGTAGCTGTGGGGATCACTAAACATGAGATGCCCAAAAAGCGACAAAAGCCATCGATGACCATGGAGGCCCACACACCATAGATAATCACAGAGGAGCCAAAGAGTATCCACAATGCCAAATGTTCCATATTCGCCGATATGATGCGCCTGAATCGTATAAAGCTTCAATAACCTGATCTCTCAATGTCCATCCTCCTCAATAAACTTACCAGCCTGTAATGGAAGGTACTACGGCGATAAGAGTCACCAAGAGCCATAATGTACCGAGAATACCAGGGAAGGATGGGAAAGGCGATTTTGTGAGATGTGCCAGGATGATGTTGGAAGCCATCAAGCCAAACAAAATGCCGACAGTGACAACAAAAAGAATGTAATGTTCCTCCTTGAGCACATACGAGTAAGGGGACGCGATCCACAAAGTAACAGCTAACGTGTAGAGCGTGATAGGGTAGAGGACATTCATAAAGATGGCAAGTCTTTGCTTGAGTCGCTTTCCACTTGTGGCCTTGAAGATGGAGTAGAAGCTATTATTATTGTATTACAAGAATTGAGTAAACAGCAATCGATGCAGCAACGTATATATAAAACTCACCACATTGGGCAATGTGTGAAAGCAAAAAAGAACACCATGCCCCAAACAAAGATTTGAGCACCCGTTGTGTTATCGCCAAGGATACGGGCAAGCCAAGAAAGACAATCAATGTCACCCAGTGGTATATGCCATGAACCAGCACCTTGAATCCAATCCAATCCCATTAGCTTGAAGAACTCATACATACCTCTTTCAGCTCTATGTACTTACCAAAAAATCCAGACCATACAAACGCAAGGCACGACACGAGAATGCCTTCCGTGGGACCATTTACAATACCCAAATACAATACGCCCGTATAATACTCCTCAGCAGTCGACAAGTAAAAACCAACCACGGTCACCAAGAATAAGATGGCAGCCTCTATGCTGTGGCCTACACCTAGTGCAGCTGCTTGAAGCAATGCAACGTATGTGCAATTGATGGCGTCACATCCATGATCAAACAATTCGCCAAGCGGAGAAGAGGTTCCTGTACGTCGTGCTTGTTTGCCATCCACATTATCAAGCGTTGAATAAAGCCACAGGCCGGCAGCGAAGGAAAAGTAGATCCATTGAGGGGTATCTTGTTCATAGCGTAAATCAGGTACCACCACCAGTATAATCACCACATTGATCATCATCAAGATCAAACCGGTTAACGTGATCAGATTAGGACTATAATAGATGATGTGTATATATGCATTGGTACCTTTTTCCCATAAACAGCGTGTTATGTACTTACGCGATCCATCGAGGAAATAAAGTAACAGCCCAATTCCAATAATGACGTAAAACGTATTTTGTAAGCAAGGACTTATCGGTAGCTGCGTACTTGTAATAACGCAGGTTCTCGAGTTGTTCTTGACGTGGAAAGTCGGGATCTGCCACCAGGTTTCGAAGTTTACTAATGACCATGGCCGAGATTCGTGTGGAGCAACGATCGGTGACGAAGGGTATCGAAGACGGGGAAAAGAAGAAAGGGGGAGAAAAAACAAGGGCTGTGTATGGGCGTGGCCTTTTTTTTACAACCCTCGGTCAGCTCACAGAGAGGGGCAAAAGGTGAGACGTGAAAGATGCTCAAGCCAACCACTCCGACAGATGTTTCGTCATGTTGTCAAACGTAGCACAGCCTCCCACATATTGTTTATCTCTGGATCATCATGACAACAACCTACATTGTCAATGAAAGGTTAACATCATTGAAGCAAGTATCAATATGACTGATCCATGATATAGAATGTGTTTCGCAGTAAGGAAGGAGATGGGATTGCATGAAAAAGAAAAAGATCATGCTGATCAGTATCATCGATGATGCACAAGAACATTCTAAATGCCACCATGATAGTGTCATGGGATTCAGTTGCACAGGGACGGTAGCTAAAATGATGCGATTGGAGGAATACGTAGATAATAGTATCCGAGTTGCGGGTGTACATAGCAATGCATCATTTCATTATTCATGGTGGTAGATAATAATGTCACTTTTTTCAGAGAAACACGTGCGAACATGACCCACGTACATAGCTCAAGCCCTTTAGTTTAATGACACTTGCAGCATTGTTTATGGTGCCAACTCTTTTGGAATACCAAACAATTCTTTTATTCCAAATGAGATGCAAAACTATCAAATTCGAGCAGAGGTCTTCTTCTCCCTTATGGATGGTGGTTCCTGATGGTGATAATAGGGCGACTCATGCACATACAATTTCATGGCACATAGGCTGTGTTTGAAACTTAATTGCTTGTAGCTACTTGTTGACCACAATTCCTTTTCAGTCCTTCCTATATGGTTACTACGACGAAATATGAGTAGCCCCGATGCACATCTACCACCTGCCATCGCCGAACCAGACAATGTAGAGCAAGAGACTCTCGAGTATACGCAACAAGGGCCACACGCGATTCATCGGAAAAGCAAACCTCCTTCACCCACAATGCCAGTTCAGGAAATGCCATTTGGTGCACGGATGCCAGAAGCGATTCGAAAGAGTTATGTTCAACAGCGGTTACCAGTGAGACAACAGAGCTTGGCAGCGCCTTACAACCGTAAAAGTTTATTACCATTTCCATCAACACAACAACAACAACAACAACAACAACGGTCGTCTTCAGCAGCAGCATCATATCGATCAACATCCCACATGCCACCGCCACCGCCAACTGGTGGTAAAGTCAAAGTACCACCTATACGCACATCCAGCATTATCCACTTGAATAGTCTATATCCAAACACGCCCCTCAACACCATGCTAAACACCAACAAAGAGGAAGAGGAAGAGGAGGAAGATGATGATTTCGACTTTCAGGATCGACCTCCTTCATCGATTGTGTGCGTTGTTCCTACGACAAATCATGACAACAATAGTGAGCTATTTTCACCCGACACACCCAATGATCTACATCATCAATTATCATCATCTATATCCCTGCCTTCCGACATACCCGGTTTAGCAGCAGCACCACCTACCAGCACACACCCACCACCACCACCACCACCATCATCATCATCAACACTACAACCATCTACAGACGACGATTTCCTTCTTTCACCTGAAACGTCCACCAATCACCATGGCTTTACGCGACGAGGTTCTGAAGCCGTTTCCATTGATACATGTACGACTGTGGATTATACTCCCAACAATGACGCTGTACCAGATCAAGGTAAAGGAGGGGATGGGAAATGATATGCATTCGTTAAATAACACATACACAAGCCTTTCCACGCATGAAACATAGTCGATCTGATTCCAATGTAACACTGGGTCGTCGCGATACAATGTCAACTCTTGGGGACTTTGATAATGAACTTCCACCCATGTCACCCTCTGTGAGCGATGATCATTCACGACAAGGCTCATCATCATCATCACGACAATCCATCTTTCTTCGAATGCAACAAAAACGGGAAGAGCAACGACGATCCATTTATGCATATCGAGCTTCCAATGTTCGTCAACAACAACAACCGATGGTATACCCCGCAATGCTATCTTTGGTGGCACGTGAGCTGTATCGGCGGCTGAGTATTAGGACCATTCGTAAGAATGATATTGAGCATCATAATGTCTTTGAAGGAAAAGAAGCAGTGGTATGTTATTCTCTCTCTTGGAAAATGGACTCTCCTTGACGTTTTCATTTAGGATCGGTTGCTATTGATATTACGAACGCATGATCGCAACTTGGCATTATTGGTGGGACGGGCCTTGGATGCACAAAATTTTCTGCACGATGTCAATTATGAACATCGCCTCCGTGATTCGCCTGATGAACTTTACCGTTTCCGTGAAGAGATTGGTATTCCGATGGGATTAGAAGGCAATGATGGTGATCACAAACGTGACATGGAGGGTGAGTAATTTATTATCATTAGCGTGGAGATCAATGATACTTACCACACCACGTTCATAAAAGATTATAATGTCCCAACAGGCGTGTTCACTGTTCTCACCGATTGCTATTCCCCAACCTGCTCCAGAGACAAACTATGCTATAGTGCCACGTGTCCTCGTAAAGCGTCCAAGGTAAGAAAAAGGCTATCTCCTCATGCATAACAAATGATTCACATACATCCATTGTAGGGTTTAAGGCGTACCCAAAGCCAAAGCTCGTTACAAGAAAAGGTAAATCCATCCATTGCTTCTCTTACAGTCATCGGCTAATAAGCAAATACAATCTACACAGGAACATCGGGCATTATGGATGCACAGCGTACCCCAAGAGATATTGGACATCACACCTGCTCAAGAGCGAAAGCGCCAGGAATGCATATACGAGTTGATCCATACTGAGCAAGACTTTGTGCGTGATCTTCAATATGTACACAATGTAAGCTTTGGAGTTTTTGCGAATGCATAGCATGATGATGACCCCATGTTTTCTTTAGTTCTGGGTCAAGCCCTTGATTACAGAAGATATCATTCCTGATGAACGACGAGAGCATTTTGTACAAGAAGTCTTTTGGAACATGGCTGACATTGAAAAAGTGAATTCACGTCTCTCGCGTGCATTGATTGAACGACAAAAGGAGGACCATTTGGTTTCAAGAATTGGCGACGTGTTGCTCGAGTATGTTTGCGAGTTTGACCCCTTCGTTGCTTATGGCGCCCATCAAGTGATCGGCAAATTCAATTTCGAGCTCGAGAAAAAGCGCAATCCTCAATTTGCCCAGTTTGTAGAGGTAAATAGAGAGCGGTCAATAGTGAATGGTTTATGCAACAAAAAGAGCTTATCAGGCAGCGGGGTATGTATGTATAGGATACAGAACGCAAACCTGAATCAAGACGACTCGAATTGAATGGCTATTTGACCAAGCCCACCACTCGCCTTGGAAGATACAACTTGCTATTGCGTGAGATCCTCAAGCGCACCGAGCCAGATAATCCTGATTACGAGCTTATTCCTCAAATCATGGAGATGATTTCTGAATACCTGATACAAGTCAACACTGAGACCGGCAAATGTGAAAACATCTTCAACTTGCAACAAATTGAGGAACGATTATCTTTCAAGACACACGCTGACTATGTGGTACGCTTTTGTTATTGGCAAATAGGGGACCGTAATGGCTCATGATGGGTAATAGGACCTGAAACTTCGGGAACCAGGACGCGAACTCGTCATGAAGGGAAGGTTACGGCGAAAGGGCAATACGCTATCGGATTCATCAGACCTTCAAGTCTTCCTTTTTGATCACTATTTGGTGTTTGCAAAGATCAAGTATTATAATCATATGGAATACTACAAGGTGTACAGGAAGGTAAGCTAAAGGTAAAATCTATAATGTAAAAGAGACTCACCCATCTTTACAAGCCTATACCTCTCGAGCTTCTCTCAATACAAGTATCTGGCATGAAGGATCGCAACAAGCGTACAAGTGTCATTTTACCATATAGTCGATCTGCCACGCTTTTATCAAATCACAATTCGATATCGCCTAAACCTTCAGCATCAGAAATTGGCATATCCAGCAGCAAATCTGGCAATCATTCAATCACGTTTTATCACCATGGTCGTCGTGGTTCTCCACCATTGACATTGTATACATCATCTTTATCGACACAAAAGGCATGGATTGAAAAAGTGAAAGCGCAACAAGCTATCATTGCCGAGAACCGACGCGTTTTTGTGTTGAAGCCACTCGTCCAAGGCAGCTTTACTTTGAGCAACAAAATCCATAGCTCAGCCATTTTGCGTATGTTGTCACACTTTTTATACCTGCACTGGTGTATTGATTGGAATTTCTATTAGGGGAGGCAAATGGGGATCGACAAATCATTGTTGGCTCTGATCAAGGTGTTTATTCTTGCAAGTATCCAAAGGAAACACGTCAAGAAGTGGATGAGGTGGATGAAGAAGAAGAAGAAGAAAGCACCGTCAAGCGGATCATGTCTGTGGAAAAAGTCTATCAAGTCGGCATTGTAGATAATGGAGAATTATTGGTGCTTTCGGACAAGACATTATGGGCGTTCCCGATTGATATGGTCAAAGCAGGCGAGCTGCAAGCCAAACGCACTCGGCCCCTTAGTCAACATTGCGCCTTTTTCCATATCGGTGAAAGCATGGGCAAAACGCTTGTATGCGTTGTAAAGCTTAGTGCATTGACACCTACGACAATTCGTGTCCTGGAGCCTGTTGCTGTCGAAGAAGATAAGAAAAGCAAGAGGACTTTTATTCAGCGTTTGGTGCGACCGGGTTCCGAGAATTTACGACCGTACAAGGATCTTTATCTTCCAAGTGAAGCATCCGCCATCAGCTTGCTAAAGACAAAAATGTGCGTCTCTTGTCCTCAAGAAATTGGTGTCATTGATATGAAATCCTTTGAGGTTCAAGGTAAGTGACTCTAAATCACAAATTGTAGTAGTGTATTGACCCGAGTATGTCTTGTAGCACTTTTGGATCCTGATGATGAGGAATTAGCGTTTGTTTTTTCACGGCAAGATCTACGACCTATTTCTATTTATCGCATCCAGTTTGCTGAGTATCTTGTGTGTTACAATGGTGAGAAGCAGCAACAATGGGCAGTTCAAGGATGATCATGACTAACACAATTGCATTATAGAATTTGCATTTTTCGTGGATCAGCGTGGACGATTAAAACGATCGCGTTGTACGATAGAGTGGGAAGGAATGCCGGATTCGTTTGCACTATGTTACCCATACATCATTGCATTTGAGCCTGAATTCATTGAAGTGCGAAATATTCTAACGGTAAGAGAAGAGAAGAGAAGAGAAGAGAAGGAGATGGAATGTCAACTTAATAGTACTCTTTCATAGGGATCACTGGATCAATTCATCCGAGGTACACATATACGGTGCGTGAATCCAAATGCCAATGGATCGATACATGTTGCTATGAGTGATACCGAACATGAAGGATACCAAGGACTCTTTCAACTCAAGATGACCAAGCGACATGTTGACTATTTACCACCTTCATCATCTTATCTATCAACCATGTGGTGATATCATTCTCATTGCTTTTAGACCATTTAGCATTTATTACATTGCAAATAAAGATACCATTCATGACGTTTTATTGTTTCATTGCTGGAGGACCTTTGAAATTTGGCTTGTGGTATTTCCATCTCCATCCCTTTCTTCTCGCTGTCTCTTTTTTCTTTCGTTTTTGCTCTACTTTCCCTTCATGGATAACCGATCTATTTTGAATTCGTACGAATCGACCGAACATGCGCTCATGGATTCGTTCAAAGCAGCGGCTGTCAAAGTGACCAACTTGTACAAAGACGCCTTAGCACAGAATCGTCGAGGTTATGCTGCCGGCTACCAACAAGCCTTCCAGGACCTATTCGAGTTTACACGGACCCATGCTCACGGATCAACACACATTGCCGTGGAGGATTTACTCGAATTCGCACAACGCAAAGACGAGCAGCTCATGGCAGAGCTTGGATCAGATGGTGTTCTAGATGGCTCCAACCCTCCTTCTACAAGTACCACCACAACCACTGCTGCTGCTGCTGCTGCTACTACAACCACCAACAATACCTCCACCCACACGACTACCACTCACAACCATCTTTCCACGCCTACACCCGACCAAAAACATCAAGATGCCATGGTTGATAAGAGTATATTCCAGATCGATCCTAATACTCAATTCACCTTTACACCTCCTACATTATCGCCACGCGTACCTTATGGATCTATGATGGCATCTCCATGGATGGTGCATCCTCATCAGCAACAACAACAACATCAAGAAAACATGGGTGATACCCTAAAGCGACGACATGTGGGTAATGAGTTATCGTTCATGGGAAGGACTTTGAGCAACATGGATGTGGATTCTACTGAACCTTCAATGAAACGGAACAAGTCAAAGTAAATTCGGGAATCGAGTTAAGGGTGTGTACCAACAACAACAACAACATTCGCATCATCATCTATTATCATTATGCCCGTCAATGTCCGAGCCTTCACTACATTCAACTTTTTACCTGCAACTCATCATCCCCACCTCCCGAATAGTGGTAGTTTAGATACATATGACATTGGAGTAGTATATACACGCATCTCAATCTCTCACATTCTCCCACCACCACCTCCTTGTCATCCCCACCTTGTCTCATTCATTCACATAAAACATAATCATCAAAGTGTATCATATAAGTCAAATTTCTTCAATGAGTCCATTGTTGGTTGAATGGGATCACAAAGAGTCATACGTATCACAAGGGATGGTTACTTGGCATAATCTTTCATTTTCCTAGCAACACGATCACGTGTTTGCCATTCATACCATGGTTACCATCGTCTCCATGTCAATGAGCCATCCAGATTCTTGTAACAATGCGTGCTTCTTCTCAACAAGTCTTCCCCAAATGCCCTTTGTATTGTTCATCCTCACATGAAACATTTGCTAGATGCTCTTGAACTTTTTCAAAGCCTCCCACGACTTTTGGGATCTCTTTTTTATGGTACTCGTATAATAAAGGGAGTTAATTTACGCGAGAGTAAGATGTAATTGTTGTAGCAAGAGGCTGTTTATGTACATGAATGGGTTGGCCACCTACTGGAAGTGGTCACTGCAAGGAGTGGAGGGGTGGGGGGGAGAACAAGAAAAGCCGTGCGGCATCAACAAGCCATCTCCAAATTTGGGTATTTCTCTCTGCTTTGACAACCGACGTCCTTCGCGCTTTCTTCCAACACTACTGCGATCGGCTCATGATTGAACAGTATCTTTGCATTCTTCAACGTACAACTTGTTTTGTCCGGCAATCGACTCGACATGCTCGGGTGCAATGGCATGCGCGTGCTTCATTATCAACCACCTCTCCTGTTTGCCGATCTCTCACTCAAAAGCACCGAGGTATACCAGCCTTGACCGCTGCACGGATACGAACACAAAAGCCAACATTATCATGGGCGAAAAGAGGTGAGGCATTGCATTTTCATTATCATGGATAGGATCAATAACATGGATCAAAGTGTTACAGGCAAGACTCAAAGCATTTCGCAGCAATGGCATGCTACAAAAGAAAGCAGCTGGCATGGGTATCCGCGGCAAGTTGCACAAACAACTATCCAGTGAATTCGTCGCAGAGGCCCTTGAAGGGAATGTGGAAGGATGTAATGCAAAAGCTGTTCTTGAAGGCTACAATCCGGATGAAGGCATTGGTAAGTACAAATCTTTTTTAGTGTTTGGATTATTGTATCATTGATTTATTGGTGTATATATATAAAGCATCCATCGATCGTGTCCTCTTGACATCATTCTACAATTATGCCGAGCCGCATTTACCCGAGCATATTCAAGAAAGTCTTCGTTCCTTAAAGCAAGTGAGTGATTTAAGGTTTCCTGCAGAATGGTTTCCCGAAGCACGACAAATGCAAAGGTATGTAGATTGTATTGTGATTATATCAAGTGCGTATTATCTAATGAGCGAGTAGGAAGATCATCATGCATGTGGGCCCTACCAACAGCGGCAAAACGTATCATGCATTACGTCGACTTGCCGAAGCCAAATCGGGTGTCTATTGCGGTCCCTTGCGTTTATTGGCACATGAAGTGTTTCAAAAGATGAACACGGGTGGCGTGGAATGCAATTTATTGACTGGCGAGGAAAAACGACAAGTATCACCGACAGCAGCGCTGACAAGTTCAACGATTGAGATGGTCAACGTACACAAACCATTGGAGGTGGCGGTGATTGATGAAATTCAAATGATTGCTGATCCACAACGAGGATGGGCTTGGACACAAGCATTGTTGGGTTTGCCTGCCAAGGAGATTCATTTGTGTGGTGAAGCATCGGCAGTGCCATTGGTGAAGGATATTTGCGAGGATCTTGGTGATCACGTGGAGGTCAATGAATACAAGCGCTTGACACCCGTCAATGTGGTCAAGTATGCCCTCAACAATGATTGGACAAAGATTCGCAAGGGCGATTGTGTGGTCACCTTTTCACGCGGCCATATTTTCGATATCAAGCAAAAGATCGAACTCGAGACTGGATTGAAATGTGCTGTCGTATATGGTGGTTTGCCTCCAGGTACGTATGAGAGTAATCGTTTATGAACCAAACAATTCACCCAAATGGATAGAATTACGTGCATTACAAGCGCAAACATTCAACGACCCTGAAAGCCCTGTTAATGTGCTTGTGGCTTCGGATGCAATTGGCATGGGACTCAACTTGTACGTTGCATGATTATCTAACAAGGAATGATGCTCATGAATGATTTTCTTTTAGAAACATCAAGCGTATTGTATTTGCCACGGTTCAAAAGTTTGATGGAAAGGCACAACGCTACATTACATTCCCCCAACTCAAGCAAATTGGTGGTCGTGCTGGACGCTTTGGTACAGCTTATGCATCAGGAGAAATTACAACGTAAGCAAGTTGATGTCTTTTTCTTATGGACAAGAGCCTAATCCTCTTCTAGACTCAATCCTGCCGATTTATCCTATGTTCAAGAAGCCATGAATTCACCCACTCAAATGCTTACTGTAAGCCACCATCGTCTGTCTTGGACCCATGTTATTCGTTTTACTTATCATCAACCAACCATAGTCAGCAGGCCTTCAACCAACAATCGACATCATTGAACTTTTCGCCCTTCAGATGCCTAATGACCGGTTCTCGACCTTGCTGGTAAGCTGTGAAATTTATACATGGAGAAGGGATGATATGTATTCATCACTATTTCTCTCTAGCAACGGTTCCAAGATCTCGCAACCGTGAGTGGTACCTACTTTTTGTGCAACTTGGATGATACAAAGGCAAGTGAATTACCATATAGATACGTCAACGGTGAGCTAATACCCTATGTCAAAAAGGTTTTGGCAGATGCCATCGATCATATTTCATTGGATTTACGTGACAGGTACCAGCTGGTCATGGCACCTGTACCAACCCGCAAACCAAAGTGCGTGGCAACCTTTCAAGAGATGGCACAAAAGTTTAGCCAAGATGAATCCTGTGAGCTCGAGCAGTTTGTTGAGTTGCCTGAGAAGCCACCACGCACACCAGAAGGCTTGAATGACTTGGAGAATTCGCACAAGATTATCATGCTTTACATGTGGTTAAGGTACATGCGTATATTTTTATTCATACTAGAGCTGTATTGACTAATTGAATGATTGCGTTATAGCCTTCGATATCCTCACATCTTCACCACAGCACAAGAACAAGGATTGGAATTGAAGGAGAAATGTGAATCTTTGATTGATACTTCGCTCCAAGAGCAAAATACACAAAAGCTATTACATGCTCACCACGCTGCCGGCAATAAACGACTTCCAGACAACAAACACAAAGCTGCTAGACGACCTAGAGCCGACAACCCCAACAAAAAACGACGAACTTCAGGAAAGAAGCATTACGACACCAAAGCATAGAAAGCCATCATCATCATCATCATCAACCTCATATACCTTTCCAATGAATCATCCGAAAGCCATATTAAACCTATCGTCGTACCAGGGTAGTACATGTGTGTGTTCTTATATGCTTGATTTGCATTGTCTTGACAATGGCGGTTGTTTATTATGGGATAATGGTTTTGGGAGATGGGTGGAGTCTGCTTGCGGAAAAGATCATCACTACTCTATATGGTGAAAACGAGGGGGTGGGGGTGGTTGTCATTTCTCCAGGAACAAAGAGCCAAAAGATATACCCCGCTTTTAATCCCCAAATGTTTGTTAGTGAACTGTCAAACGATCTGCAACTTGCGATCGAGGTAAAACCCAATCTCGAATTCCTTAAGCCATAGCAACTAAGCAGCCACTCTCACTCCAATAGTCTCTTAACGCTGATATCGTTGAACTCTACAAAGGCTTTGCCGATCATTACCATGACCAGTGGGACAATGGTGTCAAGCAAGTCAATGTCACGGCTGATTTCCAAGATTCGGTCGGCAAGGTATGACAGTGAGCCACGTGATATCCTATTCACCATGCTAAGGCTATCATCGTCCTCCTTTAGGTACAAAAAGGTTGTGATCAACTCGGCCTGACAAAGGTGGCCCGCTATTATCATGTCGAGAGCGACTATTACGATTGGCCCTTGCGACAGCGTGCGTAAGTAACCATGGCAACGGATGTAGGATAGCAACCCTATTGTGCTAAGAATCGAGATGCTAGTTTTCGTGTATTGGCTCCATCCCCGGCTCACATGTGCAAAACAGTGGTGATGGTCAATCAAGGTTACTCTGAGAAGCTTGGATTGGATGAAAGTATGGTATTGGAATGGCATCATGATGAATTCGAAGTACTAATCAGCATGAACAGGTGTGTATCCTAGATACGTCTGCGTAGTGACTCAGGTACGTCGTGATCAAAGGACGAGGATCCATCATTGTCATTGAGTGCTCATATAATCTACAGTACATTGCTCCTGTCAACACTGCCAAGCTACTTGACTACTACCGTGGCCTTGTGGAGAAGCCAGCAGGAAAGAAATTCTACAACTTTAGATTGGCAAAACATGAGGCAAGTAAAGATCCCCTTATTGTTGTATGTTTCCTAACTTTTGAGATTCCATTCTAGATCTCTTTCGAATTGACAGGTTTCCGCACTGGTGGCGTGACCCCTATCGGCATGGATAAACCTATACCGATCATCTTGGCTGATTCGATCACAAAGCTTTCGGTAAGCGAGTGCTTCAAGTAACGATGGATGGATGAATCCTTATATTGTTTGTTAGCCCTCTACGTTCGTGATGGGTGCCGGTCATATCGATTGGAAGATCGCATTACCCGTACAAGACTTTATCAAGGCTACAAACTGCCTTGTACTTGATTTAGAATAGACAACGATGGTGCTCTTGGATGCATATGTATTATTAAAGGAAAAGAACGATTACAAATGAGCGAGAAATTACTACATACAGGGGGGTGTGATAAGAGAATTACAAATACTTTTGTGGGATGGGGAGGAAGATTCATTTTACGATACAGAATTCGGACGATGGCTCCAATAGCAACGATGACAAAGTAGGGCATCGGAAGCGACATTGGCTTTCCACCAATAAGGGGAGTAGGTGATAGGACATTGACTACATGCTGGATGGACGGCATCAAATGCGGGTATGGGTTGCCGTGCGACATCATTAGGAGATGAAAAGGATGGTTCGGTAGTAGCAGTAATCGTAGGCGATAAGGATGATGCTGATGTTGATAATTCAGGGGTGGATCGCCAATCCGCCGTCTTGCTACAAGCAGTGACCACGGCCTTGTAGCGTCGTGTGGCTGGTGTTGACCCTGATTCAACTTGCTTGCAAAGGCTGGCATAGAGGCGAATAGCCGACTAGTAGAATCAATTTAGATCGAGAATCCTTTATGATTTCATCATCAAGACATTACCTCATTTTCTTCATCGCATGTTCGGCTAGTGAGATTGATAAATGTGTCGTTTGGCACGTCATTGCTATGCTCTGAACACCATATCCGTGGGGCCAATACACCGGCTGGTGATTCGGGATTAAAGCGCCCAGCTGAAACCACTGCTTCCATGTTTTCTGCGGATGGCTTGATAATCTCAAATCCAATAGTACAATGGTTCCTTATGGCACATTCAGTATGCATCGGCTTCTTGCATGTGTGGCAGCCAACACATACACCACCTCGCTTCCCACATAGATGACAGGTCTATAATAGACGTATGAGCATGATGGTCTCAAAAGGTCATCACAGCAGCATAAAGCATACCTGTTCCCAACGAGATGGCTTAATAGCACCCACGTATTCCACAGGCTGCATCGTATTGATATGAACAAACTTGGTCTCAGGAACGAATAACGCACATAATACATGCACCCAATTGTACATTGCTGTTTGCTTGAGCGGCTGTGTAGTATCGGTCGTTGAGTCGTTACATAGGATGCATTGGTATTTCTATAACACCAAAGGTTAGTTATACCCTCGATGACTATCATAGGAAGAGATTCACTTACATAAGAAGCGGTAGGATTGTTCTTGTTGACACACACATCGCAATGCCAACCCTTCTTTTCAGAGAGATTTGCACCATAACAATCTAATTACAACTTGTAAGTAACTTTTTGAATCATGAAAAGGCATTCTTCTTACCATCATGTACTGATAAGCCGCAGCCGTAACATGTCAATAGCCTGCCATCCGGATCCATTTGCTTGCAAACAGCACAAGGAGAAGGCGTGAATGTCAACACCATATTACGAGTCTACATGGAAAAAGGAAAATGAGCATCTGCCATAGAGGATCATTACTTTCAAACTTACATCCTTATCACCCACTTTTCGAGATTTTGATGTGGCATCATCCAATAATCGTTTTCTCTTCATGCCTCCTCCAGCTTTGGGTGATCGGAATCGACCGCGTTGTCCTCCTTCATTTGTTGTCTTGGGCATGATGCTGTATTTCAACCAGATTTCTCCACAATCATTGCATAAGACTTGATGAAAGACTTTGCGCTTGAGGTCAATGTCCGTGGGCATGCGTCTCCATATACGGGATTCGGTTGTACCACAATTTGCACAGCTAAAGTCCTTCATGGCTTCAGGGGATACGCGTATCACAGTAGGATCAGGCTCTTCAACACCACTTTCAGCATCACTTTCTGAATCATGATTGTTGTAGTGGCTCTTGTTATCCTGCTGAGAAGTTGTTTCACCACCACTACCACCAGGCGATATGGATTTGCCAACATCACACTTCTTGAACCTCTTGGCGGGCTTGTAAACTTTGGTCCATTGCGAATAAACAGGCTCATATCGATCCGTTTTCTTCCATTTGAAAAAGAAACGAACCACATCCGCATGTCGTTTGCTTGGCACCATACGCCCCACTTGATAAAGATCATGACCATGTAACGTAACACCTTCCTCAAAGCTCTTAACCTCGTCTTTGGTCCAATCAACGATATACCCAAAGTCTTCGGTCGTAAGCTTAGATAAAGATTCGAGCGCGCGCTCGGGATCATGATTGGCGTTTTGAAGCTCCAACAAGGCACGATCTTGATAATCAGAAGAATAGGCTGGTAAGGGCAATGTCGGCAGTGTCTTGGCCTTCTCCATGTATTGACCTACTGATGAAAATATAAATAAGTCTCTCTCTAATGTCCGATTTTGATTTCACAGACATACATGTAGCTTCATCCATGCTCTTGTCAGGAACAAATAACTTTGTCACGGTCGCATCGGTCCCACGCTCAAAATACTCTTCATCTTCATCTTGCTCGGGTGGTTCTGAAGATTCCATATCTACAACAAAGGAGCCATCAATAGTCTGAAATTCAAGTTTTAATGAAAAAGAACTTACCATTGCGCCGTGTAGGACGTTTGCGACTCCGTTTTTCTGCCCGCTTTGCTTTGTATCGCTGTAACGCTTGAGCACGGAATGAAGGAACGGGAGAGGATGAACCATTGTCCTTGGCAGTGTTGGTAGATTCGACAACAGGAAGCGTATCGGCTTGATATCGAGCACCAAGTCTGCTCCGGGCACGTGGATAAATGCGATCATCAACATCTATCATAGTACATTAGAGCATGTACGAAAATAAACTAATGATGATTTCCTTACCAAGCACATCATTGATATCAGTATTGACACCGAAATAGCGAAAAGGCCACATGTTTGTCAGACGATAATGCTTTTGTTGGCCTATGGAAAGAATAGGAAGAATGAATGAGGATGTTATTATGATAGTAGCAGTGATAGTAGTAGTAGTACCTTGATAAGAACCTTCGGATTCTGCATTGGTAGTTGTACGTGATCGTCGTTGTTGTCGATTGGTAGTGGGAGTGACGACAATGGATGGATTGGATTTTTGTTGACTTTGAGAGCGAGTTGTCCTTGTGAAGCGCTTGTTTTCAGATGACGATGATTTTTTTGGTTTCTCTTCCAAAACACTTGAGCTTGTATTGCTATTGGTGGATGATGCTTCCTCGTCTTGGTGTTCGAGTCGAGTACAAAAAGTGCATTGCCAAGCGAAACCTTTGGGAGGCTTACGTAGCAGAGGAGGATTGATGCATGACATATGAAAGTTCTTTTGACAAGCGGCACATTTGACAGAGCTCACACTAGAAAGCGAAGATAGATGTTAATCTCACGTGCAATGGAAATTTTTTGTATATATATCAATCCTACCTAGCACACCAGCTGTGGCAAACACAACACGTACGTCGAGCCACTGTCAAATCAGCTACCTTGCCTTGCTCCACAACGACAAACTCGTATCGTTCACAAAGAGCTTGCTGGATGTTGATGGGGATATTTTGTACAAGTCGTGAGGGAATTATGTCGTAGACTCGCTGCATGTACCGATCATACAATTGATGATAATAGAAATGATCATCTTGTCGCTTATATACATCAAGCTGGTTGCTTGGAATATAGTTCTTGTATGTCACAGTGCACTTGCCGCGAATAGACGTGATGGGATTGACATCGGAATGCATGGTGGCGACAAGGAGTCGGGGATCGTACGACTTGCGGCTAATGACATCCTTGGGTCGGTTGAACCATGCGATGCGCGCTTGTAAACCTCGTCGCTTGGGACTGGAACAGAACTCCATGATACGCCCAATGTAGTAGGACTCTCCCAAATGCTCTGGGGTGAGATAGACATGGTCTATCATAGGTGTGTGTGTCAAAATCCAGCCTTGATTTTTAGGGCCATCAAAAAAAGGATGAGATATCACTATCTTACCGTTGACTGATACAGTGGTACCGTCGGCGAGTTTGGCTTTGGTTATAGCTGCTTTTGAGTCGGCCATAGGCAGAAGAATGCTGTAGCAATGCAGTTGTTCACGTAATGACCAAGTGGTGCAAGATTACCAAACGGTGTGTGTGTGAAGAACAAGAGGCGGGAAGAGAAGGATTGCTCCACTTGTGTGTGTCTCGTCTTGGGTTCAACCTACAAATCAAAAGCCGCAGTACAAGATTCATTCGCCTTCGTTGCCATGTCAACCATCCACACCTTTGATATTCATTCTTTTTATCACATGAGTAATGCCACTCATATTCCTATTCAAGATCATATCATTAAAGACGTTATCGTGATGATGTATTCCTGCAGAAAGGGTTCAATCGCTCATGTGGTACACTTGATGATCACGTGCAATGTTGATGATCGCCATACAGCGAGCGACCCTTTTCATCCCTGTACTCTCTCCTCCACACATTCAACTCACAAACTTTGGGAAACATGATGACAGTTTACGCTTATCATTCAATCAAAATTTTACCAAGGATGGACTCTTTTAATGACTTGAAACAAAAGATGTGTGTGACTAGCCAGGCACTGATCTATGTGTTCCTCTACATCATCATATATACGACTTACAGTTTTCTTGAAAAAGCCATGCTTGTAAACTTGATAAGAGATAATCCTCAACCGTATCCAATGCCTTGAATGAAAAGAGGGTGTTCAGGGCCAATGCCATCATCCTTTTTCTCTATGCCCCCTCCCCATATCATTGGATCATGTACGCTTACCTTCACTTCCTGTAGCTTATGCGCTTGCCTTTGATCCAATACCTCTCCTTGCGCCAATTACATCTTTACCATAGGAACGGGGTTTGACGACCTATCCTTCCCTAGTTACACGATCCCTATCCATATCAACCATGATCATGCATATGTTGTTATATGATGTACGTCGCCGTCCAGCCTGCTGCGATGTCGTTTCTAAGGCTGACTAATTGGAAGGTGTGCCATTATTGCTGCATCTTGTCAAAGAAAGAAATAAAAGGACTGCTTGACGCTCTTGCAAGCTTTCAACACGTTTCTGCTGTAGAGTCAAAGTTTGCCGTTAACGTAGTATGCTTGCTCGTCGTTCATTTGTAACATTGTGTCAAGTCTTGTGTGTTGGTGGAACTAAAAAAGTGAGGAGGAAGAGGAAGAAATGGAATCTTGTGTAGCTGAAACCATCCCTGTTCATGCTTATTTATAAACCTGCCTTCGTGTATGCATGGCATTCCCATATACTCCTTCCTGATACAATACATAATAATAGAGTATGTAGGATGATCTTAAGAGCAAGTTTCAGAACGAGTGACCAATGGATATGCATCTTGATGCCATATGAGTGTCATTGAATCGAGGGGGTCCATGCAAATTGGGTTATGCCGCTCGAACCCTACATACAAATCATGTTAGGTGCATTATCGCTTGCATTCACATGAATACCTTGATACATGTTCCTTATGGGATGCCGCTTACGTCCTGAACCTTCCTTGGTTTAAACATCATCCCACCTGTGCAGGAACCTGGCAACGTCGCGTGTGTAATCACCTTGCCTATCGTGCTCTCAACACAATCGATTAGCATCAAACAGCTCCATCACACTTATATAGTATAGGTAAAACATGCATGTAATTCATAATGAAGTATAGGTTCTTTTTTTGATACAAAGTTGATCGGCATGTCCAAGGGCATCTTGTGTGAAAGTTTGAGGTTCGAGAGGGGCAATCTCAATATCAAGGTTTGAATGTACAGTGTTCATGCATTTGTTGACAGGTGTCTCACAGGTCAACTTAAATTTCCAGCTCTTCCTCTCCCACGTTTCTTTTCTTGCTCCCATTCTCAACTGTTGCCCCATTCAAGTATACAACTATCACCTGCAAACAATTGTCCTGCTTCAACCCACCATGTCAAGCCTACAACGCTCTTGATCCGATCGTCTTGGGCTGAATGGCAAATCCATGGCGTGTACACTTCCTTCTTGTTACTCTTCTACAACACACGAGTCTCTTGACACAACACCTGCTCTTGTACACTCCCTCTACCACGACCAACCGAAAACAGTGTTCATTCCAGCAATTGCTATAAGCAAGTCCTTGACTCCATTGTCTCAAACAGCATTCACAGCCTTGTCGCTCTACTACAACACACGCTCTTCCACACTCCTCTTCCACGACCAACCGTAACAGCAGCTGCTATTAGCGATGTCTTTACTCCATTGTCTCAAGGTACTTGCAGCAACTTCCCCTACAGCCTTTCTACGCGAACAGCAGACAGACATTGTATAGAAGCAGCTTTATTTACGTGCAGCAACTTGCTTTTCAATACAAACGGATCCTATGGATGATGCCATCAGCTATTAGTACACCACAATACAAGCAATCTTCACCTGGTAGAGCCGCAACGAAAATATCCAAAAAAAGGGATAGACCAACGGCCGGATGGAAAAGGAAGCATACCAGCAGCGATCAGAGAGGTTCTTATGGCACTTGCAATGGTTATGGATGGATGGATGGATGCAATCAAGTGCAGTGATGAGGAATCCTGGAATGTTGCTTTGGTTACTTGTCGCGCTGTCAGTAGGAACGATCACGTGGATACGGCTGAGGATGATGGGGATGGATCGGATGGGATTGTCGAGAGAGCTTTTATCTTTGACGAAGGACGTTGGTTGATCACCATGGGCTGAGATCGGGACACGTGAGTCAAATCGTGCAGCAGCTATTTTGCAATCATGGATGAAGATGCTTACGACTATGACGCAACGATTCCCGCTGATTCTATGTCATCCACTGGTTGGTTTCTGGAATGAAAGAGAGGATAGAAATTGAAGATAGGAAGCGAGATTAGGTCATCTACTGTACATCATTGTATCCAGAGGTTGTCATCTTATTACATTCATTAAAGCTTCCTTGTTCATATGATCAGAGACGATAGGCAGTGATAGTTCTTAGGATTGTACGCAGGATTAAATAGACGCTTATATTTGCAAAGATAATAAACCCATAGTAGCTGCACCCAGCAATGGAGCTTGTTGCAGTAAGCCTGCCCATTGTAAGTCTTAAATCATTATGTACGTTTAGGGAAGAGTAAGCTCTGATACAATGTGGCACGAGTGCATACCTATGCTTTCCTATGAGAACCATCAGCATGCCCTACCTTATATAAGAACGAACCTTGGAGACAAGCAACACCATCACCCCTCATACTCGGATGCACTGATCGTTTTTGGCTTGTTGACCATACCGTGGTTCACTCGAAGATTTCCATGCGGTCTACCAAAGGCGGATCTTTACTATAGAGGGCAGCGTCAATCATGCACTCTCCACCAATGAGAACCCTTAAAGCATGTCTCTCAGCTTTATTACACAAACGCGACCCTCTGCAACTTTTGCTCTATCAGGGTCCAGCAATTGACAATGACTAAAGACCACTACTCATATAGCATCACGCTTACAGCATATGTAGAAACATAAAGACAGCCGTATCTCAAGATTTCACAATGAAACGTGAGATCTTTAAGAGAACAAAGTTGCTCGGCGGGACCAAAGCGATCTTGTGTCAAAGTATGAAGTTCATTGTGGCCATTCCCAGATTTGCCCAATGTCGCCACCAGCCAAAAAATATTTTCGTCGTCGTCGAAAAAAATTCAAGAGGTCGAACCACTTTGGCTGGTGGCGACATTGGGTGGATCTGGGAATGGCCACGATGAACTTCATACTTTGACACAAGGTGCGTTTCACCCCACCGAGCACGTTGTTCTATTAAAGACCCCACACTTCATTGTAAAATCATGAGATATGACTGTCTTTAGGTTTTCACTATGCTGCATGCATGATGCTATATGGAAGCTGGTCTTTGTTCATTGTCAATTAGCTGGGCCCTGATAGAGCAAAAGATTCAGAGTCGCTTGTTTGTGTGACACAGCTCATTTGCATGACTGGAACGATCAATGTATAATACTTTATGGATTACCTAGGAACAGTCATGTAATGCCAGCTAACAGCCAATTCATCCCATTCCACACAATCGCGTGTTCTGCTGCATGGGAACGATGCTCCTGCTCCAGACATTCATTTCCATGGTTCAATTCTCTTGATCCGAGCCGATTTGACTGAGCTACGCTCAAACCAAGAAACATCAGTTGAGGTAGATAGAGCACGCTTTATGTTGCTCAACTGATGTAACCTTGTTTGAGCATAGCTCACTCAAATCAACTCGGATCAAGATAATTAAATCATGGAAATGAATGTCTAGAGCAGGAGAATTGACCACATGTCATAGAATGGACAACAGTGCTGATTGAGAGGAAGTGGCTGTTAGCTGCCAATACATGTGTTACTGAATAATGCATAAAGTAGTCATACGTTGACCCTTCCAATCCTGCAAAACAGCTGTGTTACACAAAGAAGTCCCTCTGCATCTTTTGCTCTATTATAGTCATAGTACTTGACAAGGAACAAAGACCATCTTTCATATACCATCACGCTTACAGCATATGTAAAACATAAAGACAGCCGTATCTAAAGATTTCACAATGAAACATGAGATCTTTAAGAGAACAACGTGCTCGGCGGGGTGAAACGCACCTTGTGTGGTAGTTTCACGATAAAGCTTGCCGATCCCAGATTTCGCAATGTCGCTACCAGCCAAACTGGATCCGGGGGTCGACCTCTTGAAACTTTTTACGACGACCAAAAAAATATTTTTTGGGCTGTTTGCCACATTGAACGTGAAACTTTCACACAAGGTGCTGTTGGCCAAGCCGAGCCCATTGCTCTAATAAAAACCACACGTTTGATTGTAAAGTTTGGAGATACAGGCACCTTTATGTTTGTAAGCGTGATGCTATATGAAGAGTGGTCTTTGTTCATTGTCAAGTATTTATATGGAGGCTTTTGGCCTCAGATTTATTACGCGAGAGTATGTCAGAGAGTGATACCCCGCAAGCGAAACAAGATTGATACAATGAAAGTTTTAACGCGAAACAGACAAACGTAATCGGAAAGGCCTAATGCCTGAAACAAATAAGGACCTCATGTCCACAGAAGGATTGGAACCGGCGACCCCGGGAAACGGAAGGAACTGGATAGCCACCCGGCCAGGGGGGGATACCCCCTTTCATTGTCAAGTAGGTGGACCCTGGCATGGCAAAAGATGCAGAGGGACCTCTTTGGGTAACTCAGCTACTTTGCATGACTGGAAGGATGGAAGGGTGATACTGTATACTATTGACAATAACCCATACATTGCGAGCTAACAGCAATTTCCTCACAATCGGCACTGTTGCCCACTCTATGACATGTGAGCGATTCTCCTGCTCCAATCCAACATTTCCATCATTCGATTTTCCTGATCCGAGCTGATTTGACTGAGCTACGGTCAAAGAGAGATTACATCACTCTGGACATAAAGCACGCTCGATGTAGCTCAACCGATGTAATCTTGTGTGAGCGTAACTCAACCAAATCAGCTCGGATCAACCTAGTTTAATCATGGAAATGAATGTCTAGAGCAGGAGAATAATCCACCGACAGTAGAATGTACAAAAGTTGGGAATGCACAAAAGTGGCTATTAGCTGCCAATGTATGACATAAAAGTGAGGGTTGTGTACCTTTCATACATTGTCCCTGAAGTCCTGACTTTTTAGCTGAGTTACCCAAAGAGGTCCTTCTGCATCTTTTGCTCTGCCAGGGTCCACCTACTTGACAATGAACAAAGACCACTCTTCATATAGCATCACGCTTACAAACATAAAGGTGCCTGTATCTCCAAACTTTACAATCAAACGTGTGGTTTTTATTAGAGCAATGGGCTCGGCTTGGCCAACGGCACCTTGTGTGAAAGTTTCGCGTTCAATGTGGCAAACAGCCCAAAAAATATTTTTTGGTCGTCGTCGAAGAGGTCGACCCTTGGATCCAGTTTGGCTGGTAGCGACATTGCGAAATCTGGGATCGGCAAGCTTTATCGTGAAACTACCACACAAGGTGCGTTTCACCCCGCCGAGCACGTTGTTCTCTTAAATACCCCGTGTTTCATTGTGAAATCTTTAGATACGGCTGTCTTTATGTTTTACATATGCTGTAAGCGGGATGCTATATAAAGGTGGTCTTGGTTCATTGTGACGTAGCTTGACCCTGATGCAGCCAAAGATGCATAGGGACTTCTTTGTGTAGCACAGCTCTTTTGCATGACTGGAAGGATTGATGGATGATACTCTATGCATCATTCAGTGACAATCACATTGCCAAGATGATCGACTGGATCAGGAGAATCGTTCACATGCATTGGTTTGGGCAATAAAGGTGAAGGGGAGGAATGGGCTATTAGTCGGCATCGTACAACTTTCTTGATCCGAGAGGATTTGTAGTTGCCTTGTATCAATGATAAACACAGCATCGGCATGCACTTGGAATCAATCGCACTCAACCACTCCTCGCTGCCATATGAATCCAGCTATGACTTTGTATCCTTAAACCCAATGATTGTATAAATGTCATAATCTTTAAAACTAGCAGGGTGGGTTACCAGGTATTCCAACGGTACTGTGTACGGTGCTTAAAGTCACATGGTCATCGGCTGTCGCTTCTTCCACACTACCTCTCTTTTCCTTCACCGCAGCATAATGGCATTGAGCAAGATCGGTACGCTTTATTCCCAAATTGAAATGCTACAAGTTGGCTAATTCAATGGCTATAGTCTTTGTTACTGGCAACAAGAACAAGTTGGCCGAAGTGCAAGCCATTCTTTCAGGCTCAATCCAGCTTGAATCTCGCAAGATCGATCGTATGTTCCTTTTCTATTACGCTTGTCATGGATCTACCTAGTTCATCCGCTCACAAGTATTGTAACTACAGTGCCCGAGCTCCAAGGTACTACAGCTGATATCGCAAAACAAAAGTGCAAAATGGCTGCAGAGATGGTAAAGCAACTAAAGGTACACACGCCCAACTCAAGTCTCACCAGGGGTAACATAGATCAATGGACCCTGTATTACCGAGGATACATGCTTGTGCTTCAATGCCATGAATGGGCTTCCTGGACCTTATATGTAAGTGTAAAAGTAGATAGACTCAAGTGGTAGTGGATGAATCCTGATAGAGATTGAATCTATAGCAAATGGTTCCTTGAATCAACTGGCCCTGAAGGTTTGGTCAAGATGCTCCAGGGTTTCGGTGATTACTCAGCATACGCTTTGTGCACATTCGCTTATTGCCAAGGTCCTGGTCATGAGCCCATTATCTTCGAAGGCAAAACTGATGGAAAGATCGTGCTCCCACGTGGTCCTAGAGATTTTGGATGGGATTGTGCTTTTCAACCTGAAGGCTTTAATGAGACGTAAGTAACAAAAGAGCCCTTCATCCTATTGGTTTTCGCCTTGTTGATCATTTTTCTTCTTTAGTTATGCCGAGATGGATAAAGCTGTCAAGAACACCATTTCCCATCGATTCCGATCCATTGAAAAGCTCAAGGCATTCTTGCAACAACAACAGTAGATTGTATTTCCCAATAAACAATAGATTGTGTATGTGTGTGTAATTCTATACTCTATGTGTGACTTGACCAATCTTTAATGCGACGACTTGTGTGTGCCAGCCAGTAGTGTGGTTGTTTCTTTTGTTTGATATGCCGTCTTCTTGCCAAGAAATCCGACAAGAGCTCATTGAATGCATGCTCAAGTCCAATTGTGTACTTGTCAAGCGTAACACGGTCAAGGAATGCTTCAAGGCTGAACACGCAGACGATGTCCCAACCGAATGTCAAAGCATACGCAAGAGTTTTGCCGAATGTCGTCGAGGAATGGTAACTGATCAAGGGACGACCTTGTGTAAAAGGGCTATGCTAACGTTACCCTTTTCATTTTAGATTGATCCTCGTAAGCGTTTCCGTGGCAACGCTACGCAATAGTATCCATTCAACCTTTGTTGTCACATTGTCCCATTCCCTTCCCCGCTCACATGATCATTGTGCATGCTTTATCTCTTTATATCTTGTTGCAAATGTAAAAAAAATGAAATGCTAGATTGTTCTAATCATCCTCCTCAGCCTCGACTACAATGATATCTACCAATAATTCATCATGTTCTCCAGTGCTGTACTTGACCGAGATACTCAAACGATCACGACCACCATTGGCAGCCAATAGCTTGCTAGGGGAATACGATAAATTGTTCAAGAGTGCATTGACATCCTTTTGACTTGCGTTGTGCAACTCGATTGATTTGCTATTGAATGATGGCTGTTGTTGTTGTTGTTGTGGTTGTTCGGTAATAGTGTTGTTGGTATCCAATGTGAGAGAGCCAAAGGCTACTTCGGCTGAGATGGTCACGTGCTCGACAACAGGAGGACCACCACGGATGTAAATACGATCCAAACCTTGGAATCTTCCTGGAGTAGGATGTTGTAGTGCACGACGTCGCATATCCAATGCATCGGATGGCAATACTGTAAAGGATGGCATAAAACGGTAAACGTAGGAGCGTGGACCTCGTAAGCGCATGGGCACAACACGTGATCCGGATGAGCTTAGGATGGCGTGAGAGTTGATATCGGTATGTGGAACATCGAGATCAAAGAGTTGCAAGACACGATCAACGATGCTTCCTTCTTGAATGGGAAGATGATTTGTCATTTTGCCAAAGAGGTGGATATTCCATGAATGAACCATGATCTTGGTACGTAACTCGTGCTCAGCCAATGGATTGGGTAAAAGGAATCGATTGATCTCAAGATAGCTTGCTGGATATAACACTTCGCGTGGTAAAATAGTAAATCCACCCATCTCCAATGCTGCTCGGTGTTGTCGTACGTAAGTTGTAATAGCCTTGGGTCCATGACAATTGAAACATTCAGGGTCGTAAGCATAGGCAGAGAATGCATCTTCGCACATTTCACGGAACAACTTCCATCCACGTTTGAAACGTAACAATCCTTGTGGTAGGTATAAGCCTTCATCATCCAACGTCCATTCGCGATCACTGATAAGGCTCGAGTAGTCTGATCCAATAAACTCCATTTCCGAATCGGGAGGTACACGAATCCATAATGCATCCATATCCATATAAGTGCCGCCATAGTTGTAAAGCAATAGGCAACGGATGTAATCAGTGAGATGCCAATAAAAGAACTTTCCTTCAGCCCAACGGTCCCATTCTCGTAGCCAATCCTCAGTACCAGGTCCAAAGTACCAATTCCAAGTGAGCAAGTTCTCCTTGTTAAAGTGCACCACGTGAATATTGTAGCCGTATTGTCGATATTCGTCAAAGAAATCCGTTGGTAATGTGTTGGTGATCATGAAAATGATAGCTTGAGGTTCATGCACCCACACCAATTCCAATGCTCGCCAATGTCGCTCCGTAAATGTGGATGGATCACTGGTCCAACATACCCAATATAATAAATGCCATTTGTCTGTATCCGAATACACACTGGTTCGCTGTGAAAGCACGCCATCAATAATCCAAGCATCGTTTTCTCCAAGTACGGATGGCTCCAAGTCATCTCTCACTTTGGCTCCAGACACCTTGAGATAGTTGGATTGCTTATTCATAGTGATACCACGGAACTCGTCACATGCCAAATTCATCGCTCTCCAATCGTCTCGCTTATCGTGGCATGGATAGCATACGCCACATACCCCAGTATCCAAACCAGTGCATTGTGCCTTTCCACTGACAACATTTTCATACATGGTCGTCATGTCACCCAATCGAGCATCGTTGAACCGCTTTGCGATTTGCGTTGCTTCACACGCGTCACCATCTTGAATGCGAGCATCATGGATGACTGAAATGTCGTATCCAAAGAGCCAAATACCAAGGTTACGATCATCGGCAGCGACAAAACGTTGAGGAGTCTCGATGCCCACCACCAGATCAACAATATCACGTGAAAGCGTATACATGACGCCCGAAGTATAGGGTGGAAGAATCGGTAATGGATAATCCGTATTCATACTTTTGTCAGCTCCAAATGCATCGGGTGCCATGTTTCTAGTAACAACCCATATTAATCCTTATCCTTTTTGTTTACCCATCATCCATCATCAATTTACCTATACACAAGTCCTCGCCAATATTCTTTTTGTTTTCCCAAGGTTGCCAATTCATCCTCCACAACGTCCCATCGAACAAAGACGTTATCATCCGTTTTGACAAGGTAATCGTATTGCATTTCCCGTGACCATCGCATGGCTTCATACAATTTTCTGCTCTTGTGCAAATCGGGATCAGCTGCTGGGACCACCAACATGTCGTGATAGGATGCTGATTCAAGTTCGATCTTTGGACCCATGGTCATTTGCGTATGAGCGGATGGTGGCTGTCCAAGTACAAATCGATATGCAACGTTCTGATTGCCGAGTAACTTTAATGATGTCTGACGCAGCATCCTTCGTCGTTCATAGGCTTGATTTGACCATGATGACAAGATGAGAATGATAATAGACGTGCTTGCACCTGCCTCGACGACATGATCCAGGCCAAAAGGTTGCTGCATAAGTTGAGATGTTTGATATTGAAGACGATCCATTTGTTGAAGGGCGACAAACATGGTGAGAAAGGTGACGATTGAAAGTGGTAAAACGAGCACTTTGACAGCTGTTGATTTGAGATTGATGCGTGGACTCTGTACATCCTCAGCCTTGCGGTGATACTTGGGATTGGTGCCGAAGCATAGCTTGAGAATATTGCAGACCAGGAGAATAAAGCAAATCGTCATCCATATTGCAATGGGCTGATCGCGCTCCAACCTTGAACTGACAAATGCCGAGATTGACCCATTGATAACCGTCAACGTGATAACTCGTACAGTGGCGTTGCTGATCTCGTAGTGGTACAACCATCGACGCATCATGCTGGTGGTGAGGATCCAGCTCCAGTAACCAGCCAGGGCACACTAGATAGAATAGAAAAAGAGCTCGTCAATGGTCGCGTTCAATTGAAAGGAATAAAGAAAAGGGTACCCAAAAGTTGGCAATCCAAAAGTCGCTTTGCGTGCTCTTCAAGATCAAGGCACCACCTGAATCGCGGATGGGGACATTGTAAGCGGATCGAGTATTATGATAAGCGCCAAGTAAGGAAGGAAGTAGACTGAGAGTACGGAGGAGGATCAGGGGAAGATGATATCGACGAGGGACGTTGAGACTAGATAGGCCACGCTGTCGAAACGACGGCAAGCCGTTTTGTTTCATGAGGAGGAGGGAGAAGAAGCAGCACTGTCGGGACAAGCTTTCCTGACAACGCTGCCTGCTTAATATCGGCGTCGTACAAGAATTCCATTTCTCAATCATGCGAACCTTACATACATGTGTGTGTGTGTACAATAAACAATTTACTACTACTACTACTATTATTACATGATCATACATTCATCATTCATCTTCTTATCTAACTTGGAACTAAATCGATCCAACCAAGACAAATCACCAGTGCCTTTACCAAACTCAACATAGAGACATCCAGGATTGGGACGATTGGGCTCACAAGATACATTGTATCGTTTTACCATCTCTGTAATAGCTGGCTTGAGCTTGGCAATATGATCTAGATGGTGACATGGATACCAATAAACATCCCATAATACTCCTTCCATCCTTCTATTACTTACCTGGGCTATGAAGTCCTTTGCCAACAATAATCACCAAATGATCTTGCCCCTCACGCTCACACCGCTTCAATGCTTCATCCACCTTCTCAGCTGCTTCCTTGACAAATAGACCATGGAGATCAATTTCATATGGTGATCGACCCTTGTTCTTCTCGGCAAAAATCAAATCAGCTGCTTGTTGATTGTAATGCTTCATCGCACGATCATGCTTGTGACCCTGTACAGAGAGTTCCTTGGCTGATCACATGATCATCCACATCAGCGAATGGATCATTCCTCGTATAGTATGACGCATACATACCTTCAGCACCATCACCTGCCTGATAAGCTGCTTGGCTTCGTTCATAAAACTGATTTCGCTTTTGTGCCTCCTCTCCTGCAAGAGCGCGTAGTCTATGGTAGTCTTCAGGGCCGTCTTCCACATGGATCTCTTCTTGGTTGTTCTGATACTCCTTGAATAATTTGTATATACGAAGCCCCTTGTCGACGGCAGATTCAATCTTGTCAATCGAGGATTGTGAATTGCCCATGGTGACAATGGGTGAAGCGAGCGAGAGAGAAAAAAGGGGTCAAAGTCTACTACTGCTACTGCTGCAGAGCCTTATTAGCCGATTCTCCGCCAACTGAGACCTGCATCTTGCCAGCCACCATCATTGGTCAATAAACAGTAGCTTGCATCTAGCTTATTGCTTGGCAACATTTTTACTTTGCATGGAGAATAAAGACCACCCTATTGAATCATATTAACATAGCGCTTGATAAATACCAACAACGGTACGTTTATGCAAAGTAAGACCAATACAGGATGATCGTGGCTGATCCAACCAGGTTTGTTGCTATCATCCTCATTATGCATATGCACACGAGAACTTGCTTATTGGATACAGACGTATCCAAGCTTTTACTTTTTGCTTGACGACCATATACGATATCCACGTTACAACAGCAACGAATGCATGGTAACAGCCATGTGCTTGGTTACACACCTTGCAACTCGTGATTACCGGAACGAGTTAAACCATTTTCTGCATTGACATGTCCGACTCAGGTTGTCCTCTCGAGGTTGATAGCTCAACGCTGATATTCTACGTAAGACTTGGAGTACATTCATCATACGAATCATCCCAATGTTTTATGATCATTCTATCTTTGGACGATTGTACTCCATCCGAAATGCATTTGCATCATGATTAATATTTACAACAACGTATTAAGAAAGAGGACATACTACAAAACTCAAAACAAATGAAACTCTTTTGGTGTGTGTAATAAAAGGTTGCGATTGGGGATGTGCAAAGATGTTGGAGAAACATCATCAGGAGTAGTGGGTGCTGAATCATCATCTTCTTCCTCCTCGTCATGATCCGCTTGCAGAGATGCCATGCTGTAGCTGCGTTGTATATCATTGTTCGCATGATGAGGTGAATACTGTAAGCTGTGCAACCATGTAGCAAGATGAGAGGATGAAAAGGCGGACACAATGAATGGGTGGTGTAAGGCGTGATCAGCGGAGATGCGTTTTTTTACATCCTTTTCAAGACATTTGGACACAAAGTCGCGTAGGTTGTCAGAATACTTGGCGCTATCCAATGTGGGGGAAGGTTCATAAATGACCCTTGAGAAGATCTAAAACATCATATTGTCGTGAGAAAAGGACATGCTTGGGAAAAAATAGGAGAGCAAAGTAGTTACCGTAGCAGGTGTGCCATCACAAAAAGGTGGAGAGCCACAAGCCAGCTCGATTGCTGTGATACCAAGTGCCCACATGTCGACTTTTTCAGTGTACTCAAGATGTTGTATCATTTCTGGGGCCATCCAGCAGGGCGTACCAACAAAAGACCGACAAGGACATGATGTAGATTGAGGCACCGTCAAGAATTGACTATTTCGTTTCTGTTGTTGTTGCTGTGGATCATCATCGTGGATGATGATAGATGCACCAAAATCAGCCAGCTTGACAACGCCTGTTTGGTCGACAAGGATATTGGCTGCCTTGACATCACGATGGATGACACCATTGACATGTAGATAACGTAGTCCAGAAATGGTTTGCCTGAGAATGCTATTATTTTTGGCGGAGTGTGTTTGTTTGGGTCAGCTGATAGAGTTGAAGGTCGTCATTGTGTCATTTCATTGTTATTATTACCAGGCTATTATAGATTCCTCCTCTAGCCCGTCGGGCAAAAAGTCTGTTAAAAGGTCTCGGCAAGATCCTATTGGAGAGGTTTACAAAAATAGTCAATCACTTGGTCATGCGTTTGCCTATGTGCGTGCGTATTTAGGTAGCCTACCTATCATCATTGGCATGACAAGGTACATGTGATGTGACACCGTGAAGCTTCGGAGAATGCTGATAATGTGTGGATGATGGCAACGGGAGAGGATATGAATTTCTCTGCGTAGGGCGGTAATCTCCTTATCAGATATCCTGCAACGATTCAAATCCACCTGTTTCAAGGCTATCAATGATGATCGTGGTCGATAACTAGCGGCGAATACTATAGCTGATCCTCCACACCCTGCTTTTTGTTATTACATGTGTCGTGTCGTGATAGGATGATCAATACTGACCAAGCTCTTGTAAAAGTCGATAATCCTCTAGATGGCTTGAATAGTAATGGTTGGTGCGTTTACGTAATGGATGGCGTGTAGATGGATGTTTATAAATGATCCGTGATAGTAGCGAAGCAAGTCGTCGAAAGCAAAATGAAAAAGGGCCTCCCTTGTTCGGACCTGATGATGATGGTGAAGAGGAGGAGCAGAGCAATAGTTCATTCGCAGCTTTGCAACGTGGTGTAACCGAGAGTTTTCCGGTAGCATAAAGATGACAGGTGGATGTTTGTGGCGCTGATTGCATCAAGAAGACTTTTTGAAAATGTGTGTGTGTGTTTGTGTTTTTTGAGATAAACAGGAAAGAAGAAAAGGATGTAATGTGTGAACAAAGAGTGAGAGATAAGGCAATTATAAAAGGCAAAATAGGATCGCCTGTCGCGTTTTTGTGGTGTGGTTGGATGTTGGTTCCTGAGATCTAATTTCAGGTTGTTTTAGGATTGGTGAGGTGTCAAATCAAAACATTTCCCTCCCATTTGCATGTTCCATTGATTGTTACACCATTCATCATACACAGGTACATCCTCTCCTTGTTCCTCTTTAACGGAAGCCGTTTCCCGAGCATCCTAAATAAACAAGGTTTGCATCCTATTTGCTGCACAAATTGAAGATCGACATTTTGGGTCTAGGCACGACACCTCTTGTCATAACGTCTATCAAATAGCTGTTGTATTGGGGTATGGGGATGTTCTAAATGATTGACGCGTGGTTCTGTTTCATCATTGGGGTGATACGAAATCCCATTTAACATTGCGGGGCGTCATTCAATTTGGCGGTTGTCGAACATGTGAGCAAGCTCCTGCGTTATCCTTCGACATGGCCCAACCTGCACTTGCTCCTTTTGCAAATGAGAGCTTTTCACATTGGCCCTATGGTGGATTTCAACAATGATACTACCTATATAAATGCTATTAATAACAAGATGCTCCTGGGAATGACTAGAATACAACCTCAATAGTTGCTTATCTCACGTTAATATCCATCAGCTGATCCCTTCTTCCCGCTATTCGGGATGTAACTCAGAAACCCTATTGACAATAAGCAAAAGTGTAAATATCAATGATGTCGTTCGTATGCATATTGCACATAATAATGCACGTACAGTGCATCTGTATTTGTAAGAACACCTTTCCCCATAATGGAATCTTAAAGGGTTATTGAGCAATGTGCCGGTATCTTTGGCACCATTCATCTTCGTCAGCCACACTTTGGCAGGCTTCGGTTGACCGAAATGGGTTATCAACTGATGGGCAATTTCATTCGATAATAGTAGTAAAAAGATGTCAGCCCACATTGTTGCAGCACGCTGTGCATCAACGATATACAAAGTTTGCATATATTTACAAGCACCGTGAGATACGACCCGTGATTTTATTCTTTGTTTTCCTCCGCCATCAAGCTGTTGTAGGATGAATACACCTCAAGATGCATAATTTGTTCCATTAGTAAAAGTGCAACGAGAGTTGTTATTCATCCGGGCATGACGGGGATGGTGTATCATCATCCTGTGATAGCCTGATTGTGTATTCTCATTCCATTCACCATGTTGGTGGCGCGTATACTTTATGCTTTGACAGCCAAAGAACAATCAACCCATTGATTACTTGATTTTCTTGAATACAAATGATGTTGATAAAAAGAGCCATATTCCAGAAGGCCTCATGTTTACTCATACATCAGGTATGCAGCTGAATCCAAGTATAGCTTTCAAATGGATGTAGAAGACCCAAATTTCATTGTGTGGGCCAGTGCTTGTGCGCGTGAATTCCGCCACCAGCAGCGGGGCCATTAGAGAGGCGTGTTCCCTTCTTCGCCACAAGAACCAAGCAACTGCCACTTGCACCAGCTTTCCTCAATTCCCTTTTTATTTCAGACGCATATAGAATGTCAGACTTTACAGACGACAATGAAGAGGTGTATGAAGTCGAGAATATCGTTGATCATAGGAAGCAACGCGGAAAGGTACATTCTACAACAAACTTGACCCATGGGCTCGTTACTAATGTCACCATGTGTAGATTGCGTTGGAATACTTGATCAAGTGGAAAGACTATGACGACGACGAGAATACTTGGGAACGAGAGTCGAACGTGTAAGTGACAATGATAGGAACCAAAGAAAAGATATCATCATGTACTTATTCTCTTTCAAAGCAATGCTCCTGAATTGGTCGAGTCATATTGGCAGAGAAACGGAGGCAAGGAAGGACGTGAAGAAGCACGAAAGTATGGAAAAAAGAAGCAGGGAAAACAACGTCCTTTTTCGCCAAAGTCATCTGCTCCAGTCACCAAACGATCAATAACACCTTCACGACAACCTACAATGGTTGAGATATTCACCAGCAGCAGCAGTAGCAACAATGTTACACCCGAGATCCCCGCTTCAAAACGATCGCTATCACCATCATCAACCAAAGATGAACGCAACAAGCGGATACGCCATGATGAGAGTGAGGAGGATAATGATGATAATCAAGTCCCTTCTTTGTCGTCGCCTACCAAAGAGCCAGCAGCGGTAGAAAAGGAATCACCACATCCAATTATGGAAGCTGAAGAGGATGAATCACAACAACCGGTTGATTTGACAGATGAAGAGCCACAGCAATCAACTGTTGAAGCAATACCAGAAGAAGAGCCAGAGCCACCCAATGACAAAGCAACACCAGAAGAAGAGCTAGAGCCATCCAATGACGAAGCAATACAAGAAGAAGAGCCACAGCCATCACCTATGCAAGAAACACTTGAAGAGGAGACACAGCCATCACCTGTCAAAGAAACGCCTGAAGAGGAAGCACAGCAACCAATTGAATCAATGTCACCAGAGGAATCACAGCAAACAGTTGTTGAAGATATATCCAAAGAGCCCGAGGATGATGTGATGGTGAATAGGGAGGAAGATGAATTGATGGAAGAGCCACCTACGCGAGATGTGGAAGAAGTGCGATCGACATCAAGGGCACTTTCCCCAGATCAACCTATGGCAACGAGTGACACAGACATGGTGGATGAGCTTTTAATGACGGATGACGAAGTGGATAAACCAACAACGACATCGAGGACAACCAAACCAATAGAAGAGACATCATCACCATCCAAATTTTCACAATCCGATATTCGTACATTCGTCAAAGAGAACAGGTCTACATCACGGACAACGGATGATACGGCATCACGATTGGATAAGCTTACAGGCAACAAAGAGAACATTGCCGTTGTTTCGGATACGACGACCCATGACGATGATGAGCATCTCATGCCAGGCACGCCGAAGGATAAGCAGCTAAAGGAAATCGATGTTAATGATATCATTTGGGATCCTGAATATCCACCAGCACCTTGCAATTGGTCCGAGGAAGCCGAATGTGTCGAAACAGTTGTAGCTGATCCCAACGACAAGAATACTTTTCATGCTATTGTGCGATGGTAGGTACTTTGTGGAATGAAAAAGGATCATTTTGTTTATGGATGGCATATGCAAATAGGAAAAATGGCAAGTTATCAATGCACCAAAGCTCTGTACTGCGTGAAAAGTGCCCCCATTTGGTAAAAAGAAAAGGATGTAAAAGTGGCCCAAAGATGATTATGCTGACAATATCTGTATTACACTAGTTGATCGATTTTTACGAAACACGTCTCAAGTTTACAAAGCGAAATGAAGCAGGGCTTCCATCTTCAGTGCATATCTCATCCAAACGTGCTTAGTAGCAATGGTCGGGAAGTGGAAACGGGCGGTGATAGTAAAGTTAGTCAGCGGAAATCAACTCTAATAAATGCCACTGTCAGCATGTTTTATCTTCCTTCCTACTTTTGATACACGCACATTCACATACCATCATGGATATAAAGAACATTTTCGATGTCAAGGGCAAGGTAGCGTTATCATTGTGATGATAATAATGACAACCCCCATGTTAACGAATGGAAAAACACGACACCCTAGGTTGTCCTGGTCACTGGAGGATCGAGAGGCATAGGAGAAATGATTGCAACGGTACCCCATTGGCTTTTGACATTCCAACATTGGACACCCATGCTCAATGGATGACCTATAGGGTTTCGTGTCTGCAGGTGCCAAGGTCTATATCACCAGTCGCTCGGCCGACGTTTGCTACAAGGTACTCTCTCTCACACACACACATACACAGAGCCTTTTATTGCATGAATCGACTCCTGTTGCATAGAGATACTCAATGAATGATATGATAGGTTGCCGAAGCTTTGACAGCACAAGGTCCTGGTCAGTGCGTGGCTATCCCTGCCGATCTCCAAAAGCTTGAGGAAGTCAAACGCTTAGTGGATGAATTGAGCAAGAAGGAGGAACGTAAGTGTACAATGAATCAGGTAAAAGAGGTGGTGATGTAGTATACTAATGGCTTCATAGGCTTGGATGTTCTCGTCAACAATGCTGGTGCCAATTGGGCGGAAAGCTTGCATGATTACCCTGATGCTGCCTTTGAAAAGGTCATCAACTTGAATTTGAAGCGTATCTTTACCTTGTCACAAGCGTAAGTAGTATATGGATGGGAAGAAGATGCGAAAGGATGGATGATTCATTGTGTGATGTTAAATAGATGCTTGCCATTGTTGACTGCCAAAGCATCTCCTTCATCGCCTTCGCGTATTATCAACATTGGATCGATCGATGGTATTCGGGTAAGTTGGGTTATCTTGTGATTGAGGCATAGCAACGATCTGACAGGAACACAAATTGTAGGTCCCTCCTCAAGAGACATACGCTTACTCAACTTCCAAGGCTGGTCTTCATCATTTGACACGTCATATGGCATCCAGACTTGGTGAAGAAGGTGTTCTTGTCAATGCCATCGCCCCTGGTGCATTCCAATCCAAAATGATGAAAGCAACACTCGATGCCTTTGGTGAGATTATCAAGTCAAAGATCCCCGTTGGTCGCATTGGATCGCCTGAAGATATTGCTGGCACTTGTATTTATCTTTCATCGCGTGCTGGTCAATACACAACCGGTGCTACTATTACCGTGGATGGTGGTGCAGCAGTAAACGCCAACCTGTAGAAGCTATAATCGTTGAGAGTTTTTATTAAATGCTTCCATCATCATTTGTTGACTACGACTAGAAGAATACGTAAAAGTGTGGTATCATGGACCATTTTTCTGCCACCTGTGTGTGTAGTTCATGATGGCACTGCCGGTTGTGATGCTGTAGTGGGGGCTGCTTCTTTACGACCACGAGCTCGTAAGCTAAGTTGTTGGGCAAGTGAGCGGCTTTGTTGTTTAGATAAGCGAGGACGTTCAAGGTTGCGTATTGATTGTGTACGTGTAGAGTAGTAACGTGCCGAAGTATCGGTTGATATGATTGAAGAACGACGTCGTGTCTTGGATGGCTTCTTTCGCAAACCAGGTTGACGTGGTTCAAAGATGCGTTGCATACCAAACTTGATCCAATCAAGAGGAGAGAACCAAACAAAATTCCATACCCAAGCAACACCAGCCCAGTGCCAACCACATCCACGAATATCAGTAAATCCCCAATTAGCATACACCGCAATAAACGTGGCTACCAGCTGTGCAACTATAAAAGCGCACATGAGAAGAACAGATGGCCGCTCCATGAAAAACCAGCTTCGAGAACGAGTGATGAAGATGAGGCCTTGTGAAATGGTGGATACTTGAAGATAGATGATTGAATGCAAGATAGGATCGTTGGGATCTGTAAAAGTCTGTAATCCAAACTTGCGATTGAAAAAAGTTGTCTTGTACAATGTTGCAAAAAAGGCAATGGTAGATGCTGCAAGGTAGAGACCATAAACGATCGCATATGAGAAAATCTCAAAGAGATTCCATTGGTCTGGATGAGGTGATGGTTTGACACGATCTTTTGAAATGGTCATGATGGTACCGTCGTTGAGCATAGCCAAGATAAGCACCATGAAGGGTGGGAAATCGAATTGAAAGGCAAAGACCATGATAGCAAAACCCACAACCACACGAATGGTTACAGCGCATGTATACATACTATAGTTACGTGCACGTTGGAAAATTTGACGCGATTGAATAAAGGCCTCCACAATCACTGATAAACCAGGTTCGGTAAGCACAATGTCAGCAGCAGAACGTGCAGCATCGGATGCATCGGCTACTGCAACACCAACATTGGCCTTTGATAAGGCTGGTGCATCATTGACACCATCACCTGTCATAGCAGTCATATGGCCAAGATGTTGCAAACGCTCGACAATTTCATACTTGTGTTCGGGATATACACCAGCAAAGCCATCAGCACCCAAGACAAGCTCATCAACATTTGAATAACCAGAGCCAGGTGGTGGGCCATCTTTGAGCGTTGTAGAAAGGTACATGTTGTCACCCATACCAAGACGCCGACCCGTTTCCTTGGCAATAGCCAATTGATCACCAGTAATCATTTTAACTTGAACACCAAGAGCAATAGCACGTTCAATGGTATCTTGAGTATCCGAACGAGGTGGATCATAGATGGGTAACAAGCCAACCAATCTAAACCCAAGACCTTCACCACCCACTTGGCCACTTGGTACTTCATCCACAGCCACTGCAAGTGAACGCAAACCACGTCGCGCAAATTCTTCGACATCGGCTTCCATTTGCTGTACTTGCTCTTCGGTCTTGTCACGTGTGCACAAATCAAGGATAAAATGGGACATGCCTTTGGTGGCTCGATACACCTTGCCATTGCTCTTGAGGCGATAGGTGATTTCGGTACGCTTGATCACTGGATTGAATGGCTTGAATTCAAGTTCTTCAATATCATCACGTGGATTGCCATATTTCTCACGTGGCAATGATCCCACAATGGATGCATCAATGGCATCTTGGTTTTCAACACGTGATGCATAAATCGAAAAGCGTAAAATATCGGTGGCATCGTAACCAGCATATGACTTGATAGTTGGCACGTCGACAATTAGCTTGTTGAGCGTTAAAGTACCGGTCTTATCTGAACATAAAATGGTCACGGCTGCCATTTCCTCAATAGCTGTAATGCGTGTAACAATAGCCTTGTGTTCGGCAAGTTGTTTGGCACCAATGGCAAGGGTGACGGATAACACGGTTGGCATGGCAATTGGGATACCACCAATGAGCAATACAAGGATGTTATCGATACCACGTCGATACGCGTAACGATAGGCAGCGTACATGACAAGGATCTCAATGACAACAAAGGTGCCAATGGATACGAGACAAAAGTTACCAATCTTGGCAAGAATCGATTGCAAGTGACCAATATCTTCACCTGCTTCACCCACAAGCCTTGCAGCACGGCCAAAGAAAGTATTGGATCCTGTGCCAATGACAATGCCTTCAGCTTCGCCTTGTTTCATGGTGGATCCAGAAAAGATTTCATCACCCGCTTCCTTTGTTACTGGTAACGACTCGCCTGTTAATGCAGCTTGATCAATGGATACTTCACCATGGGCGCGTACAAGTCTTCCATCAGCAGGAATCACATCACCAAGCTTGATGCTAATAATGTCACCAGGAACAAGTTCAGAGGCATCCACTGTTTTCCATTGGCCATCCCTTTTCACCTTGGCTTCAGGTGCCAATGCATCCATTAACGCCTTAACAGCATTACCCGCTTGTCGCTCTTCCAAGAAACCAATGATTGAATTGGCCAAAAGCAAAATGACGATACCAACAAAATCGGGCCAATCTGGTGGTCGACCTCCACCATTCGACACGGCAATAGCTACAATAGCAGCTGCTTCCATCACCCATGAAAGTGGATTCCACATAAATCCAAGAAATTGAAGAATGGGATTTTGCTCCTTGTGCTCGAGACGATTGTATCCAAATTTGTCAATTCTTGCTTGAGCTTCTTCACTTGTCAAGCCATCGGTGCTTGTTCTAATTTGGTCGAGTGTCATTGTTTGCTTCTTTGTTCATAACCCATGCATTCATCTCCCCGCCAATGCACACGTGATGATATACAACAACTTACTCTAGTAGACAAAAGAGCTGTGTAGCTTCCATCTTTGATAAATCAAAGTGATCATGATCGTACAATTGCTCCACTGGAATTTCCTTGAGTGGTGGAAATTTCTCTGGTTGAGCACTACTACCCGTTGCTTTCATTCCTTGCTTTTCAGCATCCGTGCTTTTGCCTGGTGCATCACCCACAGCCGTTTCAGTCGACTCACGGGGAAAATTCTCCTTATCGGATGAAGGTTGCACGCCTTGTGGTTGTGGTGGTTGTCCCGTATTGGTGGTAGTAGTGTCATTGGTTGTCGATGCATCTTGTTGTTGAGGACCACCATCACCATTGTTAGCTGGTGGTACTTGATCCGTTGGTGCTACCTCATCAGCTGCTGCTGCTGCAGCCTTTTCTGGGTCATTGTTGGCAGACATTTGTCTGGCAAACACTATAATTTGATCGGAAAGAGTAAAAGAGATGTATGAAAAAAAATCTAGAAACAAAGAGTTGAATTATGCAAAAGGTATTCACCGATTCCGAGCCTCCTAATATGGCAATTGCGATATTGTATATGTCACATGATGGATCAGGATTACTATTTACTGCTGTAACCATAGCAGAGGTACACACACACACATGCGTGCGCCTGTGGCAAACCCTTTTTTACTCTCGCGCACTGTCAAACTTTTTTTTCTCACCTCTCTTTCTTATCAAAGTCATGACTACTGCTACAAACGATCCAACACCTTTTATGCCAGATGTATCCACGCAAGGGGAATACCTTCTCGAAAACGGCGCGTTATCGGTTGCCACGGCACTACCGCCACAACCACCCTTGTCATCTTTACCCCAGCCATCTCAGTTACCCGTTGCTGCTGCTGCTGAAGGGGATGACACGGCTGAAAATCAAGACAAGCAAGTGCCAACGCCACCACCGGAACAATCACAAGCCAATCAACAACAACAACTTTCTCCCTCTGTGGAAAGAAAACGAAAATGTAAAGCACCTTTATTTTTGACATCATGGTGAAGCAAGAAGAAAAGCACCTAAATGCATGTCGCATTAGCTGTTTCATCCGCTGGTCTAGAATCTCATAGGGTTGCCTGGAGCGAAGAAGAGGACAAGCGTCTTCTCATGGGCATTGTAAATATCCAATCATCATAGCATGGGTCAATGACATCAATCTGATGGGATCCTTTATTACATGTAGGAGAAGTGCAGCTATGGAAGATGGAAGCAAATTGCCGAGATTGTAAAAACGCGTAACGCCCTTCAGTGCAAGAATCGTGCACGTCACCGATACTCCTCTAACGGGGTGAGTAAAACCATTGATATTTGTATAAGCTGGTCTAAATGTTTATCCTTCACATACTTTAGTCAACACGTGCCTACAATGGACGACAAGGCCAAGAACAACCGACAACAACGACAACTACTGCTACATCGCCTTCTTCTTCATCGGTGCCAGCAACTTCCCCTACCATTCCAGCTAAAGTTGAAACAACCCATATCCATAACGTTGAGGAAAGTGGACACCAACAACAACAAGAAGCTGATTCAACTCAAGAACAAGTGGAACAACTTGTGCCACAACAACCGGAGGAGGATGAAGTGATGCTCGGTGAGGATGAGATCACTGATGGTGAACGACTTCATCTTGCCGAGTGGTTTCAACACAAGAACAGGATCAAAACGCCCGAACGATATTTAGGAATTCGCAACTACATCATCCAACAATGGAATGCAAACAAGCCCAACTACTTGAACAAGACCGAAGCGCGTCGAGGGCTGATCAATGGTGGTGATGTCAATGCTATTGGCCGTATACATGATTATCTCACAGAAGCACGTGTCATCAATGTCAACTGTATTCAACAAAAGGTTCGCAAGGCACCCACACGTAAACGCCAAACACATTACTACGAGTACATTTCAGAAGAAGAAGACGATCTTGACAATGACGGCGGCTACATGTAAGCGTGGATGCGGGGTCTTTTTATCTTTTTCATACAACATGATGATGGATGCCAACCTTGATGCTTGTACAACATCGTAGGCCAACAAACAAGCGTAAACACAGGCAAGCCATTTCACACACACACACACACTCACTCGTACTCTTTCTCTCATACTCTAACATTCTTTATCCATAAACAATGTATTTGTTTCAGGCTCGAGGAGGATTATGATGATGCAAGCCAACCCAATGGCCGAACCAGAGCTCGCCCCAAGCGTACCACCAAACCCAGAAAGCAATTTGACATGGATGATGACGATGATCAATTTCGATTGGTGTCTTTGCATGAATACGAAGACGGCCTTGTTCCTCAATTTAACATTGAAATCAATAATGACGCTGTGGTAATGATGAATCCAAAATACAAATGCCAACGAAAAGCTGATTGGATGAATGCACCTAGCTTGTCATGGATTTCCATGCTCATACACGGCACACTGAGATCATTGGTGTCCTTGGTGGTAACTTTCGATTCGACGACCAAGGCTTTCCTACCCTATTTGTCGAATGTGCTTATCCATGCAAAGTCATCAGGAGCTCTGGCATTGAGGTACATGTTGCTTTGTTCTTATCATCCTTCACAACCTCATACTCATTGGATCATGTATGTACGATAATAGTGCGAGATGGATCCCGTGTCAGTTTCTCGTGCACGCGATGAGCTGGCTGCTCAAGACCTTTCCGTGGTTGGATGGTATCACTCACATCCTACCTTTGAACCCATTCCAAGCGTTTGTGATTTGTTTTATCAGTTGCAGCAGCAGGTATGTGTGGACAACGTTGACACCCAATACACCAACAAGTGATATTAACATTATCCCTTGTAACATACGTAGACATACTGTGCCCGTTTACCCCAAGCAAATGATATTGATCCATTCATTGGTGCCATTGTAAATCCTTTTGACGCGAAAACTCACCTTGATATGCCTTCTCAAATCCGATATTTTCACGTTCGTCGTGAATGGGAGGATCCTACACAAGATGGTGGACCACGTATGTATCCCACATCGGTTGCCAATTATCAGCTATATCAATTCTTTCTTTTTCCTCTTTTTCAGATCCAGCATTTGCTCTGTGGCCAACAATCAAGCAATCAGCTCAACAAGTCGTTCCTGAAGAAAATGTTACAAGGCATATCAATCGGCTTGTGCAAGAATTTCTAGGGTGGGTTGATGATGATCATTGTCTCCTCATTCATCATCATGCTAACGTGATATTATGTATGTAGTGCTACGGATACCGACAACATCCAGGGTCGATTGGACGAGATTGTCAATTCTGTCATCAACAACACAGCCGATATTCTACCAAGCAGGGTGGAATTTTTGGAAAGCATTCGCAGGATCCTTGGCTGATAGCATACATATGCATGATGAAGCCCATTTTGTTTCCCAAACCATCTTTTGTATCCATCACTCTATCCAAAATTCAGCTGTTGATATCTCTCATACTTTTTGATCAAACCAAAATTTATTCTTTTTCTATCCAATTTTCATATTATGACTGCCTTGATGTGATGTAAAAGTAAGATCCAGCACCTGAAAGAGTAATGGCGATTCCTGCAGCATACTAAAATGCCACCAGTGTCACACCATCGTATCCCCAAAGAGGTCAAATCACGCAAGTTCTTTTCCTTGTTCCCAACACACACACCTTGTCCCTCATCCACTCCACCCCCACGCATGCATAGTAACACATGTCTCGACATGCATTTGAATACCCCCTCCACCTTTGCACTCACCATATTGGATAATGGATTGCCGAATAATGCAGCTGCCAGGATAGTTTGTAAGCAAGATTTGGTTCCGATAGCCATAATGTACGTCAATGGTGATGTTTGCCGGATCAGCATGATGCCCAATAGATTGACTCCAAGACCGAGCACACCCGAGAGCATCTATTTCGGCAACCCATGAGTCTCAGTTGAGCCGACATGCATAGACGTGCGTCTCCTCTTCTTTTTATAAACCCACTTACCATTTGAAACCAAAAGCCAAGGTCGTTCCAAAAATAAGGCAATGGACCTTGCCATTCACCTGATAAGAGAACGAACACCAACATGCCAAGAGAACCCAGCCCGGTGATGTATCGGATCATAATCCTACCTAAGCCGTTAGCTCGTTCTCATCTCCCCATTCTAATCCCATGATACGGTTACCCTATGTCAACGGTTGCCATGGTGTGGTTGGCTAGGATACTGTAACTTGCAACCAAGAATGCATGCAAAAGACCTAAAGAGAGACCTTGCCAAGATGTGGATGGCGTGTGGCTGTTCCAGGTACTGATCCATGATCCAATCCAAAATACAAGACAAGGAAGGATGTGCAATGATTGAGATGATCTTTCGCTGGTCAACACGACGCGTGACAGTGCAAGTGTCAAGGGGATGGCAGCTGCAAGAAACAGGTGATAGGATGTTGCTGGTACATGCGTCAAGAATATAGGCTTGACACCTAATAGCGCTGTGTATACACCAACGGTAGGTAAGAGGAATCTTGTTGATGGCGAGACATGGGTTTGCTTGGGGCCAAGGAATCGAAGGGCCAACCAGCCAAATCCAAGTTGGAATGCGTTGATGGAGTAAGGGTAGTGAAGCTTGTATTCAGTGGCGACGATTAGACGTGTAATGACAAGAGTGGAGAATAAAGAAGCCAAAGTGAAAAAGAATATGAGTTGGAGTTTATCATGAGATAAATAGAAAAAGCGCCCTGTGGTTGTGGTTGTCGGCAGGGGTAAGTTGCTTTTATCCACCATATCAAGGGTAAAGGAAGCGACGAGAGAGACAACTAAAAGGGTCGGGGATCGACTTTTTGCGGTACTTGTTGCAGCAATAGCATCTGTGTGTAACCACAGGGATGCAGCACAGCACAGCACACCCACATCCCTTTATCCTGCAAAAGGGCAAGGTGACGCCCCACGACCCGCAGCCCTCACGTGTAGAGACACATTTATAACCATCACCAGCTGGTCTCTCTTTTTCTTTTTCTTTTTCTTTTTTTCTTCTTCCTTTCCCCTTTACCATTTTCCATAACAATGAGTACGTATCATCAACATGCCTTCTTTTTTCTTCACTCATTCGAGTTAACTCTATCGTGTAGCTGCCACCGATCCTAGCAAGGTTGAGAACACCCAACGTCTTGATAACTTTTTGACTCAACGTCCTGATGCACAAGAGCTTGTTGACAAAAACATTCTGAAAGGTATGTGTACGTGTGTGCAACATCAAGGACATCATGCTGAAACATCCTTTTTGCCCTGCATCGTTCTTTCCCCTTGCCTGTCATCTCGGCAATAGATCCCAAGGTTGCTCCTGCTCTTCAACAACAACGTGATGAGCTCTCCAAAGCACGTATCCAAGATACTTTACGCCACAAGATCGATCACCGCCCCACTCGCGAGGAACTCGTGGAACATCACATTTTGGGCAAGTAGGATATGAAAGGGAGAGCGAAAAGCACTCGTATACTAATGTAAGCCAATAATACAACAGAGCCAGCTATGGGTGAGGACTTTCAAAAGATGCAGGATTCACTCAAAGAAAAGATCACTGAGCGACCCGATCGTGAAACACTTGTGCAGCAAGGCATCTTGGCAGGTAACGAGACGTGTGGTGTGTGATGAGGGGAGGGGGTTGTTGAAATCGGCTCATAAGCAAGGGCCTCCTTGCATGTACTTATGTATACCTCTGCAGACAAGGAGTGATTTATCTATCGTCACAACATCCACTACTTGACAGTAATCATCAACACCCAACCTACTCCATCTCCCTCCCAAATACGATCATAAGCCTAATAAAGCGAAAGTTTCTTTGGGCGCTGCATGTTTCTTCTCCACGTGATGTGGATCCTATTATGCATGTTTGTCTTGATGTACTCTTTGCTGGAATATCATGTGATTCGCTGACAGCAATGAGGGAAAAGGATATTAATTCGCGTGGGTGGATGGTTTAAGGTGATGTTTATCTGCGTAGGTATTCATAAGCTAACATAAAAAAGAGCAATACATGTATGTAAAAAGGGGAATACTACATTTTTGGTTTATGACAACAACAATGGACCATTTTCAGAGGATGATGCATTCCATGTGTGGAACTGGCTTATTTGGCGGAACCGGTTCTCGAGGACGTGTCCACGTTGTTGGACCTTGAACCATCACTGGTGGTGGCGGTGGTGGTGGTGGAGGAGGAGGAGGTGGCGGTGGAGGAGGTGGTGGTTGTGGTTGTCCACCATTAGGCACCACTATGATCTGTGGTGGAGTTCCTGGTGCAGGTCCTGGTGCAGGTGGTGGAGTAAGCATGACGATATTACTCATTGTTGAATGTCGTCGTTAAAGTAGAGTTGTAAGGTATCGTAAAGAAAAAAGAATAAAAAAGAGATAGAGAGAACAAGAACGTTTGCCTTTAAATCTTAAGCTCTTCTTCGTGAGAGGGCTGTGCGCCATTATTGATCGCCCGGTGATACCATGGATGGCACAAGATGGCATTTATCAAAGGTCATATGTACGCTCGCCCATCCCTCCAGCCCAAATCATTATCATTGTCATCAATTCAGCAGCAAGTATGTATGGCAGTAGTGTATAAATAACAGCACCAGCAAAAGAGGTGTTTATGCAGTGTAATGCAGGAACCCATTTTAGGATAACGACAAAAGTGGTTCACTGTTTACTCCATTCATGTACCAAAGAAAGCAGGCGCTGGTGGCACCACCATCACCCATTCACCACCGCAAGTAAACAACAAGCTTCATGATCTATCAGTTGTGCCTGTGCGTGTGAGCAAATGCATATTAAACTTTCAACGTCCGGTTACCTTTGGTCTATCTTGGACTCTTTTTTCGCGCTATAGCGCGTGAACCTGTCTTGTTCTTGTTGAATTCCTTCACATGGTCACAGCCGATTTGAACGAGCCATCGCCACCTTCCACCACTTGTAAAGCAGCAGCAGCTCATGACTGGACGACTAGCAACATTACGACGCATGGCCGGTGGTTCAAAGATCAGCATGGGAGAACTCTTTTGATGCGAGGTGTCAATGTGTGTGGGTCTTCCAAACTTCCAACCAAGCCATACCCTGGGTCGACTCATTTATACGACGAGAAGTTGTTCTGGGACCATCGCAATGTCAGCTTTGTTGGACGACCCTTTCCACTGAGTGAGGCGAGGATGCATTTCGCAAGGTTACGTGCCTGGGGTCTCACATTAATTCGACTCTTGATCCCCTGGGAAAGCATTGAACATGCGGGTCCTGGTGAATATGACGAAGAGTACATTGATTATCTACGCGACTTGATTGCTATCATGCCTGAATATGGCCTTCGATGCTTTATTGATCCTCATCAAGATACGGTATGCTATCATGATAGATGAGTTGAGTTGCATGACCTGATTAATAACATATATGCACATAGTGGTCTCGATTTTCAGGTGGATCAGGTGCACCAGGGTGGACGTTTCAAGTAGCAGGCATGGATATACGTGCATTCAAGGAGACGGGTGCAGCTTATGTACATAATACAAATGCCGTTCCTGGTGATCCATTACCCATGGTAAGTGAAGAGGAGGAGAAGTTGTTATCAACAAGTGATTGACTTGCTTGTTTACAAGGTGTGGCCTACGAATTATACAAAGCTGGCATGTTGTACCATGTTTACCTTATTCTTTGCTGGTGATACATTTGCTCCACAACACACCTACAATGGCCAATCCATCCAACAATTGTTGTCATCTTGTTTTATCCAAGCATTTGCTCACTTGGCAACCCGACTCGCTGATCTCGATGCCGTGATGGGATTTGAAGTCATGAATGAACCCCACTCTGGATACATTGGATTATCGACTTTGGATGAATTTGACCCTATTGCCAACCTCATATTTGGTGATGCACCCAAACCACTACAATGCTTTGCTCTTGGTGATGGTATTCCTCAACAAGTGGGCGTTTATGTCAAATCATGGCCATTCCCTACCCGCAAGTCTCATGATCGGTGGATCAATCAAAGCCGCACTTCAGCATGGCTTCCTGGTCAATCATGTATTTGGCGTCAGCATGGTGTATGGGACTTTAACAACAAGGGTGAACCTGAGCTTGTTGATTCGGCCTACTTTTCAAAGCATCCAAAGACTGGTGAACCTGTCGACTTCTATCGAGACTTTTACGTCCCCTTTGTCAATCGCTATGCCCAAGCTATTCAAAAGGTCAAGCCGGATTGGTATTGCTTTGTGGAACCACTTGCCAATGAGAAATCACCCACCTTTGGCCCACAAGATCATCATCATAATATGATCTATGCTCCTCATTGGTACGATCTCAACTGCGTCTTTTACAAAAAGTTTGATGGCCGCATCACACATGATGTTCAATCCTTGCAGAATGTAAGTTTGGGAATATGGTTATTGGATGGTGATGATGATGATGATCGGCTCACATGGTGATTATCTTAGGGTGGCAACGTGTTTAGTGCCACATACTTTGGTCGTAGTGGTGCCAAAGTCAATTATCGTGGTCAAATTCGAAATATCAAGCAATCCGGCTTAGACAACATGGGTGACAAGCCATGTATCTTTGGCGAAGTGGGTATTCCTATGGATCTCAATCAACGCGCCGCTTTTGAAACTGGTGATTATGAAAAGCATGTTCACTTTATGGATGCCATGATCTATGCCTTGGAGACAAACCTTGTTAGCTTCACGTGAGTAGCTCTTTTTTCCTTTTTTAACGCATGAAACATTTTACTGATTATTCTGTTTTGCAGCTTGTGGAATTATGACGTTTGCAATGATGACGAGTATGGCGACCATTGGAACGGTGAAAACTTTTCGATCTATTCACCAAAGCTGGTTAAGCAATCAGGGGAGGAAGAAGATTTGTCGTCATTATCATCGTCCACGGGTGACCAAACACCATCTTCATTGGATACCACAATACCTGGTTATGACTTGGCTCAACTGCATATGGGAGGTCGTGTACTTGCAGCTGCTATTGTAAGTTGATGTCAAGGATTTATTGGCACAAGGGATGAGGGGAGGGGGAGAAAAGCGTAATAGCAGGGATGAAATGATTGACAAAAGAATACAGCGACCCTATGCATCCAAGGTTGCAGGCATACCCGAGCATTCTGAATTCAATCCAGATACACTCGAATATACCTTCTCTTTTCGACCTTTTGATTCAGCTCACGTGGAGGAAGAAGAAACATCCAGCATGGAGGAGTCTCGAACAACTGAAATCTACATTCCCCATTATCATTTTGCTGACCAGAGCTTGGACGTACATGTTTCGGATGGCACCTGGAAATATGAACCCGAGTTGCAGACATTGTACCATTATTGCCACAATCCAGAACAGGGATCCATCACCATACGCATCCGAACTTCATCCTTCGCTGGCAACTCGGCAAATGGTAGATGCACCATCATGTAATATTGTATCCTCCCCCATGTTGCCGATAGAAATCAATATAGCAACAGTGCCATTTTTTCAATGTCATCGTTATTGTCACCTCCTGTCTTTTTCTAATGGAAATCCAAGATCTTCCTTTGTACAATCAACGTTCAAAAGCATAACGCATCATTCATTCACTCCTGATGACCTCTGACACGTTTATTCTTCTTTGAAGAAAAAAGATGTGTGGGTGACCTCGCTGCATTAAACTTAATTTAGCAAATGGACCTGTTGGGTTTTAGAGTGCGTTCAGCAGCATGTTGATTTGCTTTTCTCCTGACGATCCCAATTACAAAGGAGGAGGCGGGATGCACTGGGAGAATGCATATGGGCTCATTTTTCGACTCTTCTCTCGGTTGAGATATGCATAGAAGGATCTTTCATGCACCCTACTTGTATCAACCTGCATCTACGATTATTGGTCTACAAGCAATTATATTGGAAAAGTATCATGAACGCCAACAAAGGAAATGACAACAATAATGATGTTCATTGAAATGCGTTCATTTTATTGATGATACATGTTATGCTTCCTCTTGTTTGGCAAATATTGTATCAGTGGATCGTTTTGATTATTAGCCTATTGCACCCGTTACTCCTGATGATCTACTGACCTATGCACGATACACATAACAATTTGGTGTTTGCCATAATGATTGGAGAATGCCCATGTGAATTGCATCATGTTTCCTTGTCTCCGCTCACTTCCGTCAATTGCACCAGTGCTAAGAGTGTTGTCGTAGAACACGTGTCACATCCGTATCTTGGCTTTTTAACAAGCATGTATGGATCCAACGAATGGAAAATCTTTGATCAAGGCTATGGATATGAAAAAGGCATAAGCAATGTACACAGCAAGCGATTATCTGCATGCTAAAAATACTTGTACGAACCTTCCAAGCGTCATTGTACCTGTAAGAAAATCCCCGCATGGCAAGAAAACTCAGCGAAGAGAGAGAGGGGCATTAACCCTTCCGGTTCTTGACGACTTCTCTTATTCCCCCCAATTCCCTCCCAGCCAGCCACTTGCCTCTTTTATCCACTATCCTTATCACACTCCCCCATTTTATCCCACTGGGACTTTTAGTACGCCACACACACCCACACACTCACACTCGCTCACGCTTACACAAATCGACATCCTTCTTTCGAATATATAAATTGTTTTCTTTAACATCTTTCTCCTTTACTTCTTTCTTCACTTTTTCCACTTTTTTTTTGTGCAAGTCGATTTATGTACAATAGCCATTGTTGAATCTATCATACCCATCAACTTTATCCATCATTGTTCACGATAACAGCATTATCACCACCACCATCACCATGTCAGTACAAACGATCCCACGCAGCTTTCCCGTCGACGGGAATTGGTTGAACGTTCCACGTTCATCATCGCCTGAACATCTCTATCATGACGATGAACCTTCTACAGCACCCGGTTTATCATCTTCCATTTCATCGGCTGGTCGTAGCAGCAGCAGTAGCAGCACCACATCAATCCCTTCACCATCATTATTGGCACCACCCGAGCCTATGAAAAAGCATGGACGTTTCCAAAGCATGTTTAAGAATGCTCGTGCTGGTCTCAAGATGACCCCCGTTAACAACAACAATGAAACAACATCCATCAAAAGTCGACGAAGCAGCCGTAGTACAGCTGCTAGCAGTGTTCATAGCCATCGATCCATCAGTAGCGCTTTCAGCAAATTGGCGCCATGGAAATCATCATCCTCATCACTTTGTGATAATGGCGAATTACGTCTCGCTGACAAATATGGCCCTTACCTTAAGCCAGCAAAGAAATCATCCAGCAAAAGCATGGGTGCCACGTCTAAAAAGAACATTGCAAGTGGTGCAACTGCAGTGATTCGTCTTGTGGAGCACCAGGGCAATGTATTAGCCGTCAAGGAATTCAAAAAACGAGACAAGAGCGAAGCGGTGCATGAATACGAAGATCGTATGCAAAACGAGTATTGTATCAGTAAAAAGGTCTCGGGCCATCCCAATGTCATTAGCACCGTGGATTTGGTCAAGGATGAACGTGATCGATGGTGTGCAGTTATGGAATACGCAAGTATCTTTTCTCATCCTTGATGTATGATAAACGTTAAAAAGCTAACCTTATTATTATAGTGCTCTGGTGGTGATGTATTTAGCCTTATTCAAGAACGACCATCATTAACCGAAATGGAGTCCGCATGCTTGTTCAAGCAACTATTGCTCGGCTTGGACCATTTGCATCAGCTTGGCATTGCTCATCGTGATATCAAACCTGAGAACCTTGTATTGACCGAGAATGGCACCCTCAAGATTTGCGATTTTGGAACTTCAGACATTGTGGAGGATGGTCGACCGTCACGCAAATGGTGTGGCTCAGAGCCATTTTGGTCTCCAGAAATGTGGACACTCAAGACTGAGCACGATGGCTACGATGGTCGAGCTGTAGATATATGGAGTGCAGCAGTGACGTACATGTGTATCCGCACCCATATGCTTCCTTTTAGAGCTGCCTTTTACACAGGTCGCCCCAATGGCAAATCTCCTATGGGCGCCAAGCCTGGTTCACCTGCAGATGTTGCTGCTCGTGCCAAGGATGGTGGCGATCAAGAATACCAACTATACTGCCAACAAAGACAACAACAGGGTCCCACATGTTGTGAGGTATGGCAAGACCTCTCGCAAAAAGAACGTGAATGCCTTGCTGGTATGATGGATCCCGACCCAAGCACCCGTTTCACGGTAAAGCAAGCGCTGGATACGCCCTGGATGCAATCCGTGGAAATGTGCAACGATGGCTTTTTACCCAACGGTTGGCGTCATTACCATTGTAGACCTTCCTCCAAGAACAAATAGACTCCTCATCACCACCATGCGTGTATGTTTTTCAACAACAACCCCCCATCATTTCGTCACCATCATCATCGATTTCTTTTCTTCCCCCAATACCTCTTAAAATCATATTCCCTTTCCCGCCATTGTAATATCCTCTCGCTGAGCAATACCTTTGGCTCAGCATTCACGTACAAAAAGAATATACATATATACTTTTTCACAAATGTCATCATGTAAAGGGTAAATTTCGAGGAACTCCCAGAGTTGTAGAGGTCAAACATCAATCTATCAATGTATGCATCATCCCCAAATTATCACTCTTTCCTCGATCGTCTCCCTCATTTGATTGTTTACAATGTTAACAAAGGGCATGTTTTGGGGCGTATCCCCTTGCTTGCAGCTTTGTGAATTGTGGTCATTCATGGTGCTTCATTGTTGTTGTTACCCCGTTGCTCTCATTATTTTATGGTCGTCATGGTGATATTAGAGTTGTTGCCATGGTCTACCATAGCATGCTGAAATTGATTGATGCCTTTGATACTCTATGGTTCAAATTCCCTACTTTGAACCTGTCAACCATCACTATGGTCATTGCATTCTACCTCTTACTTTGGCATGTTATGGTGTATACACTCGTCATCTGCCACTTTATTAACAACGCCTACCATATAGACTTCTCTTTTACTTGCAGGATCATGGATTTTGATCACATAAAGGTACTCAAATAAGCTATCCATCTCATTTTCTCTAATCTGTGCTATGTCGGAATCCACTTTTTCACTCATCAGTGTAAACCATGTGGACGCATCACACCCTGTTACACATATTTGGCTACCCTTTCCAATGTGATTTCCTTGCATTCAATCACCACCCAGCTTTATTCCGCAGATCATCTGCAGGGGGGAGCGTGAAAGCAAATGGTTGCACATTTGGCTTTGCAAAATTTAAATGTGTTGGCAGGGTCGAAGGTATTTGAATATGACGTAACTACGAGTTAACGCATTAACTATGCTCAATCTTTTTTAGTAGCTCCGCCAATAAAGAGTGAATCCATCCATTCATGTTGCGCGTGTGGGGGATTAGAGTGTGTGAAGGTCATTCTGAAACTGATGGGTGGGAACAAGGGTGCATTGCTTGTTGTGCTACAACCACCAACCACTTGCACACATCCAATCATTCAATGACTCTGTGTATTATCTTCATTTCATTGTTGATGATGATGATGATGATGTATGTACGCCGCTTTGAAATGCTATAGACACGATATTGACGATGACGTTGGTCGACTATTGAAGAACTCTATTGTAAATCCCAGAGTATCTTGTATGATTTGGGCATCACACACGACGCACGTGGTTTTCAATCTCGCCATCAAGACAAAAACTTTCTATCACATTGCACCCGCCGTGTCATTATCCAGAAAACGGGCTGTGTTACCATGATGTGGGGACCCCTTTACCTTGACAACATCAGTTGAGCTCTTAGGTCGAGTACCAGGTGACCCATGTCCTGGTACAGCACTCTTATCCAAGTTCCCACCATTACCATTACCACCCTTATGTGTATGTGTGTGTGCGTGTGTGTTTGATATCATCATGTATTTTTGATTGGGCAAAATGAATAACCTCTTATTGTCCTTCTTCCATTGCATCAGCTCCCACATTCTGTTCCTTGAGCAAAGCATCTATCTCTGATGGCTTGAACAAGTCATAGACCACCTTGCCATCCACTTGGCGAATCGTAGCAAATTCCACTATGTATAGCGTGTTAGCTTAAGGTAGGATATAGATCCCTCGATACCCAACCAACTTACATTTTTCACTGTTGAGAGTGGTGCTATCCATAGTCTTGCTCAGGACCTTGATGGCTAATGCCTTTGCATCCTCGACATTCATATCATCCTTGTAATCCTGCTTGAGAATACTTTGTGCGGTTGCATTATTGGCACCAATGCAAGTAGCCTTCCATCCACCATAGTTGCCTGAAGGATCCGAATGATAAAGTTGGAAGCCATGTTGTTCATCGTAACCAGCGAAAATGAAAGAGACGCCAAATGGACGAAGACCACCATATTGCGTATAACCTTGCTTGAGATCACAAACACGTTGAACAAGTTGTTCCACAGGGATTTCCTCGTCATAAGTGAATAGATATTTTTGAGCGTGCGATCGCGTCCAATTGATCAGAATATTGGCGTCTGCTGTGATACCGGCTACACCGCATATGATACGACTTTTGAGTGTCATTAGCCAAACGTCAAATAGTAAAAGGTGGTGTGTGTATGTGTCATGTTCGCTTACTCGCTCAATTTGTAAATCTTTTCTGCCGATGCCGTCTGTTCCAATAGCTTGGATGTCACCTTCTTTTCAGCTGCAAGGACGATGCCATCGGTGGCAAGGACGCCGAGTGCAATGCCTGCAAGTGAGATGGCTTCCATGGCGTACTCGACCTGGTATAAACGCCCTGAATTCAAGGCACACATTAGACAATGAACGACTTTTGCATAATAAATCGAGTACCTTCGGGCGAGAAGATGGTTGTCCTTGAATCGTAACGTCTTGCCATGGTGTTGTGTGGAGCAAACGAGGGAGAAGTGAATGATAAATCCACCTCACCACGCACTCACGCGTAGTATCGCTCTTCGATTGCGTATCCAAACGTGACGTAATCTCCGCCATACATACTGCTGCTGCTGGAAAGCATAGCATGACAACCTTATCATTGACACGACCTTTTCTCGAGTAGAGCACTTTACAGTAAATGGTTCATCGCTTTTATGAGCTCGTATCTCACCCCTTGAAAATGATGCGTGTTTCTCTTTGTGTATATGCATAAAATGTGGGCGTTAATGGATGCTTGAAAGATTATGCTCAGTCCTCCTCCTATTCATGTTGTCCGCTAACAACCATCCTACACCACACACATTACGTCTATAGCAAACACAACTCGTTTAATAGCATCATTTTATAAAGACATCGCCACTGCACTAAGATCTTTCTTATATGACATTCAGAAGGAGAACCTCGTATCATTATGTGTGCGGATATACCAAGGAGTTACGCATTTATATACACTGCTAAAAGGCAGAGTTGAGGAAATTCAACAAGTTGGACCTATTCTGATCTCTCACTTTGTCATCGGCAGTCTTGTGTACTTTAAGCTTGATCTGGATAATAACCTCTGTTACTATATATGATACAAGATAGGGTGATCACCTGCATACCTTTTTGCCCGTAATAGCACTACGCCGCTCTCGATCACTTCGTTTGCTATCACCACTGCGACTTCCACGGTGCTTTGACTAATGGATATACATCAACCTCTTGCTCTGTAGCTTCCACTTTCCAAATCCAAACTTACACTTTTGTGCCTTTTACTGCTACTACTGCTGCTGCTACGATGCTTCTTGTGTTTCTTGCTTCTTCTTTTCTCGTCTATTACATATATCCATCATCAGTATAAAGTGCTGCATAATGTACATTTATGAATATATATTTACCTTCCGAATCGGATGAATAATCGTCCTCGGACGAGGAAGACGACGAGGATGATGTCGATCTTTCAGATGAGCTTTTGTACCTTGAACTACGTGGTGATCGCGAGCGTCGTCGATGTCGTTTGCCTGTTGTTCAATGTTTTCCCCACATACAATAACGGTTCCAAACCAAACAATAGGAGGGACCCAATTGGTCGAAACAAAATCATATAAGGACACAGCAATACATCATACGTAAAAGACCATTAAAGGTAATAACACATACGACTGGATCTCTTATCACGTAGGTCTGGGCTCGTATCTCTGTATCTGTGGCTAGACTCAGATCGTGAGCGATGAGGCGAACGGCTTCGGCTGCGGCTACGATGACTGGGTCGATCACGACTAGAACGGTGCTCTAAATGAAGACGATTGGATTGTTAGCATGAAGGAACTTGAATAGATAAAAGGCGTTGTTCAATCTTTACCCTTTCTTGGTCCCATTGGAGTTTGCAGGAAGAGTGAATAAGACAAAGGATTTTTTGGGCGGGAGGAGGATTTTAACACACGACGACTCATTCACAGCATGTTTTCTTTTGCCGCCAGCTCTGTGATGGTGCCAGCCAGCAAAGGGAATGGTGAATTTTGCACTTGCATCCTTGCCAATGATGGATGTTGATGCCAGAGGTAAAATAAGACATGCTTGGATATTCATCTCTTTCTTACAAAGTCTGCTGCACAATGCGTACATTTATTATCAGTCATACAAGCGAGGGACGATATTGGTAGAATGTAGTAGTAGTAGAGTGGAACCTCAAAACGACCCGAGATTCAGTGCAAATGGATCGAATAAAGAGCGCACGAGCCATACACCTGTATCCTATAATGGCGGCGGGGAAGGATATAGCTTTTGGATTTGGGTTCCACAAAGAGTAAACACCACCTTTGTTATATCGCTGTAGGCAATAATGCCGCATAGATCAAATGATCATCTCACAAAAACTTATACATACCATGCTGACGCCGATTTGCCGATCTTCTGCTACATGAAAATGAGCCACTGTCATGTTTTTCCCCTTTTCATCCTTGGCATAAAGTATATCGTCCTCAAGTGGATGGGCTCTTTTGAATCGCTTTTTCCGTTTTGCCATATAGATCTCGGATCCACAGTGTTATGGAAAGGTTGACAATCTCAACCATCATGGAATTCTCTTTTTCACTATAACAGGTAAAAAGCATAGCCCACCCAAAGCCTAAGAGACGTTTAACATCTTTACATGATGATGAACCATCCGCTTGTTTTCAACCAGCGTAGTAAAAGAGGTCATGTATAAGGGTTCAAAGAATAGTGAAATGTCCATCTTCTATAAACGATGTCTTATCTTCCATTTCCCAGCATGCGCAAAAATCGCAAATTGGACATAGATGACAGACTTCTAGGATTTCTCCACAGCTTGCTGTAGAGGCTTCTCGATTTTCTGTCCCAGCTCAATTTGCACACATGCATGACAGCGTTTTCAGTATAATTCACCATGTGAATCAAGTTACCAGGATTGGATGGCTGGCTACGACCAAAGCGATGCAGCTGCCATAAAACGCAAATATTAACACACACACGCAAGCCATCCCAGTATCCATTGATCTTGGCTAAAACCTCCAATACGCATAACAACACGCACGTTGCTATGCAACCATGAAGACATGTCTTTTCTACAAGCGGGATGTTGACAATGTATCATGTATCTTAGTGTCTCTTGATGAAAAAGTAAGCCATTGTCGCCATAAACGAGGAGCTTCATGTGGCTGTTTCGCTGTACTGGACCTTCAGAGTAATAATGGTGGGTGCATGATGACATGGCCCGTATAGCCGGATACGGCCACCATATCATAAACACTCCCGATTTAACAATGATGGAAAGCTTCTTTTCATTCTTTGGCTAATGCTCTGCAATAATTAAAGAAAGGGCAGAATAAATTTGTTCGTGCTTTTCTTCTTCGTTATCAATTCTACATACCATCCAATGACAGATCCTAAAGCCAACAATAGCACTACACTGCCATCTATTTCCCATCTCTTAAATCCTACATCCCAAGAAAGAATAGCATCCAATGCAAGTGCCAAAAACACAACTTGTTTGAGAGATCCATCTGATCCGGCATGTTCAAAGCAAAACCATGCGTACTCTACTACAAAGCTTCTCCAAGATTATCCATCACCACCGCTTTCATCATCAGCTTTGGACTATCCAACATCATCCATTCCACCTCTTCAGGGTAATGATCCACCTCCACGACACGCACGCACAATCAGCAATGATAGCGATAGCACAATGACTTCATTGTCCGATACACAACGTTCATATCAGCGGTTTTCGAGATGGGGTACATCACCCACTAGTATGCAATATTTTCATACACCTATTTCTGCACCATGGACTGTACCAAAGGATAAGGATGCTGCTGTTGAAGCTTCATCCTCTGTGTCAAAGCCATCAATTCAAGTGAATCCTTCAACGTCAGAACGTCTTGAAACACCGGCACCCACCCGATTATCCTTTACGTCTACAGGAGAGCCTATTCTCAAACGACGACGGGGACGACCACCATCCAATGCACGTGAAGCATGCACTTGGGAAGGTGGCTGGACATTTTTATCGCCCACTGTATGGTCCGTCAACAACAACAACAGCAATCAGGTGACCGCGCCACCATCTACCACGTTGCCTGTTTCATCATCATCATCAGGACAACAAAACAACCAGCCAAGAAAAACATTAGATGCAGCAACAACATCACAACAACAGTCACATTCGGGAGCGATATCTGATATTGCAGCATTCTCAAGTTCTGATTTGTCCAATGTAATGCATATGCCAAAACGTAAACGAGGAAGAAAACCGAAAAAGCACCTTGTTGGCCACTCTTGCTTTGTATGGAAAGATATACCCATAGTAAGATCTCCATTATCCACAGCCAAAGCACGTGCCACCGCAGCTGCGAATCGTCTGAGAAAAGAAAAAGAGCGTCAGGAACAACAAAAACAAAAGCAGCAAGAAAACGTTCTCATTGTTGATGACAACAAAGTGCATCATGAAGACAGCTGCTAATGTATCCTTCCTTCAATGTACAGTATTTAACCAGAGATAACCCCTCACCCCGCATGCTCTTTTCCATGTATCATTTTCCCTTCCTCCCAATAAGGAGCGTATTTGTATGTATGCAGCTCAACAAAAAAGCAATCATCATCATCATCATCACCTTAACTTATGTATCTTATCATTATGACCAACCCACATTTCAATGAAATATGTATGCTATTATCTCCATCTCATACACGACGTAATGCTTAATGGTGTTTTTGCGAGTTACATGTATCATAGCAACCATCCTTCTGCAATCAGCTGAACATCCCCGATAAAAGTGGTAACTCCCACCGTATATAAATTGCAAGATCCAAATCACGAAAGAGGAATGTGTGTTACGGCGTTATGTATTGTCAACCTCTAATCACAACAACGAGACAAAGGGAGGAGCCTTTTGCTACCGATGACAGCCTTTGTTTAAGACACAATGAATCAAGCACACCTTTTTCTCGTCACCCCTTTCCTAAACACAGCATTTACAAGATACTTCAAGTACAATCCTGCATTTGGCACACACGACGAGATCCAACTTAGGAAGAAGGGAAGTCACTTACATTAGAAAACCTGGACAACCCAAGATCGTATTCTCTAAAATCACCCTTTATTCCAATACCATTGTTCACAAGAGATAGAATGTAAGGTACACAAATAGCTCCAATGCGGGGGGATGATTCATCGATTTGGAAAGTCTTGTCCTTTGCGCTGTGTTGAGATGGATGCGAAGCGGCATGGCGTGTTGAAACATGGGCTTGGATGATGATGACGGTGATAGCACAAAGGATGATGCTAGTAGCTGCCATAGAATAGGTGTAGAGCAAGGGAATTGGATAGGCCAATCGTTCAGGATGACACCATCAAGATCAAGTTGACAATGGATACAAAAGACCAAGGCTCTCTTTCCACACGTTGTATAATACCCAGATACTTCCAACCCATGTATCAAACCAATATAAAGATCCATATCCATAGGAACTCGTATGTATTGAAACAAGTTGCTATACGTACATAAAACTGCTTCTATACAATGGGTATCTGCTGTGCACGTAAAAAGGTTGCTAAAACAAGTTGCTGCAAGTAGACAACGCTGCTGAGACGATGAAGCCAAGGGGCTAGTAGCACCAATTGCTGGAATGAACGCTGTTACGTTTGGTCGTGGTAGAGGGAATGTGCAAGACAATGCGTAGTATCAAGAAACGCGGGTGTTGTAGTGGGGTGCACACGCGATGGACTTGACATTCAGTCAAAGGCTTTTGGATCAAGGCAAATGTTGGATTGACATGATGGGCTGAAGCAAGGCAATCGTTCGCAGGTGGTAATTGTACTTGAATGGGGCAACTGTTGGGATTGGGAGGAAGAGGGAAGAAGCTGCGAGTGGAAGAGATGGAGATTAATTAGATCTTTTCAAGTTGGATGACACTTCTCTGTTTGAGCGTTGTTCAATCAAATCAACCCGGATCAAGAAAGTTGAAGGATGGAGACGATGGGCTGATGCAGGGGAATCGTTCACATGCATTGGTTTGGGTAAATATGGTGAAGGGGAGGAATGGGCTATCAAGTGGCAGTTTACAAATAACTAATCACAATGATCTTTGCACTTTTGGATGCTACCTCTGTGTTTGACCGTAACTCATCCAAATCCTCTCGGATCAAGAAAGTTAAAGGATGGACATGATGGCCTGGAGCAGGGGAATCGTTCATATGCATTGGATTGGGCAATAAAGGTGAATGGAAGGAATGGGCTATTAGCTGGCAGGTTACAAATAACTTACCAATTTGATTCTTCTGATATTGGATGATGTTTCTGTGTTTGAGCGTTGTTCAGTCAAATCCCCTCAGATCAAGAAAGTTTGATGATGGAGATGCTCGGCTGGAGAAGGACAATCATTCATATGCATTGTATTGGGTAACAAAGTTGGTGTTGGTGAAAGTGGCTGTTAGCTGGCAATGTGATTGTCACTGAATGATGCATAGAGTATCATCCATCAATCCTTCCAGTCATGCAAAAGAGCTGTGTTACACAAAGAAGTCCGTCTGCATCTTTGGCTGTATCAGGGTCAAGCTACTTCACAATGAACCAAGACCACCTTTATATAGCATCACGCTTACAGCATATGTAAAAAGATAAAGACAGCCGTATCTCAAGATTTCACAATGAAACGTGGGGTCTTTAAGAAAACAACGTGCTCGGCGGGGTGAAACGCACCTTGTGTGGTAGTTTCACGATAAAGCTTGCCGATCCCAGATTTCGCATTGTCGCTACCAGCCAAACTGGATCCGGGGGTCGACCTCTTCGACGACGACGACCAGAAAAATATTTTTTGGGCTAGTTGCGACATTGAACGCGAAACTTTCACACAAGGTGCTGTTGGCCAAGCCGAGCCCATTGCTCTAATAAAAACCCCACGTTTCAGTGTAAAGTTTGGAGATACAGGCACCTTTATGTTTGTAAGCGTGATGCTATATGAAGAGTGGTCTTTGTTCATTGTCAAGTAGCTGGACCCTGGCAGAGCAAAAGATGCAGAGGGTCGTGTTGTGTAACACAGCTACGTTTGCATGAATGAAAGGGTCAATGTATAATTACTTTATGGATCATCTAGGAACAGGCATGTATTGCTAGCTAACGGCCACTCTTATCCAATCATCATTATTGCGAGATCCACTGCATGGGAACGATGCTCCTGCTCTAGACATTCATTTCTATGATTAAAGTAGGTTGATCCGAGCTGATTTGACTGAGCTGCGGTCAAAGAGAGATTACATCACTCTGGACATAAAGCACGCTCGATGTAGCTCAACCGATGTAATCTTGTGTGAGCGTAACTCAACCAAATCAGCTCGGATCAACCTACTTTAATCATGGAAATGAATGTCTAGAGCAGGGGCATCGTTCCCATGCAGTGGATCTCGCAACAATGATGATTAGATAAAAGTGGCCGTTAACTAGCAATGTATGACATAAAGGTGAGGGTTGCGTACCTTTCATGCATTGTCCCTGAAGTCCTGACTTTTTAGCTGAGTTACCCAAAGAGGTCCTTCTGCATCTTTTGCTCTGCCAGGGTCCACTACTTGACAATGAACAAAGACCACTTCTCATATAGCATCACGCTTACAAACATAAAGGTGCCTGTATCTCCAAACTTTACAATCAAACGTGGGGTTTTTATTAGAGCAATGGGCTCGGCTTGGCCAACAGCACCTTGTGTGAAAGTTTCACGTTCAATGTCGCAAACAGCCCAAAAAATATTTTTGGTCGCCGTCGTCGAAGAGGTCGACCCCCGGATCCAGTTTGGCTGGTAGCGACAATGCGAAATCTGGGATCGGCAAGCTTTATCGTGAAACTACCACACAAGGTGCATTTCACCCCGCCGAGCACGCTGTTTTCTTAAAGACCCCACGTTTCATTGTGAAATCTTGAGATACGGCTGTCTTTATCTTTTTACATATGCCGTAAGCGTGATGCTATATAAAGGTGGTCTTGGTTCATTGTGAGGTAGCTTGACCCTGATACAGCCAAAGATGCAGACGGACTTTGTGTAACACAGCCCTTTTGCAGGATTGGAAGGGTCAACGTATGACTACTTTATGCATTATTCAGTAACACATGTATTGGCAGCTAACATCCACTTCCTCTCAATCAGCACTGTTGTCCATTCTATGACATGTGGTCAATTCTCCTGCTCTAGACATTCATTTCCATGATTTAATTACCTTGATCCGAGTTGATTTGAGTGAGCTATGCTCAAACAAGGTTACATCAGTTGGGCAACATAAAGCGTGCTCTATCTACCTCAACTGATGTTTCTTGGTTTGAGCGTAGCTCAGTCAAATCGGCTCGGATCAAGAGAATTGAACCATGGAAATGAATGTCTGGAGCAGGAGCATCGTTCCCATGCAGCAGAACACGCGATTGTGTGGAATGGGATGAATTGGCTGCTAGCTGGCAATACGTGGCTGTTCCTAGGTAATCCATAAAGTATTATACATTGATCGTTCCAGTCATGCAAATGAGCTGTGTCACACAAACAAGCGACTCTGAATCTTTTGCTCTATCAGGACCTAGCTAATTGACAATGAACAAAGACCACCTTCCATATAGCATCATGCATGCAGCATAGTGAAAACCTAAAGACAGTCATATCTCAAGATTTTGCAATGAAGTGTGGGGTCTTTAATAGAACAACGTGCTCGGCGGGGTGAAACGTACCTTGTGTCAAAGTATGAAGTTCATCGTGGCCATTCCCAGATCCACCCAATGTCGCCACCAGCCAAAGTGGATCGACCTCTTGAATTTTTTTTCGACGACGACGAAAATGTTTTTTGGCTGGTGGCGACATTGGGCAAATCTGGGAATGGCCACAATGAACTTCATACTTTGACACAAGATCGCTTTGGTCCCGCCGAGCAACTTTGTTCTCTTAAAGATCTCACGTTTCATTGTGAAATCTTGAGATACGGCTGTCTTTATGTTTCTACATATGCTGTAAGCGTGATGCTATATTAGTAGTGGTCTTTAGTCATTGTCAATTGCTGGACCCTGATAGAGCAAAAGTTGCAGAGGGTCGCGTTTGTGTAATAAAGCTAAGAGACATGCTTTAAGGGTTCTCATTGGTGGAGAGTGCATGATTGATGCTGCCCTCTATAGTAAAATCCGCCTTTGGTAGACCGCATGGAAATCTTCGAGTGAACCACGGTATGGTCAACAAGCCAAAAACGATCAATGCATCCGAGTATGAGGGGTGGTAGTTGTATACTTGAATGGGGCGAACAGTTGAGAATGGGAGGAAGAGGGAAGAGGTGGAAATTAAATAGATCGGACACCTCTTGTATAAATGCATGCACACTGTACATCAATCCTTGATATTGAGATTACCCCTCTCGAACCTGATACTTTCACATAAGATGCTCTTGGACACGCTGATCAACTTTGTATTAATAAAGAACCAACACTTCATTGGAAAAATTGAATGGGAGGATGTAAGGATGAGAGAGACTATGAACGGATTGAACAGGAGCATGGAGCTTGTTACAGAGGTAGTCGCTTATTGTAAACATGGATAAAGCAATGGTTTGCAGGTTTATGTAAATATGAATGCTACGAGATTATAGTGTGTCCACGTAAACATGCAAGCTTTTGTAAGGTCGTTCAATTAAGATCATCCAATGTCTTTGTATAGTCTTCACACAATGACCCATTCATCTCTTTCTAATACACTTTGAAGTGATTTGTACAAAAGGCACATTGTTCTTGTATTTCTCAAATTATCTACCACTACTACCACTGCTCCTACCACTACCACTCCTGCTGGTTTCGACATCGCTGGCATTCGAACAAGGTTCAGGTATCTAAAGGTAGCACATCGAACACAGGTATTGCATTGTCAATTTGACCTGTTGATTGACCAAGGATATAGGTTGCCGATTGGTTCTCCAATGCCAGTTTAAATGTGATGTGTAAGCTTCTAGTGGCCAAGGACCTGTGGAGTGTAAGTAAAACGCAGTCTTCATGCAACTCACACTAACACACGACGTTTCTTACCTTCTATTCATTTACCAGTGAGCGATTCGGATGGTTTTGACGTGGTCCTCCCTCACTTTTCATATCAACAATGGATTCAGCGCCATCACTCTCTGCAATCAAATCAATGCAATACGAGAACCAGACGAGCATTGTGCGATGTTATCTTTGATAAGGCGGCAACAGCAGCAGTACAGCAATTGATTGGCCAGCAGTCAACGTTACCGATCGCACGCTGAAGAAGAAGATGAGCTGGGAAGTAAAGCGTGGGAACATTTTCAAATGGCGCTCGGTGTGGGGGAGAACAAGACAAGGCATGCGAGCTAGAGAACGACAAGCTTTCCTTTTCACTTTTTTTCTCACCCTTTCCTCTTCACACTCATGTTATCTGCACGCCGTATCCTCACACCAAACAACCTACGTATCTTATCAGGCCGCGTGGCCGCATATCATACCTTGCATGAACAACAAGCTACCGTTCTTCCCAACAAGGTCGAAACTGCAAGCGCCAGCTTCAAGGTAATCTTTTCTTTATCTCTCTCTTTTGAGTGACACGTTCCTTTATATTAACCAATATGACGCGTAGGAAAATGCTGAAAAAATGCAAAAGGCCGTGGAGGATCTCGAGTTGACCATTGAGAAAATCAAGTTGGGTAACGTATTGACAAGGCACGGATGATGGTGATGGAGGTTGGACCATATAGCTGATGGGATTGGATATAGGAGGAGGTGAACGTGCACGACAAAGACATCTCTCTCGAAACAAGATGCTTCCACGTGATAGGTAAATCGACCACTTGGGTAATCTTTTAAGATGTTTGCTCACGCATTTTTATATATCCAGAATCAACCGATTGCTCGATCCAAAGTATGGCAGAGAGAAAAGGGACATGCATTCGATGTTGCATTATATTAAGACTGTTTTTTAATCATGTAGCTCGCCATTCTTGGAGTTGTCGCCATTGGCTGGTTATGAGTTATACGATGATGTGGTCCCTGCAGGTGGTATCATCACTGGTATTGGCCGTGTTAATGGGTAAGTGTGCATAGGAAGGAAGGAAGGAATACATGGGATTGAGACCTATCTTTCTTAGTACGGAGTGCATGGTTGTTGCCAATGACCCCACAGTCAAGGTAAGAGATCTGGGAACGGAGGTTACGAGCAATAGGCGTATTGAGTTTATACTTTTCATAGGGTGGATCGTACTATCCAATCACAGGTATGATTCAAAAAGAGAGAGCAAGAAATGTCCATATGGTAACGCTGACAACAAAATAGTTAAGAAGCACTTGCGTGCTCAAGAAGTAGCAAAGGAAAACAACCTTCCTTGTATTTACCTTGGTAAGTACAAGAAACGAGCATCGATAACAGAGATTAATTGGTATCTTGGTCTACAGTGGATTCTGGAGGTGCCAACCTTCCTCGTCAAGCTGATGTGTTCCCTGATCGTGAGCACTTTGGACGTATCTTTTATAATCAAGCAAACATGTCTGCCATGGGTATTCCACAAATTGCTGCAGTGATGGGCTCTTGCACTGCTGGCGGTGCATACGTGCCTGCCATGTCCGATGAGAGCATTATTGTTCGCAAGCAAGGTACCATTTTCTTGGCTGGTCCACCTTTGGTCAAGGCTGCTCTTGGTGAAGAAGTCAAGGCTGAGGATCTTGGTGGTGCTGATTTGCATTGTAAGTTTGCGTGTGTGTTCGTTTGGAATAGGACATGAGAGCAGGCTATTGATTATGATATTTCAGGTCGCACCTCTGGTGTCACCGATCATTATGCACTTGATGATGAACATGCTTTGGCCATTGCTCGACGTGTTGTTGGTACATTGAATCGCACAAAGGATCCTCAGGTAAGAATAAAGATACATGGAAGCTCTCACTTTTTACTAATATGGGATTACATATACTTTCAGCTTGCCTTGAAGACCCCTGAGGAACCATTGTATTCGCCCGATGAAATCGGTGGCATTGTAGGTGACAATCTCAAAAAGTCCTTCGACAGCAAGAACATCATTGCCCGCCTTGTGGATGGCAGTCGTTTTGCTGAATTCAAGGAACACTATGGCACTACCCTTGTCACTGGTACGTTGGATGATAATCGATTGATCCATTCCAAGATGCTAATAGAATGCTTTTAGGCTTTGCACACATCCACGGCTATCCTGTGGGTATTGTAGCCAACAATGGTATCCTGTTCTCCGAATCAGCTCTCAAGGGTGCTCACTTTATTGAACTTTGCTCTCAACGTGGCATTCCATTGGTATTCTTACAAAACATTACCGGCTTCATGGTTGGTTCTTCTGCTGAAGCTGGTGGTATTGCCAAGAACGGTGCCAAGTTGGTGACAGCTGTCTCTTGTGCTCGTGTTCCCAAATTCACTGTTATCACTGGTGGCAGTTTCGGTGCTGGTAACTATGGCATGTGTGGTCGTGCCTACTCCCCTCGATTCTTGTGGATGTGGCCTGTAAGTATTCTTTCCCCCCCTCATCATGATGCATGTATCAAATGCTTATTGAATTTTATATATAGAATGCCAGAATCTCTGTGATGGGTGGTGAACAAAGTGCTAATGTATTGGCTCAAATCACTCGTGAAGCGAAGGAAAAGCGTGGCGAGACATGGTCTCAAGAAGAAGAGGAAGCTTTCAAGGGACCTATTCAACAAAAGTACGAGGCTGAAGGCCATCCTTACTTCTCCAGCGCTCGATTGTGGGATGATGGTGTGATCAACCCTAGAGATACTCGTTCCGTGCTTGGTTTGGCATTGAGTGCCAGCTTGAATGCACCCATTGAAAAGACCAAGTTTGGTGTTTTCCGCATGTAGAAACTTTTATATACACAATGCTCAATATCAAAACATAATTCAATCATCTTTTTTGATCATTACAATGTTTGTAAAACTGGTATTTGAAATAGGGTCCACTATATAAAAGGTGATGCGTGTTTCATCATAAAAACAGGCTGCATTATCGTTGCCATGGCAAAATCCATTTCTGGAAGCCAATCAGGCTACGCCGAGTCAAGCTGAAATTGGCCTGTGAGAGTGCATCAGATACCTTTTGTGCTGCTTTACTTCTTCCCTCATCGCGCTTACATTCATTGACCTTCGAGGTGCAGGATCCATATAGAGCAGGTATAAACTTGAACATTGTCCTTTATATCGTTACTCATGTGCGTACCTATAGAGGAAACTATGATTACCGACACGCAACTCGCTTTCATCGCCAACTCTCTGGGCGTCGCAACCATGGTCCTCATCGTGGTGTACCATTATGTATCCGTTAACGATAGCGCAAAGAACAAGTTGAAGACGCAATAAACTCCAAGTGACACGATACCTCTGCTCTCTACAGCTTATCGCATCCACATGTTATGGAAAGTGCATGATTGCATTATACAACGGGTCCCAGAAAATCAGTTGCCAGCTTTGTTGCTATGCTACGCTCATGTCGATATGGATGTACAATACGAAAGCACATTTTCACACAATGAACAATGCCCTTTGAGAGGAATCGATTTCATTCGAATATCATCAATGTATCATAAGCGTGTTCGATATGCAGCGGATGAAGGAACATTGGTGGGTGTTGTAAGGATATGGATCTATGGTATGGGAAATAGCGTTATCAGTTTCAGAAAGGAAATGCTTGAGAGATTTTAGAGGATGTTTGTATCAACAATGTCCTTATCCAACAACATGTTGACAATCACATTCATATGGAGGTATTGAGGAAAGGGATGATTTGACATTACCAAGTTGTGGATACGTATAAGATGTAGCCGATGAATGTTAAATTAGACCCTCATCCTATTGCGAATAAAAAAGAATCATCTTCTTTGCATCCAAAACTTCTGATTCATTTGACTAGTAAAGAGCGCGTCATCTTTTTGTGGGGTACGGCATGTGATTCAGGGTAATTACGGATTGACAACCGTGGGATAGAGTTATGGAACTAGTTTCTCGACCCACATGCTGTGTTTGGTCCCGGTGATGCATAACGTTTATTTGACGGAAAAAGAAAAAGGAGTGCCATGTTACAAACATGATCGGATGGAAAAGCGTATTGGAAAAAGATTTAACGACGTACACTTGTGTGAATAATGTGATAAAGATGTGAACGCCCTTACTAATTTCTTGTACGGAGTATCAAACCTTGGGTCAGGTCAGCCCCCAAAAGGGCGTAATCCACTGGACCTCGGGCTCCATCTCACCTTTTCTTCTTTTCTTTTTTCTTTTCAAACCACCCCTCTCCGTTGTGAATATGGCTGCTGCTGCTGCTCGATCCAAAGTTGTGAATGTGCTCAAGGTGCTTCAATCAGGTGCTGGTAGTTGCCCTTGTCACTCGCACGCCCACTCGCATAACCACTTGCCTACCACCAAGTCCTTCAACAGCCTTTTGAGCTATGGCCGTAACTTCGCTAGTGCTAACGAATCCACCGATTATGCTTTCGAGATGGCTGCTAGTAACATCCGTTTTGGCCCTGGCGTTACCAGGTAAGCTTTGTACACAAAACCAATTCATGCAATGGATCAACTGACATTTCCCGACTTTGACTGTCATAGTGAAATCGGTATGGATTTGAACAACCTCAAGGCCAAAAAGGTGGCCGTGTACACAGATAGCACTGTAAGTGGACAAAGTAGGAAAGGATGGATCTTGGATACAAGATGTGGGGAAGAAAATGTAACCGTGGGATTATTTTTATAGATTGCCCAATTGCGTCCGCTTCAAGCTGTAGTTGAGTCGTTGGAAAAGAATGGTGTCAACTTTGTGGTCTATGACACTGTACGTGTTGAGCCCACTGATGGCAGTTTCAAGAAGGCTATCGACTTTGCTCGTGAACACAGCCCTGATGCATTCGTTGCAGTGGGTGGTGGTTCGGTTATGGATACCGCCAAAGCTGCCAACTTGTATGCATCTCATCCAGAGGCCGACTTTTTGGACTTTGTGAATGCTCCCATTGGCAAGGGCCTTCCCCCTACTTTGCCTGTTAAGCCCATGATTGCTGGTAAGTTTGAATGATGATGTTTGTTTTCGTCATCCCATTTTAACATGTGACATTGTTATTAGTGCCCACTACTGCTGGTACCGGTTCTGAGACCACTGGCACTGCCATCTTTGATTATGAACCCCTTCACACTAAGACTGGTATTGCTCATCGTGCTTTGAAGCCTTACCTTGGTATCGTGGATCCTCTCAATACCCGCAGCATGCCTGCTCAAGTTCACGCTTCAAGTGGTTTGGACGTGTTGTGTCACGCCCTTGAATCTTACACTGCCCTTCCTTACAATGAACGTTCTCCTCGTCCCTCCAACCCTATTTTGCGTCCTGCTTATCAAGGCTCCAACCCCATCAGTGATGTATGGTCATTGCATGCTTTGAAGATGGTTGTCAAATACCTTCCTCGTGTGTACAAGGATCCTCAAGACCATGAAGCTCAATCCCAAATGTTGCTCGCCTCTACTTTTGCTGGGTAAAAGATTGACAAAAAACACATCATTTTGCTCTTGACAATTTTCTCACGCTCCTGGATAGTATCGGCTTCGGTAATGCAGGTGTCCATTTGTGTCACGGCTTAAGTTACCCCATTAGCGGTTTGAACAAGAATTACCGACACCCTGGTTACAAGGTTGATCATCCTTTGGTTCCTCATGGTGTCTCTGTATCCCTCACCGCTCCTTCGGTGTTCCGTTTCACCTCCAACGCTTGCCCTGATCGTCACATTGATGCCGCAGCTGCCTTCGGTGCCGATCCTGCCCACATTAAGCCATCCATGGCTGGTGATGTCCTTGCTGAAAAATTGACCCACTTCCTTGAGGAACTCGATGTGCCAAATGGTTTGAAGGGTCTTGGTTTTGATAGCTCTATGATTCCTCAACTTGTCGAAGGCGCTTTGCCCCAGCACCGTGTCACCAAGCTTGCACCTACCCGTGAGCCTGCTGCTGAGCAGTTGGCAACCATCTTTGAAAAGTCCATGACTAACTACTAAACCATACACAAATGTACTAGAATACATGTGCTCGCACATGCTATAGAGGTGCTAAATATACAACTTTTTTATGCGCAAAGTCTAAAAATCGCTTGTTCACATTGATGACAATGGGATAGGAAGGGTGAATGTAAATATGGATTGACTTTGCATACATGTTGACATCACCTGGTTATCGACGTTGTCTTTCAACATAGCTCCCCCTTCTTTCGCTATTGTAAATGGATGGGTTTTCATCCAAGTGGAGGGATGAGACATACCATCACATTATAAAGTGCGTAGCTATGAGGGATTTGGATATGATGCTAGAAAGGCGTCATTCAATACCCTATTTTGACCACCCTATTGCTACTAAAGGTACAATGGAGGTCCATAATCCAACCATTGCTATTAGTGTGGTATCTCGGTTGATCCATTTCTTTATTAGATATGAGGAGGTGGCTGTGTCATGCATTCTAATAATGAAGAGGATTTCTAATTCAAAGTGCATCTTATGGTTGATGAGGTAGAGCTCCTCCATTCAAAGAGCCATGAGAAGTAGGATTTAGTGATTGGATGTCTAGTTGTGTGTTCAATGACAGCGATTGCCACAGCCACACAAATTTCGCATAATTTTCGGATGGAGCACGCTTACACCGCTTTTACTGCTACACAACCATGGGTCGAAGTCGAGGAGCTAGAAGAGTAGGTTTATTATACAATCATACTAATTCATACATTGGCTGACTGATTATGGCTAATAGAGAAAACACAGAACCCATGTGGTTCCCAAGGAGGAAGAGATCAACAAGATCCCAAAGAGCTTTGTTATGCGATCAGGCCTCGTGGGCCATTCTGTCAGCGCACTTGTTCGAGACGTTCGTCGTATTATGGAACCACATACAGCTACTCATTTGAAGGTACTTGCGAGAAATGGGAGTGTGCAATGAACAATAGAACTCACGATCACGGCCATGTGTGTTGCTACAGGAACGCAAAACGAACCGCCTCAAAGATTTTCTTGTGGTTGCCCCCCAACTTGGTGTCACCCATTTCATGATCTTTACTCGTACTGAAGCCAACACCAACTTGCGTATATGTCGTGTGCCTCGTGGTCCAACGCTCACCTTCCGTGTGGATGAATACTCGCTCGCCAAAGATTGTCGTGCACTGCAAAAAGCACCTAGAACAAGCGACTCCGATTACCTTGCATCGCCATTGCTCGTACTCAACAACTTTAAGCAAGAAGGCAAGCAGTTCAAGTTGATGGCTGCCATGTTGCAAAACATGTTCCCGGCAATCGATGTTCAGACCGTAAGTACAAGGTCGCCTTTCATCCTCATGGTATGGGTTATTCATATATTTCTTCGATAGATGAAATTGTCACAAACACGTCGTGTGCTGTTATTCAACTACAACGAAGAAACGGGCAAGATTGATATGCGTCATTACAGTATTGGTGTGAAAGCCACTGGTGTATCAAAGTCAATCAAGCGGATTGTTGAAATGTCATTGCCTGACATGAGCAAATACGATGACATCTCCGATTATGTGATGAAGGAGGCAATTATCTCTGAGAGTGATGTGGAAGATGGACCAGAATCAACAGTGACTTTGGCACAAAACATGCATGGCCGTAACAACCGAAAGAATGAACAACGTGCTGTAAGATTGCAGGAGATTGGCCCACGGTTGACGTTGGATTTGATCAAGATTGAAAATGGCATGTGTGGTGGAGAAGTTTTGTACCATAAATATGGTAAGTGTATATACATGTGTGTGTGTGTGTGTGCATAGGATATGACAAGATGGCTCATTTATTTCATTCATAGTTCGTAAGACTGAGGAGCAAATCAAGGAAAATGAAGAGAAGCGTCAAAAGGCCAAGGAAGCTGCTGCTGAGCGGAGGAAACAACAAGAAGCCAACGTAGCATTAAAAAAGGAACAAAAGGAGAAGGTGAAATCCAAGGATGGTGAAGAGGATAACGAATCCGATGCTGATGATGGCGATGTGTCGGAGGTGGGCGATGAAGAAGATGATGATGAAGAAGAAGATGCCTCTGAAGCCGAACCAATGTCTGAAGATGATGAATAATCCTGACTCTTACATACAAATCCACATTCAATACATAGTAGTCATTCCCCTCATTAAAAAGTCACTCCATGATCCAAAGATAAGCAATGTGTATGTGTGTGTGTGTTGGTAGATGATTCTAGAAAGACCAAAAATGGGTGATGATACATCTTTTAAGGCTGATTTCTCATTTTGAACAATGTAAAGCGAATGGATCAGGTGCCTGTGTTTGAATAGCCAACCTGCCAAAAGTTTGACAGGGTTTCTTTGTAGCACATGTAACTTTCTCACGACCGACGATAGAGGCTGCTATACATGCTGTCCTCCGGGGTTATCAGCGCAGTCACTGGGAAACTGATGGAAACTCGATTAGACAGCCGCCAATAAACACGACTTGCGAACGAGCCTCTTGCTTTCTTTTTTTTTCTCCACACATCCACTTACTCACACGCTCTCGTATCACCATGGTAAGCTACAACATGTCGACTTTATTGCAACTTGGCTCATAAGCTATCGTGCTAGTCTGCTGCCAACAAGGTTAAGAACATCATTCCTCTCCTCGACCGCGTCTTGGTCCAACGTATCAAGCCCCAAGAGGTAAAGTCTTTGTGTTGTGTCATGGTCATAATGAGCCCTCCATGTTGACATTGGCGTTGCAATGGTGCTCGTTAGAAAACTGCCTCTGGTATCTTTATTCCCGAGAAGGCTCAAGAAGCTTCCAACCAAGCTGTCGTTCTTGCCGTTGGTAAGGGTGCATTGAACAAGGAAGGTAACCACATTCCTTTGCAAGTTGCCACTGGTGACAAGGTCATTCTTCCTCCTTTCGGTGGTAGCGCTATCAAGGTCCAGGGTGAGGTAAAGTATATTTGTGTAATGGGAATTGGAGGGAGGTATATATATATACCAGACGACTCACCGAATGTCATTTAGGAATACTTTTTGTTCCGTGATTCCGAGATCGTTGCCAAGGTTGAGGAGAACTAAGCAATCAATGTATACATCTTGTCCTTTTTTTTTACCATCATATACAATGTACAGAGCGTCATCCAAGACATTCGCACACATATAAAATCTCATTCTGCTTTATTTGACATGTCAAGAAAGAGTTGGGAGGATAAATTACATCCAGCAGCAGGACCATAAAACGATAACCAAATCTTGATGTAATTCGTTGTGTTGATGATGTGTTGATCAAATTGCTTCATTACACTATGGGTATTGCATGGGTGGATGTACCAGAATGGGAGGCCGAGGATAGGATGTTCATCTTGAGTGATGCCACCTTGTGGGCTGATAGCGGTAGGCAAGCGAAGATTGGGTCCGGATACTGCTGAGATTACCCAATCATAGACTTGATCTAACGAAAGGGATGATCCATCTAATAATGCAATGCGGATATGAAAATACCCGTAGTTAGTGAGTCGGTGCTTTGATAATACCCCACACAATATTGGGCTAACCTGGATCGAATGCATTAAAGTATAATACAGGTGCTTGGAAAGTGGGAGAATATACAATGTGATGCTCTAATGTGATATAGGCCTGCTTTGTTACTGCAGCTACAGCAACATCTTCCTCTTGCTCTTGTTCTAATTCATCCATAGTAACTGGAGGTGGCGTCCAATTCTCGGGCAAGGGATGTAAAATCTTCCGTGTCATATACTGATAACCCGTCTAAGTAGTTTTTTAGGGGGTCAAATGGCTATTCTTTGTCTCAACTTTGAGTTTCATATATACTCGCTTATCAGTCACGATATCCCAGTTGGGTTCTACATTGCAGCTTTGCACATGATGGTGGAAATGAGAGATTGCTTTATGGAAGACTGAGCGATTCATAAGGAGAAAAGAGAGGAGCGGGAATGGATTTGGGAGACAAGCCCTTTTTCCAAGCCTCCTAATGTATTATTTTTGCTTGTCTTTACATAGTAAGGAGAAACCATAAAGTGATTGAGCTATATACAACAGATTTGTCTGTGGGTGAAACTGTAAACAAGAGGAGGAGGAGAAGAAAGGATGGAATGGATAACGGGAGATATAAAAAGTAGGAGGAGGAGGTGGTGGAGGAGTAGGAGGAGGATAGTAGGGGTAAATGCGTGATGAATGAGATAGAGATAATAATAGACGCTATTACTGCTGCTGCATGGATGATGCGAAAGGGTATGAAAGAGGGCTTGATCCTTATTTACTCATCCAGTAAAAAGTCCTCCAAGATGGATTGTGTTGCGTCTTGTACGCGTTCATCAAATTGTACGCTGAGGATACTTTCGATTTCGGAAAGCCATGATCTTAACCAGTTGGATAATGCAATAGATTCAGGACGTTCTTCTTCCTCCTGTTGTTGCTCCTGTTCAAGGCGGAGGGCATCCAACCATAACAAGGGATCGGCATAGTCGTCGTCTTGTGGTTGCTGTAGTCGGGGATGAGCTCCCATCACAAGTTGATCCCCGCCTTGACGCCATCTTGGTGGTTGCTCTGGCAATGGTTGCTGTGGTAGTTGCTGATGCTGTTCTTCGAATAGACTTGCAGGAATAGATTGATTAATGATGATATCAGCAGCCTCATCCACATTGGCAATAAGTCCCAATTGATTCCCAATATGCTGGTTCAAAGTCAAAATGTCCTCCGTCAACCCTGAGACACCTGCTGTAGCTGTATGCCGATCTTTGTGTTCGAGTATCGTCGGTAAATTGGATTCAACAAGAGGTCGAATCGAAGCAAGCAAGTTGGATCGCATGAGGTTCAAGTGGTCGCGAAGTGCATGCACGAATGATCGAAAAGAAGTGCGACAACGACCTGCCATAGAGAGAGTCAATCACAATGCTCATAGAATAAACGTTCACTACGCGAAACTTACTGCGATGGACAGTTCCCAAATGGTGGATTGACATGAATGAGCGAGGAGCTGACAAGGTTATCTCTTCAGTCAAAGTAGCCATGACTTGATCAACGATGTTTTCATAGTATTCGCTTAGTGCATTGGTGACAGCGACAGCGTCGACCGATGTGGTTGATTGAGGGGTGATATCATCGATGCGTACAGCTTGTTGTTCATTAAAGGCTGCTGAAGAGACGCCAAAGAGGGCACAGCTTATAAGAGTGATGGACAATAAATGGCGAGATGCTAGACGCATAGCATACAATGAAAGATATTATAATGATTATGAAGGATTAGTAGAGTTGTGGATTGAAGGAAGGATGAGGAGAAAGAAAGAGAGACAAAGAACAAGGAGAGGCGTATTAAAGTAAGAAAGAGAAGGGGAGAGATAATAGCGTATTGAACAAGTAGGAGTAGAACACAAACGTAAAGTTCAAAGAAAGGATGAGGGGATCTTTTTGAGGAGGAGGGGACACAAGGTGTGTGTATGTGTGTGTGTGAGCGTGTGACACAGCAGCAAAGGGAACAATTCTTCATATTCTTCCTTTTAATGCAATATGTTAGATCGCATCTGTGTCTTGTTTTGCCTCGTTTTCGTATGTAAGTCTCGTGGTGGCATCATCATAAAGTTTTGCTATTACCAAAATTGCCAAAATCCTTTGTAGATTGGGCGGGTCATTGTCCTTCCCCTTCAACCCAGCCTTCCATTTGGAATATGAGCTCTGGACAACGGCCAATCATGTCCTTTGTCAGTGATCGTCCAAGTCATCCTTACTTTTATTACCCGGTATTATTCACTTGTCCATCTTGTCCTCCTCTTCTTTTCTCTTTTGTTCTCCCACACACACGCAAACACACACACATTTTCATTGGACTGAAACAGTAAAGTAGTGAGCCCACGTTGATCAGACCTGTAAAATCCCTGGTATTCGACTCGTACAATCATTCAGATGCTTCTGTCAATTCCAAACTTTTCACTTGCCGGATGGAATCTTCCATTAAAGCATCTTTTTACCTTATAGAGTCGTTATAAGCGTGCTCATGCTACCTCCATCCGACACATGGTTTGAATACAGACGATCTTTTTCACTCTTGCTTTCTCTCACGGCATGCTTCGGGGATTCCCGATGGCTGCTATCTTTTCACTTTATGCATTTAATAAAACGTGTTCCTGCCATGTCTCAATCCATTGGTATTCAAACAATGAATGGTGGAAAATAAAGGGGGAGATAAATGATTGGCCCATGTGATATTGCTTTTTTCCATGTTGTTATTGTACGGCAACCATGCCATCCATCCACTGCTACCCTTCTCCATAACGTTGCTATGTGTAACGTCCTCTTGTTATATAAACCATCACAATTGCCACCCACTATACCAAATGTCGCAAGCACAGATCAAAGCAAAGTTTAATGAAAGACTTAACCCCATGACGCAATGCTTTCCTGGATCATGGTATCGCCCATTGTTCACACAAACGCATAATGAGAACATCCCATTGTTGCCATACGAGTACAATCCTCCTCATTCAGATACAGCCATAGCACACACATGCTCTCAAACAATGATGATGATGACGATGATCAAATAACAAGTGATGTATTCGTTGAGCTGATGGTCTCCTAGCTAAGTCATACAGGTTGTTGTGTTTGCTAGTCTGATGATTCTCCTCGTGCGATCCTTCTCTGCTCTCGTTCCTGTACTATCTTTTGTCGTCGTCGAGACAGCATTTCCATTACCGTCTTGCCATTCTGTGCTTGAGGATTCTCGCGTTCATTGACAAAGTAAGCCAGGGTACCCACAGTCAAAGAAAAGACAATATCACCCGTCCTATGCAAAGCTTCATTACAACCACTGCAATCACTCCTCGCTTCGTTGCTGCCATTGCGCTTACCTTGAGATGAGATATTGGTATTTTACGGGTGCTGACATTGGGATCGTGGTGGAAGGGTGCAAGCAAAAATCAATTACAAGAGCGGCCGGGGTTATCGAACAGCGACATCATGCTTTGGATCTAATAGCGTATGCATTCACTCCCTCCAATTTAATCATCTTCCATGCCTGTGCGCTGTCACCATGTGTGTTTTTGTCCCCATTTATATACTTGTTTTCTATAATGGATATAAAAGACGTTGGCCTCTCCCTTCCACAAAGCATTTATCCACCATCAAGCCTTTGAATGTAGTCATCCCCTCTATGGATACCTTTGAAAACCTTTGAATGATGGGATAACCACGCCTTTGAAGGTCTTTGGATGCAATAACCATGCCAACTTTTAGAGGACTTCAATTTTGATATCCATACCTTTGACCACATTCGATAGGCGTTGATTGGGCGAACCATGCCTTTGAGGACTTGAACAGTAACCATGCCTTTGGACACACCATGGAAAGGAGTTTAAATGCAGTAACCAAGGTCTTTAAAGATATCTGACGGCATGGATGAAGTACATGACAAGTCCTTGGAAGCCTTGGAAGATCGTTTTAAAGGTATAACTTTAATGCAAGAGCATTCGAAAGCATTTGAAGGAACCCCATTTGTTCTTTGAGTGGGAGACTACTTTCGCAATAATGAAAGCATAAAAGTTGGGTGGTGCTTGTGGGTGTGCAGTATAATTTTGCCAGCGGATAAATCAAGCTTACTGTTGCCAGGGATACAGCCTGCCACCCTAGCAACGAAAGCACGGGCATAGCAACTGAAACATTGACTGCTGTGATGATTACTCATGAAATTGGAAAGGACCCTGCATGGTCGGCAAATGAAAGTTTTCCAAGGACCCTATTACGGGTTGAACCCTGATCGGACACAACTGCTTATCAATGCTTAATCTAAAGATGAAACAAGAAATTCCGAAAGCGTAAAAGCTTGGTTTAATTATCGGGGAGCTATAATAGAACAAAAAAAGGAAAACTATGATACAGGAAAAAGTTTTGTGTCAAGGATGACTTGGTGACTGGTATGATGCTTTTCGATGTGGGGAAGAAAAAAGTGGAGCGGGAAGAACATGAGATGAGAGGGAATGCGAGAAGAGAAAAGAGAGAGAGAGTGTGTGTGTGTGTGTAAATGATAAAAAGATGAAGGTGTAGATCTACTTTCGAAGGATTTCTTGAATGTTGAGATCGTACCAGCCGAGCTCACGACCAATATCTTCAATGGATTTGCGCTTGGTCTCAGGCACAAAGAAGATAATGAAAAGAGTGACGACAAAGGCAATACCCATAAAGATCAAAAAGACGTATTCATGCATGGCACTTTGGAGAGTAGGGAAAATGAGACCAATGATGAAGTTGCAGAGCCAGTTGACGACCAAAGCAGAGGATGAAGCAGCACCAACAGCATAGGTAGGATACACCTCGGCAGTAATCAAGAAAGGAATGGTACCCAAGCCGACAGCAAAGGAAGAAACGAAAAGCATGACACATACAACTTGGAGAGCTGAGACTTCAAAGTGCAAGGCAATGGTCATGATCATACCAAACAAGCACATGCCGGCTGATGAACCACTAAGCAAAATCTTACGACCAAGACGATCAACAAGACCAAGACCAATGATGGTCATGACAATGTTGAGAGCGGCAACACCAACAGTGACATAAGGGGCATCACTACCAAAGGAGGTGGCAAAAATACTGGTCGAATAATACATAATCGCATTAATTCCCGTTAATTGTGAAGCAGCGTGGATAACCATCATCTTGAGAGTGAGCACAAGCAAAGTAGGAATGCGGCAGACTTGGAAGAATGACAAGGATTCCTCACTTTGGTAAACAACAGAGCCTTCTTCCTTGAAGCCAGCAGAGTCTTGGGTCTTCTTTTCATCGTCCTTGTTACCACCGCTTGAGAGACCAAGGATCATATCAGAGAATTCGGCTTCAATGTCACCATTACGCAAACGCAACATTTCAGCACGAGCTTCATCAATACGGTTCTTGCTAATCAACCAACGAGGAGAACGGGCACAGAATGGAAGCAATACAACTTGCAATGCGGTAGGAGCCACCGTAAGCATGACAACGATACGCCAGCCAACAGAAGAACGAAGACCAAGACCAATGGCTTCAATCAAAAAGATACCAATAGTCATGAGCAATTGCAACACACAACCAAGGGCACCACGATATTTGGGTGGTGAGATCTCAGCAATGTACATGCTAATAACAACAGTCTACGTAAACATTGATGCATGTGTTAGTGATACAATGATACCAAAACTCTTTTTTTTATAAACACGTACCATAAAACCAGAGCCAATACCAACAAAGATACGGCCAATGGCAAATTGAGCACTGCTGGTAGCAACCGAAATGAGAACGGCACCGATAAAGAAAGACACGTTCATGATTAACATGGAGTCACGACGACCAAAGCGTTCGGCCATTGGACCAGCCATTAAAGCACCAAGAAGACCACCCACAGCAAACATGCCAGTGGCTACACCCCAAATCCAATCGCTCATGGGGATACATTCAGGGAGGGAGCTTCCAGGGTAATAAGTCACTTCGCCTTGTGGTACACCAGGACAAGATTTGACATAGTCGCCAGGAATATTGAGAGAGCTGGTATTGACACCATTGTTGAGTGCACCAAGGCAGGATACGAAACAACAAAAGATCACGTAAAATCGAAGATCTGAAGTATTAAGACTGAATCCCATGGTGGGGAATAAAGACAAAGAATGGGGAAAGAAAATGATGTTTTGTGATGAATGGGTGAATTTTTATAGATGATGTTGGCCGCGCTCTCCTCTCTGCTGGCACGTTGTCGGGATCGGTTGTAAGGGTCATCGTCGCCCCGACATCAGAAGAAAAAGAATAGTGCGAACGAACGAGAAAAAAGCGGAGCTAACAAGTCCAAGATGTGAATGGTCGAGTGCCAGTATAGGGTAAGCAACTGAACCCTTCCATGATGGTTGTCTCGTATCCAATGTTTCTATGCAGGTACATTCGTAACATCGTTTTTGAGCCAATGACGATACCACCGTGGGCAAATAGTTAAAGTGGGTCAAAAAGTTGACACATTCCTTACGTGCACATAGGCTTGAATTGGGCCTGACGTGATACCATTCAAGTAAATGCACCCCCTTTTCCCGTTTTTTTCCCGCCGGGATAAGGCTGTATATCGGCAACCACGGATCAAGATGAACAGGCCACCAAATGTTATTTTTTCGATGATTCTTTATTGTATGTATTTATCCAAGTATCAAAAAAGTGGAGAGGGTATGAGTTTACTCCACATCATGTCGAAGCGGTGGATGGTGGAGAAAAAGGTCTACATTGGGTGGGGCCCCGGTGTGTACCCACATCCATAATGACGCTTTCGTATCTTTACATCTCGTGGAACCACGTCCGTCTGGGTTTTCTTTAATAGCGTTGTGTGCAAAACGTGGTTTTGCTTCCCGCACCATCCCGTTCGCACGGATCGGCGACCACCGGGAGAGCGCTGAAAAAGTGTCATTCAAGCTACGGGATCAAAAGGCAATACAATGCGGTATACACGGTATGCTTTTCATGTTGCAAAATCATGCAAAAGACTCCATGCAGCCACCACATGGTTAAGCATTCACTTGTCAAATGACGACATCCTCCCCATGTATGTTTATCGGCTTTTGTTTTTTTATTTTTGCTACGCTTGTGTATCCATCCTTGTTGAAGCACCGCCTCATCATCAGCAGCTCTCTGAGATCATTATTGATGCGTGAGCTTATCTAGTGTTTCGTTTTCATCCTCTCATGTTTATCTTGGACGTCAAGATTGTTTGGGGGTATCGGAGTGACAATAATAGATTAGTATCACACACTTTTGAACGAGTAGTAGTAGTAGTAAAGTGAAGCATTTTTTATAAAGAAAAGAGGGATGCTGGGGGCACGTGGATCATTGGCTGATTTTGTATACTACTGTTACAGTCATTTTGCTCATCTGTCATCCAAGTGGGCCATTCGGGGACATGGCCGATAATGACGCTAAGGACATCAAGCCATCTTTCGCGTTCGAGTGCCGAGTCACAAAAAAAGTCAATCGAGTCGCCTGTTTCAAAATGGATTCGGAAGCTGTTTTTCACCGAGCAAGAAGCTATATCATCATCGGATGCCGTAGTCGCCGATCCAACACTGATGCTTGAAGATGGTCTGACAAATGATAAAGCGTTCCCCCCTCTAGGTAACGGTTGTGATGATGATGATGGTGGCGGTGGTGGTGGCGGCGTCATTAATAATGATGATGCTGATGACGATGCTGATGATGATGATGCTGTCAATTGATCATTCTCTGCTCCGCTACCTATGTCGGGAATGATGGCTGCTGTTGGGCTAACTACACGGTTATCCGCGGTAATGCTGATGGCTCTCGAAAGATCAATGACTGTCCTTGGAGCATGTATAGTATCGGTGTACGAAAAGAGCCGCCACCCACGTAGGCTGTAATAACGTCGTCGCCAATACTATGGTTCAATACCTCCTTATTTTAGTACATCTTCCACCTTATGATGTATGTGCACATGATACCTTGAGATCACCTCCTATTTGGGACATGTACCCGGTTTGCCAACATTGTTGCGAATATCGTTGGATATTAAGGCCTTGCTCGCATTGCTCAAAAGTAATCGGAAAAGATCCCGCTGACGATGACTATCATTAAGGATCACGTTAGCTATGCATTGTATACAATGTTTCCCTATTTCATGCATACCTCTGGTAGGAAAAATAGCTTGCTTGTAAGTTTCCCAACCGCTTTTTCAGGCACATCATCCTTCCTTTGTTTGGGAAGCAACCCTGATCTTGCAAATTGATACCATCCATTGACCAAAGCAAATGAAGCTGTGCATATACACCGTCGACATTGTTTCTGGATACTTGCAAATGACACACGTGTTTGGGCAATTGCACCATCAGGTCGATTGACGTAGCGTAGAATGCTATCAGTTCTTGGCCTTCGGTGATTTCCAAATAATCTTCGTAATTGGCTTTTGGATTCAGTTGTTGGCGGCCGACGACTCACTTGCAGTGTCAGAGTGAATTCCGAATCAGGTTTAACGTCGCTGAATGATGATGATTATCAATAAACTCGATCTTCTCCCCCTTCATCTTGGCTACTTACATTGAACAGTCCCAATTGAATTCCACAGTGTGATGCATTGGCATGTAATCGGATGTGTATTCCATAACACCATTGCTTAATACACAGCGTAAATAAGGCGTTTCAGCTAACACGGACAAGATTAGCTTACAAGTTGGCTATTCCCTTTCTGATGCCTATGCTACTTGCCTATATCAATGGGAAAATCTAAATTTTCAGCCGCCATCACCTTAATGTAGAGCCGACCACCGCCTCCACTAGTAGTATTAGATCTTGAACCTGCAAGATTGGGTGACGAGGATGACTAAAGATGCATGAATGATTACTGTTAGGCTCCGTATGCAGTATTATTCATTACGTACCTTGAGACTTTTCCACACGGGTTCATGCTGCAATGGTATTGAGGACTCAGTTGTTGTAGAAGATTGTTGTTCATCATGGGTGGATTGATCATTGACGGTGGCATAGATTACTTTGGAAGTGATGCGCTCCGTATAGCGTGTTGGCTAACCATCTTTATCATTCAGTAACCCGATATCACTATGCTGTTTGCCTATTCCAATAACTTACCAGGTGATCCATTGAGCCATTAAAACCATCACGGTGTGCTGTAATCCGATCCAGCTCATCGAGTAATGAAGAACCAAACTCGCCAGCAAGGGAAGAAGAGGAAAAGGGTGGCAAGACAGTGTCGTTGTGTTGAGTGCGCTTATGGGATTTTGTCCTGAGAATAGCTTCACGTATCTGCGACTCGACGGAGCGTAAATTATTGGCAGTAGGAGCTGATGGTGGTAGTGGTGGATGTAATAATGATGGCATTGGGCGATTCCTATCCCATCGTTGTTGAGGTGATCGATTGTTGCGTTTGACCAATTCAGTCAATACTTCATCTCCCAATATGCGATAACCTTTGTGCTGTGGTTTACGTGATTCAGTGATAATTTTGGAAGGATCAAGTCGGAGAACAGCAGCAGTAGCGGCATGAGTAGCGGGGTCTTCTTGTGATGTTGCTGTTGGTTGTTGTTGTGGCGGTGGTGGTGGTGATGGTGTTGAAGGTGGGTCTGTAGTGGAAGATGGCGTTGTCAAAGATGAAGCAGCTGTGGATGTATCGGGTGGTGCTTGATGATCCAAGGTATCTTTATCATCATCGTCATCTTTGTCATCATCCATATCCATATCCATATCCTCTTCCATTGAATCATCTTGTTCTTCAAGTAAAATATCGTCATCGTCATCATCATCATCATCATCTCCTGCACTGAAAACCTCATCACTGTCATCTTGTGTCTCTAGATCAGAGTCTGTTGATTCCATCAAGTTGTCGTCTTCGTTTTCTTCATCTCCACATATTTCAATAGTGTCAATGTCGCTGCTGAAGGTGACTCGTTTACCGGATCCAGTGGTTGAATGGGGTGGTTGTGGTTGTGGTGTTGATGGTGATGTAGTGAAAGGTGAAGAGATATCACCGACATGAAGAGAAGGTGATGAAAACGAAGGACGAGCTGTGGCATTGGATGTTGTAGTAGTTGGTAAACCGGCACCAGCCGATGAGGGCCGTCGTCGATAATCCAGTGGAGTTAAATGATAGGGCGAGGATGACACAAGGTCTGGAAAAAGGGACGTTTGAGCTGTGGCTCTAATGGCGAGCGATGCAACTTCAATGCGTGGTGCAAATGCCTTTGCTAATTCAGAAGGTTGTACTGTTTGGCGATTGCTGCTACTTTTGCTGCTGTTGCTGGTGCTCTTATCGTCTGCCATCACGTCGCCTGTGTAAAAGTGTAAAAGAGAAGAAGATGCGGGGAAGAAAGGGGGGTCAAGACGCGATCATGCTGTAAAAGGAAAATGCAAAACAGCTTGGTTTGGAGAACTTGGTTACACACGAAAACTTAACAACAGCACCATGGTCTCCTAGCAGCCTTTATATAGAAGGCATGACCACGTTGGGAATGATGACAATGATTTACAACAACAAGGTATGGTACAAAGGTACGTGCAAAATGAAAAAAGACTTTATTAAAGCGTGAAAGAAGTAGTAGAAGCAAGTTGCATGCTTTGTTTATGGTAAGGACGTAACGCGTGTGTACTAATCGCACCAGTGTGTTTGTCAATGCAATGCTGCTCAGTGATAGCCTCCTGCCCTTGTACCTTTAAACCTATGCGTACAATGAAATCAGCGTACACGATGTTGTGGGCTGTAATAGAATTTGCCACCCAATCGGGAGGTAGCTACACATCAACATGAAAATGAGTACGTGCTTCATCAATCGAGATGATTAGGCTTTACCTTATCAAAAGACCCATATGTCACAATAAAATTAGCAATGACAATCAAAGTAGGATAACAATGAAACGCGTTAAGGGTCATCATGGATATTAATACATGGATTGCTCTCAAAAATAAGATCATCCACCGTGATACTCACTTCAATTTGGGCTTTTTGAGATGTCAACAAGCAAAAAGTGGCACGAAGATGGAAGAAAGAGCTGTGGGTGACAACATCTTCCTTGTTTACATCTGCATGGGGGCGTGGGTATTTCTGTGATAACACGTTTGCAGGGAATGTGAAGAGTTGATATGTAGATTTATGGTGTCGCCTACACAAAGAGCCTCGGTGTGATTAAATGGCCATGCATAAAATCAGGATTCAGGATATGTATTATGCAACAATGACATCGACTTGCTATCACAAATCACTCTTTATATGCAAAGTAAGACGCTGTTTGTGTGAGTGTTCGTTTCAGAAATGTTATCCATGGCAGCTTCTTTGATAAACGTTGTGCATAAGCGCCAATGTTCTCTACCATGGGATTGTTAAAATGGCTCCATACGCGGAGCTGTCATCGTAAAAGATATCTCTTATGATAGCTCATGTGGGCAGCTTTTATGCATGCGTCGTAGTAGGAATTCCCAAAAACAACCACATCTCAAAGCAAAGAATAAAGAAACGCAAACCGCGGCTGTAGTCGTTTTTATAGATTGAATGAATACAAAAGTTTAAATACCTTCTACGAGCACATACTCGTTTAGGTTATAGTACAAACGATGCGAGTTACTCGAATCCACATCCACTGAAAGACGATGTTGTTTTTGAGGATGAGAACGATGGAGGAGAGAAGAGCGAGTTTGAAAAAGTGAAGATGGACGTTGTCCCCAAAAAGAACAATCTTTGATCCAATGACCTTGTTGCTTGCAAAGAGAGCATCGAGCTACCTCCGTTAAATCACGAGCAAGTCCAGCGTCTGCAAGACGTGCTATATTTTCTTCTGGTGTGCGAGGTAAACCCGATTGGTTGACGCGACAAGTGGCATCCTTGTTGTATACAGTAATAGAAACGGGCGTAGCAGTATACGTACGACGAGCATTTCCTTGCAGATCAACAAGGATGGTGGTGCGAGAAGGTGGCGTATTTAATGCAATCAGCTGCAAAGGACAGCGTGCATCAAACAGTTTACGGCCAATTGTTTGTAATGTTTCGGTAGGACATGCTTTAGAGTAAACATCTAACGCTTCCAGAAACGCGTGTTGATCTCCTCGTCGTCCAGCGTCAAACAATTGGGCCCATGCCGATGAGCTGCTTATGACCGATATATAAGGACATTCACGAGCAACAGCGTGTGAGCCTGATCCACAATGACGGCATCCCATTCCGCCTGTTTGTACCATATTCTGCACCAATTGCATATTAGCTACAATAAACGCCATCCCATCGTTGGTGTTGGGATCCGTGGGAGATTGGCTGCTGCTGCTACCACTGCTACTACTGCTGCTGTCACTGCTACTCGTATCACGTTGACGTTGTTGTTGTTGCTGTTGGGTTAATGGAGTTGCCTTTTGCCATCCACCACCAACATCACCCACAAGTGTGTTGCTTGCCACTGTTTTGGTATCATCATCATCATCGCCTTCGTCAACCACTTTCAAAATGCTAGCAAAACGGTCTTCCCAATGTTGTTGTTCACCAGCTGAAAAAGTGGTATCGTTGCTCTCATCGAGTTGGCATGGCGACCATGGTGATATAGGTGGTGTCCATTCTTGAGATTGATGATAGTAATTGGAGGTGTTGATGACTATTGAGCATGTTATAGACATCGACAGGTTAGCAGGTATATCCATTTTGGTGATAGTATATATATATATTACCTCGGTTGTTATGACCAGACCACATATCGTGAGTGGATGCGGATCCTGGTGGTGTGATAGGTGATGGATGATGGGACCAGTAGGATGAAAATTCAGACGTGGCGGTGCGAGTGGACTTGTCAAGTGGAGAAGACATACGTCTGTAAGGTGGAGCTTTAATGTCAAGTGTTGCAGGCAGTCGATTGTTGCTGCTGTTGCCATGGAAACTTCGTTTATCCCATAAAGATGATGCATGGGAATTTCTGTCAAGCAATGTATTGGATGATGCACTAATGCCATCTGCCGAAAACATGCGTGGCATACGCAAGCTTGGTCGACCCGTATCTAAAAGATGTTATGGTATGAGTAAAGTGCTCTACACCTTTTGTTTTCTTGTTTCAAACCTTGTAGCAACGTGTTGTTGTTGTTGGTTGAGTGAAGAGAAAAGCTTAGTAGATCATCCACAGAGGACTTGAAACGGTGTTGTTGGTTGATTGGCTGTGTTGAAGTAGTAGGAGGAGGTAATGGTGAAAATAAATTGGGTGTTGAAGGTGGTGGTGCTATACAAGTGGGTGGAATGGATACCGGAGGAGGACGTGCTGCTTTAGCAAGCTTACTTGTGATGTTGGCTGCTGCTGCTGCTGCTGCTGCTGCATGATGTTTGGATGTAGCAAGGTTGTTGTCTGATGATCGCCTATGGTGATGATGTTGCTGCTGTTTGGTGGTGCTGCCATTTGTCGTCTCAAATTCACGAATCCATGTTGCACTTTTTTTCCAGGCATCATCATCTTCATCATCAACATGATGATTTTGACCAATAGTCAAGTAGGAGGAAAAGTCAATGTAATTCTCTGCCGTCTTGCCCCACGCCACGACACGCTCTGGTTTAACTTCTTCCCATCCTCCAGGAGAAGGTGGGATGGATCGAAAAGCAAGATCGGCATAACGTCGTTTGCAACGCATGAATAAAGCAATTTCATCGGTCTTAACAACGCGTTCTTCTTGTTGCTGTTGTTGTTGATGTCTTGAAATGACTCTGGTATCAATACCATTCGATTTACGGTTATTCGTATTGTTGGAGGAGGAAGAGGAAACAGGTGCGCGTTTGTTGTTGTAATCAGCTGATGACCGCCATACGCCTCGCTTCCAGACATTGTTGTTGATGCTACTACTAGCATTACGTCGTTGCTGGTTATTGCTTTGGACGTGTTTGGTTAATGGACGTATGGATCGTTGCCGCCTAGATGCATTGGACATTGGCTGCTGCTGCTGCTGCTGCTGCTGAGGTCGCTTGTTGGTGTCGAGGTCATCATCATTGATATCTCGGGGTTTCTTGTTACACCGCCAGAGATCCGGAGCATGATCCGTGTTAGCAGAACAAGGAGGAGGGGTATCGCAGCCAATTGCAGTAGGATGATGCTTTGCACAACAAACATCTACAAGCAAACAATCGCGTGCATTTGCGTGTGAGAGATTGCTAGCCCTGACAAGAAGCTTTTTGATATGTTTACCCTCATCATCATCACGATCATCATGACTTGGTTCATTCAAGGGTATCTTTTTCTGTTGCTTTGCATTACAATCCTCATCTATGGGTTGCTGTAAATCAGCCACTCTCATTCATAAAAGCTCGTGCTATTTACTACCATCAACGGTTTTTCTCGATGAAGGACATGATGTTTGCTCGCCCGTTGCTATAGATGGATGAGAAGAGGAGGTGGAATCGTCCATGCCGCTGCTGATATATAGAGTGTATGTCAATAAGGTGGAGGATGTGGGGTATGAAGAAGGGGAGAGAGGTGCACGCGGTCTTTTCTTTTTTGTGAAATGTAAGGATGAATGTGCTATAGTTAGATTGTTGGAGAACAGGAGTTGTTAAACAGCTTAAAAGAGAGGGAAAAAGAGGGAAAAAGAAAAAGAAAAAAAAGAGGGCGCTTGATGTGAGGCGAAAAGGAAATGGACTGTTTCATACCTCCTTGGTGATGCTTTTCCCCTTTGTCTTACGACCCAAGCCCCTGCATTGCTTGCACTCGCATCATTTTATCTTTTCCCCACTTGCAGTGTGGTGGTGTCGTATCATTATCATTGTCACCATCACTATGAATGACATCAAGTGAGCAAGCACAGCATAGTGAATAAAGGCATGTGTGAATTACAAGAGCCGTGTGACATGTGTGGCGTTTCCAAGGCACACTTTATTCATGGTAGATCTGTCTCCAGGGTAATCTGTCAAAGAGTCCACCTGCTGCTGCTTGCTGCAGTGATCATTTTGCCACTTGTTTCATAACACACAGGCCCACTCGAAACTCCGAGCTTAGCATGGTTCGCTTCACATTGGCTACTGCTGCTCTCTTTGACTCTCTCTTTCTTCTTTATTACTCTAATGTCATTCAACGATTTGGAACAAGGACTTGGTGGTAGTGGCGCTGGAAATGGAAGAGGCTCACGACAAAACACACCTTTACTCTCGGGTACGATAACATCCTTTATTCTCTTTTTCAATACTCTTGCTCACCCAATACTATTTGTAGACGACGACCGAGAATACAAGACATTGACGCAACGAGTATCTCAACAAGTATTTCACATCAATGGAAATATCAGCAGTATTGAACGTCTTGTTGGATACCTTGGTGGTTCAAGAGATACGCCGGACACTCGCACTAAGCTGTACGTCATTGTATTTTCCGATTCGACCATTGAGCTCATCCTTAGTTTCCCACAGCCATGAAGTAACCGAATCGACTCGCGAACTCATCAAAGACTCGACCAATGACCTCAAGAATCTAGCGCAATTCCAGACCATTGACCCGAAAAAAGCAGTATGTGTCTTGGCGTAGTAGTATGCTCTTCTTGCATGGATGATGTATATCGCTGACTCGTCTTCTCCGCTTTAGCGCCAACGTAAATTGGAACAACAAAAGCTTTCCAAGGACTTCCAAAAAGTGCTCGGCGAGTTCCAAAAGGTGCAACGACTTTCTGCCAGTAAACAACGTGAATATGTGGATAAGACAAAAGCTACTACGGCAATGCTTCAATCACAGCAGGCAATGTATGTGGGTGGATTAAGGGTATCATATCATCTGAAGAGAGAGATTAACAATGAATCATAGAGCCGAGGAAGAAGCTGTACATGGTCAACAACAACAACAACAAACCGAAGTCCAAGCAGCTGATGATGCTCAACGGCGGATGCAATTGCAGGCTCTGGACAATGAGATTGAATACAATGAAGTCATGATTACAGAACGTGAAGGAGAGATCCAGGGCATCGAACAAGGTATCACAGAGCTCAATGAGATCTTTCGAGATTTGGGTATGCTTGTCAATGAACAAGAGAGCGGCATTCGTAAGTAATCCATGGCTATCTTGTGAAGGATTGGATCATTGATTTTATTTTCTTATAGAAAGCATCTATGGCAACGTCCTCAACATTTCCCAAAATACACGCCAAGCTGCTGATGAACTCACAGTCGCCAATCGCCATCAAAAGAATGCTAGAAAGAATATGTGCTGCCTGCTGCTGATAGTAACAGTGGTCGCTTGTGTCCTTGCGCTCATCATTGTTGTCGCCAAATAACCCTTCCCACACCGTTGTTGTCAAGCCATGCCATCATTTCATTTCTATTTTGTTTGTCTATATTCATAACCATACTTCATATATATATACAATGATATCCCCCATTTTCTTTTTCTAAATTATGCTGATGTTGTCGATGCTTCTTTCTTGTTATCAGTGTCTGATGTTGGAATGCTAGGGGTGCCTTGTTCTTGTTCTGGCTTCTTTTCTTGTTCATCTTGTTCATCCTCCTCGCCCTCGTCACCTTCGAAACCTGTCAAAATGGGATCGTTCTCGTAGGTAGGAAGAAGGTATCTATAACGTGATATTAGCTTAAAATGTTCAATCCGCATTGCATTGCTTTCACTTACTTGGGATCCTTCCAGAAATCAGCGTCCTTATCGATGCGTTGTTGAAAGCATTTCTTCTCTTCCATGTGTTTCGCAAGCAACGACAAATCTTCTACCACGTGGCCACACACGAAGCACTTATCAAGTGACGATTGATGTCTGATGTAATTGAGAAGCACCACCGTTTTGTAAAAATCCAGACCTGCATCATGATGTACACGTGGTGAGTCCCATTACATACCACATGCGCTTGTTGCTTATTTTTTACCATGCTCCTTTCGTATCCGTGAGAGATCAAACCCATGGGCCGTTTTCATATGTTGTAATGTTTCCTCAGGGGATGGGAATACATCGTTATCGAAGAGACACATTGTTGGTTCGGCTTCTTCCTCCTCCCAATCAGCCCAGGATCTACGTTATAGATGTGAGCATAAATCATTAATAAATCTACTATCCCACTTACTCGTCACGTTTATCATCGTCACTCTCATAGTTGTCATGCTCGAAAGATTCCCAATTCTTGCCAGGTTCCAAATAATTGATCACGTAGAAACGATCGTATTGTCTATTTCTTGGAGCAATCTTGAAGTGCTTTTTCTTACGCATGTGCTTGCGCAAAACGGGTGCATTCGTGAATATCTTCTCGCAATACAAGCATTGAAGCCTACAGGTCGCATTTTAGCATACCATTTTAGGTTGAAGTAACCCTTCACCATGATGACTTACTTTGAAAGCTTGCTTTCCAACATGTCCAAGAACTCATTCACGTTTACCAAGTTGTCCGGGAGACCAATGTTAAAGTTGTGCTCGGAGAACATGTGCTTGAAAAGAATAGCCCTACTTTAGGTGTGAGATGGCAGCTACCTTTTACACAAGACCCATCATCTATACCTGTTGTCACAAATGACCTTGCAGAACAAGCATTTTCTAGGCACCTTGGCGTCATGGTCACGTTCACGTTGTTGTGTTTTCAAGACTTCATCCTACATAAAAAGGACGCGTCAATAAACCAAGTTTTCTTCTAGGATGGAAGAAGCATATCCTACCAGCTTGGCGCGTTGCATTTCATCACGAATTTCCTTATCCAGGGGACAATAACGGGGATCAATGATGTACACTGTAATAAGTATATACATTAGCGTTTTCAACCCTTTTACATTGACCCAAGATACTCGTACCCTTTGCATCGAAATCATCAAGACATGCAATTTCCTCGATAGGTTTTGTTTCAAGTTCCTTGGCCCAGCGTCTCAAATACGGATCAAGAGCAATGTACATGTGATGCAAATCCTTGAATACAAGGTTATGCTCCGATCGTAAATGCTTGACAAGTGATGTCGTGTCGAGAAACGGCTCGTTTGCTGGACAATCCTTCAAAGGACAAACGGATAGAATGGTGGTGTGGTAAGGTGGTACAACAGCTTCTTCCTCTTGCTCCTCTTCTTCACTTGATCCTTCGTCGTCGTCTTCGTTATCCTCAGGCAAATGATATGGATTGGATTGGGCGGTAGTAGCCGTGGTGGTAGTGGTGGTGGTAGTAGGAGGTGAGCTGCGAGGGTTGTTGATCTTGGTTGTCGACTGCTTGCGAGTAGATCGCGCTTTACGAGCACTGTTGTTGCCTTTGGACTTGCCATTAGCAGGTCGGTGTGCCTTGTTCTTGTTGTCGTGATGGTTGCCCTTGGTAGGAACTGTGCACCATTCACCGCTGTCCTCCATTATTGCACGTCAAGATAGAAAAGAGTTAAAAAACGGACAAGGAAAAGTGTCGAATGCACTTGAAGCTTCGTGACTGGTGTACTACCTTACATTCCTTAAACTCCACCCTCCGATTCTTTTTTATGCCGTAGCTTGTTCTCTAATGAATCCTTGTCCATTTTAAGTGTTGAATGCCTGCATTTTATATAAAAAGAAAAGTATGAAGCTATCATTATCTTAGACCATGGGTTCATGAAAGCTAGGAAAATGGGGATTTGTGGCTGCTGTGACTGTAGCATTGAAGACGAGGCGAATGTAATACCTATCACCAATAGCGCGTATGCGATCTAAATGTACATGATTAGATAAATGAAACCTAAAGATGTCACTCGTAGATCAGGTTACTGTCATCCATCGAGAAAAGTATATCTTCTAACTATGTAGCATGAAGTTACAAATTGCGTATTATACATGCATCTTGAGCAATGTTATGCATAATAAACATAATTGCAACGGATTTATTGCCATGGATACGTATGATGTAAGGAGAGAAAAAACAACAGGCGTGAAGATGATGATGGTGGTGGATGCTCTCTGATGGATGATTGTGGCAAAAAAGTCATATGCATACTGACTTCCTGATTTATCAACTTGGATTCAAGCGCCGCCATTCAAGGGCTAACAGGATGCTGGCTAGTTGGCACCTGTACATACACCTCTCTTTCACCCGAATCTCTATATAATATGTCCTCAGAAAACGAGTCGTCTTCCAACGCAACTAGACCTACTGTTCAATCCAATGTCCAGCCTACGGGAAAAGCAACCAACGTCAAGCTTGTCTTGTTAGGTTAGCCCGAAAGAGAAGCCGATGGAACAAGAGAACCCTATCTAACTCATTGAGTACTACAACCCATAGGTGAATCGGGCGTGGGCAAATCCAGCTTAGTACATCGCTTTGTCAACCGCGACTATGAAGCGAATCGTGAACCAACAATTGGAGGTGAGAAGCATGCAAACCATCCTCGAACATGGACGTTCATCTCACTCACTTTTTATCTTTGCAGCTGCGTTCTTGACACAACGATGTCACTTGGAGGATAGAGTAATCAAGTTCGAAATCTGGGATACGGCAGGTCAAGAGCGTTTCCACTCGCTTGCTCCCATGTATTATCGCAATGCCCAAGCAGCTATTATTGTGTATGATGTAACCAAGGCGGTATGTTGTTGTTGTTGTTGTCTTGGGATGATGAAGCATTCTACTCACGTCTATACATGCATCTATAGTCGACACTCGAGAAAGCCAAGTCATGGGTCAAAGAATTGCAACGACAAGCGAATTCGAGCATTGTTATCGCTTTAGCTGGCAACAAGTTGGATTTGGTAGAGGCTGAAGGTGACGATGATGATAGCGATGAAAATGAACGTCAAGTCGCTGAAGAGGATGCCCGAGCCTATGCCGATGAAGCAGGTCTTGTCTTTATGGAAACAAGTGCAAAGACAAGCAAGAATGTAGATGTCATGTTCACCGAAATCGGTACGTAGTGTGTGCGAATAATGTTGGTATCCAAGGAAACAGCATAGTAACCATTGCAAAATAGCCAAAAAGATCCCCCATGAACACCTCATCTCAGCAAACCGTAACGATGGTCGTGGTATTCGAGGAGCTCACGGCAATGTTGATTTGATGCAACCAGCTTCCGAAAATCGATCCTCCAGCCAATGTGCCTGTTAGACACCACAATGACATACCCTTTATTGTTTGCTCCCTCAACGCATCCATTGTTTCTATTCGTTCCATACATTCTTTATACATCTCCTTTTTGTGTCAATGCAATATCAGTCCTAGTGTGCATGTTGAAAGGAAAAATGATATTATGCTCTATCCTAATACTCTTCAATGAATTCTATCTTTGCCATCATATCTTTTAATGCGTGATCGATAAAGGATACAACAGGGATTGGTTGCACGATCATCATGCTATTACTCAAAAGACCTCGTTGTAAGGACAACCTTGTCAACATTGATTTATTTATGATTTCCCAATCCAATCCTCTCAATAACGTATTCAGGCATACAATAAGCTGGATTAACAGGTTTGAGTCCTGGATAACCCAACAATGATAAACCGGCCACGCCAAATACTGTATGGAAGACATCCACCATGTCACCAGGTCGATCTGAAATACCACCTTGTTCGGTATCCTGCTCGAAGACTCGATAAGAAAACATGAGAACGATGAGTAAGTCGGAGGACATACCTGGGCGGAAAGAATGAATTGCATCAATTTTTGCTTGTCAATCCAGTGTAAACGACCAAGCATGGCCAAAGAAGAAAGCACCCACCAAGAATAGCATACCTATCACCATCACAATGTCAATATTACCTATATCAAGTATCCAGCTTTTTCATCCACTTACATCTTCCAGCTTTTCTGGACGTCCATTGAGACCGCCATTTTTGAGTTGACGTTCACATAACCACCATCCTAGCAAATCAGCATCCACCAAATGCAAATTGTTGGTAATAGCCAGTGCAGCGACACAGCAAAAGATTTGCCCCGAGTGAGATTCGGCTCCTGGTGTACTGCCAAATCCACCATCGTAATTTTGACATTGCATAATCCAACCCACAGTCTTGTCCACATCAATAGCATCCATCCTTTTCAATAGTGAGAGAATCGAAAAGGCAATATAGGCAAATCGAGAATCGACTTCTCCCCACTCATCTCCCTTGACGGATCCATCTTGGTTTTGTAAAGACGCAACGTCTATGTAAATGTTTTAGTATCATAATCCTTTGCATTCCTCCCTCAAATAACAGTTTCACTTACATCGGACTACAGCTTCAACGTCGATAGCATCCAATGCATCATAGGTAACCAGTACTTGGATAGCAGAAAGAGTATACAAGATATGAGGATCATGATGGTTATGACCACCAAAGCCGCCGTTTGAGTGCTGTTGGTTTGCAAGATACTTGATGACCTCGTCGCGTGGAAGGGCGTCAATCTCGTTCATTAGGTCCAATGCTGTAAGACCCCAGTACAACCCATTGACTCGCAAATGCTCGGTTAACCAGTATTCGAGATCTTCTTGTCGGGTATCGAGGGATTGAATATACTTGACATGTAAGGGAATAAGTAGTGTATCGGTCATATTGTGTGTGTATGTGTGGGCGTGGGTGGGCGGGAAAAGGAACAAAGAGACAAGTGTTTGTGACCAAATGTCAGCAGCATTAAGATGAATGGATTTTGGCAACATTGTCCTCCTTACGACTATACCCTCTCTATGACCACCATCCTTTACCAACAAACCTTGCAATGATCTTGATCATCCACCGATACATACATGCGCTCTTTACCCATAGACTATTACTACCACTGCTAGATTACACCAGCCTCAATCAAATCCCCATTAGCTGTGCATAATGGATCATTCGTTGTTGTATGGAAATAAAGAATGGTGTGATTGTAGTAGTCCCTTTATGCCCTCGTATATAGTTAAATCAGCCAATTGCCGGTAATACTACTAGTAGTGCTTTATGTTGTATGAAGTAAACTAGATACTATTATCATCGATCACAAAGAATCAGGGTACATAGAAATGAAATGCTGCTATATTTATTTGAATGGTATCCAGTGGCCATAGTTTGACGAAAGAAGGGAAGGTGCTGCTGTTGCTAGGTAGCCATGGCAACTGGGAGGGAAGATTGGATTTAACATTGGCGGACCTGCGTCTGGCATTTGGACACACTTTTTCTCGTTTTATATCAGCAACACATTCACTATGCCACCGGCACGACAACAGGTATGACACTCCACTAGCATTGAAATGAACGATCTGACACCCGATTCTTCAAGGTTGATCGCGATACACTCGAAGAATACTTGAGAGAACGGCGACCGGAAGGTGGCACATACAACATTTGGCATAATCGTTGGAAGGGTTTGGAGAAGGATTGGAGCAAGAAAGGGTGAGTTCTGCATGATGGAGGATTGGAATGGCTGCGATGCTTATCGTTGGTGCTAGATTACGAGCTCGCTTCAAGGTGGATGTGAAACGAGATTCGGGAGAGACGATTGGATCAAGTAACCGGAACGCCTACTTTTGTCTTTACTTCGCCAAAGGCATGTGCGCTCAAGGTGCTCAGTGTCCCATGTGGCACCGTATCCCCAATGAACGTGATGAAGTGGAGACTACCATTGATTGTTTTGGAAGAGACAAGTACATGTAAGTATTTGGGATTGCATGGCATAGCATGGTGGTATCCATGTATGGTTGATTGATCCTAACGCGTAATACAGGGAATTCCGACAAGATATGGGTGGTGTCGGTTCTTTCAATACACAAAACAAGACATTGTACGTGGGTCGTATTGCACCAACAGAGAATATGAAGGAGATCATTCGTAAACATTTTGGACAATTTGGGTCTATTGAACGATGTAAGTATTGATGGGGAATAGGGCACTACATCCATAGCTGATATGCGCCGATCGAGTGAAGAATCTAATAACGGCGTTCCCTTTTTTCATCAGTACGAGTCATCAAGCATCGAGGTGTTGCCTTTGTCACGTATTCCTCACGCAGCAATGCCGAATTTGCAAGAGAAGCCATGATGAATCAAGGTCTTGATAATAATGAGATTCTTAATGTTCGGTAAGCTTTGACAAAGGATATCCAAATAGCATGAATGTTTATGGGACATTTAGATGGGCTACCGCTGAACAGGATGCAATGGCTCGAACTGGGGATGAGGATGGTACAGGAAACGCAAGTCAGGGTAGAGGTGCTTCACATCATCCACCTCAAGTGTACGCTCAACAAGATGCCGAATCCGAATTGCCAGCAGAGTTTAGTCACGTGAAACGAGAAGTAGCAGAGGACAAGTTCCATGACATGGAAGAACGTGCCAAACGTCAACGCGTCGAACAAGTAGAAGCACCCCCACAGTATTATTACGATGCCCAATCAGCTTACGCTATCTACGGCTATACTGCACCCGATGTTGCTGCCGCCGCTGCTGCCTATTCTTCACCCAGTAACCAAGAGACGACCAAAAAAGTCGCTGGCATCATTCCACAAAATGTCCTGGATAATCTCAAGAACCTATCCAAAAGCGAAAAGGAAGACACAACAAAGAAGGCTGCTACTACTACTACGAGTGACAACAACAAGAGTGGATTGGGTAATTTAGCTGGATATGGTAGTGATAGCGATGAGGAGTAAAACAAATATACACTGCATGCCATGTTTGGATGGCTTTAATAGAGATCAACGTTGATGATTTTACATTGAACAGCAAGAGATAATGCATTGTGGGGGTTAAATAATGGGAGGAAGAGAGAAAAATGTCTAGAATGAATCATCAAACTATATGTATATGAATATGCAAAAGTTTTTTTGGGATTGGGGGTTAATGTAGTAGTATGTTAGGTTGGGTAAAATTAGTAAGCACCCTCCAAGGCTTGGTCGAGATCCTTGATAAGGTCTTGAGCGGATTCAATACCAACCGACATACGAAGAAGAGTATCGGTGATACCAAGAGCAGCACGATCCTCAGGGCTCAAGCTAGCGTGAGTCATGACAGCAGGGACCTCAATAAGAGATTCAACACCACCAAGAGACTCAGCAAGGGTGATCATGCGAAGACGGCCAAGGAGCTTGTTGACATTATCCAAGTTACCCTGGACACGGAAGGAGATCATACCACCAAAGCCCTTTTGTTGGGTCTTGGCAAGCTCATGTTGAGGATGAGAAGTAAGACCAGGGTAGATAACTTCAGTGATCTTGGGGTGCTTCTCAAGGTGTTGAGCAAGGGTGATAGCGTTTTGTTCGTGACGCTGCATACGCAACTCCAAAGTCATAACACCACGACGAGCGAGGTAGCAGTCAAAAGCAGATGGGACAGCACCCATGGAGTTTTGAATGAAGATAAGCTTGTCATAGACCTCCTTGCTGTTGGTGACAGCAATACCCATCACAACATCACCGTGGCCGTTAAGATACTTGGTGACGGAATGGACAACAATATCGGCACCCAAGGACATGGGGTTTTGGAAGTAAGGAGACAAGAAAGTGTTGTCAACAACAAGCAAGGCACCGTGAGCATGAGCAATTTCAGCAACAGCCTTGATGTCAACAAGACGCAAAGTAGGGTTGGTGGGAGATTCAACCCAAACAATCTATGTATGCATGCAAACATATTAGCCACAAATGGCGTCATTCAAATAATTGTTTTACTTACGCGAGTGTTAGGCTTAAGAGCACTCTTGAGGTTTTGGGGATCAGCCAAATCAACAAAGTCGACTTGGACACCGTGGTTAACAGCCACCTTGGTGAAGTAGCGGTAGGTACCACCATAGACGTCATTCACAGACACAACATGGGAACCAGCTTCCAATGTACCAAGAAGAGAAGCGGTAACAGCTGAACCGGAAGAGAAAGCGACACCATATTGAGCACCTTCAAGGGAAGCAATGACATTTTCAAAGTTGGCTCTGCTTGGGTTACCGGAACGAGAGTAGTCATAACCCTGCAATAACAATGGCCACATACGTGGGAAAAATTCTTTAGTTCCTGGCTCCTTCTTCTCCGAAGGGGTGGATGATTATTATCACCCATCACACACATTACCTTGTGAACACCAGCAGCGGACTGAGCAAAGGTAGTAGAGAGAGAGATGGCAGGGATCACTGCACCAGTGGTGGGATCAGGGTTCAAACCAACATGGACGGCACGAGAGCCGAATTCGCCTTCGTAATGTTCAGAGAAAGTCATTATTGTGTGCTGGGAAATAACGGGGGAAGAGAAAAAGAGAGGGAAGTAAGAGAAAAAAAACTGCGACGGCTGTCAAAATCTTGGTGCTCCGTATTTATGGTAAAATGAGCTACGTCATTAGTTCACGGGAAACAAGACTGTGGAGCTGTGTTGTGTTTGTGTTTCTTGTGTCCTGCTATGGCGACATTTGTATTATCCTACCTTATGATTAGTAATGTCTCTTGTGGTTTCTCTTGAATGATTGATCCAACATGTTCCATGACAAATTGCGTAAGCATGGCATCTTTGTGCGTCATTTTCATTATAGCAATAATTGCCTTCATTGATCACATCATCATGTGGCTTTATGTGTCCATATTCTTCGTCCCCCTTTACATGCTTTCAAGTGGTATGGCCACGATCGTCCCATTGCATTGGACACCAGCAGCAGCAGCAGCTAAGAGACTTGACCAGTAATAAGCGGAGGTTTGAATGGCGCATTTCCGCATTTTCGGTTATCACCCCTCTCTCCTCTCTCTCGTATACAGCACCCGCTCTTTTTTACCCTTTAAGCTATGGGAAACCAACGCAAAAAGGCACCCAAGCACAAAGATCCCGTATTATTGGGTCTCCCTGATGGCGCAATTGAGTCAAGTGACGATGTGGACGCCTACATTACCAAGATCGGTGGTGTACCAGTAAGTCCCAAAACGCTTCATATCAAAATTTTTTCTGGTTTTGACAGTATGCTTTATTGTTTTAGGTATGGCTCGACGCTGAGAAACTACCGTCACCCAAGGTGCTAGAATGTGGCAATTGTCGACGGCCAATGTACTTGATCTTTCAAGGCTATGTCCCGTTAGCAGACTCTCCGTATCACCGCGTGATTTACGTATGGGGCTGTAACCAACGATTATGCATGCGTAAGGAAGGAAGGTAAGTAACCCATATGGATACCAGCGATTGTGTAAGGTATTGATACCATGATGGAATAGTTTCTCGGTGCTTCGATCACATCTCGTGGATCCTGAGTATTTAGCAGCACAAAAGAAGAAAGAAGAGGAGAAGCGAAAAAAGGAACAAAGGAAAAAGCAACAACAGGCATCACCCTTTGGCGCACCAGCTGGTTTCCAGGTAAGAAGAGGGACATGGCAGCATGAAAAAGTGAAGGATACTAAAAAGTGGTATTTTAGTTGGGAGATTTATGGGGCGCTTCCTCACCCTCTACGACACCCGTGACCACATCTTTTGCATCGGTTGCATCCAAAGCATCAGCATCAGCACAACCACCATCATCATCCAGCAATAGCTTGGCAGATGCCATGTCCAAAATGAATCTCGACGATGATACAACAACACAACACGTGATTCCACCTGAATCGATTGTTAGTTTCCCAGCCGAGAACTTATGGATCACTGAAGAGGATTTGAACAACATGGCATCCTTTGGTATCGATATGTCGAGATATCAGGAATATGTCGATATGCAGAATGCGCTACTCGAAAGTGCTGCAGCTGATGAAGAATGGAGTGGTGAAACGTACGAGAAGCAAACATTACCCAAAGGTGTCGATAAGCAATTTCGGAAGTTCATGGAGCGTGTTGAATGCGAGCCGAGTCAATGCGTACGTTATGAATGGGCTGGCGTCCCTTTGCTATACCATCAACTACAACAACCCCTGTCGTCACTCGCAGGTCGATGCACACATTGCGGTAGTCCACGTGTTTTTGAAATGCAGCTCATGCCCAATGTATTATCTGTACTCCCTGTTGCGGAATATGCGTCATCCAATACATCATCGAGTGCTACTGGAGATGAGCTCAAGGCGTGGGATGTTGGTATGGAATTTGGCACGGTGATGGTGTTTGTCTGCGAAAAGGATTGTCATCCAGGTGATGTTGAAAGCCCCTCCCATGTTCGAGAACATGTTGTTGTACAGTATGAAAAGGATTAGACCTCCCCCCTTATAATGTAGATAATCATCATCCTTGTATTATAACCCATATTGATTACAAGTAAAAATCAAAAATCATGTTTTCTTTTAATAGTATGAACACTGGGCTTGATAAAGGTCTTTTTGCAACAGATGTAAAGGAAAGTGTAAAGCTGTGTGTGTGTGTATTGCAGACTATAAAGAGGTCAATAATCAATAGTAATGAGGTCGTGAGGAGGGTGTGTGTGTATCTTACATGTAAAGAGAAAGGAATGCGATTTATACAATAGAGTGCTTTCAGTTCATGCCATTGTCCGAGAGGTTCATCAACAATTGGCCAAGACAGCGTCGTGTAGCAGCATCATCCTTTAGTACTGCATGGAATGTTGTATCTCTCAAAGGCTCTGGTAGACATTGACGCAAGGCTTCTCGTGCTCTATAAATCATAATGAATGATCGATTCGTAGCGTGATCCCTTTGTATCCTTCAACTTACCGTGGGTTATCTGATAGTCTAAGGTAGCATCGGATGACATGTTTAAGTAGTCGAATCGCTTGTGTCTCCACCAATTGAGAAACCATATTGTGCAAAACGGTCGCCACTGCATAGAAACGCTCGTATGTTTGACAAATGTAATACTAAAGCACACATACACACTCATGAGTCGATCCATTTGGCCCCATCTCGAATCCCAATATTGATACTCACCAATCCAGTCTCGTCTAACAAGATCTTTTGAATGATGAAAATGGCCACCGTCTTTGACAATTCACTGCCTGTTTCCATGATACGCAAGCATAAGGGTATAATCTCGGTTGAAAGCAGAAAGCTGATGACTTCAGGGTTGTCATTCTAAATATAAAAAGATGCCATCTTAGCATCATTCCAATTCCCAATGATCCCATTGTTTTTTCCTTTACCTTCACAAGCGCACCAATAACACCTAGGCTGGTCAACCGAAGATACTCAAAGGGTCGTGTTTTGCTTGTGGTGTTCAAGAATGGATATAGATATAAAGGTAGATGTGCTATGTATACATGTATAAGATGAGTATCCAATGCTCATAACGCTGTTGCTGGTTGATTGATCTTACCATTCAAAAAGAGAGCTCGTGTTTCGTTGTGATTTGCAACACATTGTAATAGCGCCAGCGCATTGCACACTCGGTTGGATGTTACCCCGTTTAGTGTGGGAGGAGTGAGCATGGGATACACAGAGACAATTTCCTGAAGCAGCACGGTGATTACTCCTATTACGGGTGAAGCGTCATTAAACTACCCCAATCATATGCACGTCTATTCCATACCATAAGAATACCATAGCACCAGAGCCAAATCCTCGTACTGCTCACGCTTCTTGCTGAGGTCTAGAAGGGCTTGTTCACGTAATGATGGATTCAACAACTCCAAGACCAAAGTGTATATCTTGTCCTCTTCGAGTTGAGCAAGCTTTTGTTGGACTTGATGATCTTGGTGAAGGAAAGAAAGGTTCATTGCAGCTGCTTTGTTACCGGCTGCTGCTGCTGCTGCAGGCATGGCATTTTGGGCTGCTGCTGCTGCTGCCATGGCACTGGCACTCGTATTCATAAGAACTGGATATCCATAAGGGTCATTGGAAGCTGCATGGGCTGACATGCCCGGATGTTGCTGTTGTTGTTGCTGCTGTTGGTGGGCAACCGCTGCTGCCACAGCTGCTGCTTGATTATTACTACCCAATGCTGGGAACTGTTGCGACAAGTTGCCGGTGCCAGCCGATTGTAGCAATGCTGCCAGTGGATTAGGTGCTCCACCCGTCGGTTGTTGCATATATTGATGATACTGCGAGTTGGGAAGCATAGTTGCGGGTCTTTTTTTCGTAAGTGTGTGTATTAAGAGAGACGGAGAGAGAGAGAGGGAAAAGAAAGCCCAAAGAGCGCGCCTCATGAGATGAGTCAATTATTGGTAGGTTATTCAGACTCAAAATGTATATCCCCCCAACCTCCTGCCACTCGTTGCTCATTCACCCTATTAATACTTCTACCCCACATATGCCCATCATTCATATAACAATAAGAGCTACCACATACATGCTGGTACGGGTGTTTCCCCTATTCCTCGCTTCATTCCCATTTAAGCTGACCAAAGGCAACTCCAGCACATAAAACATCTATAGATCATAACGTCTGAAAGAGATCAAAGAAGATCATTGTTGTTTATAGATGTGTAATTTCCACTATGTATACTTGTACTTGATCATCCACAATAATAAAGGTATGTAGCCCATAATGCATTAACCACAAACGAGTATTGGAGTGCATAGCAACGGCATAGCAACCAGGTAAAAGTCAATCACAACTTTTATTATTTCTTCTTTTTGGTATCCCTCCTTCGTTCTTCGTCCCAATAGATCTTCTCTTCCATGCCTATTAAGGTTGTATAAGAAATAGCGCTTACAAAAAAAAAGAGTCAACAATACATACCAGTGATCGGCTGCACCACGATCGGCTTATTCTCATTGTCATCCTTCGCCTGATATCCTGTGGCATCTTTACCATCCTTTTGTGCAATCATGCCTTCTTCGAAATACATTGCAATCTTTTGGGTATCCTTTGCACTGTTCAATCGAATATGGCACTATCATGAAAAATGGACATGTTAGACCCAAAGTGACCATTGTAGGCACACAGGCTTACCGTGAAGGTGTTCTTCTTGTAATTGAGATAGGCGATCTTGACACCAGACGATTCCAACAATGTCTAGGTAATGCATAAGTATAGCTTGTCTTGCAGCATACAATTTGAAAGCACGTTACCTTGACAGTGGTCTTGGAGCTTGCAGGATGAATGTTTGTTACTCGAGCAATGATCCCTTTGGGATAGTCATCCTCCTCCTCTGTATTGGTGACTCCTGTGCTGTTGTGGGTGTCGTCCTCTGATGATGTACGTCTCTTTTTTGTTGGCTGTGCGTCACCATGTTGTGCTCGCGTCGCATTATAGTTGTCCCAAAGCTGTTTGATGTCTTCCTTGCACTGAGCTTGATGTGCCAAGTACTGATCTTTGTATTGGTTCCATTGTGTTCTACCAATTTACGTCAGCATCGCTTTCAAAGTACCAATAAAAGACCTTACTTTGACATGACTCGTAGCTGCAATGCATCAGCCGTTTGTGTGACATGATCGGTAGTAGAATCTTCTTGTTGATCATCCTGCATATCGAGTTGATATCGGTTCAAGCGATTGACAGCCTTGGATACATTTTCCTTGTTGTCAAACTCGATAAAACAAAAGCCATGGAATCTTGGTTTGCCGCTCGCATCATTTGGTATGCGTAAAAATGAGACTGGTCCCACAAGGTCACGAAAGAGTTCAGTGATCTTTTCATTGGTGTGGTATGGCTTGTCCAATCCTTCCTAATACACATCCACCTTTAGAGATGATGAATTGCCATGCAATGGAACTACTTGAGCATTACCACGTAGATAGACCAATCATCCAATTCTTCCTTCTTGTTCAATACAAAGGGCTTGATTCTTCCAACAGCAGTGTTCTCGCTATTCAACTGATGTATGCATTAATTGGACATGTCTTCCACATCTTGATGATCTATTACCTGTAGCCGTATTGATTCCTTGGTGGCATTGATTACATCATCTTTGGTTGCAGAGACATGCTTCAAGCGTGGTAGAGTGAGCAGGGTATCAATGATAATGTCTAATATGACCCTTTTAGCTCTATTGGATATACAACAAGAAGACCAACTTACAGTCATTCTGTTCTTGTAAATGCTTTTGCATGACTTTGTCCCATTGCAGATTGGCGTCACTGAAAAGGGTTTCGAGTGCATTGAGCACCTTGCGATCGTCGGTTGCCATGTGGGTAGAGGGGGGTTGGGTGGGAGCGCGTATATGTGTAAAAGTAGGAAAAGACAAAGCTGCCAGATTGGGAAGTCATGATTGGCGGGATAACAAGTGGCGGCTGTGAGTGTCCCACACAAAAAAAAGCAGCCGGGGAGCAGCCAGTGGATCCTCCTTTTTCCTTGCCAAGCGAAATCAATATGGCCTCTCAAGCCGCTCAGATCTCCAAGAAGAGAAAGGTGAATGGATAGCCATCAACAAGCTCATGGATGGATTCTATGAGTGATGGATGAATGAATGGATCGATGGATGAATGGATGATATTAACCAATGTCTCTATTTTTCAACCTTACCTTTGCATGCCCGATTTTCAAATGAATAGTTCGTAAGTGGTCGACTCTCTCTCTTGTTTATTCTCAACTCGCTATCTTCTCAACAACTGACGACTCTTTGTTTATCAAAAACAGGTTGCCGATGGTGTCTTCTACGCCGAATTGAACGAATTCCTTACCCGTGAGTTGGCCGAAGATGGCTACGCTGGTGTTGAAGTGCGTGTCACCCCTGCTCGCACTGAGTATGTATCTCTATGGATTGGATTGGATGGTTGCCATGGAAACAAGTGCTAATAGTGTGTGTGTGTGTATCGAATAGAATCATCATCCGTGCCACCCACACCCAAAACGTTCTTGGTGAGAAGGGTCGCCGCATTCGTGAGTTGACCACTCTTGTTCAAAAGCGTTTCCGTTTCGCTGAGAACACTGTTGAGTTGTATGCTGAGCGTGTCCAAAACCGTGGTTTGTGCGCTATTGCTCAAGCTGAGTCTGTCAAGTACAAGTTGCTCAACGGTCTTGCTGTTCGTCGTGCTTGCTATGGTGTCGTTCGTTTCGTTATGGAATCCGGTGCCAAGGGTTGTGAGGTTGTCGTCTCTGGTAAGCTTCGTGCTGCTCGTGCCAAGGCCATGAAGTTCGGTGATGGTTTCATGATCCACTCTGGTCAACCCACTCGTGACTTTATCACCACTGCTGTCCGTCACGTCTTGTTGCGCCAAGGTGTTCTTGGTATCAAGGTCAAGATCATGCTTGACAATGATCCTTCCGGTCGCCAAGGTCCTAAGGCTCCTTTGCCCGATATCATCACCATCCTCGAGCCCAAGGAGGAGAACCCCATTGCCGAACCCATGATCCAAGAGTTTGGTCGCCCTGCAGAGCCTGCTGCTCAGCCTGTCGAAGCATAATTTTCTTTTTACGATATCGCGCTCAACACAGCAGTGTTCAAATAAAAGCACACAGCATCTTTTTACTGCGAGGCATTTCAATTGTGGGGTTTGGGGATGATAGGAGAAACTTTTTGGGAAGTTACGATGCTTTATGAAGGTATAGCCAATGCATGCATGTGTCAATACAAATAAAGTAATCACCAGGATTTATTGAATTATCTGCTATGATGTAATGATATTACTTGTTCTTCATTTATACTACAACCAATTTGATCATAAATACATTTTTTGACACAATCAATAACTGCAAAGGTGGTAATTATCCATCGAAACACCCAGAGGCCCATATCGACAGCAGGCATCGTGTATCCTTGGTTGATAGGATCGACGTAAAAAGCGAAAACAAAGAAATGGATCCACACCAAGACCACAATCCAGCAACAGTACAATAGCACAAAGCTCTTGACCAACTTACCCAACGTCTCCACGATCCGGTCTATAACATCGCTATGTTCAGCTGCTGCTTGTAATGCCACAGCCGCTCTCATAAGCTCATTCTCGTGATGTTCGATATTCACTTCCTCCTCATCCTCATCCTCTCCTTCGTGATCATTTCCAGCAAGTAGCCATGGATGAGCATGCAAATGACGTTGATGCGTAGTAAGAACAGAGTTGAGCGTTGTAAAAACCAATCGCAGCGTCCACAATCCGCCAATCAAAAAGAGGCCCAAATGAAAATGCTCTAATCGACACAGGAATAGCTGCCATAGTTGCCTGCCGCTATTGGTAAAGTTGTACAATAATGACTCGATGGATATAGAATGGAAGACGTTGGTGGCTGACGACATCCAGCAGACTGGGAATGGAGCATAAATCACCTTGCGGATCGTGGTATTACTCGAGTACTGATGTGGGAACCAAAACCAATTTTGCATCGTATCTCGTAGAGTGGATGGCAATATCCTTGACAGTAAATGGGCTGCTTGTAGACTCGCATCATCATCATCATCTCCAGGGTATTCGTTGTCCATAGCAACATGTGGTGGCTGCTGAGCACAAAGATGCAATGCGATTTTCATGCATAAACCTATTATTATCATCCATCATCAGCTTCCTTGTGTCCATGAATGATAAAATACCACTGACCTGCAGGAACCAGTACTAAAGCCAGGATAAACGCTGACATCATGCAGCGTATCACTAATCCAACAAACAACAATATCAACATTTGCCAGTGCCCCCACCGTTCCTATATCAAATTACCTGGGTTGCTCACAAGGGCTGCCCACCAACTTCGATGGCATATCTGGAACCTTCTCAAGCAGAGCGTGCAACGATACGACTCGTCTTTATGTCCTGATTCAGCAAGCGATTGTCTCCATAAAGCAAGGCATTGAGGATGAACGTACTTGCTATACACACAAAAGACTGGTGTCAATGCTCCCCATTGCTGTGGTGGTAGTAGAACGTAAGCGAATACCTACATTGAGCCTCTGCAATGACATGGAGCTAATAGATTTGCCTTCTCATCTTTGTCCATGCATATTCGACACATGCGAGGGTTGCGGTTTGTGGAGACTTCCATAAAGATCCAGTCGTGGTGGTGGAGGAAAGCCGCTTTAGGAACACACAAGTAGAAAATTGACATGCACGTGAATCATGCAAGCAAGCTAGGAATCCTTTCTAATAAAGTCCTCACTCAATGGTTCAATGCTTTATATACTTTCGAATGATACGGTCAGGATGGCCCCCATTTTTTTATTTTAGTTGCAAGGAGGATAAGATCATAAATGATGCGAGCACATAAGAGAAGGAAATGATACATACAAAGAGCGAGAGAAAGTAAATGGAATGACGGTGGTAGATACTTGAAAAGAAGCATGGGCGAAGAATAGTAATAGTGTGTAAATAGTAGTATGTGTAGACAACGAGGAGTAAGCAACAATGAAAGCAAACTGAGTTGTTCAAACGAGCAGTGTGCATATAATAATACATGAACGAAAGGGGTTGGTGGATGATGATGATGATGGTGATGATGATCGTAATGAAGAGAATGCAAATAATGGTATCACTTTACAAGATATTTTGGATCGATTTTGGAATCCATGAGGTGGACCGGATACGGTTGATGGTAATACGACGAGATTGTTGTTTTTGCAAAGAAGCGGGTTGTGGGCAAGAACACGAAGAACATGTGCGCTCTGGCATAGGTGGTACAGTGGTAGCTTCGGGTGTAATGGGTTCGGCTGAAGACACGGATGCACTATCGTCGTCATCTTTTACAAGTGTGGGTGTCGTCTTGCGGTATTCAGGGTTTTGGATGGGCCGTAAATCAAGACGACGCACAGATGCACGCTTCTTTTTCCGATATACCACGCTGCTTGCTTCCGTATCTCGGTCATAATCAGGGGTATTTGCCACAAAGACAGTGGGGAAGTATTGAGGAGGAGCGTCATCATCATAGTGGTTGTTGTTGTCTTCATCATCCTCGTCATATTCAGGCTCATATTCATGTACAATCGGAGCATCATTAGAGAAGCTCACTTGACGTTGCGTTTTTTTATCGGGTGTTTGCGATGATTGGGCGACGATATCATGGTATATTTTTTCGAGATCAATATGCCTTGTCTTGCCATAATAACGGCTTGGCCACGCAGAAGAATCGTTGGTGGTGGTGGTTGTTGATTGCACAGAGTGAGTGGCCATTGTTACTACAGTGTGAAAAGAAAAAAAAGAAAGAGCGTAGGAAAAGAAAGAGAGAGTTGTGTGTGTGAAAAGAGACAACTTGGTCTCAGCGGACCACTTAATATATCAGGCATCGTCCAACAGGATCAGGGGAAAAGCAAGCCATCGTCCAGTAGTGACATTTATCAAAAGGCAACATGGGCACGTTTAGAATGTCTGATTGGCTGTTGAGTTAGGGCACATGGTCCACACCACAGGCTGGGTAAGCAATGCATGGCCAGATAATGAGATGAATGAGCAAGGTTATCTCGACTCCCTTTTCCCCGTCAATCACGTCCTCCTAAAATCCTGATGAATGCTAGTGTGACAGAAAGGCGTCAATCGATTGGTCCATTGATCCGCCTACCCAACGCTGCATGCAATAAGAAGCACCACCATGCAAAAATGGCACGACCTATATTCAATCGCTGGAAGCACTGATGACCTAAAAAAAAAAGCAGGGATACATCAAAACAAGAGATCCATTGTCTTATGCAGCCATACATTAGCTTTTGTTTTTGCACATGTCGTTAATCCACGTTGCTCTCGATTATACACATGTATGCATTAATCCTCCAATCACACCAAAACATCATGTCCGTGTAACGATTGATCCACTCCCACTACTACCTCCTTGCCCACTAATCTTTGCCATGTTTGTCATGTGTCTTTGGCGATCATCCAAGTACTAGTAGCAGTAGTAGTATTTCGTTTTGAGAGTAATCCTTACTTGGAAACGTGATGGGATGCCAAGCTTTTGTGAGAGAGAAATTAGTAGTGGTGGTACAAAAATGGATCCGTGCGTCACGTGCAACAACAATAGATTCATTCAACAGCATCGGTGGCGCTCGTGTGAGTTTGAAGCCTTCTCTTTTGCTTTTCTCTTTGTCCTTTGAGCGCGTTTACCAGTGTCTTTTATGTATTTGCCATGGCTTACCTTTATACACTAAATGATTACATGTCGACAATGCACTAAGCAAGTTTTTTTTTTTCTTTTCGGTTGTTGGATGGCACGATCGCCGTAAATGAGCCATACAACTAATGTTCAGCTGATCCCTCATCACGGCTTGATATCGTGAATAAGGAAAAACTTGGGATGGAATATGAACGAGGTCCCATCATCAGATATTGAATGACATCCACGTACGTATAATGCTAGTTGTTGCCGCATTCGTCGTCATGTTTATTACGTAGCAGGGTATATGCTCAAAAAGTCATTTTTAGAAAGGAGCATACTTTTGCCTCGTGGTTACCTCACACCAACCTTTGCTGTTCTTGCTATTGTTGACATCTACTTAATCGTTGGACCCTGTATTGCCATGTTTTTATACCTGACAACTACTGATCCTACGTTAGCTCACGAAGTACAACCGTATCAATGGCAAACAACGGTTGCCTAGCAACTCGTTGACGTTGACAACCTTTAGATAAAATAGCACTTGAGATGCCTTGGGTCAAACCAATGCTACATCCATACACCAAATGCGCTTCTTGCGTAATATTAGCATCATCGTCATTATGCGTTTCGGTAATGTATCGGGTGGTCAAACCTAAGATAAGGTGCTCCGTCTTTTCTGTATGGGACAACTTTTGCAGAATCAAAATCATATGCACGATTACAAAAGCTATCCATTTCGATCATAATACATGAGCGGACTAATCCATCAAACCGGTAAAACGCTATGGCGGCTCACCTGCTCTATAAATAAGGCAATTCTATATTTCTTGTTCCGAAGGGCGTAAAACGTAGCATTGCATGTCATGGCGTTCTCCCTAACGTGCACTTTTGCTTAATGACACAGGATTGTGTTGCACGTACATAGCATAGTCCGATTGTATAGAACGTCAATGATCAATTGAAAAAGTCTATTTATCACCATTGGTAACATAAGCACTATTGTGGCAGCATGTGCAACCCAATGGTCTTCAACAATGGGTGGCAGAGTGCACTACCAAATTACCATCTTTAGCCGAAAGCAATTGGTTTAGTGAAACTTGTTGGCGTTACAGATTTCAACATATTCACACACATGCAAACCTTTCTTTTTTTAGCATTGGGTGCTGCGTTGATTACGACTTTACGATGTCAATGCGATTCAGGGCGTTTACAGGGCCCAACGTGAACGTCCTAATATGCATGAAAGGTTTCACATAATCCATCGGTGCTGCACGAGACCGATGTTTTCACGTTGCAAGTTGCATCATGAAAGAGAGTGAGAGCGAAAGATGACTTTTTAATTCCGTCACAATGCTTATTTTTAGTGTTGAAAACGCGTGGGTTGGGATGCACAAAGATAGCAAGGGGTGAAAGGGATAGGATGTAAAACTGACATACAAGGTGATTTCAACACCGGGTTACCGCGTCTTTTTCATTACTAAAAAGGCAAAAAGGCCAATATCAGGCTAAACGAAAACAGAAATCTCAATTGCACATTCCTGGAATTCACCTTGTACCACCAGCATCTCGTATCGGCCCTGCAAAATGAAGCGGGCGCAAGCGTAGTATGTCTTGCACCGATCAAGCGGCGGGAAGTATACTATAGACTCCCATCCAAATCTTATATAAAAGAAGCCTCTTGTTGACACAGCCTCGATTTTCTCATCAACCTTCGTTTCAATCCATTCGTTGCTCCTTAATCCTAATATCCCCCCACCACACCTTCCCTTTTCCTAATGGCTATCCTTTCTCGCTTGTTCCTAATTGCCACTTTGGCTCTCGCCACCAGCGCCCAATTCACCGAAACTTATCCTGAAGATGGCGTCGTTCCTACTCCCAAGAAGGAATGGATGGATATTATCGCTAAAGCCAACATCAGCAAAGCTCCTATTCGCAAGAGCAACGGTGACGATGGTATACATCACGATCAATTCAATGCACAATTCCATTATCAATAATAACAATGATGATGCCATTTTTCATTATACATAGGTCCTCAACCCTCTGGTGGTGAAGATGAATTCTGCTGGTATGTGCACAATTGAATCTTGTATGTATGTGTGCTTTGACTAATGATGGATCTTTTCTTTTTTAAAAGGTGGACCAACGACTTGTGTATGCGTGACAATGACATCTCCACTTGCCCTGATGGTAAATGGGGTTTGACCTATGATGATGGTCCCACCGAATTCAGCCCAGCTTTGTATGACTTTTTGGATCAAAAGAAGCAAAAGGCTACCTTCTTCATGATTGGTGGTCAAGTCGTCAAGTTCCGTGATCATGCTAAGCGTGCCTTTGATGCTGGTCATGAACTTGCTGGTCATACCTGGTCGCATAGCTACCTTACCACTTTGACCAACGAGCAAATTGTGGGTGAATTGATGTGGACTGCTCGTGCCATTGAAGAAGTCACTGGCAAGAAGCCTCGTTACTTCCGCCCTGTAAGTACACACAATGCCATTGTCAATGGATGATTGTACTCATTGTATCCTTTTTGGGTAGCCTTATGGTGACATTGATGACCGTGTGCGTGACATTGCCTCTGCTCTTGGTTTCACTGGTGAGTATTTTTATATATATTTATCAAACATGGCACCATTTCTTATCCACTAACGTGTGTATGTGTAACAACAGCCGTCATTTGGGATCACGACACCGATGACTGGAGAATGAATGAAGAAGCTGGTTTCAAGGCTGAATGGATTGCCGGCAATGCCACTGAATGGGCCGCCAACTCCAAGAGTGGTATCTCCCTTGAACACGATCTTTACAAGGAGACTGTGGATGCTGCCATCAAGATCTACCCCACTCTTAAGGTAAACAACATGAATCATTAGCTAATTTGTTTCACATGGCTGACATTGATGATGATGTTAATAGGGTGCTTTCGATGTTCAACCCGTTGGTGTGTGCACTGGCCAAAACCCTTACCAAGGTGGTAATGATACTACTACTCCTCCTGCTGCTTCCTCTGCTGCTGCCAGCTCTTCTGCTGTTGCCTCTTCTTCCAGTGCTGTTGCCTCTGGCACTTCCCCTGCTTCTTCAGGTGCCAACCCAACCTCTTCTTCTGAGAGCGATGCCTCCAAGGATTCCAGCAAGGATGGCAAGGAAGCCGATACCGAAGAAGGCTCTGCTTCTCGTATGGCTGCAGCTTCCGCTGGTTTGGTGCTTACCGCCGCTTTGTCGTACATCATTGCTTAAGTGAACACGCATGTCAGCCCATATCCTCTATATACACCCACACTCTTCATAACCCCTATTTTTTCTCCCACCCATCCATTCCACCATGTATCATCTCGATGCACTTCTTTCCTGTTGTACTGATTGTAGAGTCGTATCTTTCTAATATAATTCACCAAAGAAGTGCAATACATTCAATGTCATTTTTAGTATGCAGATTCAATCGTTCATGTTGTTGCTATATGATCTCATTCAACGGGCAGTATTATAAAAGCTACATTTACAGAAACCGTTGCTAGGCAATTGAATAGTAGTAAGTGGAGTGTTATAGAATAATGGATCCAGGATAATGAGGACTTCATTGTGATGGACCTTTTCTTGAAGGCATGCCTTTACACAATCAAGCTAGGATTTATTGGTTGTCATTCTATTTCATTGTATGGCAATAACGTGTCCATGGGGATTCTACCAATTTAGTCACCAGCGGCGGCGTGCAAAGTACAACCACTCCTCTTTCCGCTCTACGTCTTTGCAGTTGATCATGGGTGATGCCGGCTTTTTCAAGGTAAACGCTCTATTCCATCCTTTGCAACATGTTGTCTAAACCCAGGATCACGACCTCTATCTTGGGATCAGTCCTCTGTCTTGGCACATTTCCTTGCGTAATGAGAGAGAGATTCCTTACCAACATACACACACACCATCGCTAGGGAACCAGTGCTGATCAAGACAGCCGTTTCAGCAACAAGGAAAAGAAACTTCTCAAGTCTATGAGTTTTCCTCCAGAGTTTGATCAAAAGGTAAGCGTACGCTATCGGTTATTGAAGAAGGTGTTACTTATCAAGACGATAGGTGAACATGAAAAAGGTCAAACTCGATGTTATCAAGCCATGGATGACCCAGCGTATTACCGAGTTACTTGGTGTTGAGGATGAACTTGTGATCGATTTTGCGTTTGGATTATTGGAAGAAAAGGTATGGATGGGAATGCATGTTGTGTAAGGTGAAAAGTATCTAATGGACAAGTGTTGCAGGATCCCGATCCAAAGCTGATGCAAATCAACCTCACCGGTTTCTTGGAAAAGAACACGCAGCAATTTATTCTGGAATTGTGGAAGCTCTTACTCAGTGCACAAGATTCTGTCAGTGGTATCCCTAAGCAGTTCTTGGAACAAAAGAAACAAGAGATTCTCAAGAATCAGCAACAACAAACCGAGTTAAAGGCGCGTCAAGATGCAGTGATGGATGCTATTCGTCGTCGAAAAGAAGCTGAGAAAGATGATTATCGTGGTGGTGGACGACGATCAAGATTTGTAAGTTTGTACAAAGGCACACATTGAAGGAGTCCATTATTGACTTTAGCTTTAAAGGATCAGCCACGTCGACGATCTCCATCACCTCGCCGATACCGTTCTCGATCACGATCACCTTCACGCAAATATCATCGCAGCGACAGATACCGTAGCAGCCGTCGTTATGATGATGACAATGTTGATGACAGGAGTTCGCGACGACGTCGTAGCCGGAGCCGTGATCGTAGCCCTCGTCGACATTATCGTAAAAGCAGCCATGAGAGGAGGAGACGTAGTCCCAGTACACCACGAAGACGACATGATTCAATCTCGCCCACAAGACGTAGTCCATCGCCACCATCAAGAAGAAGAAATGCATCACGTGAAAAAGAAAATTCGCCTACTCCTCCACAACGCACATCCAAATGGGACACTGATGAACATGATGATCCGCGTAAGGTATAGGCATTGGGATAAGGTGAAGCAATCTGTCAATTGAAATCTTACATGAGGGTGGCACTTTTTAGAAAACAGCTGAGCTACGAGAACAAGCATTAGCATCGCTAATGAAACGGCGTGAGGCATCTGAAGGACAAGAATAGATAGTGACTCTGTTAGTTAGTATCTTTATAATATATATACGTTTGCTCGCGTCTTTTTTTACACTAGATTACATGAAAAGAAGTATTGGAGTTGTAAAAGGTGGATTACAAGGGGGAGGGGAATAGGTGATTATCAAGGAGAATCAATTACTAACGAGTAGTACAATGCTGGTTGTTTTAATCATCATCGATCCTCCAGGAAGTGAAAGATGCCTGTTCCTGAAGTTCATGTGCTGGTAGATGTTCCTTCTTTTCAGGGCCACCACGTTGAACATGCGCCTTGAGGCCTTTGCCGAAATTATGCATTGTCCATGCTCCCAAAGCACACGAGCCCTGTAGAAATGATGAGTACCATGTTGTAATGATGACATACAATAAACGACTTGACTTACCAATGCGAAAACAATACCCATGACAACTAACGCGTTGCATTGTATCAAAATTAGCTTCAATGCTTCTTGCAAATCATGTACGTCTAAGACTTACCAAACACAATCCATGTCCACCATCCTGTTGATGCCGTACGCCAAAGCATGAGAATCATGGATACAATGACAATGAATTGGAAAACAATAAAAACGACCATTCTTCCATAATGCTCAGATGCCACCTGAATGCAACATTTCATGAGTATAAAAGCTCACACGACAAACGCATACCCGAAGCTTCCTTACCGTTGTACGTGCGAAATAGAGTGCTGGAAGGATGAGAATGGTGACGATGAGAATGATGTAACCATCCCAGCGGGAGAAATCTTCAATAGCAAATTGAATAAAGTAAAACAACGAGACAAGGAACTCAATAAAGACATCAATTTTGAGAGCCAATACAAAGAATTGGAAGATGCGATACATTCCTAATATTCCAACAGGTTAGCTGACTTGTATAGCTCGTGTATGTACAACCCATCCATCACGTACGTTGCATGATCACATCGGGGCCAATCTTTTTGTAAATGACCCAGCCAAATTCCTTGACAACGGCGTACGACAGATATATGAATATCAATGCAAAGACAACTTGTACCACCGTCATGGCAATTTCGAGATAGAGGGCAATACGAAGAGGAACAAGTCGAATTGGAAAGTTGTAATTTTGGTCGAGTCGTGATAGCCATCGTCGTGCATCCATCACCTCTAGACCGCCGATCAAAATGCAAATAGTGTTCAACACCGCCAACGCAATAACTTCAGCTGCATTTTGATACACAACCTATTTTCCCTTTTTAGCACGCATGGAAAAGGACGGCGCAGGTACGTACGTACATACGTATCCGCACGACACATCACCACTACTACAACAGCAACCACTTACAGCATCAAACGCCATGCAAATGAACCATGCTTGAAAGCTAATAAAAGCAACATTCTCCCACTTGATTCGATCAAATCGTCTCAATGCTATGTCTACGGTTGCTGAGGTACTTGATGAACCATCACCGAGAGTGGAGGGTCGATGATTTATAAAGCTGGTGTGGATGTTGGCTTCCTGAGCTTGATTTTGACTTGCGATGATGGATTGTAAAACGATAATGATAACGACCTGCAAGAACGCTGCTGCAATATACAACTTGGTCCATTTGGACTGGTTTATACGTTGTTTCTGCAAAGAGACATGTAAGGACCAATGCAAATATCCCATAGCGTAGGGTATTGTAATTGATGTTTGTGTGTGTGTTTTTACATACGACTTTTTCAACGGTGACCATCGCTTTCTTTTACCCGCTGGATAGTATTAGCGGTGATATGGAATGTAAAAAGTGTTGTCGAAAAGGAGGGCCGTCGTCGTTGTGCGTGTGCGTGTTTTCTTTATAGGTTCGTGTTGGCAAATGCAGTGGGTGGTGTGGTTTGGGGGAAAAGAAAAAGGGACGACAAGAGAGAACAGAAAGAGATGCAGGAAACAAGGAAAAAAGGTTGCCCCCTTTTCCTAAAAACCGTGCCGCCCTTTGTTCACAAAACCAAGAAGGGAAAGAGCTCGTATCACAACCCGCTCACATTAGCCTATAATCATTTACAACAAGGAGCTGCGCCCTCGAGTTTAATCGGGCATGACACACTTCATCTCACCCCGTTATTGATTACTAAAATTATGCATTTGTTGCCTTCAATCTATCATGTGTTGAAAAGGATGTCTTTAGAATCGACAATGATTCTTGTTTTCTGTAACCCGACGACAGGTGCCATTGTATGTTGAATCGAGTATTTCGGATCATGGAATGAAAAAAGAGGTTGTACAAATGGACCACAAAAGTGGCTTTGATCGGTAGACATACCTAATGTCGATATGATAGTTGTCCTGCACCTGCCGTCGATCGGCCAGGTACAATGTGAGTGTCATCCTTTTTTGAACTAGTAAGGTTGTGCAGCGGCAAACAATATCCTCTATATCGATGCTTGTATGGTGTAAGATTTGTGGCTGCGCATCACACGGGCATTTTCGCCCTGTGATTGTTACAACTCGTCGGGTGATTGTGGCGGCTTGGTGGATGTTAATGGTGGATGACACATGCTGTTGGGCAAATGCCATTCGAGCTCAGGTACTATTGGTAGGTGATTTATGTGTGGTGTGTGTATGCCTACATTGCCACCCATTCAAATTTCCTTTTTCATCACCCATACATGTTTATTTCTATTTATCAAAACGGATGGATACATGTCCCAGATATTCTTGATAATGCATGACATCTAAATATACCAGGGATAATAGGATAACTGGGAGGAAGAGAAAGGGACACAACCACCAAAAAGGCCACAGTCACGAGAGCTAATGCAGCAGGTAAGTTGTCCTGTCCATTGGTTCGCCTTTTTGTTTACAGCCACCACCACACCTCTTTACACACACACATACACTATGATTGGTCTCAAGGGCACAATGAACGTCATCGACAATTCCGGCGCCATCGTCGCTGAATGTATCCGCGTCATGAGTGGAGCACGATTTGCACGAGCTGGTGAGTTTGACTTTTGACATGTCGAATAGCAGCAAATTGTTGACAGTGAACCTTTTGATCCTTCTAGGCGACGAGATTGTATGTGTTGTCAAGCGAGCACGACCTATCAACCCAAACCTCGGTGGTCAAGCTGCTGCACAAAAGGTCAAGAAGGGTGACGTTCGACATGCCCTGGTTGTTCGTACGAAAAAGGAGATGGCACGACCTGACGGACGATATATTCGATTTGACGACAATGCTTGCATCCTTCTCAACAACAAGAAAGAGCCTCTTGGTACCCGTGTGCTTGGTGTCGTTGCTGCAGAATTGAAGCAAAAGAACTGGATGAAGGCTGTATCACTTGCTCCAAGAATCATTTAAATCATCAAATAAACGTTGCATTCATTAGAGAGAGGATTTCATCAGCAAGAGGATCTTGAGGATAATAAGGGTTCAATGGTGGCAAAGATCCGGTGGATGGATGCTGCAGGATTGCCATTGTTTGAGCAAAGGGGTAGGAATTGAATGAATTTTGGGTATCCATATGAAGAGCATTCCAAACATGTGCATGGAGTGATCCCATTGTTGTATTATATCTTTCTTTGGTCAAAGGAATAACATTGGGGATATTAAATTGGGCCATGATCCACAAGGTTTTAGTAAAGACGTTGCCTGGCAACCGCATTTCTGCTATAGGATCAAAGATGAAGACGTTGTTCATATATGTTGTATTGTTCTCGATATAAAACGAATGCTATCTTGTATAAAACATACCAATTTGTATTATGCTATCGACAAGTAAGGTTGAAGGATGCAGTTGCATAGTAGGGAGGATGATCATCAATTGATGGAGTAGTAACCACGTGTGACGTCGGTCAAAGCTCTCCAGGGCCAGTGGAGTCGTTCAACGCTCTGTTTTTCATCCCCGTTGCTCTTAAAAACCCCTCTCCTCATGTTCTCCCCAGTCTTCAAGAAAACGGCAAGTAATCGAACGCGAGATCAGTGCATCAGTACGACTAACATTGATATCGTATAGCTGGCAACGGCTGCTGCTGGTGCAGTTGCTTTAAGTATCCCATCGCAAACCGTGTTTGCCGAAGAAGAGAAAAAGAAAAGCAAGGTCAGTACACGCCCACACACACATCCTCTCTCTTTGTCATTCTCTTTTGAAGAGTCAATCGCCATCAACGACGAACGATAGCTTATTCGTTTTACTACAGCTTAGCATTTACGATGAGCCCCAACCCAAGGTGGTGATTGTGGAAGAGCCAACCAAGCTTGAAGAGCACGTGGCATATGCTCAAAAATTCGCCAACGAAAAGGTGGAAGAGGGCAAGGTATGGATCATGTTGTCATGGAGATGCATTCTAGTGATGGATTACTCATTTTCATTGCATAATAGACCCATGTTAATTCATTGCACAAGGACTGGAAGCAATTTGAGCAGTGTGTTAAGAGTAAATATCGGACATTGATAGGATGCAAGATGTATATATTAACTCGACGCATAGATACGGTGAAGCAAACCATTGACAAGGATGAAGAGATTCTTCCCAACGGTCTTTATGTGGGTGTGGCAGCATTGGCAGGCACCATTCTTGCACGCAACCGTAACATTGTCATCCGATTCATCACTTCGACTGCCCTTGCTGTGGGTACTGCTCACTACTTGTTGCCAAAGACAACCCACAATGTTGCCGTTCAACTTGAAAAGGTCGAGAGCAAATACCCAGAGTTACAATCTGCACACAAGTCTCTTAATGATGCTATCAGCGATGCTCGCAAGCAGGTGGATGGTCTTGTTGGAGAGGCTCGAGGAGCTTTTGATGAAAGCACCAGCAAATTGTTTGGATCGTTCCAGCAAAACGACGCATCACAACAGGCAAAGGATAAGTTTGAAAGTGTAAAGAAGAATGTAGAGAGCATGTACAGCACCCGATCGAACGTAAGTGTTGTTGAATCACGTGCAAGAAGGACTTTTGACTCATATTCATTTCTCGTAGCCTGGTGTAGAGGAGACTTTGAAGAAGAACAACAACTAGATCAACCAAAAGAATTACCCAGCACATACTCAACACCATCCCGCCGCACACGTCTTTGTATAGAAGGAGCGATTTTCTCATTCGCCTTGTTCAAAATAGCAATAAACAGCAGCTACCACAGCATTACATGTTGACATTTACACATTACAATGTTTACTTTTAAGCAGAATGGGAATGATATGTATTTATCCAGGAGGAAGAGTAGTGGCATCAACAGCTTCATATTCATCTTCAACCTCGTCGAGATGTGCACGATCATCGTCAAGTGGAGAACGAGGAAGCGCCATGACACCTGTTCGCGAAGCTTCCATGACACCAAATGGTTTACAAAGCTTGATAAAAGAACTGATACGACCAGGCTTTGCACAGAGCTCGATAATGACCGAATCAGAGGATACATCCACCAATCTTCCTTCAAACAACCTTGTCAACTCAGTCAATGCACGCAAATGGGATGACGTTTCTCGTAGCTTCTTGGATGCAAATGCCAAGTTGGCCGTTTCATCATCTTCATCCACTGGCTCTGCTCCTTGTGCCTCGGGTCCAAGAATTGAAACACGCAACAACAACAATTCACGTTCTATGAGCTTGGTTTTGCTGTAATCAAGCACGGCCCACATGGGTACCTGTACAAGGAATCCTATGTCAAAACCAATCTCTTTCATCTTTTGGATATTGATCTTACCACATCTTCCAATTGACGCTTAGCTTGGACAATTTGCTTATCATCACCATTGAGCACCACCGTCATACGACTTAAACCAGGTACTTCTGTATGAGCTGCAACAAAGGATTCGATATTGAAACCACGAGATTGAAGGATTCCAGAAACTCGGCTAATGACACCAGGCTCGTTGTGAGCAAGACAACTCAAGATTTGTCGGCTCTTGATAGGTTGAGCTTCGGGAGTGTTATGGATGATGTTGGTAACAGCTTGCTCTACCGAAGGAGTTTGTGGATACGCATATCGGCTGCTGCTGTATCGTTCAAAGGAGGAAGCACTGTGTAGGGCACGGCGATGAGCCTTTCACACCGTTAGTATGTGCCATTGCGCTTGTTAATTTCCGTCACTTACCAATTGAGCGCATCGCGTAATAGAACGAAGCATATTGACAAGTTACAGAAACAAGAAAGAAGGTCGTGACAACGCCGGGAATATAATGGCCTATGCTGTAAATCTGATTCACTCTTACACAGTCATTTAATTGGCTGGCATTGATCACCCAGCATCAAGCATGTGCGACAGATCTTATCTCATTCCCAGATTGCTGACTATTGCAATCCATGGTTGTCATGTGATACCGTGTTTCTTGCCAAGTAAGTGGTTGATATTGCATCCATCTTTTGACTGAGTATTCTAAGATCCACTCCTATCCATCATTCACAACTTTTATTTCTACCATGACATACAAACAAGGCGGCTGTTGTCATCATCAGCGTGTCACACAACATCTCTTTCGTTTATTGGATCCTATGTACACCATCAAAAGTTCGTTATTGAGTACACGCCAAAGATAGCCTGTGTGATCCCATGAAGTAAAAGAACTCATAATGTATTCAATGATACTTGTCTTTGTGACGAATATCTATGTAGCTCATTGTTTGTGTTCATTGTGGTCTTTGTGACATTTGACGTGGCTTATTGTTGGCTCTTTGTGATCTATGTATGGCTATCATCCTCTAAAGTAGGTTCCTATTTCCACCTTGTTTTGTTCAGATCCTGATTTATTATGCGTGGACAATCGATCACACCAAGGCTAGGAAACATTGGGTATCAGTTATTATCTGTATTTTGTAAACTGCCACTTGATAGCCCATTCCTCCCCTTCACCTTTGTTGTCCAATCCAATGTTGTCCTGCTCCAGGCCATCATGTCCATCCTTTAACTTTCTTGATCCGAGTGGATTTGGTTGAGTTACGCTCAACACAAAACATCATCCAATTCCACAAAAATCATTTTGCAAAGTTATTTGTAAACTGCCACTTGATAGTCCATTCCTCCCATTCAGCTCTCTTACCCATCCCAATCCATGTGAACGATTCTCCTGCTCCAGCCCAGCATTTCCATCCTTTAACTTTCTTGATCCGAGCTGATTTGACTGAGCAACGATCAATCAAAGAAGTATCATCCAAGCATCAGACGAATCAAGTTAATTTCCACTCGCAGCTTCTTCCCTCTTCCTCCCATTCTCAACTGTGGCCCCATTCAAGTACAACTACCAGCTACGAACGATTGTCCTGCGTCAACCCATCATGACAAGCATACGATTACCTTGATCTGAATGTCTTTGACTGAATGGCAAGTCCATGGCGTGTACACGGCGGCCTTCTTGTCACTGTACTACAACACACGCTCTTGCACACTCGTCTCACACAACCAAACGTAACAGCTATTTCATTGTCTATACTCCATCGCCTCAAGTTACGTGCAGCAACATACCTTACAGCCTTTTTGCATCGACAGCAGATAGCCAATCGTATACAAGCGGCGTTATTACACGTAGTAACTTTGCTTTGATGCATACGACTTCCAATGGATGATCCCATATTAGCTATCAAATACCCCGCAATACAAGGATTCTTCACCTGATTGAGCTGCAATGAAAATGACCAAGAAAAGGTAGACCAGCAGCTGGATGGAAAGGAAGCGATCAAAGGAGCTCTTTCTATCAACATGTTGGACTTGCAATGGTTATGGATGTGTGGATGCAATCAAGCATAGTGACAGGTGATCCTGGAATGTCGTTTTATGTAGTTGCTTGGCACGTCGTCAGCAGGAAGGATGGATACGGTTGAGGATGATGATGAATTGGATGAATTGGATGGCATGGATAATAAGGCTTGTATCTTTGATGAGAGATGGTTTGCCGCCATGGATGATATTGGAAGGTTGGAATCAAGGCACGCAAAGCAACTAGTTTGGAACCATGGATGAGGATGCTTGTGGTGGCAGCAACCAAGAATACAATGACACCACGATACCCGCTGTTTCTATGTGGTCCACTGGTTGGCTTTTGGAATGAAAGGATGGATAGAAATTTGAAGGCTGGAAGGCGGGATTGGATTACCTACATTATTGTATCGAGACGCTTTTGTTCATTTTGTCATATTACATTCATTAAAGCTTCCTTATTCATATGCTGATAGACAATATACAGTGGCAATTCCTAGCGGATAGTACGTAGGTGTACATAGACGCTTGTATTTCAAAGATAATAAATCCATAGTAATGGTGCCCAACAACAGTGCTTGTTACAGAAGCTAGTCATTGTAAGCTTGAATCATTACGTTTAAGAAAGAGTGGGCGCTGGTACTGTACAATGTGGCACGGTACATGCGTATGCTTACCTATGAAAATTATTAGCATGCGCCACCTTGTATGTATAACCTTATATGAGAACGAACCCTGGAGACAAACAATACCATTACTCCTCATAGTCTTGAATGCACTGACCACTTTGGCTTGTTATCCATACCATGGTTCATCCGAAAAAGTTCCCAAGAGGTCTACTATAGGCGGACCTTACTATAAGGGAAAAATGTCAATCATGCACTCTCCACCAATAAGAATCCTTCAAGCGCTGTACCTCTCCGTTTTATCACACAAGCGAGTTTCTCTGCATCTTTTGCTCTGCCAGGGTCCACCTACTTGACAATGAACAAAGACCACTCTTCATATAGCATCACACTTACAAACATAAAGGTGCCTGTATCTCCAAACTTTACAATGAAACATGGGGTTTTTATTAGAGCAATGTGCTCGGCTTGGCCAACAGCACCTTGTGTGAAAGTTTCACGTTCAATGTCGCAACTAGCCCAAAAAATATTTTTTGGTCGTCGTCGTCGAAGAGGTCGACCCTCGGATCCAGTTTGGCTGGTGGCGACATTATAAAATCCGGGGATTGGCCACGATCAACTTGAAACTGCGCACAAGGTGTTGTTGGCCAAGTCATTACCACCGCTTCAATAAAACCCCATGTTTATGATTGTAAAGTTTAGAGATACAGGCAATCTTTATGTTTGTAAGCATGATGCTATATGAAGAGTGGTCTTTGTTCATTGTCAAGTAGGTGGACCCCTGGCAGAGCAAAAGATGCAGAAGGACCTTCTTGGGTAACTCAGCTAAGAAGTCAGGATGTACTTCGTTCAGTTACGTATTGCTTACAAACATAAAGGTGCCTGTATCTCTAAACTTTTTAATCAAACATGGGGTTTTTATTAGAGCAGTGTGCTCGGCTTGGCCAACAGCACCTTGTGTGAAAGTTTCACGATCAAGCTTGCCAATCCCAGATTTCGCAATGTCGCTACCAGCCAAACTGGATCCGAGGGTCGACCTCTTCGACGACGACGACCAAAAAATATTTTTTGGGCTAGTTGCGACATTGAACGTGAAACTTTCACACAAGGTGCTGTTGGCCAAGCCGAGCACATTGCTCTAATAAAAACCCCACGTTTCATTGTAAAGTTTGGAGATACAGGCACCTTTATGTTTGTAAGTGTGATGCTATATGAAGAGTGGTCTTTGTTCATTGTCAAGTAGGTGGATCCTGGCAGAGTAAAAGATGCAGAAGGACCTCTTCGTGTAACCGAGCTAAAAATCAGGACTTCAGGGACAATGCATGACACGCACGCAAACCTCATTTACAGGTCATACATTGGCAGCTAACAGCCACTTTTATCCAATCAGCGTTGTTGCAAAATCTACTGCATGGGAACGATGCTCCTGCTCCAGCCGAGCATTTCCATCATTCAAGTTTCTTGATCCGAGCCGATTTGAATGAGCTACGCCCAAACAGCGAATCTGTAAATTAACGAATCGCAGACCCTGCGAATGTCTCCGTCTTTCAAACTTTTGGACGCTCCCATTCCAAATTTTCAAATAAAAGGTGAGTTCTTTATTAGAAAAAGTTGATTAGCATGCTCGAGAGCACCCCTCTGACCAATTTTCAAGTTGGAGATAGGCAACTTCGGGGCGGTGGGCCGTCCGCTATTTTGTTCCCATCATCCACCATTTGGGCCGCCCCGCATTTTGAATCTTTACAATGAAGTCCACGACTTTTAAATGAATGAAGTTGATCAGCATGTCCCAGCGAACCTTCTGTACCATTTTCACGTTCGAAAAGGGGAATCCCAAGATAATACATACCATTTCCATGAATCATGGATCGGCGCTGTCCTCCATTTCCGATTTACCTTGTAAACCAACAGTATACCCTCCCATTCCAAATTTTCAAATGAAACATGAGGTCTTTTTTAGAACATCATGATCAGCATGTCCAAGAGCATCTTGTGTGAAAGTATCAGGTTCCAAAGGGGCAATCTCACTATCAAGGGGTGATGTACAATGTTCATGCATTTATACAAGAGGTGTCCGACCAATTTAATTTCCACTTCTTCCACTCCCGCAACTTCTTGTCTCCTCACCATTTTCAACTGTTGGCCGATTCAAGTACAACTACCAGCTACGAACGATTGTCCTGCTTCAACCCATCATGTTAATCCTACAACTGCCTTGATCCGATTGTCGTTGACTGAATGGCAAGTCCATGGCGTGTACACAGCCTTCTTGTCACTCTTCTACAACACACGAGTCTTCTGACATTACGTACTCTCTTGTACGCTCATCTATCACGAGCAAGCGTAACAGCATTCACACCAGCAATTGCTATTAGCAAGGGCTTTACTCAATTGTCTCAAACAGCGTTCTTTACTTGCAGCAACCTGCCTTTGCAGCCTTTTTTTACGTAAACAGCAGATAGCCATTGTATAGAAGCAGCTTTATTTACGTGTTGCAACTTGCTTTTAATACAAACGAATTCGAATGAATATGGATTTGGATATTGTTGCTTTGGTGCATAGAATGGGAGGATCCGCGTATATGAAAAGCTGAAGATCGAAGGAATTTGATGGGAATGGGTGGGGGATGTCGCACACCTAGTAATCCGCCAGGAGCATAAAGACTATAATGGTGGTTGATCACCTTCAACAAGGTACTTACATCATGCTCTGTAGTCATATGTGTAATCAAATCCTTTTCTCGTTCGAACGATGTGAAATGCACTTCTTCGCAATGATATCTTGTGTACGTAGTCTCCGCTTCAAGATCCTCTTCTTTTCATGACGCTCCTGGAACTTCTGACCAACGAATGCCTCGACATGTGAATTGGCTTTAATCTCTACCAGCTTCTCTTTGCCTTTGCTTTTGCCCTTTTCATCACAATCAGCAACATGGATGATGTTGACGTGTACACTGAGTATACCTTCTTCTTTGTAATAATCCTTCGGCATTGCACCTCGGCAATGTGAAACGTGCATTCGTAATACGCCAAAGCGTTCAATACCTCGAAGTCTTTCTCCTTAATCTCCAAATCCAGCCAATTTTCAAGACGCGGCGTATAATGGTGTGGCCTTCCTTTGTTGTCAAAGGCTCCATGAATAATGCAGATAATAACATGTTGAGCTGAAATAGGCTCATCTCATACGTATCTATGTATAACTTTTAGTATCAACAACGTCTTGAGTCTCTTTTATCCAATAAAACTTACTGAGAGATGTATCCGTAAAGTGTTTCCTCGCTTCCTTGATCTATGTACTCGTAGATTCCCTTGCTTGGTTTCATTACTGTCATGGGTACTGGTTGTCCAGGATGGCATCCAATAATGCCAACTTCCCCAATAACGGAAAACCAAGACGTTTGATACATTGGAGTCCTTCACGTATAAACTTTATGTGCACTGTTGCGTGCTGCTTGCTGCTGACATGATCCATCCATAAGAGGCATGCATTGGAAGCTGTCCATCCAAGGTATTGACAATAGCCAGAACCACCAAATGATGGAATGAAGTTGTCGATACGATACACCCGTAACGGACGTGCCTTGAATGATGCTTATCGAAGGAAATGCTGATAACGATAACGCATGTACTTATGTCATCTACAAAGGAGTCCCAAATTTCCCATCAGACTGAGGTTGCCTTTTGCCAACAAATGTACCTACCACAAAGGGTCCATCAAGGATCACAGCCAAATGTCATTAGGCAGCAATGAGCAGAGCAAGTGGAAATGCAATGGAGTGGGCTACATAGACGAAAATAAAGTGATGAATGCATGAGTACCCTCATTTTGGGGGGTCACAAAAGCTATCCTCCTTGAGACTTACCAACGGGCGCCATTGATGATGATATGAGTACAAGTAGAAAGAAAGGGCGTATGGTATTGTTGATGACAACAGCCTTGGTTATAGGTGAGTTGGCGCGGGAATCGTTGTCATGATGGATCCAACCGATAACGTGGTCAAGCATCTTCGAGAACCGAGTCGAAGTGATGAAAAATCAATAGCTGGTGAATCCACCTGCGGCTTACAAAGGTGATGTTTTGTAGGTGACATGACTATGTCCAGTGATAAAACAAAATGATGAGATAACGCTTGATGACACCAAATGGTATGTATGCTTACTTGCTGCTGCTGCGATCCACTCGTCAGTGACGTGGGCTGGCAGATATCCATCAAGGGAAATGATCAATGCCCAATGTCTTGTAGCTGTCATGTTTATCATCCAACAAGGCAACCTAGAATAAATGCGATGTAAGATAACAATGGCATCATTCGCTTTTCGTGTCAACGTACCCAAAGTACCAGTGTGGTGGGACATTTCACTAATGACATCCATGGAAGAATACACACGACATACGATGGCCCCCTTAGTTCTTGTATAAACGAGAGGACAGGAAACTATGTAACTTTAATATCATAACGTCCAACTTGAACAATAAAGAACTGCAGCGATTGAACGTACATGTTGTATTGCCATGGAAACTTGGGTCATGGGTAGAGCGTGCGCGTACTTGTTGCCATCGGGAAGTGTCGCCATTGACTCCCTGTTCACCCATTGAAGCTTTACATCGAAGCAAATGGTGGCAGTGAATACTTTGTACGTTGTAAATAGAGCCATCCTTACCATACTTTGTAAAGTGGGAGCGAAGAAGATGGGGCTCTTTGTGTTCCTTTTTTTTGTCCACGATATTGTACATTCCATGGCAACCCCGCTACCTGCAGCTGTTGCTATACATGTGTATCCCAAACAATATCCTATACACTTGGGTCAATAATAACGACTACTACTCGAGATTGCAATTGAGCATGATCCTTGTAATTAAGCCATTTATGATTTTACTATGGCCGGGAGTGGTGTCAATTGTGTTGGCCCATGCGCTCTTATGCAGATCGAATCCTGGACTTGTGCAACAGCAACGTGTAACCTCCTCCTATCAAGTGCCAGAAGAAAGGGTATACGTACATCCATTGTCAACATCACAATGGGTAGTTTTTTCCATTATTGGATGCTGCTTACGTACATTCCTAAAAGCGATCATCATCCGTTCGTGCAGCAACCTGTCAAAGACGTGTGTGTTGTGTAACCCCTCCACCTACCATTTCACTCTGCAGTACTTCAACTTGCTTATATAGTGACCTCGACACTATCTATTAGGAAGAAGCAGCCCTATTTTGCTTACAGAGTAGTAAAAACATAAAGGCACTTGTATCTCTAAACCTTACAATCAAGCGTGGAGATCGTTGTTAGAACAAAGTTGCTCGGCGTGATCGAAAAAAGGATGTGTCACCATGAAAGATTGATTGATCTATACACGTGCAAATTAATCCACTGATCGCACAACTTTGCTTATAACATTATTAATCATCATCATTTGATGTATTAGCTCTCATACATAGGCAATTAGAACGATATTGCGATAACTACATAATACTACTACTACTACCGGCAACTGCATCTAGCAGTCTATGCCGTCGCCTCCTTGGTGGATGACACTGGAATCTCTTCTTTTGAGGAGTTTGATGGAAGTGCATCTTCTTCCACCTTTTCTTGATCAGCTTCTGTTACATTGGCGCCATGCTTGCGTTCCGCCACCTTTGCAATTTGTTCAGCTTCCTCACCACCAAAGAGAATTTCCATTTCTTCAAGCGTACGGTTCTTGGTTTCTGAAGAGGCAAAGATTTGGCACGTAAGTTTTTGCTACATCATGCGTATCCATGTGATATCGTTATTACCTGGATAAAAGAAGTAGATAATCAAGTTGCAGCACACATTGGTGGCAAAGAAAAAGAAGTAGGTGCCATAGGTGATATTATCCAGCATGACAGGCGTGATTTGACCAATGACGAAGTTCATCAAGTAGTTCGTGGCGGTCGACACTAGAAGCATGGTTGGCAAGTTAGCTATCACATTTGTGACATGGCTGGTATCAACGTACATGAGGTACCCTTGGCGCGAGCACGCATAGGGAAAATCTCGGCTGGGTAAACCCATCCAATTGGACCCCAAGCGGAAGCAAACGATGCACTGAAAATCTGTGATCAAACCTGGTTATTGATATGTACAAGCAAAGAACCTTAGATGAGAACTTACAAACATCATTGCAACTGCTGCATATTGTGCTTGTGTGTTGTTGTCCCCAGACTCAGTGAAGGGATACGCTATGCACATTTATCAATCATAATGTCGTTTTACCATCATTCCATTAATGTAACATACCTTTCAAAAGCGCACCAGCAATCAACATAGAGCTTGCCATACCAATGCCGCCACTGATAACGGTCTTGCGTCGACCCCAGCGATCAAAGAACAAGAGGGCGGGAATTGTAAAGATGACACTGACGATACCATTGACACCAGTTGCCAGCAACGAAGGCAAGGTACCTGTGAGACCAGCTGATTGGAAAATAAAAGGTGCGTAATACTACACAAATTGTATCAGTCATCACCGTATAATAGTAAACCCATCAATAACACTCACAAAAACGGCATTGATTCCGGTCCATTGTTGTAGGAATTGGATTCCTGCTGCTAGGATCACACGTCGACGAGTGGATGGTGATCTAAATAGCTCTGCATAGGTTTTTACTCCTTTGGTTTCCTCGTATTTGATTTGCTCCATGATTTCGTCATATTCGAGTCGCACAAATGGATCGTTGACATCTCCATTTGCATGCAATTTGGCTAATGTTTGTAAAGCTTCGTCATATCGACCTTTGCTGCAAAGCCAACGTGGCGAATAGGGTAGAATAAAGCAGCCAAAGAACCTTCAACATTATCATTGTTGTTAGTAAGCTACCAAAGTAAGCCTGATGCATATGTACACCTACAAGACAACGCTTGGTGCCAGCTGGATACCGAGAGGGACACGCCATGATGCATCGCTTTCAATGCTGTGTACAAAAGAAGATGTGTTAGGTACAACACAATAAGGGTTTGTGTCACCACTTACTAAGCGCAGCCATAACCAATCCAGAATGATACCATAATCCTGTAATAAAAGCATGAGTGAGCTTCTTAATACGTTCCCACACATCCGCAAAAAAAAGATGCCTTACCCGGTGACAATGCTGAATTGCTGGAAACTGATGGCACGACCACGTAAATGGGCAGGGCTCAACTCACTTTGGTATACGGTGATGTTCATGCTGTACATACCAATGGACACGCCTTGGAAAAAACGACCAGCCATCAAGAGCTGTAACCCCATAGCCATTAATTATTATGCCTTTGAAGCTTCAAGATGTCATCTTTTTATGCTTACGTCAACGTTGGAAGCACCTGTTTGCATGCTTGTGCCAAACCAAAAGATGATGGTTGCTGCCATGATACTATGCTTACGACCGATACGTTCGGACAATGGGCCTGCGAATAGACCACCAACAAAAGCTCCCAAAAGGTAAATGGACGTAATGAAACCACGCCAAGTAGCATCAGGATTGTTAAAGTACTCGATCCAATAGGGCATGACCAAAATGCCACTCATGACTCCTTGATCATAACCAAAGAGAAACCCACCAATTGCTATAAGCGTGCATGATACTATCGTTAGACCGACAAGGCTACTATGACAACCATTTTGCATGATACTTGCATGAGAAGATAACAGCAAAATAGACTCTCCAGCTGGTTTTGGGCTTTGGTATATTGTCCTCCATGTTCAACTCAAGAGAGGGGGGAAATGATAATAGGCTCGCGTTCTATCTCGTCGATTCGATTCGATTCGAGATCGTGCCTCGGTCATCATTTTATACCCGTAACCTCTCGGGGGAATTGATCTACATATAGAAAAGGGATTTTGTCCGATTCGCTATTCATCATGTTGTTTTTGTCAGGGCCGCTGAAGGTGACCTAAACATTACCTATTTGGTCAAGACAAATCACAAAAGGTGTCCTCGCGGGGTAAAATTCAACCTTGTGCTACCTGGATCAAGTTCCAAACGACCCCAGGGAAAATCCAACTTTCCCAAAGTCATTTCTTTCATTCAACTCTTATTGGTGTGGAGTTTCCATCATTACTTGTGCAACGGCTTGAGGTACCAAAAGTGCCCTGCTACGATGGTATCATACACGATAGACGTTGTAGCCATGATGGAGTAGCGTATACTTTTTCAATGATACCATGTACAATATCTAAAGGAGTAGATGATCCGCAAGCATAGCACGTTTGGAATATGGGGTAAGGGCATAGATCAAAAAGCGCTTTTGAGAATAATACACGTCGCATTAGGTCACTTGGTGCTACGCAAATCATAAAAAACTACCACATGATTGCATTTCCCGCCTCGTCCTTGCCCATGAAATATTCACATTACACTTGTCTATTACCCCGTATGTCGATTTTATGATTCAATATATTCCCGTCAAGCTTGCTGCTCTGTGATCGCAATTCACACGCTGGCTGCATATTGCGCCAAGGACTAAATGTAATGCCGTGATATCAAATTTGATGACGGCATGTAATATGAAGACTTTTGACGATAAAAGCTCAAGGTTTGTGGGTGACCTTTGACCAAACCCAATCTTTAGGTAACGGATCATAAGCGGGAGGACCCGGATGGGCCGTTTTGACTTATGCGTATTTCAAACACAGATAAACTTTTTACCCCGCTACATGTGGATGTATCCATCATGTTGGTAGCATTGTACACGCACATGTCAAAATACCTTCCTGTGCTTCCATGATGGTTTGCATGTGAGCATAGTATGGATCAACTATTGAGCTGGGAATGGCTACCAATGAACCCTTTCCTTGATTTGGTAAAGGTAAGCGGTACATGCTCTATCATGTCAATGTGGTGTCGGTCTGCTGATGTTGTGGATCAACAATGAATTTGGATGGGAATAAAGGCGTATAAGGTTTATTTTGCTTTGTGATAGCCATAGCAAAAAGGTAGATCATCTTTTATGAGCACCGCAGGTGATGCGTATTGGGTATACGAATCCCGATTACTTATTCTACAGCGTCTAAAAGTTAATGGCCATACGTCTTGTACATAGATCCACACTCGCATTAATACTCACCTTAGATGCCATGGCAGACGCGTGCTCACCAATGATAGTGCCAAAATCATCATCGCTTGAACACAAGGCAAATTCATCAAGGTCAGGATTGCAAGGTACAGCGAGTTGCCAAAAAGCATCCGCAGCCAAGTCACCATCCTCAACGGTTTTTTGCCAAGAAGGATACACACTTGCACGTAAATCAGCGCTCACGCCATATTCTTCCATAATCACAGGCTTGCCAGCATCATTTTGGGAGCTAATGTGGTCCTGTTTTTGACATACTATCAATATACATCCATATAAAACGATGAGGGTTATCTTTACCTTGATCCACTTGGTTGCCCATGAATCAGGGTTTTCATTCCAGCTGTCGGGATAAAGATGAAAAGTGCCAAAGTCAATGTTCTTGAGAGCGATGAGAGCATCAAAGTCAATTCCACTACCACCATTGTACGCCCAACTACAAGAAATTGATGAATACAATAAACGTTGACCATGTTGTTTAAGAATTTCCTTACTCGCTCGAGGAGGCATCATTGAAGAAACCTTCATCGCCAACAGCCACGAGATGGTTTTTGTCAATGGACTTGATGTACGTGCTAATATCATCCGCCCATTGGGTGATGGTGTCCGTATTACACTTTGATGACTTTTGCAAGCTGCCTCCTCCTTCACAACGAGGCTCATTTGCCAATTCCCAGCCAAAAATAGTAGGATCGTCCTAGTAGTAGATAGAAAATGGATCGACATGTCAGCGTGTTTCATCGACTTTTTGATGACGCTATTACTCACCTTGTAAGCTTTACCAGTAAGCGAGTTCTTTCGATTGAGTACATGTTCAATGTAAGCCTTGTAAGCATCAATGATATCTTGGTTGGTGTAGAAATCATCATGATATTTGCCACCCATGTTCTGGGTATAGTAATCCATGCCACTATGATACGTAATAGACAAGACGTCAATTTTTCACCATACATGAAAAGAGTTAAAAGAGTTACCCATAATCTACCCAGTTGTTGGTGAATGCAAAGATAACCTTGACGTTGTTTTTTGCTGCTTGTTGCAACACATAATCCATACGACCCAAGCCAGTGTCATCATCGTCGTTGATGATCATTTTGTTGGAGCTCTTGTCCCATTTTTGGAACCAGACGTCATCTGAACCCGAGTTGAAAAGCCAAGTGCGCACCACTGGAAGCTTAGCACTGCTAGCTTGCTTGAACAACTCTTGGACATCGGATTGGGCGCTGTTCATTAAGTAATCTATATAGGGATGGGTCAAAAGTCATTCATGGCTGTGACAATCATCATGGCTTACATGCATTGGTGCCTTCAAAATAGAATTTTGAGCCACCCAAGGTAAAGGTAGCACCATCGGTGGATACAAAGGCCTCTTGAGCCAAGGAGGTTGAAACCAAAAGAGTGGATGCGAGGATGGAAAGAATGGTCTTTGCCAACATGATTGAAAAGGATTGGTTGGGTTGTTTGAGTCGTTGTTGCTGGGACAATTGCGGTGTAGATGTGCCTGGTATTTATATCCACATTGGACGGCGATGATGATGGATCTACGGAATGTTACACGTTGTGTGATACAGTATGCATGGCTGCTTAGGTAATGGATGCTGCTGATGATCAAAAGAAAAGATGATGCTGCTCTTTTTATTCGATGGGACAATGCGAGCTCGTGGAAGTATAGAGAAAATAGACATGTTGGATCCCATTTGACCAGCGGTAATCCAAACCTATGCCATTCAAGGTAAGATCATTATGTAAGTTGCGGTATGTTATGATGCGTACACATTGAAGGTTGATGTATGTGATAAATGGTTCATCATGATGGGATAATGTCAAGGCCGTGTTATCATTTTTGGTGTTCGCAATGTGAATGGTAGGTGAATTCATGACCCTTTTTAAACATTGCATGGAGTTGACAGTGAATAAGGGAGGCTTGTTGCCATGATACCAGCGATTGCAATCAGAAATTGGCAACATGTTACACACTTAGATAATATCATTATGCATCAATATCACCCAGGAAACGGTTATTGTTGCATCCGCGGATTTGGATACATTATGGCTGCGATGATGGATGAACTATTCATTGCTATTACTTCCAATAAATGGCAATTTATTTTAGTAGGAAACGACTTTGAAAAGAACGAGGGTTGGTACTATGTTATGAGGAGGGAGGATGCTTGGTAACAGAGAGTATATTGAGCAGAGCAGCAGCGGATGAGGATTTGAATGCCCGAAATGGTAACGGGTTGTTGGTGGGAGGGAGAGAGTGGCAAGTGGAGTTGCGGGCCAGGGCCTTGTGAAATCCTTCTTTCCTAAAATCACACGACCATGAAGTTCAGTGCTGGTAAGTAATATCAATGATTGAATGGAATGGATGGATGGACGAGTGGATGATAGAAGAGGAAGGATGATCAACAATCGATGGATGCATGGGTGGATGGATGGATGAATGAATGGATGAAAGATTATCAGTGGGAAACTCATGTTGCCTCATTCGCCGTTGTTAGATGTTAGCTCTTCCCGCAGCAAGAGCAGAAAGGCTCACTTCACTGCTTCCTCCAATGAGCGTCGCAAGATTATGAGCTCTCCCTTGTCCAAGGAGCTTCGCGAGAAGTACAACGTATGCTCTCTCATTCTATCAGCCCCCACTGTCAACATTTCAACTAACGACTAGAAACGATACATGTGCATAGACTCGCTCGATCCCTGTCCGCACTGACGACGAGGTCATGATTGTCCGTGGCAGCTTCAAGGGCCGTGAGGGCAAGGTTGTTCAGGTCTACCGTAAGAAGTGGGTCATCCACGTCGAGCGTGTCAACCGTGAAAAGGTCAACGGTAAGTTTGTTGTCTTGGCAACAGCCCTTAGCAACAAGGTAAAACTAATCACATGTATCAACCACAGGTGCCACTGCCCCCATTGGTATCCACCCCTCCAATGTTGTCGTTACCAAGCTCAAGATCGACAAGAGCCGTCAAGCCATTTTGGATCGCAAGGACCGTTCCAAGAAGAACAAGGATGCCATGCAACAGGTAAAAAAAAGTGGATGAATGTGTCAATGGAATCATATCATGCTGACAATACATCATTGTAGTAAACTTTTGGTGTGACATCACTGACGTTTTATCCTGCTTGGAATAAATTACTTGTTTCAAAAGAACGCTTCATGGGTCATTGAAAACGGATACGAATTGCATTGCAGCTTGTTTAAACGATTGATGGAAAGGAGAGGAAAAGAGAGAGAGAGAGACAAAGGATGTGCGTGTGTATATGATTTATTGCGAGTATCATGAAAGGCATATACTATATTAAATAGGGGGGATCGTTGTTATCATAGCCTAATGTTCGCTACCATTGCTTTCGTTATCATCGTCTTCAGAGTCTTCTTGAGAGTATTCGTGAGAGTATTCATCAGAGGATTCTTCCGAAGATTCTTGTCCTGATTCTTTAGTTCTTGGAGCATAATGTTTGAACCAAAAGTCGACGCCTCTTAATCTTCTACGCTTCTTGCTTGGCGCATCGAGACAAAAGTGCCAGATGCTCACCTTCGCCTGAAGCTTGTGTAATACATCCTCGACTTGTTCATTCGTTGGTACAAAGTCATCGTCCTTATTGCAATCAATAGCGAGGTAATGCAATTTGCCAATGATGGGGCTGGTATCCAAAAAGCGATCCAAACCATCAAAGAGACTGACATTGTTCCTGCTTGTGAGCGAGAGATAGGTAAGAGCTGATAGATTACGTCCAATGGTATGGAGGACATCGTTTGTAACGCAATGCTGGCCCGTCAGGATGAGTTCCTCGAGGGTATCCTTGCTTTGAGTGTGATTTAGGAAGTGCAATAAGCCCTCTTCGGTTATACCATTGCATACGACCAATTCCAACTTTTTCAAGCATGCAACTGATTCGAGTGCCCTGAGCATGCCATCCGTCAAATAGCTGTAGACTGACAAATGAAGATACTCTAGCTGAGGAGGAAGCCTGTGGATGAACGTATCGAAATCATCACCCGATGCGAAAACGCCATGGTCTTCGTCTTCGTCACCTTGCTCAAACAACGTCTTGTCCTTGATAACAATCTTTTTCAATGCTGGAAATTCAAGCGGGGCAAGGGCTCGCATTGTTCCCCTGGTGAGAACGAGGCCGTCAAGCTTCAATGTCTCCAATGTTTGGTGGTGCTTTGTGAGCAATGGAAGGTATATGGCTGGTTTGCAGAATTGATCGGTAAGCTCCAAATGATAAAGGCCTTTGGCACCTTCCTTTTTGTGCTGGCTCCAATTGTGTGCTGAATCCTTGTCCACAATCAACAAGCGTAAATTGGGACATTGGGCGAATGCTTGTCCAACCGTCAATGGATCACGAAAGTCCGCAGGCTTAATTCTGGCAAACTGCAATCCGCGTAACTTTGTCACAAAGGTGTCGAGTGGCATGTAGATAGCGCTTCCATGACAATCCAATTCAATCGTTTTCACGCTCCAATTCTCAGGTATCGAGTCGCTCACACCATCAAAATGATTGAGAAAGAGTCCTGCAAATAGGTGTCCATCATCACCGCTTGCTGGAAATGCAAGGAGTCGAAAATCTTCAAGATGTGTCAGGCGTAATAAAAAGAGATCGAGGAAAGGAACGTCAATGGGTGTATCCGGTCGCATCATAAACTCCAAACGCTTCAAGTTGTGAGAGCAAACTTTGATAAATTTGGAAAACCATTCTTCATCCAAGCAAGTAATCGATATAAAGCCTGTTGACACAATGCGTATCAGTCTCCCTACCTACTACCATGTATACGCGTGCTTGTATGTACTTACACTTTTCAATATAGTAGAATCGAAGTGCAATAAAGAAATCAAAGGTATTCTTTATAGATCTCCCGTTAGCTTGGCATGTTTTACAAAGACATCGTAATAGTATCCTTCAACTTACCTCCAGTATCATATTCTTTTGATTAGCGGTGTTGTCCGATAGCATGAGAAGACTCAAGTCGCGGAAAGCCTTTGGTTGGATATAAGGTGCATAGGGCAATAGCGCATGGTTGAGTTGACACATGGTGTATGAAAGGTCTCTCTCGAATGCACAGTCGCAGCGATTCTCTATCCTTTCAAACATCTCTGGCCAATTCAAAAGGAATTGACGCCATGATTGACTGACCCTTGTCAGACGTACACGTTCACAGAAGGGAAGGCGCGAGAATATCCGTATCTTGACTTCGTAAGGAAGCGTGTCAAAGGAAGAACCACGTGAGACGGCCGTTGCCATGGTGGATGATAATGACAAGGGGAGGATGAGAACAAAGGAGATCCACGCGTTAAGAGCATAATTCCCACCCCTCCCTTTATCTCCTTCCACTTTTTCCTTTTTGGTCTTCCCATCAAAAACATTACGTAGTGTGTATATAATAAACGAATTGATTGGATGTGCACAAAAAAAAACAATATGGATTGGAGGCATACAACAAAAAATAAAGTGCTTCGATATAGGTATGGTATACATGTCCAACAAAAACTATATACAAAAGAACAGGGTCTTGTAACAAAGATGAGGCCATTCATCGACGTCCACCAGTACCTTTCTTGGATCGCTTCTTTAACCGCTCACCCCAATAAGCTTCAAAATGCTCATCCTAATCAACATGTTTAGTTTATGCTCTTCTTCCAATTGGGACCTCATATTTACCTTGAAATCATCGTGTTGTTCCTCTACCACCACCTCCTTTCGTTTTCTTCCTCTTCCGGTTGCTGGCTTTGGATTGTTGTCATAGCGACCATGTTGAAGATTCACCTGAAAGTCTTCGATAGCTTGAGTAAATGAAGGACTTATCAGCCGTTGAGATATGATAGGCTTGTATGTTTCTGGTTGATTGGATAATTGTTCATGCTCATCAAGCGATTTGGCGACTATTATGCTGCTGGAAGTGTCATCCTCATCATCATGGTTACGCTTGACGAAATCAATATCGGCAGGAGGAAGAAGTTTCAAAAGTTCATCTCGATCTTTCTCTGGCAACTTGTTGATCAGATCCATGGTGACATTGTTCTGCAAATAGAAATACAATTAGCAACCATGATCCTATCGAATACAATGAATCCCACCTACCTTTAAATTAACAGCGGTGGTCAACATGCTGTCTTTGTTATGAAGCAAATGTGGCAGAGTCCACTTGATAGGAGTCGTCGACGATGGCTTGGTATCAGTGTCAGCAGCAGCAGCAGCAGCATTGTTGCGTGGAGCACCCCGTGGAGATGGCTTTTTTGTGGGTGTTGGTGTCTTTTTCTTTCTTCCACGGCGCTTCACTGGTTCTTCGGCATGGGTGTCCTTGGTTTCTTTGTTCTCGATCACTTGAGCAGCCTCTTTGTTATCAACAGGTTCCTTTTCTTTGCGATCTTCAGCTTTGGAAACGATGTCCACGGCCGCTTTTGATTCATGCTGCGTGCTCTTCAGAGTGGATGTATCATTGGATAAAGTGTCATTGATGCTGTTGCCAAGCTTCCTCTTTCGCGGTCGACCTCGTTTCCGGGGCGGGTCTGGGTCAAATTCAAAAACTTTCAAATCGATCTCGTCTACTATTGTATTGACACGAACAGCATTAATAACAGCTTCTTGGTGTTGTTCCACATCATCCATCCACTCACTTTTTAAGGTGTCGTCTTTTTTCGCTTTTTGAGATATGGACGAAGGAAGAGAAGAAGCTGTCTCATTGTTCACAGAAGCCGTTTTACGATCGCCAACGTCCTTCGTATCCAGGTGGTCGCTCAAAGCTTCGTCATTCAATGCAAAGGGGTCCTCGGGTAGTGGTTGTAGCTGGTCTGGATTAGGCGTCTCATTGGTGTCAGGATCGGTGTTGTGAGATCGGGAGCGGGTACGCATGGGGTTGAATTCTGGAGAGAGAGTCATTGGGAATAACAACGCAGTGGGTGCAACTTTTGAGACGCGACTCAAGGAATCAATCTCCCCTTTCTCTTTTACTACTACGACAGAGATCACGTGAACAAGGATTCTATCTACATAGCCGTCACCTCCCTAAAACCATAACATGTATTCTTGTATTAAGCTAATTCTTATTATCATTTGGTATAAAGTACAAGTTCAAGAAGGAACAGTGAACCAATAAAAGGATGTGCCTGATCTTTGTGGGTTTTCAGCTAATGCAACAAGTCCAGGAGCGTGTGGTAATGATGATGAAGGTGGTGATGATGGTGTATTATGCTGAGATGCGTCGATGAAATGTATGGATTGGATGCGAGTCTTTTCAAAATGGGAGGATGTCCAAAATGGTGTATTATCAAGAGTATTTGAATCAAGTGACCAAAAATGAAGTTGTTGTTGTCCATCCACAAGGGCAACGGTTCGTGAATGATGAGAAACGTCGAATGCAATATGTTGGCCCGCTGTAGTATCATGACCATAGAGATGCTTGATAGGTCGATGTAATGATCCTTGCCGTTCTCGTCTTAAACAACGCATATCCCAAATCTTTATAGATCGTTCAATGTCCACTGATAATACTTGATGCTCAAGACCCGAGCTATCGAGAGAGACTACGTGTGCCGTTGCAACATCGGATTGGGTGATTGACTTGGCAGGTTGTGGTTTACGTGCATCGAACAAGAATAAACGACCATCACGACATCCTATCCATGCTTGTTGTCGACCATTCTCCATGCATTGGGCTGTCAAGACGGCTGTTTTGGTACGGATTTGACCAAGGACATCAAAGGAAGGGGTCAACATATAGGCACCATGATCACCACCCACAACCACCTTATCTTGTGCATAATGCGTGGTCCATAAACAAGACTTTTTCAAGCTGAATCGACAATCCAATACTGCAGGGGGTTGTTCTCTGGCAATCGTGCGTATCATGTTACTAGGGTTGTCGTCATCCATATCGATATCCATATCAATGCGTGATGGGAAAGAATAACGCCATAATTCAGCTGTTTTACGAGGAGCGAAGCTTGTACCATAGACAGTTTGCCGATACGTACCCTCTTGCATATTGGTCGTATAGCAAGGTCCCAGTTGCAGCGATGTTACTGAAGAGGAGCTAGCGTGCCATGGTGTTGCCATATTCCACATTTGAAATCTTGGTTCGCATTGATATCCATATCTCATCAAAAGGCCTTGGCCATAGGTGACAATAGCTTCTCCTGATCGAAAATCGGCCAAGCCAGTGCACGAGTATCGTTCATAATTATCCAGCTGTCGGGCCGGTTTCATTTGCCGATAAAGAGCTCGATTGCAAGCATTGATCAACGTGGCGGATGAAATGTTGGATGTCGTTTGTCGAGAATAGAGGTATTGATAGATATGATCATCTCCAATTCGTTTCAATGGATTCCTTATTCGTTTGGCATCTTCATTCTCTTGTTGTATCTCTGCTGTTTGCTCTGCCTTCTTTATCGCGTCTCGACTATGCGGTCCTGTTGCCGTGATTCGAAAATAGCGATTCTTTTCTCGATCAAAGTAGTATCCTGGGATCTCCATTACAAGCTATCTTATACCATTAGCAACTCTACTCTATGCATGGCTATCACCCATTTACCTTGCATAACCCATTGCAGGAATAAAGAAAGAGAGATAGAGCGTGCGTTTATGTGAGACGTACCAAGTCCAGGAAATGTCCGCTTGATAAAGAATTTTTTGTCGAAAGTGGGTGGGTGTATCGTACCTTGCTCTCTTGCAGCGATCAACAGCCAATCTCTTCCCGACACTCGATCCGCAAAATGGCAGAAGCAAATACGTCCGAAGCACACTCCACAATGAGCGATCTATACAATCCTTTGGCGATCGACTTGCAAACGACCATTCAACAGTTTCAAGCTACTTGTGTTTCCCGGGATTCGCCTTTGCCAGCTGCGATCGACCTCTCGCTCCTCCAACAATATCTTAATCAACCCGATTCTGTACAGCAATCAAAAGTACTCGATCAGCTATCGCAATGTCTTTGTTATCCACCTTGGACACGCCCAATGGTGTCTCTCTTTCGTCCCATCATTATCGACCTTGTTGCTCGCTGGACAATGCCTGGTTTCACTACATCCTTGGAGACAACCAGCACTGTACATAAGATAGAATTGGTGGCTAAAGCATTCAGTGTTTTGCTACCGGTCGTTCCCCAAGTGAAAAGGTAAAAAAAAGAGAAGAGGATGGATAATGCGTTTCAACAACAGGATCAAACAGCTCACACATACACCTATATAGCTTGGCTGTATCATATTTCACCAATTCACCATCATTATTTGAACGACTCAATCATTTACCGCATGATATCACTAATGTAAGACGTCTATTCAGGTTATTGTATGAGAAAGCATACTTATCAATCATTCAACATAGATTCCATATGATATGGCTACCGATTTGCAAGACCTCTTGTTAACAACATATCGACTACTTTCATTTTCATCATCAACATTTGTACCATTGTGGAACTGGGGATCGTTAGTGCAACTACTCAAGGCATCGAATGCAACCCTTCGCTATTTGACGATCCTATGTTTGAGCAAAGCCTATCAATTGAGCGATTTGCAGACATCGAATCTTTGCAAAGCTGTATCCCGAACACCTGACAGCATGGATGAGGATAATACCGAGGAGGAACCCTTAATGGCAGTGGTGGATGGTCAAAATATTGACCTCAGGATGTTACAGTAAGTATCAATGCCGTTTGACAGTTTGTGTAACATGCCATTCATGCAACCTCCATTTTAAGGTTATGGGAACAACAAAAGCTTGCAGATGCCCAAATTGCTCTTGTTCAGAATACGTACAATGACACCAAGCATACGATTGATGACAGCGCCCTGTGTCCACTCACCTCCAATTTGTGTGGCGTATTACTACCCAAGACCATGACTGCTGCTGCTGAAGACAACGTGTCTGATGGCCCTTGTTATCATCCAGAGCTCGTGCTTACGGAGACAACGATTCGCAATTTGCATACCCTGAGTTTGGCATTATCCATTGGTGCACCTACATTGTTGGAAGGCGTTACGGGTGCAGGCAAGACAGCTATAGTTGAGGAATTGGCAAGTCGAACAGGCCGTGGTGACCGTAAGTTGAAAAAGTTGATGATGAAACAAGGATTGTATCGCTAATGTCATGCTATCTAGAATTAATCAAGATTCATTTGGGTGATCAAACGGATCCAAAAGTGCTTCTTGGTACCTATGTATCGACATCGACTCCAGGATCTTTTCGTTGGCAACCTGGTGTCTTGACAACGGCGGTGCAAGAAGGTCGTTGGGTATTGATTGAGGATATTGATTTGGCACCAGCTGAAGTGATCTCGGTACTTCTTCCATTGCTCGAGACGCGACAGCTTTTTATACCCTCTCGTGGAGAAAAAATCCAAGCCAAGGAAGGTTTTCAACTCTTTGGTACACGCTCTTATGTACCATCACGATCAGGCAAGGCATTCAGCGCACGTGGTGGAGACATGGTGACTGGAGCCAATTTGTGGACACGTGTCAATGTGGATCCTTTATCTATGGAGGAATTGGAAACGGTGGTGCGAACCAAGTTTTCTTACATTGGCAACTTTGCTGTACACGTGATGCGATTGTTCAAGGCTGTCATCAGTATTTATCAAGATCCCAACTTTTCCTCCCTTTCATCATCCACAATGGGTCGTTTTATCTCAACACGTGATTTGATGAAATGGTGTCATCGTATCAATGCATTACTTGGAGAGAAGCTTGGAGGCGATGCTGCGATCGAGGCATCATTGGATATCACCATTCGCCAAGACTTATTCAGTGAAGCCATTGATTGCTTTTGTGGTATGGTCCCTGATTATGCAACATGGGTCGTGATTCTCGAACGTGTGGGTGAGCCTCTTCAAATTTCTCCTGAAATGGTTCGCAACTATGTCGATCAATACAAGCCCACCTTACGCCAATCTGAAAATGCTATTGCCATCGGCCGTGTGAACCTATCATCAATTGCCTACAGTGGTCTCCAGAAGCAGAAAAAGGCATTGCTCAAACGTGGCCATCGTCGACCTTTTGCTACCACAGGCCATGCTTTACGTTTATTGGAAAAGATCTCTGTATGTGTCCATCTTAATGAGCCTACGCTTTTGGTGGGTGAGACTGGTACCGGTAAAACGACCGTTGTTCAACAACTTGCCGACATGTTGCATCAAAATCTCGTGGTGGTCAACTTGTCACAGCAATCGGATAGCTCTGATTTATTGGGTGGTTTCAAGCCTGTTGAAGGACGAATTCTTGCTATGCCGCTCAAGGAGACATTCGACACTCTTTTTGAACGTACATTTTCAGTGAAAAAGAATCAAAAGTTCTTGGAGATGGTGCGCAAAACGTTTGTCCACCAAAAATGGAAGAATTTCGCAGCACTCTTACAACAATCAGTCAAGATGGCAGAACAGAAATTCGGCAACGAGCAAAGTGGAAAGCCCTCTTCGCCACAACTTCGAAGCGCATGGAAAACGTTTCAAAAGCGCTTAGAGGAATTCGACATTCAACAAGTACAAGCACAAAACAAGTTTGTGTTTAGCTTTATGGAAGGTGCTTTGGTGAAAGCCGTTCGACGTGGTGATTGGATTTTGCTGGATGAAATCAATTTGGCGACCACCGAGACCTTAGAATGCTTGTCTGGATTATTGCAGGATGCACAAGGATCATTATTGTTGACTGAAAAGGGCGATGTGGAACCTATCAAGCGACATCCCAATTTCAGATTATTCGCTTGTATGAATCCAGCAACGGATGTGGGCAAACGCGATCTTCCACCTGGTTTACGTAATCGATTCACCGAGTTTTACGTTCACCCACCCGATTCAAGATACGAGGACTTGTTACAAATTGTACGTCGCTACCTCTCGAGTGTTTGCACTGGTGATGAGCGTGCATGTGATGATGTGGCAGAGTTTTATTTGGAGGCCAAGAAGCTTTCGCAAGAGCACAAGCTTGTGGATGGATCGAATCAGCGACCCCATTTCAGTATGCGTACGCTTTCTCGTGCGTTGACCTACGTTGTGCAGATTCATCCTACTTATGGATTACGTCGTTCGCTGTATGAAGGCTTTTGCATGACATTCATGACCCAACTCAGCAAAGAGAGTGAAGCGGTGATGCGTCAATTGATCCACAAGACCATTTTACGCGGTGTCAAGAACCCAACCCATCTCATTTCTCAAATCCCTCGTCAACCCAGCGATGATTTTATCCAATTCGGTTACTTTTGGTTACAACAAGGCCAATTCGAGCCTCAAGATGATGGTCATTACATTTTGACGCCTTCGGTGGAAACCAATCTCTACAATTTGGCACGTGTGATCATGTCGCGCAAGTTCCCAGTGCTTATTCAAGGTCCCACATCGGCAGGCAAGACAAGTATGATTGAATTCTTGGCCAAAAAGACCGGTCATCGTTTTGTGCGTATCAACAACCACGAGCATACGGATCTTCAAGAGTACTTGGGTACCTATGTATCAGACAATGATGGCAAGTTGGTGTTCCAAGAAGGTGTCTTGGTGGAAGCATTGCGTAATGGCTATTGGATCGTATTGGATGAACTCAACTTGGCCCCTTCGGATGTATTGGAAGCACTGAATCGTTTATTGGATGACAATCGTGAATTGCTTATCCCTGAAACTCAAGAAGTCGTCAAGCCCCATCCCCATTTCATGCTCTTTGCTACTCAAAATCCAGCTGGATTGTATGGTGGTCGTAAGGCCTTATCACGTGCTTTCCGTAATCGTTTCTTGGAATTGCATTTTGATGACATTCCTCAAGATGAGCTTGAAACCATTCTTTCAAAGCGTTGTCAAATTGCACCCTCCTACTGCAAAAAGCTTGTCCAAGTGTACCGATCCTTGATGGAACATCGCAAGAGCTCACGTCTCTTTGAGCAAAAGCATAGCTTCATCACCTTGCGTGATCTTTTCCGTTGGGCAGGTCGTGATCCAAATGGCTATCAGGAATTGGCTGAGCATGGTTATATGTTGCTTGCTGAACGTTGTCGTAAGGATGAAGAGAAAAAGGTCGTCAAGCAGGTTCTTGAAGATGTCATGCGTGTCAAATTGAGCGAGGAGCAAATGTACGACTGCGAACGATTGGAAGAGTTTGCCATCTATGATCGTATTTTGCGTGAAAAGGCTGGTGGTGATGATATCAACTTGGTCTGGACAAAGGTTAGTAGATCGTATTGGATTTGTATTACAACAGCATACTAAAACATACATTATAGGCCATGCGACGATTATTCAGCCTTGTTGCACGATGCTTACGTTATAAGGAGCCTGTTCTACTTGTGGGTGAAACGGGTTGTGGCAAGACCACGGTGTGCCAAATGCTAGCAGAGACATTCAACCGGGAACTTCACATTGTCAATTGCCATCAAAACACAGAGACCGGTGACTTGTTGGGTGGTCAACGCCCTGTACGTAACCGAGATGCCAATTCGGAACAGCTCTTTGAGTGGCACGATGGTCCACTGGTTCAAGCTATGCGTGGTGGTCACCTCTTTTTGTTGGATGAAATTTCTTTGGCAGATGATTCAGTGCTTGAACGTCTCAATTCAGTGCTTGAGCCAAGTCGTTTATTGGTGCTTGCTGAAAAGGGTGGCAAACATGTGGAGGAACTCTATGGCCAAGAAGGATTCCAATTCCTTGCTACGATGAATCCTGGTGGTGATTATGGCAAAAAGGAACTATCACCTGCATTGCGAAATCGTTTCACAGAAATTTGGGTGCCTTCTGTTACCGATCGAGAAGACTTGACGATGATTATTGATGGCCAGCTGACGGATCATCCCGATCTCAAGGGTTACGGTGCTCGCATGCTTGATTTTATTCATTGGTTCACACAAGCACTTGGTCAAACACGTACGGTGGTGAGCTTACGTGATATTCTCTCTTGGGTACGCTTCATCAATGCAAGTGTTGATAGCGGCTTGAATCCTGATCTTGCGTTTGTTCATGGTGGATGTCTTGTTTTGCTCGATGGTCTTGGTTCTCATGGTGCGTCGGGTTCTTTCCTAAGTGGCAACACCCTGAATGATTTCCGCCTAAAGTGTCTTAAGCAACTCAGCAATCGACATGATGCAACAAGCGAAGTTGAAATCCTTGGTGATGCAAAGACCAATGTTGAACTTTCGGGTGATCAATTTGGTATCGGCTCTTTCCGTATCGAACGTGGTCCCATGGATAAGGCGAATATCAAGTTTACTTTGTTGGCACCTACCACAGCCGACAATGCCATGCGTGTGGTGCGTGCTATGCAGTTGAAAAAGCCCATTCTTCTTGAAGGTAGTCCTGGTGTCGGCAAAACGAGTTTGGTATCGGCATTGGCAGCTGCTTCAGGCCACCGTCTTGTGCGTATCAACTTGTCAGAGCAAACGGATTTGATGGATCTCTTTGGTTCTGATTTGCCAGTGGAAGGAGGTGACAGTGGCGAATTTGCTTGGCGTGATGCCCCCTTTTTGCAAGCGATGAAGGCTGGCGATTGGGTATTATTGGATGAATTGAATTTGGCGTCGCAGTCTGTATTGGAAGGTCTCAATTCTTGTTTGGATCATCGTGGTGCTGTCTATATCCCTGAGCTTGATCGTGAGTTCTTTTGTGCTAAGGGCTTCCGCGTATTTGGTGCACAAAATCCATTGCAGCAAGGTGGCGGTCGTAAGGGTCTACCAAAATCGTTTGTCAACCGCTTTACGCAAGTGTATGTTGAGCATCTTAGCGCTGATGACTTGCTCTTCATTTGTGGTCACTTGTTCCCTCAATTTGAAGCTCTCACACTCAAGCAAATGATTGAATTCAATACCCAAATGTATCGTGAAACCATGGTGCTTTGCCGATTTGGACGCAAGGGTAGTCCCTGGGAATTCAATTTGCGTGATGTTTTCCGCTGGCTCGAATTGATGCAAAAGGATAATGCCACTGATCCAGCAGAGTACCTTGGCACCATCTACCTGCAACGTATGCGTACTCAAGAAGATCGTGACAAGGTGATTGAGCTCTATGAGCAGGTTTTCAACACCCAATACAACCGACCCAAGTTCCCTCCTTATGAAATTTCAACACAAGCATTACGTGTGGGTCATTCCCATCTACCACGCCTTGCTCAAAAATCCAAGAATGATACGATGGATGGTGAATCTCATATGTTGCACTCTTTCTTGGGACCCATGGAAGCTTTGATGAAATGTGTGGAATCAAGTTGGATGGCTATTGTTACCGGCCCCTCAGCCTCTGGCAAGACCTCGATGGTGCGTCTCCTCGGCAAGTTGACTGGCAACAAGCTTGAAGAATTTGCCATGAACAATAGCGTTGATACCATGGAGTTATTGGGTGGATTTGAGCAAGTGGATTTGAATCGACATCGCCATGTCGTGATGGAAACATTGGATATTCTCACCAATCGTATCACGTGTGCTCTGCTTATGTATCATGTCAACGTTTCGGATGAACAACGTGCTGCTGCTTTGCAATCCATTTGCCAAATCAATGATGCATGGTTCACGCTCAAGACCAAACATGCGTTACATCAAGATAGTAAGGATGGTCTCGATTACACATTACTCTCTTGTTTGGTGGAGAATCTCAACAATGCAGCCAAGGTGGTGGATCATGATGCATTATCCTTGATTGCATCAGCTGTGGAGGCTGCAAAGACATTACAGCAATTGGAGAAGGCTTCAGTGGCGGGCAAATTTGAATGGATTGATGGTCTTTTAATCAATGCATTGGAGCAAGGTCATTGGCTTTTGATCGATAATGCCAATCTTTGCAACCCATCCGTCCTTGATCGTCTCAATCCCTTGTTTGAAAATGATGGTGTGCTTATGGTGAACGAACGAGGTTTGGTGGATGGCCATGTCAAGGTGATCAAGCCGCATCCCAATTTCCGTATGTTTATGACGGTGGATCCCAGCAATGGTGAATTGTCTCGTGCTATGCGTAACCGTGGTATTGAAATTGCCTTGGTGGATGCCAACTGGAATGCCAATATTCAAGATGTTGTCAAACTTACCAATGGCATTGGTATTCGTGGTGCACGCCTCCCCATTCTTCTCAATGATCTGCAACAAGAAGCCAAGAGCGTAACGCGACGCCGCAATCAATCGGTGAGAGAATATCTCATGCTTGCCACTTATATTGTTGAGCGCTTGCAACGTGGTCAATCCTTGAAGAGTGCTGTACGCGAATCATTCCATCAAGTGTTTGTTGATATTACTGAGATCCCAGAGACGTTGAAGGGCTTATTCGATGCCATCCAAGAGGAAGACATCTTGCGAGAAATGTTGTCACCTTCCAATTGCCCATACTTTGTTGGTGGTTCTTTCTTTGAACATGATTCAGCATTGGCCACAGTAGCATTGCAAGGAGCTTATGCAACCTATTTACTTCAGCAGCAAGCCCAACACCCCGATGTTATCCCATCTACTCAAAGCTTGGACGTTGCTTGGGATTACTTTATTGAATCAGCCTCAGCAAGCGATATCGATTTGAGATTGCGTTGGCTGACGTTTATGGCCGAACATGCATCCATTGCCGATCCTGCAATGTTGGAGCGTACAGCCTATATCCTTCGCGCAACACGCAATCATCCTGCATTCCAAGACCGTATCCTTCCAACCGAGCATGCCGTAAGTGATATACATGGTTTGATATATGTTTAGTTGACTTACGCACAAACTATCTTTAGACCTTGATCAAGATTCGCCAACTGTTGGCTCGACTCTATAAGCTCGAACATCAAGATGCTGCCTTGGCCAAATCCACTATGCGCCTCAAGGTGGGAAGCATGACGGCGTTGCAACAATCTTACTGCTTCGTTGACAATCGTTTGAGCGAGGCACAGCTTTTGCATCCTATTGTCAAGTTGATCTTGCCCATTTTCATGGCTATTCGCAAGGCGTTTGCTGAATGGATGAATTCAAAGTCTTATGAAAATGCTGATGAAAAGGTAATTGGATAACAGTGCTATGGATCGATTGGTTGTCTCATTTTGTGGAAAATAGACCATTGATGTCCTTGTCAAGATCCTTGATGCAAGAGACCATGCTTGGGATATCGCTCATTCTCATCGACTCAGTTTGGACAATTATCTCAACATTTTGCGTGTTATCCAAGAGCTTATCCAGAATAATGAGTTTTCTCATTTTGCTGCCGTATCGACGCTCGTTGATGAAGCCATGGCTGGATTTGATTTTGAGACCTCACGTTCCATGAAGGCTCTATGGAAACACTTCTGCCCTGCTACCCTTGCCACTGAAAAGTTGTACAACGTGGAGCAAGCATTGACCACCATCAACGATACTTTGAATCCTTACAAGCCCGGTGAAGGTAAGTTTATTGGAAATCACGTCATCAAAGTCGATCTAATAATCGTTGTTGTCTCTATAGATGACGAGTCCAAATCAATGGATATGGTGCTACAAACAAAGTCAGCAACCAAGGAAACCATCATCGAAGGTGTAGCAACGCTATATGCTGTCGACAACAACGATGACAAGGATGCCTCCAAGTTGGCCAAGTCCATGGTGCATTTGCCTGAGGTATGTTAATTTGGTAATATTTGGTCGCAAGTGATGTGATACTTATGGCAATGATGTTAGCTCGTGAAACGCCAAGTGGATAGTGATCAAGAAGCGGTTTCGGTCGTCAATCGTACAGCCTGGGATACAGCCTTGGTGCCTATCTTTGATCATGCAAGTGCTCTTTCCGAAATGGATCTTGTTACTGCATTCTACCTTTTGTCCTCATACACTTCTAACGAGGTAAGTCCAATATGAATCTAGTGATGACAATGATATAACAAAGGATTATAGGAAACGAGAACACAATTATTGGAAAAGATTGGTGCATTCAGACGATTTGTTCTTGATAAGAGCACACGCCCACCTCTTGATTTGGTTCCTTATCAACGTATTCTTTGGATGTTGGATTCCGAATGTAAGTATGAAAGGATAGTGGAAATGGTGATTTTTATTGATGGCATCACATAGTCAACGAGAAATCTCGTACGACGCTTCCTGGTATGACGCATGATGCAACCCATGTTTGGCATCAACGACTTTGGCGCTCCAGCATTTTCTTTAACGCTTTGTATCAGCTCGAACCATCCTTCACTCCAGTGGTACGTTACATCCATATATAGGAATGACCCCAGGTTGCTGATGATGATCATGATAGAAACTTTCATATGATGGAGGACCCGCTATCTTGTATCAAGCTGTTCAAACATTGACATGTCTCAATATTTTGTAAGTTTTATTATTGGCGCTGTAATGGATTAAGAATCTAACCCTTTGTGCGTATTATAGGTCATTCGTCGAGAAGATGTCGGCTCTTGCTTATCGAAGTGCCCTGGGTCAACTCAAGTCCCTCAAGCAATTCTTGGCTACCAATATCATGTATCAAGATAAGAAGGCTTTAGAGCTTGTCATGATCATCTCGATTGCTTATCAGGTAAGCCATGATACATTTGGACCCCAAATGGATGGCATGCTAAATAGTTTGCTTGTGCTTGTAGTTACTGGTTGCATCCTCTGAAGTGTTGAAGGAGGACATTTACGACTTATTGACCAAGCAATTTGAACGTCTCTTGATTTTTGCTCATGCATTGGCGCAAAGAAACATGTATTCGAAGGATGATCAAGGTGTCTACGACGACGTCATGACGACGATGAAGGATATCTCGCAATCCGGTGAATCAGCAGGCTTCAACCAATATTATGTTCGAGCCATCTCATCTCTTGAGGATGCTATTGAGCAATATCGCCGAAAGGATGTTGACACCTTTTTCATGGCAGCTGGCAAATCACGTGCATTGCTTGGCCTTGCATTTATTGCAGCCTACATTCCCGATTACCCTGTCGATCCTACGGCTGAACCACGTCTACGAGTCAATCTCCTTGCTCAAAAGCAACAGCTCCTTGAAGTCAGCATCGAGGCTCGTCAAAAGATTGAGGACATTACGACTGGCAATGATACGAATGCAATTATCGACGAGGAACAAGCACAGCTCAAAGAGATCAATGGTGCCCTTGCAGCATCCGCTACTGTTTTCTCGTTGCGACCTGAGAAATCTCAACTTGAGGATATCTTTGTGGACTTTGCCTATTTGCAAAAGCATCTTGTTGCCGACAACGCTGATTCCTTGTTGGAGACATTGATGGACAGCCAAGCTAACGATACAGCTTTGCAACGTGAAAGTCTTATCCAAGGCAACGCTCTTCAATTTATCGATCGTATCCACGCAAAGTATCCCATGTACCGAGACATTACACAACCTCTTGTTGTCGCTGTTGATGATGTCAAGTATGGTCTACGCATGGTGTCGATGCGATGCAAGAAGAATTTGGCAGATGAATTCTTGAGCGATGTCGTGCAGCTTTTCATTCGCAGCCCTGATGCAGCACGTCGTCTTGATTTGGATTGGGTTACGCTTGCACAACCTGCTCAACTTGCCAAGCTCAAGGCAGTCGTTTTTGAACGTGCTGAAACAAGTCGTAAATGGGCCCTCTATCTTGGTATCTTGATTGTGGTTCTTCAACGCTTGGTGATGAGTATCGATTCGCATGGCCGTATCTCTCTTGAGGATCTTGCTTGTTTGAATGGTCTCTTTGAAGAAATTGTCAGCATTTGGAAATCGGCTCAAGAATACAAACGTCAAAAGGAGGCTGAGAAGGAGCAAATGTACAAGACACGTACCAAGAAATATGAGCCTACCACTGAAGAGGAACAAGATGAAATGGACATGAAAAAGACCTTTGCTGATTTCAACGAGATGTTTGCGGACTTGCAAGAACAAGCTGATGATGATGTGCCATCCTCAACCTCTGCACATTTGCCAAATCAAGTTGAAGAAGAGTCCGTCCTCGATAATAGCGATGTGTGGTACATTGGCAAGCTTCATCGTATCATCTTTGATACATATCAGATTGATCGTCTTGAGCGAACCAACCAATCTTGGGATCGTGAAGTGTCGCGTTCGTATCGTACAGCTAGCCAGCTCTCCTCCATGGTGTCATATGCCTTTGATAGCCAAGTCGATGCTGCATGTGGTGCTGGTCATTTGCGTGCTACTGCATGGGCTATTCAACGTCTTGAAGCCGAGAGCTCATTCAGCAAGACCAGTGACGATTTGTACGACTTTTACACATGTGAAAATGTGAAGGAGGCCAAGCGTGTCGAGCCCATCGTTACTCGTTTCAAGGAACGTATCAAGGAAATCCAACAAGAATGGCCCGAGCATGTTGTGCTGCAGCATTTGATTGATATTTGTGATCGCTTACTCAGCTTTTCAATCCTATCACCTGTGTCCAAGTTCTTGACAGGCATTGAGTTGCTATTGCAAAAGTCCGAGGATTGGGAAGCTTATGCCGCTAAGCATGTATCGCTACGTGTCCAACGAGAAGAATTGACAGCACTCATTGTCAGCTGGCGTCAACTCGAGCTCAATTGCTGGCCCAAGTTACTTGCAGCTCAAGAGCAATACAGCCAAAACTCTGCATTCGAATGGTGGTTCCATTTATATGACACTGTTCATAATACCAGCTTTGATGCCGTTGACGACAAGGAACAAAAGATACGTGATTTGCTCATGACGCTCGACCAGTTCTTCCAATCGTGCTCCATCATCGAATTTGAACCCCGTCTCAAGATGCTTGACAGCTTTTATCGACAAGCTCAGATGCAAGCTGAGCTTACGGGTGATCAAGACCAGTGGACCATGGCTACCATCCTACGCAATGTATCCTTGTATTATAGCCAATTTACAAGCTATGTCAACACTACATTGGCTCAATTGCGCAAGCCTATCGAGAAAGAGCTCAAGGACTTTGTCAAGATTGCCAGCTGGAAGGATGTCAACATTTATGCTCTCAAGCAAAGTGCACAAAAGACACATTTACAGTTGCACAAGTGCATTCGCAAGTATCGTGAAGTGTTGGGCACATCCATGTTGACCGTGATTGCCAACTACAACCAAGAGCATGCCATGTTCCAATATGGTGACGACAAGCGTTATAATGACACCAACACTGGCTTTGTTGAGCAACTTGGTCGAGCTGAATTTTGGACACGCAAGGATACCAAGGTGCCACAAGTGGAATTTAGCTGGCAACCAGACACCTCTGCTACTGCTGCTGTTGTTGTCAAACGTCATTTGGTGGACTTGCAAGGCACATTGAACAAGATGCGTCGTTATTGCCGTGAGGATCTTGTCAGCACTGAAAATACGGAAGGCGATGTTCCATTGGAATCGTTTATGAGTGAAGTTATTCAACAAATCAAGACATTCCAAAAGGAAACACCACTCACCATGACGGACGAGAACAAGTCATTTGTCAAGAACCAAAAGCTCTTAAAGAAGAAGGCATTGGTGGACTTTTTGAAGGAGTTGAGACGTCTTGGTTTGAAGGCACGTCCTGGATCCATGGCCGATCGAAATGGCAACACGGCGTATCTTTTCAATCAACATGTTGCTGGCATGGATACCATCAAGAGCACTGAAAGCGGCTTTGTATCCGAAATCGTGGAGCTTTGGACAAAGGCCAATGATTACTATTACAAGAGTTTGGCTCGTTTGACGCATCTACGCACACTCAGCACCACCCAAGTCAGCAAGGACCTATCGATGCTTGAAGTAGAGCGTGCCATGAGTGCTACAGAGCACATGTTTATGATGGTCACCAAGGAACGTGGTGTGGCTTCTCGATTTGAGCAACGTCTCCAAATGCTCCAAGGTGCTGTTGTCCAATTGGCCGTTTTCACGCGTGGTACACCTAGCACGGACCCTGTGGATACCGCTTTGGGTGCACGTTTGATCAGCCATAAGATGTTTGTTGATGATCTTGTGCAAATGGTGGGTGAAGGCATCAAGACCCTTTCGATCCAAAGTGAATTTGTTGGTCAGCACACGCAGCAAGCTATGATGCTTATGCAAGATACGGCACGTCAATTGCGAGAGATTCAACGACACGTGGACACTTGTTTTGTGGAACGATACCTTGTGGCACACAATGCAAAGGCACTTTTGACAGCTGACATTGGTGACATGATGGATACACAAATCAACACAATCACCACCACCTTGCGCACGGAGCTTCGTCACGTGATGGATCAAGTACCTGAAATGACCCATGTCATTCATGCCATTTTACATGCCATTGATGATCACCAGCCTTTGCTTGCCGATGTCGACGGCGATATCCAGATTGACGCACATCCAGCTGATTTGCGTAACAAGATTCATTCGTTGATTGATGCCATTCTCGTCTCTGTACAAGACCTTGTCAAGAGCAAGCAAAAGCCCAAGATGCAAATTGATCAAGACAATGACCATGACCATGATAGCACTGACATGGCTGACAATTACATTGTGGATGAGCATGCAAACCAATTCACTGATGTTCAAGCCCTTCATCTCGAAACGGTGGCACGACGTTGTATGGATGTATTTGAAATGGCACATCAACTATTGTCCACCGACCATTCTGTCGATGCTATCAAGTTATTGCAACAAGCTTATCCATTCTTGCAGCAATATGCGCTTTTGGTTGACCATACATTGGGCAGCTTTTTGGTGCATCACAAGGCTATGGCGAAGATGACCTATGCCCTCGTCAACTCGTTTACGGTGATTATCAGCAAAGGTTTTTGTATGCCTCAAGGAGCTGATGAAGAAGGTGAAGAAGGCGATGCTGATGGCATGACGATGGGTACGGGTATTGGTGAAGGCGAAGGCACCAAAGATGTCAGTGAAGAGATTGAAGATGAGGAGCAAGTCCTTGGTACCCAAAATGAAGAACAGCAACAACAGCAAGAAAAGGGTGATACCAAGGAAGAAAAGAAGGGTATTGATATGGAAAATGATTTCGAAGGCGAGCTCGAAGACATTGAACAAGACGAGGAGCAACAAGAAGAGAATGAAGATGACGAGGATGAAGAAGAGGAGGATATTGATGATCAGATTGGCGATGTTGATGACATGGATCCTGATGCAGTTGATGACAAGATGTGGGGTGATGATGAAGCCCAAGATGAACGCAAGGATAGCGATAAGACTGTGGATCAACAAGGAAAATCGGATCAGCAAGAATCGGATGTGGTTGCCAAAGAAGATGAAGAACAAGAGGATGATTCATCCAAGCCTCAACCTGATCGTGAAGGCGAAGAACCCGATCAAAAGGAATCCGATAAGCAAGACAATGTCGACGAAGAGGAGCAGGGTGATGAAGGTGACAAGGACCAAGGTGAAGGTGAAAATGAAGATGACGAAGGTGCCGATGAAAACAAGGCTGGAGAGCAAATGAATGTCGATGTTCCTGAAGCTGAGACTTTGGAGTTGCCTGAGGATCTGGATATGGAAGGTGATCAGAATGAGGGTGAGGAGCAACTCCAGGATCCCATGGATATGGATCAAGATGAAAGTATGCAAGATCAAGGTGGCGAAGAAGATGTTGGCGAGAATGAAGAGGAGGAGCAGGAGCAATTCAAGGATGCTCTTGATCAACTTGGTGAAGCTGACAAGGAAGAGCAAGAACAAGATGATGAAATGGCTGATACCACAGCGCATGTGAATAATGAGGAGCAACAAGAAGATGAGGAGAAGGAAAAAGAAGAAGAAGAAGATGACGAGGAGAAGCACGACCAAACCGGTGATGGTGAGAAGGGTGGTAATATTGAAGAAGATGAAGAACAACCCGAAGAGCAAGGTGGTGCACAAAATCGTGAGCAGCCTACTGCTGAGGAGGAATCTGCCGACAACCAATTTGGCATTCAAGGCCAAACCGGACGCATGAGTACGACAACTGGTGGTGGACAACAAGGCGAGAATGATGAATCTGAAGCTGCTGATCTTGACAAGGAGCAGCCTGAAAGTAAGGAGAATCAAGGCATGGCTGAACAAGGTGCGAACAAGGCGGATGAAGATGCCAAGCGTGAAGAAGAGGCTGAAACCAATGAGTCCAAGACCAATCCTCAACGTAGCCTTGGTGATGCATTGGAAGATTGGCGTCGTCGTCTTGCAGATATTGCTGATGCTGAAGAAGAAGAGGAGGAGGATGAGCAAGCAGCCCCTCAAGATAGCACGGAGGCTAAAGTCAATGAGGATCAAGCATTTGAGTATGTCAAGCATGATGAAGAAGCTCACGATATGCAAACCATGGGTAATGCATTGCCGGATCAATTGCAAGATATCCAAATGGGAGCTATGGATGAGACAACGGAGGATGAGAATCAACACGCTGGTGAAATGGATGTGGATGAGGATGATGAGAAGAAGGAGGAGCAATCCAACATTGACACGATGCCATTACCAGAAGAACGAATGGATATTGATGGTGAACGTGAGAATCGTGGTGGAGCTGTTGTGACCAAGCGTCTTGGTGAAATGGAAGCCATTGATGAAAGCCATTCTTTGACTGTGGATGAATCATTGGTTGCTCATGAACCACTTGATCCTGAACAAATTGAGCAGATGCGACAAGAGCTTGAAACCACCGTATCGGAATGGCGAGAAGAAGGACGAGATAGTCATCAAGCACGCGAGCTATGGCAACGATACGAGACCTTGACACATGATTTGGCTATGGGACTTTGTGAGCAATTGCGTTTGATTTTGGAGCCTACATTGGCGACAAAGCTCAAGGGTGACTACCGTACCGGCAAACGTCTCAACATGAAAAAGATCATTCCTTATATTGCCAGTCAATTCAAGAAGGATAAGATTTGGCTTCGACGTACCAAGCCTAGCAAGCGTCAATATCAAGTGATGATTTCGGTGGACGATTCCAAGTCTATGTCTGAATCGCATTCTGTACAGCTTGCTTATGAGACGCTATCATTGATTTCCAAGGCTCTCTCTCAGCTTGAAGTGGGTGACATCTCAATCACATCCTTTGGTGAACGTGTACGCTTGTTGCATCCATTTGATCAACCCTTCACTTCCGAATCGGGTGCATCCGTTCTACAACAATTTACATTTGCTCAACAAAAGACCCAAGTCAAGGAGCTCATTGAATCCTCTCTCTCGTTATTTGAAGCTGCAAAGTCATCAAGCAATCAAGAGTTATGGCAATTACAACTTATCATTTCTGATGGTATTTGCGAAGATCACGATACTCTGATGCGCCTGGTTCGCCGTGCTATGGATGAACAAGTGATGTTGATCTTTATTGTGGTGGACAACAAGCCTGAAAAGGACTCTATCCTCAAGATGACCAATGTCAAATATGCAACTGTGAATGGCAAGCTCACTCTTCAAATGCGTCCTTATCTTGAAACCTTCCCCTTCCAGTACTTTATGGTATTGCGTGATATTAATGCTCTGCCCGAGGCTTTATCAGATGCCCTTCGACAATATTTCAGTTTTGTTTCTGCATAAATCAATAAACATACATCTCTTTCATCTCAAATGCGTCTTCTAAGTCTAGCCCTCTCTACTCTATTTCTTACAACTACCACCCTCGCTCCAGGCACCCATGCCTCGCTCGATTTCAAAGCCATGCTCTTTGGCAACAACCAAGATGAGGAAAATGTCGACTTTGGATTCCCTGCAGCTTCTCGCCATCGTCCACGTAAGATCAAAGCTTGTCATTGCGACCATGTCCCACAACAACTCATTTGGTTCTGTAGCTGTTGACTGTGATCAATACGTCTGTCAAGATACGTTGGCTTGTGTAGCCCATCCTATCGATTGTCCGTGCCCTTACATCCATGATAGCAAATGCATGAACGATGACTGGTACACGTGTGTGCGTGGTAGTTGCGATCAATTGTCACTAGATTAGAATATCAAAGATACCATTATGATAGATAAATACAACATGTTTATATTATATGCTTAAATGATCTGTACATTGGAGGGAATGGTATGGAAAAGAGACTTCTTTACAATGGCAGCTTGTTACGTAGTTCTATAAAGGTGTGAATGAGTCAATCAATCAATTTTCATAAAAGTGGAGGATCACTTACTGTCGATAATATCATCGTATGCTTGACAAGCGGGTGAATCCGGATATTCTTCCAAAAAGGACAAGCCCATATCACAACTCTTTGCAATCCTTGGATCCAATGGAATACGGCCAAGAAGTTCGATACCCGTTTCCTTGGCAAGTGCCTCAGCGCCACCTGTGGAAGGAGGGAAGATCATGGATTCACCATGGCAATTGGGACATACAAAGCCAGACATGTTTTCGACCAAGCCAAGTACAGGAATGCCCACCTTGCGACAAAAGTCGATTTCCTTTCGCACATCCTGCAATGCCACTTCTTGAGGTGTTGTGATCACAATAGCGCCATCGATACCACTTTCCTTGAGGTAACTTGCCACTGAAAGATGCTCATCCGATGTACCTGGTGGTGTATCAACCAACATGAAATCGAGGGTGCCCCAATCGACGTCTTTGAGGAATTGCTTGATTAATCCATTCTTTTTGGGTCCACGCCAAATGACAGCATCATCCTTGTCAGGTAACATAAATCCAATGCTCATGACACCAAGATTCTCTTGAACAAAGACCGGTTGCCATCCACTGTTGCTTTGATGAATTTGTTCACCCATTAAGCCCATAATCACTGGTATCGAGGGTCCACAAATATCCACATCCATAACACCAACTTGAGTATCATCGTCATGAGCAAGCGCAAATGCAAGTTGTGCTGTAAAGCTCGATTTGCCTACACCGCCTTTGCCGGAAAGCACCAGGATCTTGCGCTTGACAGTTTCCATACGCTTTGTAATCAATGGAATAGCTATATAAGGTCAACAATGAGTCTATTGAACAAAGTTATCGTTGCATCGTTGTATTCCTTACCGGGATCAGGTCCTTTGGGAGCCGTGGCACAGATATTCTGATTGGGACAGCCTTCACATGCTGATGCTTTGCCTGCTTGATCGCTTCCAGTTCCCTGTCGTCCATGGCAACGGATCAGCTGTGTGCTTTCGATTGGTATAGTAATGGCAAGAGTACTTACAGGACAATGCTCTGGTGCGTTATCAGGGACGTTTTCTTCCGAGTAGGGCGGTGACATTGTTGTTAGTAGACGAAAGGATATGAAAAGAAGGAAGAAAAGAGATGACTGAGATTACTAAGACACATGGCACATCATAAATCTACATCTGGTTTCACAACCCTTATCTGCTTGGATTTGTCATGGTCCCATTTTCCACCACACAACCATCTCCTTTTTTCTTTGTAGACACTTGAATGATTGCACTTGATTGCTTCCATGAAGATGAATTCATTTTCTTGAATAAACAGGCGGCATTACTTTAAGAACCCTCATCCGTTGTATTATTAGCAACCAGCATAAAGTACATACGTAGACCGAACACCAGCAAGAGCAAAGTTTCTTCCGCCTTTATCCAAATGTATCCTTCCCCTTACAACGCTACCAGTCCACCAGCCGTACATCGTGCCACATCAGCCGCCTCAGCAGCAGCAGCATTTCGACGATCTTCAGCAGTCAACAACAATAACACACCAAGACGACAAAGCAATTCCAGCAACAGTGGCGCAACCCCCACAGCGCATTCCGTGTCTCGTCAAGGCTCCGTAGAAACCGATCGCGAAGGAAGTGTACCCAATAACCCCACCACTGAAGAAAACGAAGAAGCCAGTAGCAATGCACAACCTGAATCACAGCAGCAACCTGAAGCCGATGCAGAGGATGACGATGAGAACAAGGAAGATCTATTGGCAGCCGATATGGATGCCTATATGCAAGCACAAATGGAAAAACAAAAGGAGGATATGAAGTGAGTACCATCATCATGACTACAATACAATGGTGGTGCATTGGAATACTAATGATCCATTATCAGGTTACTGCTTGAGAACTTTTCCAATGATCAGTTACAACGTTATGAAGCATATCGACGATCAGCATTGAATCGGACCAATGTCCGCAGGGTATGTTTGAAAGGAGGACGATACACAGTGGGTTCTATGATTGATCATAATACCTTGGATCTTATTATAGCTGGTCAGCCAAGTATTGAATCAACAATGTTCGCAAACCATGGCCATTGTAGTCGCAGGCTTCTCCAAAGTATACGTTGGCGAGATCATAGAGAAAGGTAAATACACAAACCAACCACATCCACTTGTGTAATCTTTATTGATGATGTTTTTGTATGATAGCACGTGAAGTGATGGAAGAATGGGGAGATGCTGGTGCTATTCGACCTGAACATTTAAGAGAAGCACATCGAAGGTACAAGTTGGAACGTGAAGCTCAATCCAATGTTGGGAAAACTCTCTTTCGACGATAGTTTAGTTGTTGTATACCATTGCTTGTTGTGTATGTATAAAGTGCTTGGGCTCAATAAAGCTGAAAGTAGTAGGATTATACAGTATGACTCAAAAAAAGGAACTTTATTTGTAAAACATCAAAAGAAAAGAAAAATGACACTATTGAAGGATCGAATGGGCAGTATCGAAAATATCATCCAAGGTAACATGGGACCATTGCTCTCTATACTCGATAAGCTCCAATTCATCTTCCATTGCATGTTGCATGGTACCAGGGATACGATAAAGCACGAAGACAAGTTGATCAATGCCGTATTGAAAAAGTGATGATAGCATGAGCAGCTGTACAAGTACAACAGCCAATCTTGCGTGTGGTCGTTCAAAGAGAGTTTGAGAGATCCAATGGGTCTTGACATCATCTGACCACTCTGCCGTATGCTTTGCACTTGAAAGGAAATCTTGGATCAAGAAACCATCGATGGCTGAAAAGTCTTGAGGATGGATATCCCATGTACAACTGCGCAAGCTTGTAATCACGCACGAGATGTCGCTAGCCTGGATAATGGCATTAATCCAAACACGTGCAGTTGTCACCCCATTAACAAGGTCGTTCATCAATGCTGCTTCTTGCGAGGATGCTGATGGGAGATTGCAGCATGGAACGTTCTTCAAATGCCGCTCAAAAAAGTACATGCGCTGCTCCTGGTCATAGGTACAGTGGTGACGAAGGAGATAGAGTAGCGTGCTTGAATTGAGTAGACCACAAAAGAATTCAGGTGACAAGTCGATCCCAGGAGCAAGTGTAAAAAAGCCGCATTGATCCGTGACACAAAGCTGTTCTCGATCCACAAAGAAACGCTGGCGAGGTGTATACTTTGATTGATAGCCGTTCAAGGTTGGATGGATAATCTTGACAGGGAGATCCATACCGGCCCGGGCATAAGGACTATAGGCTGCTTCGCGCTTGACGGTTGGTTGCAATTCGTGCTTAGCTTCTTGTAAATACTCATACAACCGTTCTTCACCAGGATCCCTTGAGGCTTCAAGTTTCTTGATGCCTTCCTTGTCCACAATGATCAACGAGTACTTTTTGGCATCTTCGGCTGAACAAAATGGGACATAGGCTTCAGAAAGTGGCAGCTCTCTCTTCACAATACGTTCAGGATCACGTTCACGCCAAAAGTCAACTTCGCGTCCTTTGGAACTTGCACCCTTACTGGACCAGTAAAAAGTGGGACGCAACCAACGTGCATAGCAACGAGCACCAAACGTCTCAAGAGCCCATTTCGTACGAACAACAAGACCATAACGAGGCCATGGGCTGCATCCAGTGGCATAGTTGAGTGGGGCACCAGGTGAATTACAAAGCCGAATCATTGATTGGGTAAACTCCTCCACCTCATCGGTCAGCGGTGACAAGCACATAAACGACAATATCGCCCCCTTGGCCTGGTGAATACGTTGTGTATCATGCGTTGGCGTGAGCTTGAACTTCATATGCTTGGGCTGTGGCTGTTGTGGATCGAATGCGACATAGCAATCAAGGATGTCTTGAAGAGAAACCGCAACTTCCGTGTTGCGAACAAACAGTGCTTGTGCATCCAAATTGGGAGGTCGAGTGCCACGCATACGAAGGCGAAAGATCATAGAATCCGTATTCAGATGAGGCCACACCTTTGAAGCTTTGAAATAATAAAGCTGCAGGAATTCACAATTTTCCCACATCCAAATACTAAATAAATAGCATATACATGTTAATAAATCAATGTTGCCATGAATGCAATGTATGTAATGTATGTACTTACCGTAATCTTTTATCTTGTTCAGACGTCATCCAATGGCTTGGGGTAATGAAGCACACTTCACCATCTTGTGGATCACACCGTTGTAGACAAAACCAGATGAAGAAGGCGTAAGCTTGCTTGACACAGCGACCAAGGATTCCATTATCGTATAACTCTGGATCAGGGACCGGAATACGATTGTCCTTTTGCACCATATAAGGAGGATTGGTGATAACATAGTCAAAGTAGCTTGTACGTAACACTTGCAGCTCGTGTTGTTCCCAAGGATCAATGCCAGTGGAAGGTGTCAGCAGCATGGTGTTGTTGCAAAACAGGTGGAGGCGATCGATGCGTAACCCATCAATGTTGTTACTACCAACCAATTGGCGTAGACGGCGATAAAGTGGTAAAAGATGCAGCATGGCATTGAGCTTGCCTAATTTCAGCGCCACAGGATCCAATTCGACGCCCCAAACATTAGCAGGAATGTCCGTGCACAAGGCTTGTTGCAGTGCTACAGGGTTGTCCCACGTGGCACCATCCATTTGCAGCTGCGTCACCATTCGTTTCAAAAAGTCGCATAGGAAGGCACCAAGTCCCATGCATGGATCAAGCACACGAGGTATCTTGTTCTTGCTCTTGTGGTCAAGGCAACGTCCCCACATAAAGTGCACCACCTTTTGCGGGGTGAAAAACTGTCCGTTGCCTTTTTGGTGCTCATGAGTGGTCTTTTTGGCATAGAAAAGTGAAAACAAGGTATCCAAGCAGTCGTATAATTTCTCACGTGGCACACCATGGGCTTCCAATTGGCGCTGGATGTCCTTGGCAAGCGATTGTCGAAAAGCAACATCAGGGTACAAACAAGGGTCATTATCGGCCATCTGGTCTTGAGGACTGAATGCTGCCATGTAGGTTGCAAAGGGTCGTTCATCCATCTTGCTGACATCATGCAGGAAATAACCGGTAACCGCTTCCGTAAAGGCAACAAAGGCTGTCATCAATGCACGAGAATGACGGTTTGCTTCGTCATCATCATGGGGAAATGCTGCATTGACTTTCGCAAGCACGTCTCCTAATATTGCCAGCACATCTTGCACCAGATCCGTCTCGGTCATGTTACTAAAGGCGCGTTTACGTCCATTGGATGATTTGGCAAGAGACTTTGGTGATACAAGTTGCTTGGATGATGATGACGATGGCTGCTGCTTTTGGGGTTGCTTTCGCTGATTAGGCAGTTTGCGCCTTTTCGCTGCTGGTTCATGCTGCTGAGGTTCGATGATTTCAGAGTTCATTGGTGTCAATGAAAAAAAGCACCAAAGGGGATTGTGGGTTGAGTGATTGAATGACGAGAAGAAACATGGGCTTATTTAAAGGCTTTTGGTATTCATTGTCGATGGCTGCTCATTGTTGGTATCGCAGCATGGTACTTTATTAACACCTAGAGAAGGTGTACTTTTCGAATAAGATGATAATACTACTACTAAGTGGTGCTTATGATGGCTCCTGTGACAAATCCTACAAGTATGTAACGAGGACGTACTCGTGAGAGCATAAACATTTGCTGAGTATTGGAGTATCTACTTGCAAAGTATCAAGGCCCAAGGCTGGTTGCCATGGCAAATCCCAAAAGTAGCTAAATGCCTAAATCGGGTTGTTTGCCAACGAAGGTACAAAATCAGAGAAACTGCCTGAAAAGGTGTGCTTGTCAACGAAGGGACAAGATAAGGGAATCTCCCCAAAAAGGTGTGTTTGTCAACGAAGCGACAAGATAAGGGTACATACCTCCCTGAAAAGGCGTGTTTGTCAACGACGACACAAATCAAGGTATGTAGAGCCACTACTTTAGAAACCACACCCACTTCAAGAAATGTTCCAATGGTTATGACAGCTTTTTCTTTTGCTGTAGTCATCATCATTCGTTGAGTCACTCACTCACTCACTGTTGATCCCGAAGCTCAAGCTTGATTCTCTGCAAGGGGAATGCATTCAGGGGGGTAGATGGCTGATCATCTTCGCTCTCACAAAGATCCCACATTTGATTATTCAATTTATGGATATGAATAGTACCAGACAAGGAAAGGCTAAAGCATCTCTTTATGGAAGACTTGCCCAGTATGGGTTACTATGTACCTCCCCTCTTCTCGAATACACAAATGCCAATTGTGGCTGTATCACGTGATCGAATAACTCATTCGTAAGATTGTGGATGGCAAAAGGGATGTAAATGGATATAGGCTATACAAGCGTGCGTCAACTTGGTGCGCAACATTGGCAGCAAGCATTGCATAATGTCCTTTTTATTGTGTAGGGTAGCCACCTTAATGATTTGGGATGTTGTTTTGGGCGGTTGCTATGGGACAATCTATTCAATAAGGTGTGTGACTAATGGATCCGATATTCTTTGCATTATAACAACGCCATCTACTGATGGAATACGAGGTGAGGGAACATAGCTTGCGCTACGATCTCGGAGCTTCCAAAGAGGTCTTGTTGATGGCAAGGTTGTTGAAAAAAGTCCGATAGCACCTTTCTCTTTCTCCACACACACACACACTATGCCCGCCCAAGAAAGCAAACCCCCCACACGACAACAACGCCAGCAATGTTGGAAAGTGCGCGATGAGTATTTTGCATGTCTCGATCGACTGAACATTATCGATCCCACCACCGTCGAGAAGGATCCACAGAAAGCGAAGGAATGTCTCGATTGCAAAAAGAAATACGAGGATACGTGTTTGGCAAGCTGGGTAAGCGTTCTCTTTTCCTTCTCTGCTTGTTATCATCCCATGTTAATATCATTTCCTGCATAGGTGGAGTATTTCAACAAACGACGCGTGTTGGATGAACGACAAAAGCAGTATCTCGAGTTTTCAAAGCAGCAATCACCCAAATAGAATGTCTTATATCATTATTATCCAATATCATCATCATCATCATCACCATTCCATCATCACTTCAATGATATTGTCTATTATCAGCGACATGAACGCAAACCAGTGCAATGGAACGTGGAATATGAATTGATTGATAATGTACATGGTGGCTGGATGGGTTGGGGTGTTTCGGTAGCTCAACTTGGGGTGCCTTTTTTTTCTTTACCGCTCATCTCATCTCGGTGCTCATTCATCCTTTTTCTTGCTTTTTTATTTATACCAAGAGATATACAAATGAGTGACAAGGCTATCTTTGCAGCTGGATGCTTTTGGTAAAGGATATGGAGATCACATGATGGAAATGGGTGGTGGCTAAACAGCAAGGTTCGTTTTCAGGGGAGTTGAGCACATTTACAACAAACACTTTAAGCACCTTGGTATCAAGACTCGAGTTGGTTATACGGGTGGTCAAGTGGAGAACCCTGAATACCAAGAGGTAAAGTTTTTCCACACCGGGGAAGAAGAGGCAATGAGGATCACGATCGCTTAGTCATTCCAATATACAGGTGAAGAAGGGATCGACTCAACATGCTGAAGCCATCGAGATTGTGTTTGACCCCAAGCAAGTGTCTTATGAAACGTTGGTGGAATTCTTTTACAAGATGCATGGTAGGGATGATAGCAACATGTGTTGTGTTACTATGTGCATTTTTTTGACAGATAAGATTCATAGATCCCACCACTCTCAACGCCCAGGGCCCTGAAGATATTGGAACACAATACCGATCTGCCATCTTTTATCTCTCCGAAGAACAAAAACAAATTGCTGAACAAGTGACACAACAAGTACAAGAAGCCCATTACAAGGGTACTCCTATCGTTACTGAAATCACACCTGCAAGCAAGTTTTACGATGCTGAAGAATACCACCAAGTAAGTCGCTATACTGGATCATTATGGTAACAGGCATTGAAACTTACCGATCAATTCTACGTACCCAGTTTTACTTGGAGAAGAATCCAGAAGGTTATGCAGTAAGTACAAGGGAGGAAAACGACATGTTCTTTTAACGAGTTGCTGATACAACCCATGCATCTTTAGTGCCCAACTCATTATCTACGATGGTAATTCAAGCAGCTGGCTCCCTTCATTTTGTCATGGCACACACCTCCTCCATATATAGAGTATATCAAGATTACACAAATTAATACAACACACCTTTAATCCTTCCAATCCATAACATTGATGATCATGTTTCCCATTATGCATGCTGTATCAGAGTTGCAAGGCTGTGTCGTGCCAATTATTTCCCCTCTCGAGTGAAACTTGATCTCGTGACACAGTGCAGTAAGCATGTACTCTATTTAGTCGGGGCACTGTAACCTGATTCCAATTAACATGCAAACTAGTTCCTCCGCCTTTGCAGTATCACTGATCTCCTTTCTTTTATTGACCCCCTTATTTCATGCGATAAACGTATAAATAGGTAGATTGTTCATTCCATTCACACGTCTTCACTACAACACCATAGCAATCATGCACGAGAAGCACCTCACATCATCTATCCTCTTTAGCAAGCACAGCGGCAATTCATTGGACGAGGTGGATATAGTCATTCGACAGTGTCAATCCCCTGAAAATACATATAGCAACAACAGCAACACAAAGCCCATGATGCGTACTAGTGCTACTACTGCCGTTGATTCGCTACGCCGACATTGGTATTCAGACTTTTGTTCTGAATGTGGTGTCGATGTCTTTCGATTTTGTCACGAACATTGGTGTAAAAACTTTCAATGATCATCCATTATTCGCTCCTCGGCACCAATCCAATCAATCCCACGAAAAGCACGTGTTTGCATTTAGACAACCCCTTGGTTCATGGCCATCCCTTATTCCCAATGTATCGTAAAAAGTCCTACTGCTGATTGAAATTTATATATAAAACTAAGTTTATTTCCATTGCTTCTATTATACAAGAACAGCTATGTATGTGACAATAATTTAATACCGCAAGTTGTATGCTTCAGAGATACGGCGAAGAGCTCGTCCATTGCCTGCAGCTCCACCCGAACCTGCTCCTCCTCCTCCTTGACTTGATGCCCGATCCAAGTTTGAGGAGCTACTGGTACGAAGAGCATATACCAATTGTACCAACCTCTCCTCGTTTTCTGGCAATTCGATTTGCCGCTTCTTTGCGAATCCAGTGTTTGCTTGGAGAATACCCTTGATTTGCTTTAGGCATTTTTGGAAAACTTGCTTGTTTTGGAACGTCTCCCTTTGAGACATGGATCCCAATCGGTAAGAGTCGATTTGTTGACATAGATCAGCCATATTGGAATTGGCTCGATTCATCTGGATTTGCGCCATCAACGCTTTCTATAATCAAATTGGTAAGTGTGTGACAAGAAATCCATGGCCATCCATTTTTCCTTACCATCATTGCCTCGCCATCTTCAGGGGAAACAGGCGTTTGTGGAGATGTCTCATTGTTTTGGCCTGAAAGTACAATCAATGCTTCTGATGTGGGAATACCAAGCTCATGTAAAAGGATTTGTGCATCAGGAGATAACTTCTCCTTGGCTTGCATCTCGTTTAAGAATCCAAGCCCCATAAATACATCGGCTGCCATACGACTCGATTCGGTAGAAAGGACTTCTCGGAATATGGTGCGTCGACCCGTGATCAAATGAGTGGCGATCCATTGCGCTAATAATGGGACAATGCTGCGAGGAAGCATGGGGACAGCTTCCAATGCCGAAAGTGAGCATGACGTTATCCAATACGAGTCAATGGTAGGATACAACAACGAAGCAAGGAACATGAGTTGCTCATAGCGCACCGAATTGCTTTCCATGTTGGCAGCAAGATGTAGGCGAGTGACATCGTTTTCATCGGTTGACTTTTTGATCACCTTTCTCCTTTCATAAACCGACAATACTGTATTGAATCGCTACAAAAGAAACATTTAGGATCTCCTTTCATTGCCAAAACGCCTGTTTACCTACCTCATCATAATCCCAAGATAGGACAAATTCACGCTCAAGCATTTGAACAAGGAATCGGAAGCGATCCATAAATTCATCCTCCATCACAACATCCTCGCCAAAGGAAAGATAAACAACCGAAAAGAAGGCATCCAAGAGGAAAACATCCATGATCTACATTTACGTGAGTAAGCGCTCATGTGTAACATAGATGGGTATATAAAAGGCAAGAAACGGTACCTGATTCGCATAGTAAGCAAGAGCCATGACATTGTCAGCATGGTCATTGACGCGGATATTGGTGTCATCGGTAACATGTTTGCCTTCAATAACAATGTTCTTGTTGTCGTCCAACAATCGGAAAGCGTAAAGCACCACCGAATCAACATCTTCACCCTCTTGCCAATCAATTTGGTAGCCTCGAGAAATCACTTCTGCTCGTAGCCATTCAGCCATATCTTTCAGTTTGCCTATAGAGATCATTGTTCGGTTAACATTGACTCAAAATAAAAACATGAAACAACATACCAAATGACACGCCACCTGTGGCTCGACCATAAAGCACAATGGCAGAAACCAATGATACAGGAGATACAATGAGTGCCTTGCGTTGATTCTCTTGGACTTGTTTGATGATCTTTTTCACAATAACCGATTCATCCGATGGATCAATCACCGAACCACTATATGGACAATAGATGAATGAGCTCCCTTTTTTCTCATATAACTTTTGTTTTGCCTTTCATTTACCTGCTTGTTCGTTGTGTATCTTCCACTGCATCTTGAACGCTCACCAATGGACCCACACCAACAAGAGCACGTCCAAATTTGCGTCGACCATGGTTACCATTTTCATGCGACTTGTTTCTCTTATCCATAGCTTCACTTGGTCGAACCACGCCTTGAACTTGAGCACCAGGACTAGCAGGCGATTGTGCAGGATGCTGATCCAAAAGATCGTCAACGAGGTATGCCAACTCGGGTGGGTTTTCATAAGTGATATTGATCGGTATCATAAATACATCGCGATGCACTTTGCGTGGAATGTTGCCATTGGAGCTATCCACGCTCATGGTTGGGCTACCAACCAAAGAACTGGGGGTATCAGGTGATGCAGGTGGGCTGCTGTTTTCAAGGCTTGAGACACGAGAGACTGCTGGTGAACGAGGTTGATTCGATTGTAACGTGGATTCAACAATCATATCAATCAAGCCATCATCATAGGCTTCTTGGTATTTGCCAGATCGACTACGTGCTCGTTCAAGGCACATGGATAGTGCACCATGTTCTCGCAAGAGGACTTGTGTATATGCAGCCATGACAGCCGAGTTGAGTGGAGATCGTTCTTGTCGATCACGCTTGATATAATAGGCACCGGACAATCGATAAATATCGGAAAGAGGGCCAAGCTGTGCAAAAACTAATAGCCAAAGCAAACATCAATATCCAATGATGGATTCGACAAGATGAACAAAAGGTACTTACTTTCATCACAAGCAAATGCAGGAACAGGAAGCTGATATCGAATAGCAATATACCACACCAACAAAGGATCGATTGCGCTCTTCATGACGGGCACAAACACAACGCGCTTGCCAAGAGTTGCAGCTCGAATCTATACCATAACATGAGTACACCATTTTCGAATGATTGAACCCATGAACTTACACGTCTTATGCTATCTTCTTCAATGCGCACATTTTCAAACATGTCATCAAAGAGCGACTTTAGGAAGTAGCCAGCAAACCAAACAAATTGCAATTGCGTTCTTTCGCTCATTCGTACAAGGATCCTCTACAACATTATTATTAGCTCATGCGTATGATAAGATCAATCCTAATGATTCAACTTACGTTGGCTTCGTTCATTGCTGTTTGTTTATGAACACCAGCATTGTGTGTAATCTAATACAATATCCGATAAGTGACCGTCATTCATCAATTGAGGACATCCATCCATACATACCTGAGTGATGGCATTGTTGACACGTTTATCATTGAGAATAACGATCTTGACCTTGTCATCATGGCTGCCGACTTTCTTTTTCCATTTGCCAAGCACCATTCTAGCATCCTTATCCAAACTGAACACGGCTGAATCATGGCTCCAATCATCCAAGCTGTCATCCATATCACCCAACCAGCGTTCATCTTCTTGCAAATCAGGTGTGCTGCTGCTGAGGACATCACGTACTTGAGCCACCATACGTGCAATACGTCGATTGATTTGATCTGGGGAGAACACCACACTTTGAGCGGGACGATCAATCAACCTGTCGGTATCATCGCCATGTACATCCAATGATTCCAAAGCGCAATGCCAACCCGTTAATGGCACTGGCAATCGCAAATCAGGCTCCATACACACATAATAGTGTATACCATAACAAGCATTCAGCAAGTAGTTGCGCCAAAAACCATGATCAGCATCTTCGGGTACAAGGCTGTGAGGATCGAGTTCAGTGGAAATGAGAGCACGTCGTAGCCTGAGAGCATTATTGTCGATAATGGAAGCATCTCTGTACAAGGATCGAATGGTAGGTTGAAGTTTGGTAGCTTTATCCACACAATTGCTGAGTCGATGTGAATTACGCTTTCGAGCACGTGCTTCAGCTGCCGATATGCTGTTGTTGCTGCTATTGTTGTTACTGCTCATGTAGGAAGAGGCAGCGGATCGGATCGAATTCATCACCGTACGTGCACGATTAAGGCCCACTCCTGTTGCGAAATATTGTTGTGCTGGAGGAAGAGATGTCTGAATAGCTTGTGTCCAATACTGTCGGATGGGTTCATAGGCGGCTCGCCATGTCAAACAACGCAAGTTGATCATTGATACGTGATAAATATAAGGGAATACATTGGACTGCTTTGCTGAAGGTTCTTGTCGAGTAAATGATTTGGTGGTGGATGTCGATAGTCGCTTATTGGATACATCTGTGGTTGATCCTGAATCTCGATCAGCTGGTGGTGGTGTCGATCCATTGGGTTGTTGTTGTTGTTGTTCTACTACGACTGGATCGGATGAAGGAAGTCTGTAATCGGATTTGGGCGTGTTGATTGTTGCAGCACATCCAAGTATCATACGCACCACATAATCAACAGGTACCACATCAGCCGCTGAATTGCCACTGCTTGCTTGAATGACACGTGTGCCTCGACCCGTGAGCAAGATAGTGCCATTGACTCCATTCACGCCATCCGCCTAATGATGTCTTTGCTTAATAACCTTTTGTATCCAAACAAGATGAAACACTTACCCAACCAACAAGAGGCTCAGCTACACTAGGGCCAATGGGGCTTGATCGCAAGATAGCAATTGGGAATTGATAGGCACCATTCTCCTTGATCCTTCCCACTTCACGAGTAATCATATGCTCAGCCAATGATTTGGATAAGAGGTAACCATCAGGGTATTTCCCGCTGCAATAATCAAGAATGGATGGCATATCTAAGATGGGATTAGTGGTTAATCGGATTCATGGGCACAATGAAATCCTTGTGTTACCTTCGGGGGTGGAAGCCATGATACGTTGAACAATTGCATCGGCGTCGTCACCAGGCACAGCGAAAAGATGATCTTCAGCAGGATTGGAATGTTGTACTTGCAATGGTGACATGTGAATAAATGCTGAAAGAGTCATACATTCATTGGCAATATCAAGCATATCCATTGTTCCAAGCACATTCACCTATAGAGTCAATGTTTGATGTTGTCAACAATGATCCAATCGTTATCAATATCACAACACTCTCATTCACTCACCCGTATGCTATTGGCCAAATTCTCACTACCATCCACCACAGCAGCACAATGAAGGATAACATTGGTTTCCATGACAATGGATTTGCGATCGTCGTCGTTGAGTCCCAATGCTGGTTTTGCGAGATCACCTCGGATAGCATGGATCTTGTCCTTGATCATCCGATCAAATGAGGTAGGGCCCATGGATCGCCGCAATGAAACAAATGCCTACCATATATATATAAGAATGTGAGACATTGTGTGTGCGCGTTTTCCATGATCATACATACATACCTTATCACTCAACACATCATCCTCTAAGCGATTGCCTGTTGACCCATATAATCTTTGGCCTGGTCTCAATAGCAAAAAGACCTTTTTGACGTCGAGATTCAATAGCTTCCAGAGAACGGCTTTGCCAACGAAACCAGTGGCACCAGTAAGGAACACGGTCTTTTGTTGATAAAACTCGCGTATGTCATGGGGTGGTTGTTCAATAGCCAGCTGCTCTACTACTTGTTCTTCTTGGGTCGGCGCTGCACCACCGGAAGTCGATCGCCGTTCCGGTTGATCAGTTGTTGCTTGTTGTTCATGGCTCACTGGTTGTTGCGGATTTTCAGGTGAATGCGAGTCGTGTTGAGCTGCTGGTTCTTGTGTGTCGTTAGGAGTGGCTTCTTGGACATCTGGCTCAGGTTCATTCTCGCACAACTCATCCCGATCGAGAGCCTCCATGTTTTTCACGACATCGAAGACGGTGGGCGATTCAGGAGGTGAAGGAGCCAAGGGGCTATTCAGGGCGAGATCTTGACTTTCCGAGTCTGGATTTGTTATCGAGATGGTGGGAACTTCGGAAGACATGCAAAGCCGAAAAGGGAGAGCAAGAGAAAGAGAGGGGGGACAAGGTAAGTCTTAGATAGTCTCGTGGATTGAAATGGTGGACATTCACCCACACCCACACAAAAGGTTGGTGGTGGTGGTACAAGGCACAGTGATTACCGATTGCCGATTTTCATCAAACGAGCCGCATACATACAGCAGCAGCATACTTGTACATATCCCGAGATTAGCTGATACCCTATTTGTTCATCATCATGCAGGAGGAATAGCTTTATTTTGTACTTTCATTGTACCCTTGATCCATGTTGGCATTATTATATATAAACAACAATGAATATTATGTTGATCTTGATACCCCTACTTGCTCTTGTCGCGACTGTAGTTGCCAACCCACCATCGCTCATTTTGTTCTTCAAATACGGCAGCACATCCTGAATAGTATGCCCCAATGGCTGCCATATAAGCACAGATCCCTAATCATATTACCACATAAGTACAGTTCCGTGATCCATTACTACTACTGCTATTGTGACACTGACCACTTGTACGCAAGATGGCTTGGGATCCAATAGCATAATACATGCCGGTGAGGAAAAGAGTACAAAAGACCCATGCCAAGCACCATGTAAGAATGAATGTACCATGCTTGAACCGTAAAGAGACCGCAGTGACCATCAACGTGTAGATGGCCCAAATAAAGTGAAAGATAGCATTGGCTTGAGCGATATCATCTTCGGATGCATAGGTAGCCGTTAAGGGTGCTTGAATACTTGGTAACATCATCAGCCCATTCCCGATCCAGAAGCATCCATAAGAGATGAGAATAGTACTTGAAAATGTACCACCATAGAACAAATCGAAAAACCTGTGTAGAAGGTTCAATGGATATAGAAAGATAATTTTTTATCCTTCCCACCCAATGATGATGCTTTACATACCCAGCAATGGTCTGTGCAATGCCACCAAAAAGGAGAGCCGTAGGGAAGATGATGGAATTGGATTTGTGTGGCAAGAAAAGAGAAAAAGTACCCAACAATAGAGTCACCGTGGCAAATGACCAGAGACCTACATACACATTGTTGTTGGCTTGTTGATCAATACAACGTTACTGCTAATAAGATTACCGAGAACAGCTGGATTGCCCATGGATAAAGGACGTCTTTGGCCTTGACCAAATACCACAGGCGAAGCAGCACGCGTCATGATCATGTAAGGATGCTGTGGGTGTTCATGCGTGAATTCGATAGCATCATTGTGATTGGATGATGGTTCCTGATGATGATTCAAGGATATTGGATCGGTTGGTGATTGAAAAGGTTGCTGAATACATGTATTATGCGTCCAATGATAATGATTGTCCATAATGTGTTATATGGGGTGGATAGGTGTGTGAACGAGAAAGAGGAATGGGGAAGAATAAAAAGATAAAAAAAAAGAGCGCCTGATGTCGTTGCCGGGAAGAGGAGATTTTCTTGTGACATTTCCCGACTGGGTTATTCCAAGAGGAAAACTTCTTTTTGCATAACACTGATCGATGCCAGCCAAGAAAAAGTCTGCGATCCCTGCGGTGGAGCCCATGCCTGAGGGCACCATGATTGTCGCCCAATTCAAGTCGGCCGATGGTGAATCAACAGGTCCTCCTCTTAACTTGCCAGGCGATGCCACTCCAGAGCAACTCGAATTGCTGTTGAATCAGCTATTGAACCAGGTTCGTTGTTCTTGATCGCCTACTCAAAGTCCTTGTTGCTTATTGATTCGACCAATGATGCTCTCTTAGTCCGAGGATCCCTTGCCATATTCTTTTCATGTGGGCGAAGACGAGATTGTAAAGTCCTTGTGGGTCGATCGTAAAGACAAGTCAACCGAAGACGCTATCACCATTGTGTATCAACCACAAGCTGTTTTCCGCGTGCGTGCTGTCACACGTTGTACCTCCACCTTGTCAGGTAAATGCGCGTTTTGGTTGTGATGATAACAAGGGACAATCACTGATGACATAGTTCTTCTTAGGTCATACTGAGGCCGTCCTTTCTTGTTCATTTAGCCCCGATGGATCCAAGCTTGCAACTGGATCGGGTAAGCTCCCTTATTCTTGCCACGATACCTGTTTCTTACTTGTATTTATAGGAGATACTACTGTGCGGATATGGGATCTCAATACCGAAACGCCACAATTCACCCTCAAAGGTAGGTAACCATGATGATGGTGATAATGGATCAATGGGATAGCAAAATTTGACATGTGTCGAATAGGCCACAAGAGCTGGGTATTATCGATTGCATGGTCTCCTGATGGCAAGACGCTTGCTTCGGGCAGTATGGATAACACGGTATGTGGTTGTTTGTAGTAAGAAGGGATCGACATTCTTTGTTAATATACCATATAGGTTCGGTTATGGGACCCGAAAACCGGAAAATCCCTTGGTGACGGTCTTCGAGGACACACAAAGTGGATCACCAGCTTAGCATGGGAACCTTATCATTTGTAAGTATAATGAGACGCATTCATATATATATATGCTAATTTATTTTCAACTTTGTTAGAAACTCAAAAGCAAACCGACTGGCTAGCTCCTCCAAAGATCATACTGTACGTGTATGGGACACGGTGTTACGAAGAATGGTAATGTCCATTTCCGGTCACACCGCTGCTGTCACTTGCGTCAAATGGGGTGGTGAAGGTTTGATTTACACGGCGTCACAAGATAAGACGATCAAGGTCTGGAACTCAAGCGTAAGTAGTAGGCTGATTAATGAAAAATTGAAACATGAGGAAATTAATTCGTAACCACTATTACTAGGGCATGCTTGTCAAGACACTTCAGGGACACGGCCACTGGGTCAATACATTGGCATTGAATACAGACTTTGTTTTGAGAACGGGTCCTTTTGATCATACTTGCAAACGACATGCCACTGAGGAAGAAGGTACAAATTGATCAAGGAGGCAATTATATGCTGAAAATTAACCTGTGTGTGAATTTTACAGCCAAGGCAGCAGCACTAAAGCGGTACAAGGAGTTTAAGGGGAATCGGCCCGAACGTCTTGTCTCTGGATCAGATGATTTTACCATGTTCTTTTGGGAGCCTGAAACAAGCAAAAAGCCAATTACACGAATGACAGGTTTGTGGACTGAGCGCATTACACAACCAAAGTCATCAGCTGATTTTATCTCTTTGTCAAAAAATAGGTCATCAAAAGCTTGTAAACCACGTCAGCTTCTCTCCCGATGGTCGGTACATTGCTAGTGGCTCTTTTGATACATCTGTCAAGCTTTGGGACGGAGCTACAGGCAAATTTATTGGCAATCTCCGTGGCCATGTCGGCTCTGTATACCAAGTTTGCTGGTCAAGTGACTCTCGCATGTTACTCAGTGGAAGCAAAGACAGCACGCTTAAGGTGTGGGACATTAAGAAACTCAAAATCAAATTGGATCTTCCAGGACATTTGGATGAGGTACGTGATCGAGGTCTTTGACGTTTGTAAAAGATCCTAATGTATCATTTGGATTTAGGTTTTTGCTGTGGATTGGAGTCCTGGTGGTGATAAGGTCGCTAGTGGTGGCAAGGACAAGCAACTCAAGATCTGGAGACATTAGTAGACATCATTATTTCATAATATCATTGTATCATTCGTATTACTATTGCATTCTCACATACAGATAAAAATGGATTGAGCCATGCTGGACGATGGTTACCCAGAGATTGCAGATCACCATGCTTTGCTTTGCTAGTAGGTTGGGGTGGGTTGATGATCGGCAGTGATTTGTGATACCATCTGCACTCAAGAGGCAATCAACACCACTATAAAAATGCAAAAAGTAGGGCAGCACGGTCGTTTTGTGTTACGGTCGTACAATCCAACAGCCTCGTCGTTGTGCATAGCAGACTTGGCACCGGAGTTGGGACACACACAATAGATGAAAGGTATAAAAGGTCATCTCACAATTGATACATGATTCCTATTGTCTCCTTTTCTCCATTACCATGCCCATGTATTCTGATCAGCCGGTTGTGAGCCTTCCATATTGCGGCTATTCTGAGCGCTTCTTGAAGAGCCTTATCAAAAAGAAACCAATCGATGACATGCTCCCTATGGATATACCTGATCCTTGGTATAATTCCCACATGGTCATCTCAGCTGAACAAACCCCATCTTGGCTCTTGAAATCATTACCTACATCATCACCAATGTACTGCAACAACAAACGCAATACCCAATCCCGTCATCAAAAATCATCACTCAACCGCAACGCTAGCACTCGCACAACCAATACAACTTGCAGCACTCGTAGTAGCAGCAATAACAGAGCCCGCAATCTTCCTGCTTTACCTTCACCATCATCATCTCCTGAATCATCATGCCGTTCACCAGCAGCATTACCAAGCACCAACAATTACCCCACCATCTCAAGTGCGAAAACCATGCGACGACCTGATACAGAATCAATCATTCGATGGATCGATCAACGTCTCTCTTTGCAAGGCCCTGCTGGTAAAAAAACCCGTATACCTATTCGAAGATCATCACTTTTCCAGCAACCCAATCTACAACCTCCAACACAGCGACAACAACAACAACCCACGATTCAATCTAAACCAGCCACTGCACCACCATTACTTGTACGTCGACGATCAAGTTCAACGTCTTCGGATGTAAATCGGATATTGAGTTCGCTTGCATCCTCCAAAGGACCTGACATGCGACTTCACCAACTTACAGGACCTGACAAGTACGACATGTCAGAATGGCCTCATGTGCTTTCACAAAACATCCTTGAACAAGATCGTATGGTGGCACAGCATTACATTTGGCGCACAGCTTTCGATGGCGATTTTTCGGCACCCATTCGACAATACCTTGAGACTAAGAGTGCCATCGTACTTGATATGGGATGTGGTCCTGGCACTTGGACCATGGAGATGGCTACTGAATTTCCTCGATCCACTTTTATTGGTATCGATTTGGCCAAGCATTATCCTCGTGACATCAAGCCTAGGAACTGCCATTTTCATGCCATCGATTTCATGCCTGGTTTTCAGCCCAAGCTTCCTCTTCCAGACAATAGCGTCGACTATATTTTTCAACGTGATCTCAATTGGGATATGGCGGCTCACATGTGGAAGCCCCTTGTAAAGGAATACTTGCGTGTGCTCAAACCTGGTGGTTGGATCGAGTTGCGTGAACCTGTAAGTGTACTATTATTATTATGCTGATTGCCATCCCATCACCATTGCTCACCATCAAAATGTCTTTTAGGATATGGAAACACAAAGCAGTCGCCAACTTGAGAATGACATGAACAACAAACGTAAGCAATCCACCACTTAAGATGATGATGGTACTAACCATGAATCCACCCTACTATGTAGTGATTTATGGAATATCCCTAAGGCATCAGGATCCATTTGTTGCCCGACGACTACCTACCATCTTGGCTGCTAATGGATTTCGACGGGTCGAAAGCCATTTCCAGTCACTGCCACTTGGATGGGATGATTCGCCTTTTGAAAAGGCTGTTTCAAGCCATTACATGTTTACGCTCAAATCATTAGCACCCTGGCTGGCCCCAGTGATGAATACCACCCATGAACGATACAACAGCTACATTGCAGACTTGCCTGCAGAATGGCGAAAAGCAAGAACGTACTTGAATTGGCATTGCATTGTCGCTCAAAAACCACCACGTCCTCATGCTTCTTCTTCCACACCCACTCTTTCCTAACCACCGCTTTTTTTTGTAACGACATCCCATCACCCTCCTTCATCATCATTTCATTTCTTCGCTCATTGTCCTTTTCTTGTAATCTCACCACATGTACACCATTTATTGCAACGTTCCTTGTATTTGCTTGTATAATATATATGTACGCTCTCGCTTGTATCTAAGGCAAACTTGAGCTTTCGCTATTTGCAAAAGCAAATTCAACTCGGGTCGTAGTGGAATCAGCCCACGTTTACTAGCATCACAAAAGTTGACATATACGGTCGCGTGCGTCGCACAAAAACATGTGCTACTGAACACAATTGACAGTGCCGACAATGTGCAACGTACATACCGTGCATCTAGATTTAACACGACTCCATCCATCCATCCATGTGTTTCCAAAAACAGGAGCAAAAAACCGTTTATGAGAACAGGGGATAGCATCCAACAATGGCAAGCATACCAAAAAGAGCTCTGGATAATGTACAAAGTGCATACGCGGATGCTTTAGGGTGTGAAGATTCCTCATTGTTTTATTACTGCATTATTATGCTACTATGAATGATTCCATTGGATGTATCCATGAACCTTGATTGCTATCCAAGAGCAATTATAGGTGGGTATTTCTACGGCTTAGGATCATAGCCGTCTCAAGGGTGGATACACTTGGAGATGCCATTGCATACATGGGTATCTCGCATTCATGCTTATGTATCGGGTATGTATCTTTAATTTCTGCTTACTTTGGACGGCGAGTGCAATGATGTCACTCTATAGGCGATCATGGCTTTATGGCTATAATAGATATGTCATGTGATGATGATAATGATGGTAACCTTAACATTGAGTTACAGAAGCTACATGTCGATCAAAAGCCCAAAAACGACTCTTGACGATCCGAGCTTTTACCATTGCTTGAATAATATGCCCATAATGGGAAGCATTGTTACGTAACAGCAAAATTTCGAGCTTGAGATGATCATCATAGTGTTGTTATAGTTGACCCATTCTTGTTTGGCTCATCAATCCTATAATACATAAGCTTCTAGGGCGTATCATTGATTGATGGGAATAAGGATCCTCGTCATGGGAAGTAATACGTAACCAAAAGTTTATTTATACAATGACGTCTTTAGATATAGGCAGTAGAGAATAATGGTTACGATCAACGTAGGCTTCTACCACAGGCCAAAATCTAAAAGCACGTGCGTTGCGGCATTGACGTTCGGTCTCGAGGCAAGGTAGAAAAAAGATCCGCTTGGGCTGTCTTCCTTTTTTTCAAAGTGCTCTTTCTTGTTCCGCGACTATGCGCTCGATCGACGACCTCCCCAAAGGTATGTCTCGTACTCTTCAATCAGTCCATGCCATACACCCTTTATTCATACACGCAATGCTCTTGGAGTAGACGATGCGACAAGGAAAAAGATCACTGATATTATCGATCGGCAGTTCAACTTGGAGATCTACCTGAAGCATCGCGAGACAGCAGCTATCCGCCGTGAAATTGAAAAAGCCGAAGACACATTACGCGATCTTGAGCAGGCGATCAACAATGGTACAAGGGTCAATGTGGGGTTGGAAAAGAGTGCATGAATATTCATATCCAAAACAGAGAATGCTGCAGGTTCAACTATGGATACATCATCTCCCTATACCCGACGATCAGCTGCCATGGTTGCCAATGCTATGTTTCAAGCGTATCTACCCACACCGGCAGAAAGGAAAGCAGAGCGACAACGTCATCAAGGTGCATTATTTGGTCGACGTAGTGATGGTGTCTTTGTTAGGTATGTCAACAATGAAATCAAATGTATCATACACACACAATTAACCCATTATCCTTCGATAGGCTTTCATGTCCTGAATGCAAACGAGACGACTTTGGAAACCAAATTGGATTCTTGAATCATTGTCGACTCGCTCATGGTCTTGAATTTGGTCCTTATGAACAAATCATGCAACGTTGTGGTACCCCTGTGGATGAATCTGAAGTACCGCCCGATCACCCAGTACGCTTAAGGCCATTCACTCGACCCGTACCTGCAGTGCCGTAAGTGATTATTGACAATGAGGGAATTTCATTATACTAATAACAACACCTCCATTTATAGAATGAAACGTAAAGAGAGGGTAAAATAGCTTATATGGATGATCGTTTAGTGGATTACTAAACTCTTTTCTTATAGCCGACCATCAAAGTATTCGAAGAGGATGTGGATTTGGAATCAGAACGAGTAGCACAGGAACAACAACAACACATTGAACGAGAGGGAAAGCGACCAATGCAATCATCCAAATCAATACCTGAGACTGCAGAATCTACACCTCCACCACAACAACCACAACAACCGCTAGAAACAACAGCTACCACAACCACAACAACCACTACATCTTCATCAGAGAACGAGCAGCCATCTGAACAAGATCAAAAGCCACCTGAGCAGCCTATGGAATCATTTGCAGCAGCAGTCGTACCTACTACAGCGATCGATGACATAGGATCACGCTTTTATATCAAACGCCAAATTATCGTCGGCAACGTGAGCAAATTTATCCCTCCAGGTAAGGATGATCAAGTGGATGCTAATGAATGTAGTCTAACGATCTGCTATCAATAGAAAAACGGGATCCTACATTGAAAAATTACACCCACAAATGGATGGTCTATGTGGTGGAACCTCCGCAGGTAATAAAAGAATACAATGACATGATCATGTGACGGTCAACACCTTATTTATTATTTATAGATGCAAGAAGTGTCAAAGTTCGTCACTGGTGTCCGGTTTTTCCTTCATCCAAGCTACAAACCTCTTGACGTTGTCGATGTCACTGAACCACCGTTTCGTCTTACACGTTTGGGTTGGGGAGAATTTCCAATTCGAGTACAGCTTTTCTTTGTGGATAAACGAAGGAACAAGAGCGTGGATATCATTCATCATGTTAAGGTTTGTTGATTTGGGGTTCGTATACGGTTCATGATGACTAAAGGAAAGGGTTTTTTTTTGCTAGTTGGATCATTCACATTCGGGAAAGCAAATGCTTGGAGGTGAACGTGTCGTCGAGATTGAGCTGGATCGTAACACGGATTTTGAGGATAAATCCAATGTACCACGAAATCAACCCACGCCCACCCATACGCCTTCATCAGAAACAAGCATGACTCCTGCACCGATAGTGAATGGTGAGAGAGCAAAAGGAATTCTCAAGTGATCCCAAAGCTAACCACACGCTTTATTTAGTACACAAGCAAAAGATGACGCTCTTACATGGATTGCTCAAAGATACTGTACGGCGATTGCCCATCATTCGACCTGGTAAGATACCTAGCCTATCTTCTTTTACTATTCATGACATTGACTTTGGTATTATAGCATCACAAACGACCACAGCACCTTTGCCATATACTTGTGCTACAAGCACCCATGCATACTTCTCTTGGAGTGTGGGTCGAAGGAAAGCATTGGAAGTAAGTAGCCCAAAAGAGGAGATGGGGTATAACATTGACACTCACGGGTATTGTTTTTCAGTGGCATCGAGCCCATTTGATGCGGATACAAGTACAGCAACAAGCATTTGATACTATGGATGACATCTTACGATCCGCAGCATCATCGTTAACGACCAAACAAGTGGTACTATGGTGTCGTGAACATCGATACACACCTCAGCGATCCGATATCGATGCAAAGGAAGAAGAAAGAGCAGCAACAACACAGACTGAAACAGGCTTTGGCTATTGTAAATTTTGTGGATGTTTACGTGATCGACATGGTACCGATGACAGCAATTGTCGATGGCGTCCCAAGGGGTGGGCAACTGTTAAGAAACGTGGATTGAGCACGCTTTCAAGTGTCGATACGCTAATGGATCAACTTCCTCAAGGCTGGGATCGTGTGTCGGAAGCTGGTAAATCTTTAAAGTGATGCATACAACGTTGACATGTTGCTAATCCAATTACTTTTAGATGAAGATATGGATGTGGATATTGATGTTACACCCTCTACAACGACTGCAAACACAGCTGGAGCTTCTATCATCAAAACGATAAGCGACATGGTTGCTGACGAGGCTACGGATGAACAACAACTCGATTGGGTGTGGTCTGTCATTGGCCAACTAAGGCTTAGAGGTGTCATAGCGAATGATATGGTGACCGATCGTGAAGGGAATTTGCGAGGACCCCATAGAGATTTTGATCTTGCTACTGCCATGGAACAGCGTGTGTATACGGGCAATTTGATCTCACAGCTGGTGCGTGTATTCCTGAAACGAATGCTCGATGCTGGTATCGACATTTACAATCGACAACAACAGCAAGAGAATCAATCCAAGGATAAGCTTTTGGTTCCATTGCATATTTACGAAGGGCTACGATCGGTTCCGCAATTCGATTTTCTAACGAATCAGTATATGGGTCCATCATCATCATCAACATCATCACCCGATAATCAAGAACACAATTAAACTCAAAATCAATATACCATTGTACTCTTTTTACATAATGCATGCATGGACACAGTAATGGATTATTGGATCGATTATTTATGAAGGGGTTAGATATCTAAGAAATACTACATGAGGGTGGGGTGTTTGGTACTAGTAGTTGTAAGATGCTTTTTTAGTGGGTTGCAGTTGTTGATTCAGAGTCAAGGCCAGCCTTGTTCGTGTCTTTTGGTTTTTGTTGTTCTATATCTCTTTCACCTGTTAAGTCGCGGTTGTCGAGCACATTTTGCTTGTCGCCGACAGTGATATCGTCAATGAAAAAGATAGCTGCCAAAATAGGTGGAACAGCAGTAACAGTGGCACCAATACAAAGGTTACGCATCACGTGAGAGTAAGCAGTAATGACACCTTGGCGAATAGGATCATCGCTTGGGTATTCGGCAATCACAAGAATAGAGCTGTACAATTCGTTGAGAAGTGTTTGGTTGGTGGTGGGGACATTGGCAGCTAATTGAGCAGGCATTTGACTCGTCCAAACAGCAGTAGCAATAGCAGATCCAATGGAATTACCAAGCTCTGTAATAAGACTAACAAGAGCAGTGACAATGGCAACATCAGTGTGTGGCACCAATGCTTGTGCTACCAACACAATCAATACGGCGGCAAAACCACCACCAATGCCTTGTAAAAGTTGACACCAAACGAGTTCCACATCAGAGCCAAGGGCACCACGAGAATGAATCATCAACCCAACACCAAGCAAGCGTAGGCAAAGACCACCAACAAGAAGCCACTTGGGACGACGATAGTATACCAAAATGACGCCACATACGGTACCAAAGATACAAAGACCGAAGGTTTGGGTATTTGTGAAATAGGTCATATCACGCTCGGACCATTCGGTTTTGACGACATAAACAAACGAATACTGGTACGTATACTGAAGGTAAAAAGAGACGAAATCGGCAATACCAATAAAGCATGCGGCGGAAATGTTGTAGTTTTTAAAGAAACGCCATGGCGCAATGGGCTGATAACCAAATTTCTCAGCATAGACAAGCTCCCAAGCGACGAATACCGGTAAAAGCACACAGCCGAGTACGAGCATGACGATCATGGAAGGTGTATTCCATCCATTGCTAGAAGTAGGTGCGAGACCAAGGGGTAGCAACAAGAGAGCAAGAGAAGCACCAATGAGAATAAGACCTGGCAACTAATAAAGGTGTTAAAATCGATCGCTTCAGACGGGCTTTTGGTATATACAACTCACGTCAACTTCATAGTGGCAAAGGATGAGTGCCTTAATAGGATGCTTGAAGAAGCTCTTTTCTGGGTTATAATCTTCTTGCAGCACGTTCAATTTTCTCGCTCGCCATTGTCCCCAAAGCACGGTAAGAACAACAGGAAGCAAGCAAGCCGGCATCAAGATGGCAAACATACCATAGCCCCAACGCCATCCAGGACCATTGATAATGTAGTTGTACACTTCAGCGGCCACAAAGACATTAATGACATAGGGCAAAGAGTAGATGCCTTTTAACAAGGTACGAAATCGTAGCGAAACAACGTCGGCCAAGATAATACTTGTCATCATCTACATATTGTTGATAAAGCAATCAGTACATAGCAACGGCAAAATGGATGCATTTATATAATACATACCGAAAGACCGGTAGCTCCCACGCTATAAAGAATCTGTGCACCGGCAATTTGTCCAATGTCGTTGGCTGAAGCGTATAAGATGTATGAGATTGTAAAGAGAATAGTGGAAAAAGCACTGTAGTATAGTATGATGAGCTTGCTGATCAATCGTATTCAACATGTAACCATGCTTACAGAGCTTCACCACGACCAAAGTAATCAGCAATTTTTGCAATAAAAGGCAATCCAACGGCAAGAATGATACCACCGGCTGTAGAAACAGTGCCAAGCAAAGAATGTTCACCAACGCCTGATGTTGCCTGGGCCAAGTACATATAAGTGGTGGTGCCGTCCAAGGAATAGATGTATTGCGAAATACCAAGACTGGCAAGCAAAATGATATAGCCCCATTTGCCCCAGACTTTTTGCATTGCTTCAATACGAGCAACACCTGCCGAAAGCTCTTTATCATGAATATCAGCTGTAGACGTTGACGCAGAATCACCGGTTGTTCCTTGTTGCCCATAAGCTGAGGATGATGAATGGTTTGTTACCACTGCTGCAGCTGTATGCTCCCCATATTCAAAGGTATCCTTGCTTTCGGTGTTCACGCTAACAGCCGTTGTTTCGTGGTCCTTAGCCATGGTACTACAAGATCGTGATTTTTGTTTTTATTATGGTAAGCAAAAGGAAAAGCAATGCAAATGGCTTGTAGAGCATACCCAAGTTTTTTTGTAAACGTATCAAGGACAGCAATCAAAAAATACAATAACAAAAGAAGCCACACATTATATACATAAACGAGGAAACTCTGAATGCGTCGTGATACAAGAGTCGTTTCTTGATGCTCTGTGCAAGGTGTGCTTATCAGATGATGGAATTACCGATCAAAGCTGGTGCTACTTGAGATCGTATACTCGTTGGCTGATGTCTTCTAGGTAAGTCATTGAAGGATCTCTTGTTGATAATGGTATGGGATGATAAAGGACATGGATTGAAATGTAACAATGATGCCGAAGGAACATTGTTTTGCAAGTTAAGGTCATTGTCTGGATCTACCATGCCAATTTAGGACAACCGATTCTCCCGATGGCCGAAAGTGTGGTTCATCATTGGTATGTTAAGAGGATCAACTTAGACACGCTCGCGCGCACGCACAACAAAGTCACTCCTTTGCAGCCGATCTTTGTGTAATCCATCCATCCGAATCATGGGAAGCTGACAATGTATAAATATTGAGATTTGAGCAACATTTTTATAATGATCATATCCCCGAGTTCTCCGCGCTGTCATATTAGGTCGATGGATAAGCTATAGCAAAGCCTTCCGAGGCTACAATGGAATATGCGATCCATCTCGATCTGCATGTGCTGGCATGGTACAAAACACCGACACCATCCCAGCTGATAACTCCAATACCTGGTAACTGAAAAGATAAAAGTCACGATCTGATAAATCTTCTTAATGCGCGCACATAGGCTTAGGTTACACCAACACGGATAAAACGCATGATCCAGAAAACAAAACAGTGCGTTGGTAACAAGATGCCTGTGATCCTGGATATCTTTCAATCATGCAATCCATGTGTTACGTTTGTGATTACCTTTGCATATTGTATGTATCCCTGGTCAAATACAAGATCCACTTTTTTTTTGGTTTCCAACATCTTCGAAAGCGATGTAGTAGCTGGAGCACATGCTATTATTAATACCTCCATTTGAATTCTAGCTCCTTCTTTACTTGCCAGCTAGTACATAGCCTTTTCATCTCATTTGCAATTGTTCCCCAACCACCACATGTGACAATTCTCCTGCTTCAGCCCGTTGTCCCCATTCTTCAATTATCTTCATCCGAGACGATTTGACCGATTAATGCCGTAACAGCAAATGTATCATTTCATGACACATATAGCCTAAATCCGATCATAATCTCTCTCACCCTTACATCCTCCCATTCAATTTTTCCAATGAAGTGTTGGTTCTTTATTAATACAAAGTTGATCAGCGTGTCCAAGAGCATCTTATGTGAAAGTTTCAGGTTCCAGAGGGGCAATCTCACTATCAAGGTGTGATGTACAGTGTTCATGCATTTATACAAGAGGTGCCCGACCTATTTAATTTCCTAACTCTTCCTCTCCCGCAACTTCTTGTCTCCTCACCATTCTCAACCATTGGCCCATTCAAGTATACAACTACGACCTGCGAACCATTGCCCTGCTTCAACTCATCATGTCAATCCCACAATTGCCTTGATCCGATTGTCGTTGACTGAATGGCAAGTGCATGGCGTGTACACAGCACTACAACACCTGCGTTTCTTGACACTTCACGTTCTCTTGTACAATCGTCGACGACGGTCAAACGTAACAGCGTTCATTCCAGCAGTTGCATTAGCAGGCTCTTTACTCCATCGTTTCCAACAACGTTCACAACCTTGTCACTCTACTACAACACACGCTCTTGCACACTTCCCTGCCGCGACCAAACGTAGCAGCGTTGCTATTAGCAAGGTCTTTACTCCATTGTCTCATGCTACTTGCAGCAACTTGTTTTCATGCATACGGATTCCAATGGATGGGATACCATATCAGCTATTCCACTCACCGCAATACAAGCAATCTTCAGCTGGTTGACCTTCCATGGAAAAGGACCAAGCAATTGATTGACCACAATCGAATGGGAACAACAGTGATCACGTGGCGCTTTTCAACCAACATGTTGGATTTGAAACGCATGGATGGATGGATGCAATGAAGGACGGTGATGAAAACCCCTGGACTGTTGCTTTGGCTACTTGGCGCGTCGTCCGCAAGAATGATCACGTGGATATGGTTGGAGATGATGATGGATGGATGGAATTGTCATAATGGCTTTGACTTGGCGAAGGGCGTTTTACAGCCATGGACGACATTGGATACTCAAGTCAATGCATGCAGCAGCTGTTTTACTGTCATGGATGGAGGATGATCATAACGGCACCAACCAAGAATACAATGACACAATTATCCCTGTAGTCTCTATGTGATCACCCCCCTATCTTATTTACTTGATAGACATCCACACTACTATCTGCTATTCTTCGAGTTTTTCATTGAATGAAGATTGGATTCAACATGTTATTTAGGAGGGTATCGTGCTATCAGCTCATACGTAAGGGATGTGGATCATTTGGTTGGTTTTCTGGATTGAATGGAGGAATGGATTTGTGAAGGTGGGAAAGCGAGACTGGATCATTTGCATCATAAAAATCGTGATGCTTTGGTTCTTTTGTGACATAACACATTCGTTTAAGGCTCCTAATTCACATGATGATAGATGTAAGGCAGTGACAATTCTAAACCGCTTATATTGCAAAGACAGTAGATTAAGAGTGAGGGTGTCCATCATATGTAGTGCTTGTTATATAAGCTTGATTCATTGTTGTAAGCTTATTTCATTATGTCCAGGAAAGAGTGAGCTATGATAGAATGTGGCACGAGTACATGGACATACCATGCTTACTTATGACAAGTTTCAGCTAACGCTAGCTTATGCAGCCTTATCCAAGAACGAACCATCCCATCGGGCTATCATAGGTGGACGTTTTACTATAGTGGATGGAGTTGCTTCATGCATCTCTCCACCAATAGGATCGAGGATCGACCCTTCAACTCCTGCCCCTTGACTTTGTGACACAATCAAGCCCTTCTGCATCTTTTGCTGTGTCAGGGTCAACCTACTTCACAATGAACAAAGACCACTTTACATATAGCATCATGCATGCAGAATAGTGAAAACCCAAAGATAGTCATAACTCAAAAAGTTTACAATGAAGTGTGGGGTCTTTATAGAACCATGTTGCTCGGCGGGGTGAAAGCGATCTTGTGTCAAACTATGAAGTCCATCGTGGCCAATCCCAGATTTCGCAATGTCGCCACCAGCCAAACTGGATCCAGGGGTCAACCTCTTCGACGACGACCACCAAAAAATATTTTTTGGGCTGTTTGCGACATTGAACGCGAAACTTTCACACAAGGTGCTGTTGGCCAAGCCGAGCCCATTGCTCTATTAAAAACCCCACATTTCATTGTAAGATTCTGAGTTATGAGAGTCTTTATATTTTGCATATGCTGTATGTATGATGCTATATGAAGAGTGGTCTTTGTTCATTGTCAAGTAGGTGGACCCTGGCAGAGCAAAAGATGCAGAGGAACCTCTTTGTGTAACTCAGCTACTTTGCATGACTGGAAGGATGGAAGGATGATATTGCATACTATTGACAATAGCCCATACATTGAAAGCTAATAGCCACTTTTGTGCATTCCGAACTTTTGTGCATTCCATCATAATGGAACGATGCTCCTCCTCCAGACATTCATTTCCTTGATTCAATTATCTTGATCCGAGCTGATTTGGCTGAGCTACGGTCAAAGAGAGATACATCGATCCATACATCAGCATACATTCGAATGTCTCAGCTGGTTAATCCTTGTTCGACCGTAACTCAACCAAATCAGCTCGGATCAAGCTACTTGAATCATGGAAATGAATGTCTGGAGCAGGAGCATCATTCCCATCATGTGGATTACGCAACAATGCTGATTGGATAAAAGTGGCTATTAGCTGCCAATGTATGGCATAAAAGTGAGGGTTGCGTACCTGTCATGCATTGTCTCTGAAGTCCTGACTTTTTAGCTGAGTTACACAAAGAGGTCCTTCTGCATCTTTGGCTCTCCAGCGTCTAGCTCCTTTACGTTAAACAAAGACCACTCTTCATATAGCATCACGCTTACAAACATAAAGGTACCTGTATCTCCAAACTTTACAATGAAACGTGGGGTTTTGAATAGAACAATGTGTTCGGCTTGGCCAACTGCACCTTGTGTGAAAGTTTCACGATCAAGCTTGCCAATCCCAGATTTCGCAATGTCGCCGCCAGCCAAACTGGATCTGGGGGTCGACCTCTTCGACGACAACGACCAAAAAAATATTTTTGGGCTAGTTGCGACATTGAACGTGAAACTTTCACACAAGGTGCTGTTGGCCAAGCCGAGCACATTGCTGTAATAAAAACCCCACATTTCATTGTAAAGTTTGGAGATACAGGCACCTTTATGTTTGTAAGTGTGATGCTATAAGAAGAGTGGTCTTTGTTCATTGTCAAGTAGCTGGACCCTGGCAGAGCAAAAGATGCAGAGGGTCGTGTTGTGTAACACAGCTACGTTTGCATGAATGGAAGGGTCAATGTATAATTACTTTATGGATCATCTAGGAACAGGCATGTATTGCCAGCTAACGGCCACTTTTATCCATCCATCATTGTTGCGAGATCCACTGCATGGGAACGATGCCCCTGCTCTAGACATTCATTTCCATGATTAAAGTAGGTTGATCCGAGCTGATTTGACTGAGCTGCGGTCAAAGAGAGATTACATCACTCTGGACATAGAGCACGCTCGATGTAGCTCAACCGATGTAATCTTGTGTGAGCGTAACTCAACCAAATCAGCTCGGATCAACCTACTTTAATCATGGAAATGAATGTCTAGAGCAGGAGCATCGTCCACCTACAATAGAATGCACAAAAGTTGGGAATGCACAAAAGTGGCTATTGGCTGCCAATGTATGACATAAAAGTGAGGGTCGCGTACCTGTCATGCATTGTCCCTGAAGTCCTGACTTTTTAGCTGAGTTACCCAAAGAGGTCCCTCTGCATCTTTTGCTCTGCCAGGGTCCAGCTACTTGACAATGAACAAAGACCACTTCTCATATAGCATCACGCTTACAAACATAAAGGTGCCTGTATCTCCAAACTTTACAATGAAACGTGGGCGTTTTGAATAGAGCAATGTGTTCGGCTTGGCCAACAGCACCTTGGGTGAAAGTTTCACGATCAAGCTTGCCAATCCCAGATTTCGCAATGTCGCCACCAGCCAAACTGGATCTGGGGGTCGACCTCTTCGACGACGACCACCACCAAAAAAATATTTTTTGGGCTGTTTGCAACATTGAACGCGAAACTTTCACACAAGGTGCTGTTGGCCAAGCCGAGCACATTGCTCTATTCAAAACCCCACGTTTCATTGTAAAGTTTGGAGATACAGGCACGTGTATGTTTTACCTCCTATGCCGTAAGTGTGACGCTATATGAGAGGTGATCTTTGTTCATTGTCAAGTAGCTGGACTCTGGAGAGCCAAAGGTGCAGAAGGACTAGTTGTGTAACTAGCCGAGAGCGGGCGAGTTGAAGTGGTCGATCCTATTGGTGGAGAGTGCATGATTGATACTTACCCCTAGACGCCTATAGTAAGGTCCGTCTATGATGGCACGTATGGTACTTTTTCAAGTTGACAATGGTATGGTTAATGGGCTAAAAGCGATCACTGCATCCGAAAGTACCTTGTTTGAAAATGTATGAAGCATGAAACGTAAACTTGGTTTTCTTGTCTCGCAAGAAGGTCACCCCAAGATGATCTTATTTTAGTTAGCAGCAAGAGAATGACGATCGACGTCATGCCTAAGGGACCTTTGGCATTACAAGATGCTTTTGAATGCACTGACCATTTCTCGATTGTAACCATACAATGTTCGATTGTGCAATCTTAAGGCATTCATACAGTAATGTTCTTCTTGGCAGAAGTGTGATGGGTGTATCCATGCAAAAAGGGGGCTTTTATTTGTGAAGGACGCCGAACGTAGCAGAAAAGACGATGCTTGGGACTAGCTTGAATAATGAAAAAAGGTGCTGCTTCAAACCTGGTACATAGTAAGAACATGACTGTCGTTGGATCTTATGATGAGGAATGCCAATACCATCTTTCGCTATACGTGATGATGATTTGATTTACTGCTTTCTTTACTTGTAGTATCTACCATGATGATGACAGTGTGAATGAAATAGCTTGACGGGGTGTTTGGGCGGATGGATGAGAGCAGTGTGTATGCGTGACGATACGTATCAGTGTGGATCTTACACAACCTATCTGTACCTCATTTCCGATATAGCTTAATCAATACACGCTTCAATTTGTTCGATGCCAAAAGGTTTCTTTTACTAGTCATGGTATTGTAGAATATTCAAGAGGGAGATTAAGTAATAGGATGTCAATATAATAATCATACAGCTGTAACGGTTGTGGTATCGGATTTCTTGTTGCGTCCCATTCGACGTACAAACGAAGAGGTGTGTCCATTGACAGAGGTAGCATTGGGTGATGAAGCTATATAAACAGCATCAGCTGATAGTGACACAAGCGATCATGGTTGATGAGATTTACCTTTGTTTGCCTGTTGAGATTGGGTTGCCACTGCAGCTCCACTGCTACGACGCCTGCGTCGGGCAGCAATACCTTCCTTGAAGTCACGCAGCATGGTAGAACGTGAAGGGGATGGAATGGGAGGAATGGGAATACTGTCAAGTGATGGACGCCACGTTGAAGGACCAGCTGAACGAGGTCGTTCCGATTTTGATGGTGCAACATTGATTTCAGAAGAGCTTTTATGCTGCATTGGTTGTTGATACGGTAAAAAGCTGGTTACCATGCCACTCAAAATTCCATCTCGTGCCTTGTCGTTTGGAATAGCGAATTTGTCTGATTTCAAGGCTGCATTTTCGCCATTGATCACTAGAATGCAAAGGTCAATATAACGTATCCCTGCTATACATATTACAAACAACTCACTTTTCAGCAACAGGAAATCCTTCAGCTTGTTTGATTTCAATTGCTCAGGGCTGGGAATGGTAGGGCCAAAATACGAAACCTTGCTATCACGAATGACTTGTATCCTAATTGTAACGCATAACGTGAGTACCGCTGGTTGCTTTTGAATGTCCCAATCGCTCCTTTCTTTTACCTCCATCCATCCTCCTGTTTCTGGACGACAATGAATACATGCAAAAACTGTGATCGGATCTTGGTTGGATCAAATACGGCATCCTCTTCAACAAGTACCAGGCATACAATGTCTATCAAATGGACATTAATGTGGATCCTTACTGCTTTATGGCATCATCCATTACCATTTCCAATATGTCTCTTACGGTGGATTTGCTGAGTATCACTCTTTCGCAGAGGCATCAAGGGACCGACGTGGAACATGATATTGTGCTTTTGCCATGTTGATGCATACGATATGATTCCCGATTCACCGGCTATAATCACTCATGTATAAGAAACATAAACATACACATGCTTTTGAAAGAGTCAAATCAAACCTTTTGTATCCAATCCTCCAGCATACCCAGAGTATCCTTCCAATGTGATACGTTCGCCCAACAAATCGAGCAATTCCTCCAAATCAGATGACAAACCAGAATTTGAAAACCATTCTTCTTCTGTATGCTGATCTTTGCGTACATGGAGTACACCAAACTTGTAATGCTGTGGCATCTATTTAAGCAAGATTAAGCATAGGTCCATCTTTTGGATAGCAAGATTGATACGTACACCCATTTCCTCAAATCGCAGCAATTGCTTTTCCATCCCTGCTAGAATGGTTTCCTGGGCTGACAATAATCGGAAATCACGCGTGTTCAAGCTGGGACACACCATATTCACTACTTCACGAGGGGATTCCACTGGTTGATTGTGCTCGAGAAGATGATAACCAGCATACTAATATACATATATCAATTAACCTCTTGCTTCCATCGTAAATCATCTCTCTTGCACTTGCCTTCTTGCACGTGGAACGAATGATGATCCTGCATGTTCCTTTTTCTCCATGATGTACCACCACTACGATCGTCGAAGGATTGTCGCCTACCAATGTGATGTACGGCTTGCCAACAAAATAGGTTCGGAACCATGTTGCGCAAGGATGAATGTATTCTGGATGGTGTGATGCATAATCAGGTATCGAATGGTGTTGTTCATTGTCATGCTTGCCATCGTTGTCGATGATGAGATATTGAGGTGTCTCCACGATATGACTTTCATCGGCTAGAGTCGGCACAATACACGTGGAGGTTGCATCAGAAGCCTTGATCAAATTGGCCAATAAAACATCCAATTGACGAATCTGGAAAGCAAGCAATCCATGTAAGACAACACGCTCAAACGCACACACACACACACACACATCCACCAGGCAACCCCTTTAAAATACCATATCAAGCTTATCGCCTTGTTCATCAATACAATGATCCTTGAGTCCTTCCAAAGTTGATTGAATATCATTGATATGGTCTGCGAGCGATTTCAATGTTGATATTTGCTTCAAAGCGTGTTGTAGCGTATTCAAGAGAGTCATGACTTGAGTCCAGCTCAATGTGTCGTCTACATTGTCGTCTTGTAATAAGGTCGCACAGCGACTACGAATGCAGTTGCAGTAATGCTGCAAGGTGACCCAAGATGTTTGTTGATGCTTTGAAAGAGCAACATCTAAGAGTGGATTGGTGGTGGAAGATGATCTTGGTGGTCGTGGAACAGCTGGTAGTGGTTTGGTCAATAAAGATTCGGTGTTGAAGGAAAAGGTGGTGGGTGACTGTGGTGTGCTTTGATGTCGGCGTAAAGAAAGAAGACGTCTATTATCATTCAAAGATCGAAAACGAGGTACTTCGAATTTAGGTAAACGTCTTTTGTTTAAAGGCTCTGTTTTCGAGGATTTAAGTTTGGGGCGTTGTTGTTGATCATCTTTGTTCTGATGCTGGAGCTCAGTTAAAGGAGGGTTATCTTTGTTGGGTGATGGTGAAGGCTGCCTCTCCATGACATGCTATAATGAAAAGTAAAGGAGAGGAAAAGGGAAGAGAGAAAGAAAGAGAGAACAAAGGTTGGGTAATGTAGACTATCATCATTTGGCAGCGTATGACGAGATAATTGTAAGTGTAACAGCACCAATGAGAATCATATTAAATCCAAGACTATCCCATGCGGGGTACTAAGACACACATGGCATAGCAAGAAAAAGACAACAACACGGATAAACTCTCGGCTCTATGAGCAAGTCATCTCCCTTGTGAAATGAGTCCACCAAGGTTAAGTTTCTTTTTATCATTTTCATTTTCAAGTAAAGAGAGAGGTTTGGGATAAACCCAAGTGGGGTCAAAAAATTGTGATTAACCTCCTTTGTGTTCCGCAGCCACGGAAATCTTTAGTAAAAGGCGAAAGATTTATCCGATCTGATTACAGAACAGAGGCAATGAAGAAAGAAAGTAGGCCTTGGGATGCTCCCTTATTTATAGTTTTCAGATCCATGACTGCGAATGCATCGGTCTCCAAAACGTGTTTTTTCCGCATAGCTAGAAGGTTCTCTCAACCCCGACTTTCGTACTCAACCATCCAACACCCCTTTCGTCATCATCAACCCAAGGAAAAGAACACTGACGACATTATACAAAGGTATGTGTATTCCACAAAGACTACAATAGATGGAGGAGAACAATAATAGCATGTGGATAAAGAGGGGGGAAAATATAGGTTGCTATCTACAGTGATACTTTCTTATCTTGGGGCTGGATACGTGCTTCTTCCCATAATGTCTTGCCTGAACATGCACACACCTTCTTCATGTTTTCAAAAGCACCAGCACTTCGAGCAATGATACCACATAAAATACCTGGTCCACTATTTCCATCCCATTTGCTTTCTTTGGTGTTGCCTTGACCAAGATCATCAGGACGTTCGGAAATCACCATGCTACGGCCGATAATATCCCATACTTTGACACGATTGCTTTCGACCACTAGGTCACCCCATCCATTGGCATCCACTTCCACATTGCCCAAGTCGCCCACGTGACCATTCTCTGCATCGCCATGATCAACGTCTGTAGGATTAAAGTGGTCGCCTGTTGACATCCATCCACGCGAGATATCACCGAGCTCATGAATATGAACACCATGCTTTCCAGGCGAAAGTCCTTCCACGGTCAAGTCAATAAGACATGTCTCCTCATCGATTTGTACAAAACGTGCTAAGCCTTGTGTGCCTTTGGGGACTTGTTGAGTAGGATCGCTGCCATATGTATCAAAGATGCACACTGCTGCACCCGAGTGACCTTGTCCATCAGCAACACCTTGACCACGCACGATCACCGTTCTTCCGGTTCCTTTGAGAGCACGAGAGATTTGGGATGGTGCCACTATTTATACATGTAGTCAATAAAACGCTTAGGATACGCCCCCTGTATTGTAGACATACTCGATCCTTCAACAACTACACGCTGGTCTTCAAGGTTGATATCGTATTTCTTGATATCTACAACAACAACGTCCCCTTAGCAACAACACCAATAGCAACTCGAAGTGAGTAGAGAGGGTATACCTGGAAACTGTTTCAGCACGTTGCTAATGTCGTTGACACAACTTTCGCAGGTCATTTCGACGGCGAATTCGGTCTACATGGGTGAGCATACGAGTTATGAGTAATCGCTGGAGTCAATGTAGTGGGTTATATATAAAGATACACGTACTTTAAACTGCTTTCGTTCTTGGGTATGCATTGGAGTTGGCATTATTCTGGAAGAAGTGAGGCCCATTGCTTTTTTTTCTCGTCGCTGCTGACAAATTCAAACTGACGGTCTCGACAGGTGGGACAAAGATTGCCTGATTCCTCCCTTGCAGGAAATGTTTTCATTGGCAGAATGTGGCGGACCCATTTGGTTCATGCAACAACAACACCTGATTATTGGATTGGGTTCGTCAAATCTCCAAGCAACGACATGCTGCATGATTGGTACGAGAATCCCCCATTATCACGTCATTCCTACACATCACAAAGAAACAAAGAAGCGCTTTACAGATGCATGAGGGAAAAGTCATGAATAGCTCGTCACCCCCACTAAAAACAAAGACTACCCAAGACGATCATTCAAATCCATGATGCATAGCTTTCGTTCGTTGTTTATAGCATGCACCTTGCGTGTCTTCCTTAATAAACGTGAGTCTCGCAATTCGTAGCTAATAAAGGTTGAAGTGGAACGTGCGCTTGAGAAACCGTGATGATAGATAACCATGACAAAAAGGAATGAGCAGCATCGCGCATACCTTCAAGCAGAGGAAGTAGTGCTAGGATTAAGAAAGGGAACAAAGAAAAGACCAAAAGAATGAAATGGGTTACATGCACGCGTGCATGGAAAAAGGCAGGTCCATCAACACTGCGGGGATCCACTTCCTGGTAGCCATCATCCACTATAATAATTTCAGGGAGAATACAATGAACCATGATGATAATACAAGCATGTTTATGATAATGATACATGAAGGTAATAGGTTGACAGTATATGAGTTATATAGGGGAATACTACAGTAGGATGACAAACTTCTTTTTTCCAATGACTGAGGAGCCGCTTAAGTAAAGATAATAAGGAGGCGCTTCCACATCCGTTGGAAGAAGTTGCCGGTGATATCAGTCTTTTCTTCTTCTTGCTTGCCGATTTGGTCTGATACACCCGTGTCGACATCAATTTCAGCGGGAGGAATCATTTTTGACTTGGTCCACCATTTGGTGATAGCCCAACCAATTGCACACAGGATAATACCAGCATAGTTACCCACAAGGCCAACGGGGTCTGGGGGATAAAAGTATGAATAGCCGGTCATCAATGCAATGACACAGCATGCAACCATGACAAAGAGATCTCCGAAAGGATGATATGGGGCACGGATGGGAATAATGGAAAAGTCCTTGTTTTGTGCCTTGAAAGCTAAGCGGAACCGGTAATGGGAAAGAGCAATACCTGCCCATGTGACAAATCCAGCAACACCAGATAAGCTGGTAAGCACCGAATACAGTGCTTTACCGGGAATAAGTGAAGTAACAAAGGTAACGACGCTCACGAGAGCTGAGCATGTCAATGCATAAATGGGCACACCCCATCGATTAATGTAGCCTGTCATAGTCATCCTACTATTAGTGAACCTGCTCCTCTCGCCCAAACGTCTCGTTTTCACATACCAAGTCGCTTCCATGCAATGCCTTCCTCTGCAAGTGCACACAATGTACGCGTGGATACATACAAACCGCTATTAGCACAAGACAACACCTACATGAAGGAGGTAAGAAATCGATCCTGGTTTGCTGTACCCTGTATAATAACTTACAGTGATCAAGATGACAACGTTCATAATTTGTGCCACGGCATCCAAGCTTCCCTTCTCAAAGACAAGAGTGAAAGGTGATACGGTTGCGTCTTGGCTGTCCTTGTTAAGATTGTGCTCTATTTTATGCCCCATTAATGTTTTGCCCCATATGGTGAATATTATGAGACTTACTGTCATCCCAAGGAATGATTTGGCCCATGATAAAGACTATAATGGCAATGATCAGTACACCATGTGGCTTGTTTTTCTCATACTTTCATACCTGAGCAAAGATAGAAGATGACGATACGCCAAACAACGTTCTTAATGGCACGTGGAACTTGCTAAAAGACATACTATGGTAAGCCAAAATGACATAAATGCATGGGGTTGTACCTTACCTTGAGAGGGTTACTACATTCACCAGCCTATGTGAACATCAAAAAAGGTTAAACATGGGAGTTTGGTTACTACTTCACACGCACACAGATGACGTACAGTGATACCAATGATTTCAGTGCCTATAATTCGAGTGAGCTTACAATTCAAGTAGGAGGAACGTGGATTGATATCATACCCATCATACTAAAGGATGCCAAGACAAACGAGTTGACCACGCCAAGAGCACCATGGGGAAAGGCACCGCCATTTTCCCAATACTTGAAGCCGTAAACTTCGTCACTGTGGTAATCCAAAAAGTGAGGGAGAAAGGAAATTGGTTAGTCGAAGGAGGAAATAAGCTTTAAACCTAAAGATGTTCGCTTTACCCAATCACACCGCCCGAGATGAAAGCACCAACAATGATAAAAATGATGATGGTCAAAACCTTGATCATACTGAACCAGTATTCAGCTTCACCATATCCACGAGCACCGAAAAGATTAAGGATAAAGATAATAACGAGCCACATGAGAGACCCTATATCGATTACGTAAAGTGTACAGAATTTGGGTCAGCGAACGTGTAGTAGTAGATCGAGAAAAATACATGACTTACATGCCCAGTCAGGTACTACCGTGGTCCAAAATGTCATGACAAGCGGTAAAGCCACTAATTCAGCTGCGACAACAATAGCCCAACAAGCCCTGAAGTGTATGCAACGCACGCACGTTAGCTTATGGCTCAGCAAAATCACCAAGGTGGGTTACTCCCACACTATGCCATAAATGGAATGAGGCTTACCAGTAATTGTAACCGATCATTGCACCGAATGAATGATCCACAAAGCGTCGGGCGAAGATAGTAAATGATCCAGAAACCTATATTTCTCCATATTAGTATGATCGACGTCTCCTCTTTTTTACTTTTCGTTTCCAAGAATCGACATACCGGGATATAAGTAGCCATTTCACCTAGCGAGTATGCAACCCAAAAGACAATGAAGCCAATGATAGCATAAGCTAAAGAAGGAAATGGGTGTATGTTAAATCTTGTTTCGTGACATGCGTGAGTGACAAAGCGCGCTTACCAATTAATGCACCAGCAGGGCCTAAAGCAAAAGGTAAAGATCAAAAGATTTAAGCTCATATTCGACAGCTTGGTAGTGCAATTAGTCTTACCTCCTTGATACAGGTTGCCACCAGCCGACAAGAACAAGCCTTGACCAATGACGCCACCCAACGAGATCATCTATTATGCGACATCTTTAAGCATAAAGTGGTATTTTTAATCCTGATCTCTTTAAGTTTACCGATAAATGCCGAGCCTTAAGTGTGCGTTTCAGCTTGTAAGGTTCCTTTTTCTCGACTGATTCTTGCTGCTCGATCGAAGCAACATCGCCGGTATAGTATTCCTTATCATTATGGATGCTGTCGGATGAAGAACTGGTTTGGTGTTTCTCTTCCATGCTTGGGTAAAAGATGGATAAAGATGGGAGAGAAAGTGTATGTGAAAGGAAAATAAAAGAGGAACCAGATCAGTTACCAGAAACAAACGAGGTCGATTAAATAACCCAACAGGGAATTCTGGATAAGGTAGTGGTCATATGACTCTGTGAGTGAGTACAGCAAAACGCCTCAAATGGATGAATGTGTAACCCCCCACACTGATTCGACCAAGGTAGAAAGGACAAGTGCGTATGTTACCAAGCAGTTGTTTTCCCCTTCTAGGTTTATGATCGGATGTCTTATTACTACTACGTGCTGCTGAACCAAAAGGTGATCAATGTTGCTGAGCCAACAAGATCATACACGAAATGCCACGGCTGATCTGAAAAGATCAGGGCACAACATCCTGATCCATTGATCCATATCAACAAATTCTTTGGCTGTGCTTGTACTTGATAGCAACACGCCCTCCCTTTTTCACAGACTCATCCGTTCAGCCATTCTTCTTGGCAGTTACATGGGGCCACATGCGTGGGGGTGTCGTGGTCACTTTTGTTGGTGATTACCAAACCTGTTGTACCATATTGTTCAAATAGGAAAAATGATCTTAACCTAGTTTGATTGATCTAGGGATCGACTTTGATTGCTCAAGGTTTGGAAAATGTGCTGCTTACAAGTTTGCTGAGCTTGCATGCATGGGCCCATAGATCGGTATGCATCCAATGTTCCTGTGTCAGATCATGAAACTCAATGCTTTATTGAATAAACGTGTGGAGCCACTCTGGATCAAAAACAGCCAAAAGCAGGCGCTTCCCTTTGTCGTCGAATTTGTGCTACTGAACATATGACACACGTCCCACACACGTACACATACACACGCACACACACAAACATCACAGAATCTGTTTTTGCGTGGTACTGCGCAAGATGCGCAGAAATTGGTCACCAGGAGCAAAAAAGATCATGCCGTGAAAAGTAATAAAACGCTGAGCCCATAATCACGTCAGCCTCGACCAATGCACATATACCTAAAACCTTCCCAGTCCTTATTATAGATTTGCATCACAAAGCTGCATTACGCAAAAAGAGCGCAGCCACCACTGCTTCTGATTCACAGGAAAGATCCTGGTGCCTATCAGCTTCAACAATAACACGACATGATTTGGTTCCCACGACACAAAAAAAATTCCACACATCATCATCGCTGTGAAGTTTATCCCCCTTTTGGCCATACCCAGTGTATCGCATGCCGACACTCGCCCCATTGGTCAACCCATCCGTTTTCCGTACATCCTATAATTGACGACACATCCACCATCAGATGCATTCGAACAAAGGAAATTCTCAACCATCCATGTGTAATACAATTGTCATACTTGATGATAAAACATCCATATCAATATCCGATGGATCGGGTAGATAATGCAGCTGCTGATAAGAGAAGATGAGTTTGATCCGAACAGTGTTGTCACAAAAGACGTGCAGGTACGATAGAGTTACATCGGTGCAAGATAAGAGTAGATACAAGGCGAGATATCCCCTAGTACAAAAACATTGAATTGGGGGTCGTTGTTGCAGCAGCAGCAGCACCCTGCGATACATGCCAGTGGTGGTGGTGGAGGAAAGACCATGTATGGCAAGGATGTGTATCACGTGCAATGACTTTTTCTGTGACACCCATTCTCGGCTTTTTATCATATTCTCAATCCATTCCTTTGTCTCATTTGAATGTTCACAAGCACAAGGTTTTTTTTACACAAATGTGGGAGTTGTAATATGTCATCACTTCATTGATCCATTAGCCTATTTACACAGTCAATACAAAGCGAGCAAGAGAAAAAAAGATCCAAGGGAGCGCCTCCTAGTCGTCATTGATGCTTGATCCATTCACCCCATCAGTCGACTCCAATAAGCTAGTAGGCCATCCCATTTTATCAGCTCAAGGCTCCATGTTGCCCCCATCCGTATGCCCACGAGATGCTTTTTTACGTACCTGTATTGTTTAAGGAGAACGCATTCGCCACCATTTTCCAAATCAATGTTGTATTGATAAAAGAATCCATCCGAAGTGGCCACCATGACTTGAGGGGTTGTGCTACATGCATACATTGAACCAGGGTTAATCATTTTCGGAAGTATAGCCATCTTCAAGCCATCATCACGATACCTGAATGCGACCAGACTGCGCACACCACTGTTTGGCAGCTTCAAGAATGCAAAGTCCCTTGCAGGTTCCCACATTTCGGTAATCATCTCTGGTAGATACGATCCTACGCTACCTGCAATGTTGCGTCCAATGTGCAAAGAGGACCTTCGAAGCATTTGTCTAAATCCAATTCAATTAATCCACGATACACAACATGTTCCCATTGTTCACTTACCCCATACTTCCACTACGTCCACGTGTATCAGGTTGTGTTTGATCGCCATTGTAGCCTACCATTCCTCCACCAACGCCACCACCACCACCATATCCATTGTTGCCATTGCCATTTGCAGTAGGTGCAGCACCTGTAGACAACTTGAAGATGTGAACCGTTTCAGTATCACTTGAGACACACAAGAGCGTGCTGGAGAGGTTGAATGTCATTGAATAAATCTTGGCAGGATAAGATCCCCGGCGGAATTGATACACCTTGTTTGCTCCAGGTACTGAAAATACACGAATCACGGTGCCCTAATTCATCCCCTTGTCAATCGCTGTAATCATCCACAATATCTTTGAAGATGCCTACCTTTTCACTTGCGGTTGCGAGCAGTGTACCATCTGCATTCATGGCAATGTTGCTAATAGGGCTCTTGTGTGCTTGAACAATGTTGACAAGTTGTAAAGATAATGCATCAAAGATCTCAATGTCGCCATTGACGTAGTATGGTTGGGATGTTTGGGTGCTCGAGAAAACGGTGCTGGATGCTGATCGTGATGGATATGCAATGTAGCAATTCTCGCTTGAAGGTGATAAGGCACAAACAGCTACGTCCAAAATGTATCAGTGATACAAGCTATACATGACAGCTAGATATCAACTTACCATTTGGATTGGGGCTGGTATCAATGGTATGCAGTAATTTCATGTTGCTGATGTCGTACACGAATATCTGCTCTTCAAGTACAACGATCAAACGTCGACGATTCATCTTGACTGCTAGGACAGTTGTTGAAAAAGTCAATTCGCATATCACGGATTCTCTCTAAGGGTAAAAGAAAGCAATCAATGAGGATGGATATAAGAAAAGGAAGGTGAAGAGTGCATTTACCTTGGTATTGATGATGTGTAGGTGCCTGGGAGAAATATTAAGCTCGTCGCCAGCACCAACGTGTGCCACAAGTGAAGTACAAAAGAGCATTTCCACAATGCCAGTGCCACCAGAAGCTGTATCAAGTTGAACAAAGCAATGTCAATTGGAATGAAGTTGGGGGCAAGTGTGGAAGATAACGCTCACGTTTTGAGTAGCATTTGCCGTATGGTTCACAATTGTAAATCCTGTAGCCTGTCTTGGTGCCCACCGAGATGCAACTGAAGTCTTGATTGAAGTTGATGAATAGTAATTCGTTGTTGCTCTTGTCTCCAAGGTTCATTGCAGCTATTGGGTTTGTAGAGGTAGAGGAGGAGGAAGGAACTTGAGGATAATGCCGCAACAACAATCACCGCGACCTTGTACTTTTGCGTGACCCAGCAGCCAGTCAGATGCCCACTGCGGCGCAGTAATTAATGCAGCTATTCAGGACATCTTTTTCATGCTCTCTCGCCCACCTCCCAATCACGATCAGATAGTAACTTGATATCATTTGTCGAGGCTACTCAACATACCTTTCCATATCGTCATAGTCATCCAATCAACAATGCTTCCATTTTATCGCTTTAATGCTGCAGCCGTTGTTCACATGATACATCCATGTACAACATACACTCTATTATTGTTGGTCTGTGCAAATTGATGGTTCCTACAAAAAACACCTTACAAGCGGTAGGTGGATTTATCAGCTGTGATTTCCTATCACTTTGACTCAAGTACTCCAAGATGCTTGACCACTTTATCAGTTTGGTGTCATCATGACAACATCTCTCACGCCCACTCACATATAAACAAGGCTGTTGTCATCGACACTATCATACGCCCTTTCTTTCTACTTGTATTCACATCCTCATCAATGCTCTTTGGTAAGTCTCAATGATAGTCTTTATTATGTGATCCCCAAAATGAGGGTACTCATGATGCATTCATCAATGTAGCTAACCTCGTTGCTTTACGCTGCGTTCCTTGATGAACCCTTTGGGGTAGGTATAACCACCACTCATATATTAAAAGAATGCCTAGCCTGATGGGAAAATCGAGACCCCTTTGTAGGTGACAGAAGTACATGCCTTTGAACGGCAGCCTTGCCATCCATACTGTGGGTAAGTCATCCCTCAATACGTGTATAACGTATCTGATTTATTGACTCATTTTCCGTCAACAGGGGCCCATGCTTGCTTCTATTAGGTACAACTAAAGGCTGATGGGTTATACACCATACGTGATCTCGCGGCTACCAGGTCTACTTGTCCGATATGAAAACGATGCTCCAAGTATTCCAGGACCAATGTCTTCCCAGCTCCATTGACCCTCTACTCACCCGAAAGCGAAAGTCAATCACCTTGGAGAAGATGAGGCCTGTTTTGATGAAAACCGGTGACCGCAAGAGGCAAACGATGCTTTATCCGAGCTCTTTGGAGTCATTTGCAGTTGATATGGGGTCATTGATATTACTGATTAATCAAGCGAAACACATCGTAAGGAACACTCATGAAGCCGTTATGCGCAAAAAACTAGTTGGGGCTATTGTTGATGATTCATTCCTCGAAGACTCAAACGTGAAACTACTACCATGCCTGAGATCCCCGATAAGAGTGTTACTGTAGTGAAGTAGAAATGAAGTTGTAGTTCTTATTTCCCCCAACAATGCTTTCAACAATAGACTACATGTTATATTATAGATGTTGACAAAGTGATAATGACAATCCATAAAAAGGAGGCAGCGCAAATGACACCTAACGCAAAGCTGATAACCACCCCCTCCCGTCGCAAAATGGATATTCGTGTCGAGATGAAAAAACCAAGAGCAAGATTTAAGGAAAATCCATTACGAGTCAATGGCTATATATAACAAAATGGACGCAATGAACGTAATCAACAAAGAAAAGTAGTAAACAGGCAATCGATCTTGCTAGAGAACGAATTCCAGCGCATAATTTATAGGTAATTGGACATTTGTGTCACGCCAAGAGTCATAGGCAGAGAACAAAGATGTTCTAATTATGTAACACCAGCTCATTGTAACTTTTGAACTACTATCTCTTTAGCAGCTGCTGACAGCAAAGCCTTCGTCATTCGCCACTCGTTTGCCTTTCTAATGTCATTCGGCCTTTGAGAAAAGAGTAGCGCAACAATGCACGATTCAGCTCAGGCACGACTCATGTTCAAGCGCGTCGTTGAATCTACTACTACTGCTGCTTCGTCTCCTGGTGCGTACGATCTCTTGTACACGATTCTTGTTGCTCATTGGAAATAGACATAGGGTTCTCGTTTGCCAACAACCATACACAAAGCATCGATGCCTTTCCTTCAACCATATCATCTACTACTGCTACGACTACATCAACTCTCCCGTTTGTCGTGGCGTCGCCTCCGCTGTCAGTGACATCTTCCTCCTCCTCCTCCTCCTCGATAGAAGCAGCAGCAGCACCCACATCTCAACCAACTCTTGCTCCAGCAGCAACATCTGCCACCAAAACATCCGACAATGATTCTTCCTCTTCTCTTTCAGGTGGTGCTATTGCTGGTGTTGTGATTGGTGTATTGGCAGGTGTGATTATCATATGTCTGCTACTATTTATTGCTCGACGACGACGACAACGACGAAAACGATCATCAACAAGCATCCCACCGATGACTAACAATTTCCATGCCGTTTCCACAACTACCAACAACAACATCAACAACCCATCAACACCGGCAACACCTGCTGCTGCTGCTGCTGCTGGACCAGCACTTTTTGAACGTCCTCAACAAACTCCTGATGATCCATGGTTAGGGCAGGCCCCATTGGGTACATACACTGTGGTGTCAACTTACAATCCATCGCTGGAAGATGAGATTTACGTGTTGCCAGGTGACACAATTCAAGTTTACGCCGAATATGATGATGGCTGGTGCCTCGGCATGAATATTAGCAGAGGTAACGCGCGTGGTGTATTCCCCAAGCATTGCATCACTGTGGATCAAGATGATATTACAAACGAAGGCGCCGACACGTTGGATGACGCTGGAGCACTATCACCACCACAAGCAGATAAAAGAAGAAGTAGAAGGACAAGCTCTCTTTTCAACACTGTACAGAATTCACAAGATATCAAGTACTAGCAAGAGAATATCATTTGTTATTGTAAAATAGCCGCATTGGTGATGATTATTTATATAAAGATAAAATTAGACTACTGTAAGGATAGTAAGCAAGAGTGGGGTGGGATGGTGATAATGATAGGCAGGCAAATTTAGGCGTCGTTTGATTCGGAAGCAGTGGCAGGTTGCTTTTCAGCCTTTTTGCTGATAGGCTCTTCTTCTTTCTTGGTGGGCTCCTCTTCTTTCTTGGTGGGCTCCTCTTCTTTCTTGGTGGGCTCCTCCTCATCATTAGCTGATTTGGATGTTGTTTTTTCTTCCTCAGCTGCTGCTTCATTCTTGGCAGATGTCGAAACCTCCGCATCCTCCTTTTTATCCGCCGCCCTCGTATCAGCCTCCTTGGATTGTTCCTCTTGTACCTTTGATTCTTCCTCTTTGGGTGTAGCGGCAGCAGCAGAAGTAGTAGTTGTGGCACGTTGACTTTCTGATGATGATGATGCAGTATACACAGCTGGCAAGTTCTCCACTGGGATCTTTTCACTGAGCGTGTCGATCAACTCGTCACTAGAAATTTTAAGGTTTGAATTTTCCTGCGACTCCTCTTTGATGCCGAAAAGACAAACTTACTTTGAGCATACAATAAACTTTTTAACAGTGGCTTCAGGGAGCAATGGACGTACAAGCTTAAAGATTTTGCTATAGCATCGTAAAAGTGTGAGTAAACACATCAATGTGTAACGTAAAAGAACATACCTTCCCCACCATGGCACATTCACAAAGTATTTTGTAGCCTATGGAAAAGGGTTATTAGTGTCTTCACAAACAAGGTACCGGCAAGAGCTATGCTTTACCAGGAATTCAGGGTAGTTGTCCTGCATGATCTTGATGATATCCTTGGTGGCTGCCTTGGCGTTTGCAGTACGACCAAACATGGAGGCACCCTTGTAATCATGAACCTGGATCATTGAATCGACGTTGACAAAGTCTACAAGCTTGACACCCTTTTCCATCAACTGCACACGCCATCGAATGAATCTATAAAAGTGATTTGATATGCATGTAAGGCCTATAGCTCACTCTGCCTCTCAGGTATGCCAATCAATATTTACTTTTCGGGATCGCCAAACACCTTTTCTTGGTCAAGGTCACCATAAAAGTTGTAGCATACTGGACGACCCTCCTTATCATGTTCATGGATGTATCCAACACTGCCAAAGATGGCTTCATCAAACTCTTCGTCGAGGATTGTGTCGGCCTTGAATTCACGTCGCCAGGCAATGCTGTCAGAAAGCATCTTGGTTGCTGCTTCAAGGTCCAATTCTCTATATACATACATATATCATACGTCAGTCTAATATCAAACGTGCTGCACGCTTATTTACCTAGCTCGCAGGAACTTGACAAGCAAAACGTCCAATCGCTCATCGGTTGAATCCTTATCAAGGGCAATGTCCCACAACTTGTAGGGCTCAGGTTCACCTTCGCTCTTGAATGCGGTCTTGAGAATGTCAGGCAACGAAGCCTTGAGCTTGGTAACAGCATCAGTTTCTTCCTTTGTAAAGTCGTTGACGAATTTGTTCTGTGTCATTGTGTGGAGAGCTGGAACAAGGTGGGAGAGATAAAAGAAAACGAAAGAACAAGGAAATGCCTAGTGTTTCTGGCAAAATTATTTGTGTGTAACATTCAGAGCTCGAAAGTGATGCATGACAACCATCTACTTGGACAAAGAAATAAACTACTACCGTTGCCTAGCAACAGCTCAAATAGTCATTGACATGATGAGGTGATAGTAATGTATGCTTTATTTAAAGCGAGTGGACCATATCGCACTACATTGACCATTGCTTCGATCAAGTGAGAGTGTTATCTTGACCTGCAAAAGTGATCTTAGCATTGCAAACATAGAATGAGGGCGCATATCGCTTTATTCCTTATATTGCTATAGATAGTCTTTTGTTGTTTTGGATACATACGAATAGCCAACATGAGATCGTGGTACTTTAGCGTAGGCCATCAGGCTTCCCCCAAGGTTGGTAGATCCTTCTTCGCGTCATAGAGCAAATTCCCTACACTTACATTGAATGTAGCGAGTTACTTGGATTGCGAAAAAGTGACAACTCCATCATGCATACCGCGTAGCTTGACTTTAATGATGATCGCCAGTATCAGCTCGAGGCTATTTGTGTTACACAACTTGAACAATCCTTGGAATAAGCTACTCGTCGCTGATGCTACATTGTTCGTGTGCGAACAACATGGGTCTTCCCGATTCTCCTCACTCCTCAAAGGGTGGGCTACCACCTGATAAGCCCATTTCATATGCAAATGCTGCCACCTCATCGCGCGAAATTGATCGCCTCATCTCCTTCAGCAAACATGAACCGCAACCTTGGGGTCGAGCAATTAATCAACACGCTTTATTATTTGACCTGACTCAATTGAAGATATCCGAAACAACCTTCCTCACTGCTGCTCGCCAAGCATATCCTGCAAAACATACCTGTGGTATGGTTTTTCGCAAAGTCAACCGAAAACTACTTGCTGAGGTCGTCTTCACCTCTGAAAAGTATCGAAAAAGACATCATGCCACACCTATCCAACTACCTGACAACCGCACCTGCGCCGGTAATCTCCCTATCCCTGATGAATGGGAAGTTGTGAAGATTCACCTTACCAACATGCCTATCCTACCTCGTCAAATCTTAACTGAAGCAATCACTAAATCAACAAGCCAATACGGCCACATCTTGGAATGTGGAATATACATCGACCATGGCTGGTTTACGGGCTCTGGATATGTCTACCTCAATCGTGCCTCCACTAATGCTCCACTTGAACCTTCTGCAACAAAATCCCCTCCGCTACCTCTTGAACATACTATTAGCGTCAACCTTAAGAATTCGGAACAAGAATGGGTACACAAGATGTACGCTACATGGTCGCACATGCCTCTCTTTTGCCGATATTGCCATCTCCCCGGTCATACTCGATTAACTTGTTACCATAAGCCTCAACCAAGATGCCATCACTGCCAAACCCTCGGACACCTACGTAAAAATTGCCCCGCAAAAAACTCTGATCATGTAACGAACCCAAAGCAAACTCACACAGCCATGTCAAATCAATCCTACAAACGTCAACGTACTGTTACATCTACTGCCAGTTCTTCTCTTCCCAGCCCTGATTCTCCGCTTTCAAGTAAGCAACCTCCGCCCTTGCAGCCTTCACCTCCACCCAGTGGTGACCACATGAGCATTCCATCTTCCTCTGGTCCATCGGAGACCACTTCATCGCCCGCCGAAGATACCGATCCGAACGAACATCGTTCACCGCCCTCAGAGCCAAAAGCCGACTATGATGCTAAGAGTACTTCTAGTGATACAAGTATGAGTGATCCGTAACCGTTCGAGTTTGATTCATTATTCTATAAGTTTTATAACACATCAAAAGCGCCCACAATGCGCTGGAATAAAGCACAAACTACAAATTGTTCGTGTGCAGTTACGTATCCCGAGAGTACCATTATCTATCAGTGGATGATCAATAAAAAAAGGATTGCGAAAAAGAGCAGCATGTACCTTCAAAACCCAAAAGACGAGGGCGTTGATATTTGCTTTTCTTCAAGGATCGACTGATTTCCACGACGTTTGTACCACCCCATTCGTTCTTCCCTTCAAGTCAACATGTCACTTGCAATCAATCCCGATCGGCCTCTTCTTGTTGGACCAGAGGTCCCTGAGCATCCCTTTCCTCACAGCATCTCAGGCACTGTTGTCAGAGGTTATGGAAGAGGTTCCAAGGAACTCGGCATCCCAACGGGTATATATATACACTTACCAATGGCAACCTTAATGTTCGACACGCGTGTTGATATTGCTTTTAGCCAACTTATCCGACGATGCGATCGAGGCAATGTGCACCGACTTTACGTCTGGTATCTACTATGGATGGGTGCAAATTGGTGACAAGAGCTCGGAAGTATACCCCATGGTGATGAGCTTAGGCTGGAACCCTTACTATCAAAATGAAAAGCGTTCAGCGGTATGGATGATGAACAAAGAACATGGCTCATTCTTATGGTATCTAATATTGGGTTTAGGAGGTGCACATTATCCATGAGTTCCCCGATGATTTCTATGGTATTGCCATCCGTGTCATTGTTCTTGGTTACGTTCGTCCTGAGCAAAATTATTCATCACTTGGTAAACCCAACCGCCCTTGATTCCCTTCCCTTTGGATATGTCATTGACATCTTTTTTTTATTTTAGATGGGCTTATCAGAGATATCAGAACCGATGTAGAGGTTGCAAAGAAATCACTCCAACGTCCTGCCTATGCCAAGTTCCAGCAAGATCCCTTATTTGTATAGAAATCCACAGATGTGTGTGTAAATAGAATGAATGAATGAAACATTGTTTAATCAATCTTGGCCATCTTTTGCTTCTCGGAGACAATGGGTGCAGCATGAACGCCGCCAAACACTTTGACTAGCATAATCACGGCATCATTAAGCTTACGAACACCAAAGAAAATGGGAATACGGTTGGGGAGCATCCAGTGTGATTGGGCACCTTTACCAGATGCAAGTGGTTGACCATAAGGAGAAGTAGGCTTGGGTGTTGCCATCATAGCCATAATCACAAACTATCACTTTACCATCAGTTTCCTTTCCTCAATGACCACAATATCAAATACATACGCTTGGATAAATGAGACCAAAAATAGCTCCAGAGTGAAGGGTGGATAAGAAGAATGTCAAGACCGTGATAGGCATACCTGGAATGGATTTTGTTGTCAATGACCCTTATCCTTCACAACACATACACGCACACACACATATGTATACACATACCAAAGCCTAAAAAGTATGCCCAATGTTCTTCAACATACACAAGTCGTTGCTCCAATGTCCAACCCATGTAGAGCCACTTGTATCTAAATTCAAGATGAGATGCGCATCCTCCTCTCTTACGTGTAGATCCTCCACTTACTCAAAGCTGTAATAGGCCATGATAGCACAATTCATCAAGAGAGCCAAAGCGGTGCCGATTTGAGGGATGAAGATTCTCAAGAGAGCAGCGAATACAGAGCAGTTGATATAAAAGATGACGGTATAAATGTTGGATGCCATGCTCTGAACGATATTGGTAGAGCCCTTGACACGAGGATTGTTCTTGGCTTGCACCTGAAACGTCTTTTCTGCAATAGGCGTATAGAACTTGCCATTGATCGCCAGTAATAAAAAGTACATTGGATATCCTAGCAAACTCTATGGAGTCCCCCCGAATGAGCTTATTGGCCATCCTGCAATCCAAGAGTGCTCCCTATCCTTACCGCGTACGAACAACCAAGAAAACGATGAGTGGGCTCGTTATAAAACGTCTCCAGGATCAATAGACCACCAAGGAAAATAAGGCCGTTCAAGACAAGAGCTTTGACCATATTCTGTTGGACCGTAGTCGATCTATAGCCCCATAGTACAACCCGATCGACCTTTAGATTAACGCCATCAACGGCTAGATAGCACTTACGAATAAAAGAGAATGAGTGTCTTTGACCAATTGCTTGCTTGTTCAACCCCATTAAGAAAGTAGGTCCAATGACTTTGTGCTGGCGATTGTGTTGTCGTAGCCATGGTGTCCAAATGTGGGCAGTAAAGAAAAGTAGGTGAAACGCATACGCGAAGCCTGAGTTTAGATACATTTAAATCAAAACGCAGGGTTTCATGCTACAGAGTAACACGGTTACTGCGCACATGCAGCATGTGATTTTGACACTCATTATCGTTCATTGTTTTGGGGACACATCTCGTCGACCTAGACTAATGTTACGACATAAATACATAACAATGTCGTCGAATGAAGGAGATAACCCGATGGAAGACTATCTTTTCAAGGAAACGGTAACATCCCGAATGAGTTCAGGTATCGTATCCATGCGTCGTTCTTCTCCATGGAAACCAAAAAGTTGATGCCTCGGATGATTGGTTTAGGGCCCCTATGAAACTAGCACTGAGGGTGATTATCGTAGTGCATGTTCCCATAGCTTGCTTATCTGACACATTTTTTTGGCTCAAGAAGGGGACATTAAGCATCCAGTGTATCAGGTTGCCTTACATTTTAGTATTCACATGTATCATGGAACTCCTTTTCTTTGTTATTACATGGCCTCTCATTGTCATGTTTTCATTGTCATAATATAATTAAGGCTATGCGCCATCACATACCTTTAATTGGTCTGCAGCAAGATTAATTAATTCAGCAGGGTTTCCATCGTTGATCTGAATGACTCGGTTAAAGTACATAAACGGATCATTTGATCCTATTTGGTGGATCTGAGTGACGGGTTAAAGTATGATTTGGGGGCATGCGGATCACTCAGCGACACACACATAGTTTATTTATCCGTGCGCAAACGAAAAAGGGGCAACCCATGTGCCGAGCTATATAGATCATCTTCTCTTTAAGCTGTTTATGGATCACAGCCATTAGTGGGATGTGGAGCAATCAGTGGTAAGGTTGAATAATGTACTTAGCATGGAAATCAAGTACTATTGAATGTGCTGCAGACGACACCATCATGGTGTTGTTAGGGGTAAATGATTTGAAACCAAGCAAGTAGAAAAAAACCGAAAGTCAGCCTATGACCACGGCTGTTTTTTCATGCTCTTCAATATATAAGAAAACGTAAACTACTGACATGGGTGAGCCGTCATCTTTTAAGATTTTGTATATTCGATATGAGCACATTACGCTACAAGTATACCGATTACCATGCACTCATAAATCTTTTCCAAATAATGGCCAAGCGCTATGAATCCAACGTGTATGCACACTATCAAGTGGGCAACTCTGAGTTCAAGGCGTTGACGTATGAGCAAGTGGATCGCATTACTACCAATCTTGCTTGCAAATGGGCCCCTACAATGAAAAACGTGGATACGGTTGGATTCATATCTGATCACTCGATCCATTATCTGCTTGGCATGATTGCTATCCTCAAGCTTCGAACTACACTTCTTGCATTGTCCCCACGCAACTCCGAAGCTGCCAATGTGAACTTGCTTAATCTCACAGGGTCCAGAGTTCTTTTGGTGTCCGAAAAGCACAAGGGTATGGCTGAAAATTGTGCCCATCAGTTACCTGATTTGAAGTATGATGCTGTCAAGCCCTTTGATATCGATGCATTGGTGAATGAGCCGTTGCGATCCGATTGGGACACAATTTTGGATACACATTTTTCGCCAGAGGATGAAGAAAAGATTGCTCTTATTATTCATAGGTAAGCTCATACATAGCCATGATGATGGTTCGCCACCTCCATTTATTAACAACGACATGTATACACAATAGCTCGGGTACTACCTCTTTCCCCAAGCCTATACGATTGAGCAACCGATACCTATTCCACTTGACACAAACCATCCCCCAAGAATGGGATAACTCATTCCCAAAGCAAGCTGCAACACAAGAGGATGTTTCCTTGGCGGCATACCCACTGTAAGTTTCTCCTTTGGTGGTGCTTTTTTCGCTCTTTGACATAGCTTAATTTCATCATTCTATAGGTTTCATGTATATGGATGCCTTACTACCTTTGGTCCTGTGATGTATGGTACGAGTGTCGTTCTTCTTGCACGGCTACCACCAACACCAAGCGAATTGACCACCATTATCGAAAAGCTACATGTGACATTTGTATCTTTACCACCTTTATTGATTGACCAATTGGTAACCTATCTGAATGAGACCCAAGCATTCGCCCCTTGGCAAAAGCTCAAAATACTACTCTATGGTGGAGCCGCCCTGAAAAAGACCACAGGAGATTACTTGCATAATCATGGCATCAATGTACGAAATGCATATGGTTCTACTGGTAAGTCAATTAGATGGCATGTAGGCAACGCGGCAATGTATATCTCTAACCTTCTTTACTATAGAAATCAATGCTATGTCTATGGCACACATGACAAATGACCGCTGGGACACATTACAACCTCTTGAACCGGCAGCAAGCTATGCTGAATGGGAGCCTGTTGATAAGGGAAATGGCGTTTATCACTTGGTCATCAAAGCAGGTTGTCCTTGCATGGCAACAGGTGTAGCCAACCGTCCAAATGGGGATTATGCAACAAAAGACTTGTTCAAGGAAGACCCACCCAATTCAGGCTACTGGCAACATCTTGGACGTAATGATGATACGCTGGTTATGGAGAATGGTGAAAAGACAAATCCTACTCCTATGGAGCACACGATCTCAAGCTCACCCTTGGTCAAGCAATGCACAGTCATTGGTGAAAACCGTCCTTGTACAGCTGCTTTGGTGGAATTGGATGTTGATCAAGCACTTCGTCTCACGCCTCAAGAAATGATTGATGAAGGTACGTAAATCCTCGAGCCAAAAAAAGGGGCTTGCTTATGCTTTAATACTAATGTATGATGCATATTAGTCCAAGGGATTGTATCCAAAGCAAACAAAGATGCTCCCAGCCATTCGACTATCTTACCTCAAATGGTGTACATCTTGCCATTGGAGAAGCGTCTACCTTCCACTGATAAAGGAACCATCATGCGTAAGCACGCCATTCGAGAGTATGAATCAGCCATCAACAAGATGTATGATGACTTCCTAAATGGGGCAGCCGATCAACCTTCTGATATGCGTGGATCCACCAGTGGTATGACATTGGAGCAAATTGAATCATTTTTGGTGCGGACTGCCAGCCAAGTGTTACAAATCAAGGAGGACGTGTTGGCCAACAACAAGCGGGAATCTCTTTTCGACCATGGTTTGAATTCGCTATTGGCCATCCAGTTGCGCAATCGTATTACTTCAAGCTTCGGTACGGTGCCTAGCAACTTTATCTTTGAGCACCCAACCATTGAATCAGCTGCCCAATCTCTCCATTCAAGTGATGATGCAGTTGACAAGAGCGAAGAACGATATCAGGATACACAGCAGTTGTTGATGGAGTACATTACACGCGCCAAGGATGACTTTGCTCAATGCAAGACGACAATGGACGATCCAAGAGCAGCTGAGGGTCACGTGATTCTATTGACAGGTGCGACAGGTTCCTTGGGATCCTTCATGTTGAGCCAGCTTTTACAATCCTCCAATGTCAAAAAGGTGTATTGTTTGGTGCGTGGACAACAAGATCGATTGATGGATCGTCTTTACACGGCATTCCGTGATCGTTTCCTCGATACGAGACTCTTGGAGAATGGCAAGGTGGAAGCGTTACCGATGAAGTTGAATGAGGATTATTTGGGATGGTCCAAGGACACGTATGATCGCCTCAAGGAACAAGTGACCATTGTTCAAGCTTGTGCTTGGTTGCTTGATTTCAATCAACCCATTGCCCATTTTGACAAAGAATGCATCCAAGGATTATACAACTTGCTCAAATTCGCTCATCGTCCTATCAATCCAATGCACGTGCATACCATCTCCAGCGTCAGTGCAACAGCAGCCATGGAATCACCTATTCAAGAAGTCGTTGCCCCCGAAGATCCACACGTTGCTATGCCAATGGGATATGCTCAATCCAAGTATATTGTCGAGCATTTGTTTTATTTCTTGTCCAAGGAAAAGGGATTCCCGTGCACGATTGAACGACTGGGTCAAGTATGTGGTGATACACAACGCGGATTTTATTGGAATACAAGTGAACAATACCCTTTGATGATGGTGGGTGGTGGAGCCGAGATGAAGAAAATGCCGGACTTTGGAAATATGGTGATTGATTGGATTCCGGTCGATTATGCAGCAGCAAGCATTGTCCAAATCATGCTCAACACCGCAAGCAACAACAACATTGCACCAGCAGAGCAAGTATTTCATATTGTCAACCCCAACAGGGTCACCTGGAGAGATGTTCTTGAAGCAATGCGAGCATCCGGCATGCAATTCGATATCGTCAAACCTGAACAATGGGTTGAAGATCTAAGCGAGAATGAAGAAAATCCTGCTTATCGATTGATGTCTTTTTACGAAGCCAACTTTGTTGGTGAAGCAATGTCGATGCCAGTCTGGGAAACGAAGCAAACAGTCAAAGTGGCACCAATGTTGAAGCAAGCACCTGCTTTCGGTCCCGATTTAATGAGCAAGTATCTCCATTATTGGCGTAGTATAGGCTTTTACAAATAAATCCACGACCTAGATGCCACATCAAATCAACGGAGGGAAATTGGATGTATGGGTTTTCTCAATTGCCATTGTGCACGCGAAGGTTTAAAGGCTATATGACATTGGCAATAGGATACGATGTTGTTTATGCATGTTGCGCATTAGATTCATCTAAGATGGTAGTGAAAACCAGTCAAAGTACTCGCTATTATGCATCACGTCGGGTTTTTTCGTAGGAAAGCTTGCTTATTTTGCTTGTATGCGAATTCTTTTTTCCGTGGGTAAAGTGTAGGTGATAAAAGATGAACATGTTATGCAAAAGGCCATCCGAATGGAGGTCCAAATGAATAAAGGAACACAATAAAACATTGTTTGAGGATCATTGTGTGAGTGCTCGTTTCACAAAGGGAAAGCCCAAAGTCATAGCGCACATGCGTAAATCTTTCCCGGCATAACGGCTTCCCTGAATATGCCTGATTTGCGGAATCCGAAAAGTTACTTCCAAACGCAAATGGGCTGTAAAAGTGAGTCAACACCAAAGAAAAAATCGGAATGCGGAGAGGCTCGGGATGATGGGAGATTGATCCTGCTAACTTTACTTGTGAATGAAATAAAGATTGCTTTTTGGTTCTTTTGATATCTATAAATTACACACACGGTTGTTCCAGCCAATCTAAAGTTGCTTTTCTCCCCATCTTTCGAAAAATGGCGGTTTCAGCACGCAAGATATATGATGGCCCAGTATACGACTGGAAAGATTACCACGCCTTTATTCATCTTTTCGAGACGTTAGCCAAGGAAAACAGTGATCGTACCTGCATCTATTACAAAAAGGGTTCAACTTACAAGACTTTGACATGGGAACAAGTGGATCGTATCAGCACCAATCTTGCTTGCCGCTGGTCATATTCCCTTGGCCATCTCGATGCACCTGTGGCAGTGCTTGCTGACCACTCGCTCGACTATCTCTTTTACATGATCGCACTCCTTAAATTACGCGTTGTACTGCAAGCATTATCGCCACGAAATACTCAGGCAGCTGTCACCAACATGCTTATCAAGGGAAAAGCAGGCTACATAATGGCTTCTGAAAAGTACGCTGACACTGGTAAAACAAGTGCAGATCAAGTGCAGATCCCCTATCAGACCTTGTTGCCTTTTGATATCGAGGCGTTGAGCCATGAGCCGTTGAATCCGGATGCTGCACACATTCTCAACAAGCGATACACTAAGGAGGATGAAGAAAAAATCGTCATCATTACCCATAGGTAATGTGTGTGGGCCCTTGTTTATAGATGGGAGTGCCTTTTATTGACAGCATGGGAATATTTTTATCACACCGACGACGACAGTTCAGGGACCACTGCATTTCCAAAATTGATTCCTCTTAGCAATCGATACATGTTTGTGCATGTACAACACTTTACTCATGACATGGCCCATCGGTACGGTGAAGCTCCATGGACTCTCGAGCGATCCGATATCTTTATGGTTGGATTCCCCTTGTAAGGCAGCTGCATGTAGTAGTGTATTGTTTTGTTGAGATTGAGCTAAAATGCGCGCATTGTGATCCCCTAGATTCCATATTGGCGGTATCTTTCAGGCTTTTTGTGCAATGATGCATCATGGCACATCCGTCTATTCACCTCTCCCGCTACAAGTCAAGGACGTTGTTGATGCAATCGAGCAATGTGGTGTCACCTACGTGTATTTTGCTCCTGTGCTTGTGGATCAGATCGCAACATACATCAAAGAAACCGGGGACATTGCACCTTTTAAAAAGCTCAAGGTGATCCAGTAAGTGATACTTAAAGGAGGATCATATTTAAATATTCACGTACTATTGTTTTCCAAAGGTTTGGAGGTGCGCCATTAAGACCTGATTTAGGTGAATTCCTTACATCACATGGCATACGACTTCAATGCTGCTATGGAGCTTCAGGTATGAAAGTTGTAAATGAGGGATGACTTTTGCTTTTACTCAAAGACGTATATAATAGAGTTTGCCATTAGCTTTCTCAATGATGATACTCGTGATGACATTCCTTGGAATTCAACACGACCATCCCATATCATCAAAGACTATTGTCATTTTGAACCATATGATGAGCAAGCTGGCACCTATCATCTCGTCATCAAATCGGGAGCGCCCAACCTAGCAACGGGTGTTGAAAATAGGCCTGATGGATTTGGCACCAATGATCTATTCATCCAAGATCCACCCAACTCGGGGTATTGGAGACATTTAGGCCGCAAGGATGACATCCTTGTAATGGAAAACGCACAAAAGACCAATCCAACACCCATGGAGTTTGCCATTTGTAGCGCCTCTATCGTCAAATCATGCACCGTTATAGGTGAAGGTCGACAATGCACTGCCACATTGGTTGAACTTGAGTATGAGCAAGCTATTCAATATACACCCAGTGAGATCATTGAACAAGGTATATGCCACCGTGTCAGACATTGTATACATGACGCTGATACCATTGAATAGTGCATGCGGCTGTAGCCAACGCGAATGCAAATGCACCCAACTACAGCATCATCCTTCCAGAAATGATTTACATCTTACCCTTGAGCAAACATCTCCCTACCACCGTAAAGGGCAACGTTGTACGTAAGAGCGCCATCAAGGAATTCGAAGACGTTATTGAGAAGATGTACACCAACTTTATGCAAGGCACTGGCAACACAAGAAATCCAGATACCAGTAATGCATGGCCAATTCAGGATATTGAATCATTGCTTGTGCAAGCTGCATCCAACGTCCTTGGGAAAAGCCCTACCCTAATTTCAAAAAACAAGGATCAATCGCTCTTTGACCTAGGTCTCAACTCGTTGCTTGCCATTCAACTACGCAATGCTATTGCCGCTAAATTTGGTCATATCAGCAACACATTCCTATACGAGCACCCATCCATCAAAGCCATTGCTACTGCATTAAGGTCACCAAACGCTGTCAAGAGCAATGATGAGCAACGATACCAGGAAACACAAGCCTTACTAGAATCATACATTGCACGAGCCAAGGTTGATTTTAGCCCATGTATCACGAACAAGGAGACTGGGGATGACCAGCAGCAGCAGCATGTGGTCTTGTTAACGGGCTCTACAGGCGCATTAGGCGCATTCATCTTGCATGATCTTATTCGTTCACCCAAAGTTAGCAAGATCTATTGCCCTGTACGTGCCACAACAACAACGAATGGAATGGATCGCATTATCGAATCCTTCAATGCTCGCCATTTGGATGTTTCATTGTTGGATAGCGGCAAGGTGGAAGCACTACCAATGAATTTGAATGCCGAGTACCTTGGATGGTCGAAGGAATTGTATGACCGATTAAAGCAAGAGATCACTATTGTTCAAGCATGTGGATGGCTTGTTGACTTTAATCAGCCCATCACCCATTTTGACAAGGAATGTATCCAAGGTCTTTACAACCTACTCAAGTTTGCGCATCGTCCCACAAACCCAATGCGTGTACACACCATCTCAAGTGTGAGTGCCACAGCTGCCATGAAGAACGTGGATCGTATCTCCGAAACGACTTTACCTCAAGATCCACACGTTGCTATGCCAATTGGATATGCACAATCCAAGTACATTGCCGAACATCTTTTTGATTATCTCACAAGAGAGAAAGGAATGCCATGTATTGTGGAACGCATGGGTCAAGTGTGTGGCGACAGCATCAAGGGAACATGGGGTATCCAGGAGCAATTCCCATTGATGATGGTTGGTGGTGGTGCCATGTTGAAAAAGATGCCTGACCTCGGCAAGATGACGATTGATTGGATTCCCATTGATTATGCAGCATCCAGCATCACTGATATCATGCTCAATACAACCACCACACCCATTGAACAATTAAGGGGCCGTGTATTCCATATCGTGAATCCCAACCATGTGAGCTGGTCTAATGTGCTTCAAGCGATGCAAGAATGTGGAATGCAGTTTGATGTTGTCAAACCCAAAGAATGGATAGCAGACTTGAGCAAGCATCAGGAAAATCCCGCGTATAGGTTGTTATCCTTTTATGAAGGCAATCTCCTTGGCGACAGCAACATGCCCATTTTTGAGACAACAAACACCATCCAATTCACAAGCTCCACTTTGAAGGAGGCGCCCATCTTTGATGCCAAATTAATGATGAAATGCCTTGCTTATTGGAAGGTGGTCAAATTTCTATAGATAGACACATGTACCTAAAGCACAATACAAACATACCTAATAACGACACTCCACTCCTTTGTATCATCTTTTTCAGGAAACTCAATCGCAATGATCCATATACATACGCTCCTCGATCCATTCACCAATCCCCATGTCATGTCCTTCATTATTTACAGACTTGTTGACTAATGATACATAAATGACGATTCAACTTTTATAATGCAAAATAATATAACATGACTTTCTCTACAAGATCCTCTCATCCTCCTTGGACGTGCATGACATCAAACCTATGAATATCGAAATGAGTACCGATGATCCATTTCCAATGATATGTATCGTTCTTACCCATAGCTCGTGCACGCTTGATAGCCTTTGCAAGCTTACGTTGGTTCTTGGCACTGACACCTATAGATGCATGTCGATATCAATAACCCATGATTCGAATAGAGGGAGGGAGATGTCGTCATTACCAGTTTGGTCCCGAGGCAAGATTTTGCCCATGTCTGAAACGAAAAGCGAGAGCAATCGGACGTTCTTGTATTCGTGAAGAGGATCAATGTCGAGTACTTCAAAAGGATCTTGATCAGGCTTGGCAGGTCGACCACGGCGTTGTCGAATTTGTTCCTGGTAACGTGCATCATTCAAATCCTCAGGATGATATAAATCACCCACTCGATGAATCTTTTGATAGAATCGTGCTTGTTCGCTCGAGAACTTCATTCGTTCCTCTATGAAGGATTGTTGTCAATACATTGATAAAGATAATAAACATGGTGCTTACTGGTAACATAATCCTGAAGCAAAGCGAGAGTCTGTTGTTCGATTTCTGGATAAAAAGAAACGAGTGTTGAGTGAATGAGTGGATAAAAGAGAGGGGTCGATCGATCTGGAAAGTACCTCGTTCGACATGCTTGACTTCAGTGTTGGAGTTGGAGTTGTTGCATGGTGCTGACATTGCAATTGAGCGTGTTGCAGCCATGTTGAATGGGCGTGTTGCGAGTTGACAGACGGCACGAGTTCGAGCAAACATTATGGTGTGGGAGGTGGAGGAGGAGGAGGAGGAGGAGGAGGAGGTTGGGGGAGAAACAAAGTCGACAATGTGTGTGTGTGTGTGTTGTTGGGAATAAGTGACTTGTGACTAGGCTGGGCTGGGCCAACTCGTTGTGTCTCATACAAAACAACCCGCTCTTTGTCCTTGTTTATAGCACGTATACACCTTTACTCTACTCTCCAAGACCACATTCTCTCGAGCCATGGACGATTCGTGGGACCGTTCGCTATTCGACAAGGAGCTCAAATCAATCCTCGATGCCAAGCTGCCCGTTTCTGCTTCCAAGATCAACGCATTGCAGTCCTTGGCCATCTCACATCCAAAGGTAACGTATGACAACAGCAAGGAGGAGGACACGTATAGATACGCATACACACTACGATGGATGCTAATATGGGATGATGATGATGATGATAGCACCACAACTATATTGTTCAATGTGTTGTTCGGTTTATTGAGACTGCTCCACCAGACTATCGGCTTGCAGGATTGTATGTGGTTGATGCCATCTCTCGTACAGTACAAAAGCAAATGAGGAAAACTGCCGATGAAGGGAACCAACATCCAGTGGAGACCGAGGTTTATCTTCGACGATTTGCGATTGTTTTGAAGGATGGTGCATTACGAGGATGCTTTATGCCATGTTCCAGCAAAGATAAGGTTAGTATTGTTGTTGATGATATCGATTGGAGAAGGAAGGCGGCGGCAGCCCATATCTTTTACTCGTTGGAACGCGCACAATCAGCCACATGAGGGGAAACGAAGGTTCATGGATAATTCAGCATCATGGTTTGACTAGCGTGTATGTATGGTGGGTATTGTGGATCATTCCAAGATGTGGCGTGCTTAGAATATATACCCGTACATGCGATATGTGATGTGACTGTGTGTGAGTCTCTCTCTTGCGATAATCGAGTGAGGGGATGCTTGCTGCTGCTGCTACTTCTCCAATGATATCAAAAGGTACTCAGGACATTGCTTCTCACAAAAAGTCATTTTCTACATCCATTTGTTTATCTCCTGCACCAATTGCATTGCCACTTTCACTTTATGCTGTCGAATAAAATAGGAGAAGGTGAAAAAGACACTCGACATCTGGGAACTGAATGGCGTGTTTACCAAAGATACGGTGGATTACATAAGACAATCATTCTTGAACCAAGATGATGCGACATCAAGTGGAAACTACGGCCAAAATAAACAACCACCTCAGCATCCCAACCACGTAGACTCGGTTCAATCAACTAAAGGTGCATATTCTTTTTCTTTTTGTGATACGGCAATGAGCAGAAATCACGTGCATTGGCATCAAAGTGTGAGAGATCAAAAAGAGAGGAAGCGGATGATACCAAAGGGGAGGAAGGTGGGGGAACTCTTGTGATCAAATTCACTCATACCCAACCTCTTTATTTTCTTTTTCTTTGTCAGTACCTGAACCTGTGGTCGATGCCGCTTCTCTTCTTGCCAAACTATCCTCCATTTCGGGTGGCAATCTTGCCAATCTTGCTTCAGCATCAACAAGCACAGCAACTTCGACATCACAAGCTCCTCAGCTATCAACACAACAACAAGATAAAGACAATGCACTACCTCCAGCTTTGGCTCGTTTACTTGGTGGCATCGTATCTACACCACCACAAGGATCATCATCCCAAGCACCAGCACCGCCAGCACCACCCATGGTGCCTATTCCAACTCCTACCAACACGGGTGTAATCAACAATGCATCTCCACCACCACAACAGCAACAACCACCTATGGCTGCAACAAGTGATCCACGTCTTCGTCAATTTCCTCAACAATCGCCTCCACCACGCTTTCAACCAAATGTACAACAACCTCCACCACGAACAAGACCATCACGTTGGAATACTGCTGCTGATGATACTCGTCCTATCCGCCGTGAACAACCACCTCTTTCATCCATGCCTCATTCACGTGATATGATGTCTCCCAACAGTCATCATCGCCCAACACCACCTCATCCTGAACAACATCTTCCAGGACCTGTTCATGATCCGTCATTGCAACCAGGCACTATTCGAGGTACATTTTACGACTCATGTAACATTTATCTATGTCATACTCATGATCCTTGTCCATGTAGTGCTTACACGGACATTATTCGTGGGAGCTTTGCCTGAATCCTATACACAACGAGATGTTGCGGAGATCTTTGAAAAGTACGGAAGATTGGGTAGCATTATCGTAAGTATTTTATCGAGAAATGTGCCGTGAGTGGGAATGACAGCTAATCTTGGGTTACACAAAAAGGTGACACGAAAAGCAAGAGTGAAAGCGAACGCATTTATCAAGTTTGAAACACGTGCTGGTATTGAAGCTGCTTTGAGAGACACTGGCAACCTTCGATTGGAAGGATCACCTGTCAAAGTAAGTTGTTGTTGTTGGGGGTGTCTGTGATAAGCAAGGTCATTGATGTTGAATGAATTTAGGTGAATTGGGCATATGGCTTTGGACCCAAGAAGATGTTTGATTACAAACTAGGCGAGTCGATCATACCCTTGAGCGAGTTATCCGAGAATGAAAAGTCGAGCCTAGTGACAGCACCTGTGGGTGGATTCCAAGGTCAAGCTGTGCAGGATCAAATGACGATTGAAGAACCTGAGGTGGCCTATCGGCCCGAATGGAAAAAGGATGAGCTCAACAAGTCGACGACCACCAACACCAACACCAACAATCGCCCACGTGGAAACGATGGCCCTGATGATTATTATCAACAATCTCGCCCTAAAAGACGACGTTTCGATCAACCATCATCATCATCACCTCCCCCAATGGGTGATATGCAACAACACATGGATCCTTCTTTATCCGCTCCACCTCCCACATGGATGTCGAATGCACCACCCATGCCTATGTCAATGATGCCACAATCCATGAATCAGTTTTATGCTGCTGTTTCACAACAACAACAGCAGCAGCAGCAGCAGCAGCGTTCTACTCCTCTTTCATCAGCGGATGCCACACCACCTTTTCAACAACAACAACAACAACCATCACAGCATGTCCCTTATCCTGATCCATATTAGCATCACTCCTTCATTCATGTACAAATAGTACCCTCCCACCTTTCTCTTGCTTTCGTGCTTTCCATTTGCATTATTCAACTCTAGTAAATCACAGAAAGGATAAAGATTGTTGACTATACACAATATTCCCCGGCGATCCCGAGTATCCATGCTATCAAGGGAAATGGATTGGATTTGAGTTTAGGTGTGTGCAACCTTGATGTACAAAAATGCTGTACTTCCCACACGTTTCGTAATTTAATTGTTTTCGTTTTCTTCCCGTTTCATCTTTCTTTCTCCTCTCAATGAGACAAACGCTTCCAGAAGGCTACACCCATGATGAAGGCATCCCGCATCCAGTAACGTTTCGAAACCCTGATGGCAACGTGTTGGAATTATACGTGGTGGCAAGCAATGTGATCCGTGTCCGACATTTGACAGCCAACAGCAACAACAACAACAACGTTGACCGCCCAAGAGTCTCTGTTGATGTACCACCCACCATTCAACAAGACCAACCCTTGTTTTCCATCAATACTACGACAAGTTCAAAAGAGAGCAAGTATGTGCAAGTGGAGACACCCGATATCCGTGTCAATGTGGAGTTGCCCTATCTACGTCTTGTGTGGCATGATAAAAAGGATGGCACGACTTTTGCCGAGGATTTACCAAGAAGAGCTTACGCGTATGGCGGTGGCAAGATTTATCATTATCGCAAACGCATATCAGGTGACAAGTACTATGGTCTTGGTGAACGCACAGGCAATTTGAATTTGGCGGGTCGGCGTTTTCGTTTGGAAAGATTGGATTCAATGGGCTATGATGCTGAAAACCAGGACCCACTTTACAAGTTTTCGCCATTTTATCTTACTCTTTCTCACGATGGTGCACGTGCCCATGGTGTCTTTTATACAAGCATGTCATTGAGCACCTTTGACTTTGGCCAAGAATTGGATGCGGTAGGTTCATGATGCTGCTATTGTTGGTTGTATTGGTATTTATCATTTACATGTGGATTATAGATGTGGGGACCCTATACAATGTATGAGGCTGAAACCCAGGGGCCACTTGAATACGTGGTGATGTATGGTCCATCGGTGCCATCGGTGGTTCGCACGTTTAGTCTTTTGACAGGTGCCCCACGTCATTTGCCGCCACGTTTCGGATTTGGATATTTGGCATCTTCCATGGCGTATGCTGAAGTGGACAATGCACAAGAGCGAATCGAGCAATTTGTGGCGGATTGTCGAAAGCATGATATACCTTGCGATGGTATGCATTTATCATCTGGATACACCGTGATGCCTGATAGCGGTGATCGATGTGTCTTTACTTGGAACCGAGAACGATTTCCTGATCCAGAAGGCATGGCTCAACGATTGCGTGAGCAAGGTGTGCACGTATTTGCCAATATCAAGCCATGGCTATTGCATGATAGTCATCCCGATTTCCCAGCGGTGCGAGATAGCAAGGGGCTTGTGTGGCAACATGATGGCAAAGGACCCAGTGAGGTGTGGCAATGGCGTGCAGGCCGACATACCATGGGCAAGGCTAGCTATATTGATTTTACGAGCCAAGCTGGATACTCCTATTGGCAGCAACAAGTACGCACCAAGTTGATTGATAAGGGCTATCACTTATGGCTTGACAATAACGAATTCGCTATGCTTGATGATAATGACACCTATGCATGCGAGGTGAAGCCTGATGGATACCACAATCTCGTTGTCAACGAAGCAACCACGACCAGTAGCAGAGAAGCTGGCACACCATTGCAAACACTCTTGATGGCCCAAGCATCCTATAATGCATTGCGTGAAGCTCGTCCCACCGAACGACCTTTTCTTATCACCCGTTCAGCTGTGCCTTATTGTCAACAACTTGTGACCCAAACTTGGAGTGGAGACAATAATACCGAATGGAAGACTATTGGCTATAATGTCTCTATGGGTGCTGGTGCTGCTCTTTGTGCAGTGCCCACAGGCTATGGTCATGATGTTGGCGGGTAAATCATACAACACACATCCCATATATATATAGCTTTGTTGCTAATAATATTATTCTATATAGATTTTCAGGTCCTAAGCCTGATCCAGAGCTCTTTGTGCGATGGGTACAACAAGGCATCTTGTGGCCACGATTTTGCATTCATTCCTACAACACCGATGATACAGTGACAGAGCCTTGGATGGTAAGAGGAGGGTGATTACATGTGTTTTCCTTTTGCCTATGACATGGTGGATTGCTTATTATACAAATTGGCTATTTCTAATAGTACGACGAAACATTGCCGACTATCCGTGAAGCAATGCAGTTGCGATACCGGCTGATCCCATACTTGTATTCATTGCATGTGATCCACTGCTACCGTGCATGCCAACCCATGGTGAGACCTGTATTCTATGATTTCCAAGATGATCCAAAAACACACGAGCAGCAATTTGAGTTTATGCTGGGACCTGATCTCCTGGTGGTTCCCATGATTGAATCAGGCACCACCACTCGCACCGTATACCTACCCAGTGGTGCTTCATGGTATCATTACCAAAGCGGACGTTATTGTGAAGGCGGTCAAATGGTATCAGTTGATAGCACCCTTGAGGACGCCGCATGCCCATTTTTCGTAAAGGCGGGTAGTATGCTTGCTTTTGGCAAGGTCATGAATCACGTTCATGCATTACCAGATAATGAACGTCGTGTCCAAATCTTCCCTGAACGCACGACCACAGGCGAACGTCGAACATTTACATTGATTGAGGATGATGGCAAGACGTTGTATCATGAGCAAGGTGGTGCTTTTGCAGAAGTGCGATTGTGGATGGAAGCAACGGAGTCCATCATCCGTGTTGGTCTTGAGATTCTTCATGATGGCTATTTCCCTGATTATGACACCGTTTGGGTCACATGCCCCATTCAAAGTGAGACTCGTCAGCTTGTCTTTGTCGACCCACAATTCAGTGGTCAAGAATACCAGCCCAAGGACCTTGAACGTATCGTCGATGACACTACCCTGCATTGCTACTATGGTATCCCCGTGCCTTGGAATAGACAAGCTCAAAAATAAAACGATCATGTTGAGGCGTCATGTGCATGATGATATTAGAACATTAGGTCCATTTTGTTATTCATTGTTGTTATGCCGATTCAAAGACAATCCACAGCTGAAAGGTTGATTGGTTACGTCTCGTTTCAATGCATGTAAATAGTGATCTCCGCCGCCTACCTTGATCCGTTTCTCTCTTGTAGGTGGTGGACCTTTTTTTTCCCAAACGAGGTAAAAACGATGATGCAATAAAGCACGCAAGCAGCTCCCCCCTTATCTTCTCTCCGCTTTGTCATCACTATGCGTTTGCGAGAATCTTTACCCACATGGCCCATTCTTGTCCCCCCTCATCAGTTATATAAAAATGTGCAATACCTTTATTATATTCAAATGTGTGATATTGGTTGACTTGAATGCAGGGGTGGAAAGGCGCAAGGGCCTTCTCTTGATTCTTTTTCTCTTCTTGGCTTTTGGGAGAAAGGGAGGATCAAGGAGTATGAGATCAAAGGAACAGCAGCAGGAGAAGTGGTGTGTGTGTGTGTGTGTGCCTATGTGATGACTTGGAAGAGTGAGCGAGGTCTTTTTCCCTTTTGAAATGATGATTCTGCCCACAAAATATGCGAGTGCCTTGTCTTGCCATGTATGTATTGGGCGTGAGCGATTATCACAAATGGACCCTTTCCTATTGGTTCCTTTTAGACAAATGAGCTTGTGCAACTGCGCATGGTCTCTCTTTCTCCTCCCCCGCGGGGAAGAAAAGCACATCATCATCCATTTTGTTGTACGCATGACGTGGGGGACGTCATGACAGATCCAATGGTGGTATGTGTGATGGTAACACCACAAAGAACAAGAATGATATCCACGTGCGTCCATGTATGCAAAGCGAGTCCCCTTTCCTAAAGCCATTATTATTGCTTACAACAGCAGCAAGCAGCAGCAGCAGCAGGAGGATCGATGATGATGATGATGCATGTTATGATGGAAAGCTAACAATAACTAATGTATGCCAAGCATAACACGTACACACACACACCCAGGGGAAAAAAAGAAACACTCAAGCAAGGAGATGTGTGGAAGGGAGAGAACCGAGTAAGGGAGCAGCAGCATCATGCTGCTGCTGCTGCTGCTGCTTAAAGCGGGTTGAGAACAAGAGCAACAGCAATGAATTGTAATCATGGCTATGAACGATGCAGCGAAATCTTATTTGAGCCTAAAAGAGCAACTCTGTCATTTTGCCGTTTTCTGTATCTCAATTGCGTGCAGGCACAAAAAGTGCTCAAATATCCGCATGACTCCTGATCAAACCTACACACAGCCAATCTCTCTCGGTACCTGCTCTCTTTGTGTCTCGCACAGGTTTCTCGCTTTTTTCACCAAGATATCCGCCTGCTTGCTGCTGCTGCTGCTGCTGATGTTAATGCCTTCATGCTCCCCCCAATAATTCAAAGGACACTTATAAAATCCATTCCGGTCGATCATTTTACACCCATCATTTCTCTCTCTTTCTCTTTCCCGTATAGCAGCCTTTCCTTGTCTCCCTCTCTTTTATTTCTCATTACAAAGCGTGCGAATGGTGGCAGGATACCAAACTTATTATTCCTCGACCGGTAGCTCCTCTTCTCACCATGACGAGCAAACCGGCCTATTGACTGGTCAGCCATCAATTTCGGCAACCCACTTCGATAAAGACTGGAATAGCATCATTCGTTGTAAGTCAATGGATGTACATGCCTTTATGTATAACGGTGGACTCATTTTCTTAAAGCATGGCTACCTTCATGGAAAGCCCTTCGACAAAGCAGACCTGTACAACTGATACCTTCCATTACCATTGGTGCTATTATCTGGTTTGGTGTTCCTGCAAGCGATGATCTCACACCCACTGCCATTCGGCTTCTTGCAGTGTTTGTAAGGTAAAAGAAAAAGAAAGAAGCATGGCATGTACCCCAACAAGTTGCTAGATGATCTCATATGGATGTTCTTTTTAGCTGCATCTTTGCATTGATTACTACATCTGTCGACATTTCGTTGTTGGTCCTATCAGGCTTAACTTTGCTTGCCATGACCCATTCTTTTCAATGCGAAGATAAGTTGACGGGCCGTTCAACCGAATGCCGCTTGTGTGGAACCGAGAATCCACTTACGGGTGATATTTACAAATGCAATGGTGCCAAAGAGTCATTCCATCATTCATTGGAAGGGTTCTCAAGCTCAGTTGTGTGGCTCATTTTTGCCGCTTTTCACCTTGGCAAGGCTGTGGAAGTCACTCATCTCGGTCGTCGTGTGTCTCTTCTCATGATCAAGCTGTTTGGAAAGCACATCATGGGTTTGGCGTATGCTATTGTGATCTCTGGTAAGCATGATACATAGCAATAATAATCTATCAATGGCAATAGGCTAATCATCATCACCCCTGTTTTTCATCACCATCACCATAGAACTCCTTCTAGCCCCTTTTGTACCAAGCAACACAGCACGCGGAGGTGGCATTGTGCATCCGGTAGTGCATTCGATTGCCACCACCTTGGGATCCACACCCACCAATGATCCCAAGGTTGGCGGGTTCTTAATGTTGGTCGGAAGCCATTCAAATCTGTTGTCAGCTTCCATGTATTTGACCGGTAAGGTCGTTACTTTTTTGTTCAATACCAAACATAGATGCATCATGTACTCATATATGGATTCGATAATAGGCATGGCTGCTAATCCCATTGTGGTGGCAAAGGCATCCCAACTCTATCCAGAGATGACCTTTGACTTTTTGACATGGTTCAAGGGAAGCGTTGTGCCTGGCATGGTATGTGCAGTAGCATTACCATTGATCTTGTATTGGGCATGTGGCATGATGTCCAACAAGAAAAATGATCATGATGAAGAGCAACTCGCTGGTTCGACAACTACTTCATCCCATGCTGTGGCTGCTAGTGGCAACAGCAAGGCTGCTCAGCAGGCTGATAACATCGATATTGTACAACATGCACAACTCGAATTGGAGAAAATGGGAAGCATGTCAGCCAAGGAATGGGTACGTAAGGTTTTACTTTGATATTGAAAAAATGGGATTTACTCATATTGTTGGGAACATGTGTAGCAACTTTGTTCAGTGCTTCTCATGTGCCTTGTGTTGTGGGTGACGTCGAGTTACACCAAGCTGGATGCAACATTGGTGGCACTCCTTGGTCTTGTTGTGTTGCTGCACATGGGCACCATGACTTGGAAGGATATTTCAAAAAATACCAGTGCCGTAAGTGTTTCTGATGCAAGATAAAAAGAGAGAGCGAAACATGCATGATGTATGTATGTGTACTATTTTTACTCATTGCATATGCTGCTATGTAGTGGGACACGCTCTTTTGGCTGGGCGGGTTTGTTACCATGGCACATCAGCTATCGGATGCAGGCGCCTCGGCGTTCCTGGGACATCGTATTTCCAACATGATTGAAGATCTCGGCCTTCCACCAGTACCCTTCTTGGCCATTGCCTATTTCCTTACCACATTCATGTTCTCATCTCTCAGTGCACACATTGTTGCCTTTGTTGCCACTTTCCTTGATGCTGGTCATGCTTTGGGTGCTAATCCAATGTTGCTTACGGTTCTCTTGGCCTATTTTGGTACTCTTAGTGGATGCATGGTATGTTTCCTTGATGGTGCTTCTCCCTGCATACGTTTATATATATATGCTTAACGGCCACCACATTCTTTTCTTAGACCAATTATTCCACCGGTATGGCTGCCATGTACTATGCCTCAGGCTACGTGTCACGCTCAAGATGGTTTATTATCGGTTTTCAACTCGCTTTGTTTTACATTGTGATCTATTTCACCATTGGTATGGGATGGTGGCGTCTCTTGGGTTGGTGGAACTAGGAGCTTTCACCAAGGACTTCTCCTTCTTTGTCTTTTTTCCCCCTTACAACTACTATTTGTATACCCCACCACGCATCTCATATTCTTCTTTGTCACATACACAGTATTATACATTCATCCCGCACTACTTTTACCCCAACAACCATAAAACCCCGTACACACACCACGCATCCCGTTTCCTTTTTCCTTTCTATCCAATTCCACACGTCGTATAATGCAATGGGATTCTTAATAATATAAACAACACCATAACAAGATCTTGCTGGTGCATGATGATGCTGCAGCATATACATACATACATACATTTGCCGTTTCTCTCTGTTCTATTTTACATGACAAGCTTTGGATCTTTCTTTATTCATGCACGGACAATTTATTTGTTTGTGAATGTTCCAATGCCGCCTGCTGCTTTCCATATGGCTTCATCCCACCATGTTATGGTTACCTAATATGCATACATTGGGATACCCTGTGGATGCATCGTTTTCCTCATCCAAGATCAGTATCCACTACAAGAAGGGCGGCGATAGGGTGATGATTTCAGCCGGCAACTCTTTACACCGAGGACATGGATGAAATGAAACAACCGTTTTACAACATTGGGACGCCACCACCCTTGTGAAACTTGTACAAATGATGGGAGCTACGTTCACTGTACTTTTGAAGAAGGCTCTTTTATTTTTCATTTTCTCATGATGGATGACGATCACGTTATTGCTCCCGTGCCTTTGGACGGCCAAGAACGCCTTGCTGCTCTCCAACACCTTGGTGCCTCTTTTCACGAAGGCCGTCGTCGTATTTCCAAAGTTGCTACACCAGCTGATGACATGGAAGACAAGATACCCGCTTTTGTTGATAACCAATGTGTCGATAACGATGACCAGGTATGTAACAAAAGAAGCCAACAAACGTATACCACCAATATCCTCATACTCCATTCCAGACCACAGGACCATCAAAACATCATCATTCTCCACACCACTATGCTAACCGAAAAACATTACCGGATCGAATACAATAAAACCCATATGGTTGGGGGTTTGTGTGCTTAAAACTTTTTTTCTTTTGCGTACATAGGAATGCAATATGAAAGTATACAGGGAATGATAGGTTTGTTGTAGCGGAATGGATAATGATGGATGATGTGTGTTGTGTTGTATATATTGCTGGGAGGTGTGCTGGGAGGAATAATGTGTATTGATGTGCGTGTGTGTGCGTGGGTGCGTATATAATGTGATGCGTGATGTCGTCTTTGTCTCTACCAATCCAGCCATATCTTGAAATACTCGCAATTGGATGGGTTGACAGGGCCATCGGGTGTACAAAAAGAGAATACCTTTTGAAGCAAATTAGATCCTTGTTCAACAATGACCACCATCATTATTCTTTCTTACCGGACATTTGCCACAGGGTATCTCTGTCAATGCTTCGGTTGGAAGTCGACTTGCCGTCCTACGTACTGCCTTGTATGCAAATGGCACCGACGGATCATCTCCTTCATCGTCGCTAAGGTCGTCATCTTCAAAGCCGGGAACGTAGGGTAACTTCTTCTCGACTACGCCATCATAAACCAAGACATCCAAAAGGCTCTCGATATCTTTGACTGAAAGATCGACAGAGGAGATACGTGACTCGGTGATGAATCTTCGCACTTCAACAGCTGTAGGATAATGCTCGTGCTCTGCGCTGTAGACTGCTTCACGGACTTGCTCATTTCCACGAGGAAAGCTCTACATATCCCTAGTCAGCGTGTATTCTCTCCCATTGATCCCATTGTTGATCCATTCTTACCCGCGCAGTGATATATTTGAGACATGCCGTTTTCAAGCTCTCAATAAACTCGATATCCAATTCCTGATCCGTATACCAAGCACCACCTGTCACTTCACTCGAAGGCGTCATGTTATACAACATGTAAATCTTGCGTGTAGGAAACTATGCAAACAAGCAATTAGCATCCATACATCTCGCCATAATCCTCTTTCATACCTTGACATGCTTGACAGCTTTGATCTCTTGTTTTTGTTCAAGTGCTTTCAATGTGCGATTGAGAACAATGGTGTGCATGTTGGTTTTCTTCTTGAGATCCTTCGTCCAGATACCCTCGTTGCCGGCACCACGAATGGCATTGTAGACAATACGTGCTTCATCACTAAGTCGACTCGCCCTAATCACCCATACGATTAACAACCAACTTACTCATGCCATCCATACATCTTCCTCCTCCACCACCTCCTCGAACCCTTACTTTTCAGCCTCCCTGAGGTCAATAGCACGCAGCATGTTTTCATTGTTGATTTGAACAACTTCGAGTGCATTCTATCATAATGATGTAACCCCCTATTAGCTAACCGGACAATGGGCAACAAGATGCCAAATCAACATAAATACATTACCTTTTTAAGCAACGAGTTCATGGCTCCATAAGCTTCCTCGACACCCATATTGGGAGGGCGATCGCTGAACTTGATGCCGTCCTGTAATAAATGGGGCACGCGCGTGTGTTAGTAAAGGTAAATCAAGCTGCAAATCAGTCCTTCAAGTGCAATGCTTACCTTTCCAGAAGCCTTTGCAAATTCATAGAAAGCGAATTCGACTTCGGAAAGACCGAATGGATTGGAGCCGGCCTCTGACATGTTGAGCAAGGAATTGAAGAGGGAATGGTTGTTGCCCAAGAAGAGGAAAAAAAAGTGGGTGCTGAAAGTCGACAGGCCAGTTCAGTCACGCAGCAGCAGCAAAAAAGAAAGCAGCAGCAGCATGATGGAGGGAGGAGATGTTCCACAAACAACGAGCTCAGCCTGGATCAGCTACAACAAGAGGAAGATGAGGATTGAAAGGTAATAGTAGTGAGGATAAGCATTAAGAATACACAAACACATGGCAACCACGCTAATATTATACTATGAATCGAACGAGGAACATGCACACGCCACATGAGATATTCTCTCGCCCATTTTCGTTTCTCTTGTTTTACTACCAAGCCGACAATCCCATTTTTTACTGGAGGGCGATCAAGACTTGGGCGTATCTTGTACAACAAAACCAAATGTCAACCCTATCATGATCATGGGAATGGTGCCTTTTTCTCTCTCATTCTCTTTCGGATCGGATGGTTACGTGTATACATGTATGTATCGGATATCTGTTTTACATGTCATGGTGCCAACCCACCCCGCTTATGTATGCTGAGGATAGCATCACGTACCTTGCGTGTGAAATGCTACATACAATCCCATTCAAAATCACCACCAACACCAACACCACGCGGTTCGAGGATAAGAAGGAGGAGGGACGCCCACAAAAGATGTTTCAGTCTAGTCATTTTTGGGATCAGCTTAGTATCAGTCATGTCGATATGCTAGTTTGACATTTGCAAAAACGACGACAGGAATAGAAAATAAAAGCTAAACGATGGTCTGGATCCTTCTGCGGATTGGATTGGAAAACAAACAATGGCCATCAATCTACAACATCCCACTTGCAAACATCGACCTACATCCATTGGGAATAAAACAATTGGCCGCTCTGCTCGTGAATGTTTTGCGAATGGGTGGAGAAGCACTACCACATGCACACACATTTGTGATACCTGGCCATATGTGGAACGCGTGCAGCGAGTATTAACTTGCAGTCGTACACAGTCTGTCAAAAAAATTAAGGACAAGGACATCTAGAAATCACCCAACATTATATAGAAGGTCGAAATTGTACGTATACAAGGTGCTTAATAAACGTTTTGTTCTTATATATAAAACTTTTAGAGACATGGGGAATAACCAATGCTGATGAAGAAAGGACATGATAATAGATAGATGACTTTTTTTAGGGAAGGACATGCTGGATGAAGGTTACTATGAGATACATGATGGTTGTTGTGATGTTGATGTGCGCCGAAATGATGGCGAGTGTGAGAGTTATGTGTGTGTGTGTGTGTGTGTGTCTTTTGTGAAATGAGCAAAAAAGCAATATGGAATGTTGAAGGTCAATTGACAGCTGGAGGTTCGATGAAGCTCACTTGAGAAATGGACATCGGACTCGTTGATGGCCATATTTACCACACCAAGAGCTATGAGAGAACGCATGTTAGTTAGCCTCGTCAGCCATCTACAATGCTTGATCATGCACACGTACCACTGACCACCGGTGGTGTCAATAGGCCTTGGGAAACCATAACTTAAGGGGGCAGCAGGTGCAATACTTGAGCAACGGCTGGGATGTTTGCAAGTCATAGTGATAAGAGATGTTGTAAACGAGGAGAGAGGAATGAAGAAAAGGTATGTGGTGGTCGTTGCTTTGAGTCACCGTTTATATAATCATCTCGTCTTTTTAGTCGGGACCAAAGATTATTGGCACACAAGAACAAACAAAAACGAAAGAGCTTTTCTCCTTGACACACGAAACCTTTTATCATCCTGTGTATCAACAGCATATCAAAATAAACATATGCTTCTTTTCTTTATTATAAAAAAAGGACCTGTGCGTCTTCTCTTATTATGCCTCCGATCCCTGATGATGGTAACAATGACATGGCACACGACGTTGTATATGGCAAAACGTAAAAGGAGCGTCTCTTAAGGTCTTGTTATTGTCTTTGTATTGCCACCGCAGCATTGGATTTTTACCGCATTAGCCATCAGATCCGAGGTGGAGCCATCCTATTGTCAAGATGGGAAAAAGCACAGACAAGGAATAAAGAGCAGCACATACCGATCGCCGAAAAAGACCGACACACACACGCACACACATACACAATCTTAAACTTTGTTCGAATCCCACATTATGGCCATGACACTACTACCATCTCGGAATCGATCATCCGTGGCGTAACCTTATCCATGCACAGCGACCTTTCAAAGAGTCTTGCCTTTTCCATACCATGCCCTGACACATTGTGTAGCTTTTTGCCGGTGACAACTATACCCGGGTCAGCTATTATGGGAGAGTGACTTTAAAAAAAGTCCTGCTTTTTCTTATGAAATAAGCGCGGCATGGGCCCGGTAACACATACTATACACAGTCAAGCGCCAGTGCTGATGGGCTGAAACATTTGTACGTGTGTGTGCGTGTGCCAGCTTTGTGTTGTTATTTGGGAAAAAGAAAGGATTTGACAAACATCAACCAAGGTATTCGATAAACAGTTTGAATCTTAACTTTGTATTTGCCGTTTCTTTTTTCTCATCATCATCATCATCAGGATCAGCTTGCACGATCAATTACCATGATCACCAACATGACCAAAAGTACGCCCAAGACCGTAGCAGATGCCATAAACACCGAACCTCGACTTGCTGGAAAGTATCCTTTGCACATGGCGTGTTGGGCATGGAAATAGCGAGCATTGCCAAAATAAAGGAACAGTAAGCTGAAACCAACAAAAATGACGCCGAGAATTTGACCCAGTCGTTTATGATGCGTGTGGCCTTGACCTTCTGATGACAAGTTATAAAGTTGTGTGATGGCTAAATAATGCAAAAAGTAAGCATGCAGCCCTTGTTGTTGACATGCGATGACTTGCCTACGCCCACTGTGATCAAGGAAATCGATGTCCTGAGCCACGCTAGGAATGTCCTTTCGTTTGCTGTGTTATGTGTAGATGAGTGTAAGTTATACTTGTACCCAACAAATATTTGGTGCCGCCCGTGCGCGCGCACACACACCCCTCACCAACGATGTTGAATCCATGCATTTCAATTCCTTTCTCTTTCACTTTTCACTTACCCAAATGATCACGTGCGACGCTTGCGGTGTTTTCAAGCAGTAATGATTGAGAGTATTTTGTGTATAAATGAAAGGGTTTGGCTGCAATCTTTTTCGAATGGCTTGCAAACGACATCTTGTCGCATAGCTCGTTATATATACTAGATGCCCTGCTATTCCTTGCGGTAGGAGAAGGTGATTGAATGGTACGGCGGCTATCGTTATCATGGAGATGCAGAGTGCTAGATCGACCATTATTGCTATTGCTGCTAGGCATGTTCCATGATAATTGTGGGCTGGAGGTTTGAGCGGAGACTTCTATTGAGGAGGTAGTGGCCATTCTATGTATGTTTGTACAATACGAAGAGAAAGCAAAAAGATGCAATTGAATGTTTGGAAGAAAAAAAGAGAAGAAAAAACTACCCCATCGTGCATCTCTTGTAACAAAAAAGAGGGTGAATCGGCACAAAATGCCGTATGGGATGAGGGGGATACATGCATGCATACACTTTACAAGATTACACGCTTATGCAATAGATTCATGCAAATCCAATGTCGATCATTTACCCCTAGTAGTAGTCACTCTACGTATACTGTAAATATGCGTGTGTATGTTTGATATACTGCCGGAGGGGGAGGAGAAGGATGAAATACGGGGATTAAAGGCCAATCATGGGGGATAATCATCATGTCGTGATTTGTATGAGTAATGGATCCTTGGAAGTACAGATAGAGAATGAATGAATCATACAATGGCGTGCTTTGCTGACTCCGAGCTTACAAATGCTCTTGTAATCCATGCAATACATAAGCTTTACTCAGCCTCCCCACCCTTGCTTTATATTCAACCGTAGACTCGATGCTCTTTCGTTTTTCTCACCGCACCTTTTTACTTCGCACGACAACAACAACCACTGTAAAACCAACTCGACGCTTTTTCCAAGCAATGGCAACTCAACAACAAGAATCAAAGCAAACTGGCATTCTCAACTGGGCTTCCAAGGATGGTGAATTCCGACGCCAAGTCTCCAGCTTCCGCGATAGCATTAGCAATGAGCCCGGTAGCCGTTTCACTCCAGAACCGTAAGTTGGGATAAACTGCTATAAGGGTAGGAATGGATATTGATTGGTAATGTATTATTATAGAGATCGGTATCATCTTTATGTATCACTTGCATGTCCATGGGTATGTCATACAATGCATGTTACGCGTCTCTTTTACTAACGCGTGCATTTTTAGGCCCATCGTACATTGATCGTACGTGAACTCAAGGGATTGCAACCATTCATTACTGTCTCGGTGGTTGATTATCTTATGCTCGATAAGGGATGGTAAGTGATGAGGACAATGGTTGATTGGTATATGCGCATCATTGTTGACTTTGATCCACAAAGGAAATTCTCGACTCCTGAAGAATGTCCAGGTGCTATCCCAGACACTGTCAACAATGCTCAATACATCAGAGAGCTCTATTTCAAGGTTGATCCCAATTATAGCGGCCGTTTCACTGTTCCAGTGCTATGGGATAAGAAGACCGGTACCATTGGTAAGCTTTATTTGGGTTGGATCAAAGAGCAAGCGATAGAGAGCTCACCACCATCCTCTTTGTTCGTGTAGTCAACAATGAAAGTTCAGAGATCATTCGCATGTTCAACACAGCATTCGACAGCCTCTTGCCTGAAGAAAAAAAGAAGATCAACTATTACCCCGAGCCTCTTCAAAAGGACATTGATGAATTGAATAGCTGGGTGTATGACACTGTCAACAATGGTGTATACAAGTCTGGATTCGCTACTACCCAGCAAGCTTGTAAGGATGTCAAATCATGTGCTGCTATACCCTCTTTTACTCACAAACGACGTAGATGAAAACAACGTGTATCCACTCTTTGATTCTTTGGATCGTATCGAGAAAATCCTCTCTGAATCCGACTACTTGGTCAAGAACACATTCACTGAAGCTGATATTCGTTTATTCACCACCATTGTGCGGTATGTTGTTATTGCCAAATGTCTCAACGCTCGAAGGAAGGCTCATGCATCATCTATTACAGATTCGATCCCGTGTACCATGGTCATTTCAAGTGCAACAAAAAGTCGATCGAAAAGGATTACCCTAACATCCTTCGTTGGACCCGTCGTATTTACCAAATGCCCGGTGGTAAGTGTACCTGATATCCTCTTCTTCCTCCTTCTCATCCTCTAATCATTTTTATCCTCTAGTTGCAAGCACTGTGAACATGGATCACATCAAGAGACATTACTACATGTCCCATCGTCAAATCAACCCCACCCAAGTAGTCCCTGTAGGCACTGGTCCTGATCTTTCCCTTCCCATTGAATAAATAAATATGATTTTGTTGGATTGTTGGCATTGAAAAGCTTTATATACACACAAAAGGGGTCGTCTCTTAAACACCTTCGAGCTGGCGTTCCATCTCATCCAATTCATCCTTGACACCTTGGTGCTTAGCTTCAAGATCCTTGTTCTTGGTATCCCATTCCTTGACTTCCTGCTGTAATCTCACAGCCTTCTTGCCAAGTTGTTCAGCACGCAAATCGGCTTCACGGAAGCTATCACACAAATTGGTTACTATGACGACGACTACGACTACCACTATCATCATCCACCCACTTACTTTTCGTTAGCTTCCTTAAGATCAGCCTCTGCCTTTTCGAGTTGCTCTTCCAACAACTTTGCACGTTCTTGAAGGTCGTTGAGCTGATCATCCTTTTCATTGTGCTCAGTCTCCAACGTCTCCACCTTGGCTTCGAGTTCCTGGGCACGCGCGTTGGCAGCATCGACCTCGCTACGAAGGGATGCAAGTTTCTAAAGTAGAGAGTTAGTTACATCTAGTGCTGATGGTGCCATGACAACGGCCATCTAGCTATGTGGCATGGTGGTTGTACTTGCCTCTTTGAATTTCTCCATGATGTGCTGCTAGTGAAAAAAGAAGTGTAAAAATAGAATGTGCTAGGCGGTGACCAGGTTGCGTGTTCTCATCAAGGTCGCGTGGCTCCTCACACGGCGTTTGAATCCTTTGGCTTAGGCACGTTGTATTCTGCTTTATCCGTCGACTATCCATCACGCTTCGTTGTTGCCATGTCAATCCAGTATCTCTCTCATCATGCATCAAAGTTTTAGCTTTGAACACCCTATCTTTCAGGGGTACAAGATGATCCGTGCTCTTTCTCTCTAGTAACATTTCCATCCCCCCTTCAATCCCCCCAAAGTCATTGTTCAAATACAAAGAATAATACATTTAGCTTAATGCTTTCATTGGCTTGATTCTTTATAATACACAGTGGTTGCTTTAAAAGATGTTGGTCCTATACAGAAACAATCACCCTCGTTAAGCAGTGCGTTATCTTGAAGATTAGTTGATACCAAAACGGTATCTACTACATACACTTGAATCATCAATGGATATCAAGCTGTGGATGTCATATACAATAGTAGGCACATTTATTCATTGGACAAAGAGTATGTGTATGTATGTTGCTAAGGATACTAGTATAGGGTTTAGCTATAGATCGAGCCTATAAAGGACTCAAAGGAATAAAAGTGTGGTCATTACGCAACATCTTTTGATAAGTCGATAGGGTCACCCTTTGATATATAGGCGGTATCCAAGGCCTTGTCATTGTACTCTGAGGGTTGCTATGAGAGTGTGATAACGCATGAATGGGCGAAGCAGAGTAAATTTTTTGGTTTCTCTTCTCTCTCTCTCCATATACATACCATGTCAAGTGAAGCACCCGTCTTTGACAGCGACATGGCCGATGCGCCACCTACTGAATTCAATATGCCAGAGCACGATCCTGCTGACGATGAGGTGTTGACCGAGATCCCTGTCTTTTTGAACACAAAGTTGGCCAAGCACATGTACATTTTCCAGTATCCCATGCGCAACATTCGATTCGACAGCCGTAGTGGACCCAAAGCAGCTCGCATCAAGCCGAATGCAAATATGGTTGAACTTGATCTGCCGTTGGATACGCGATCCGCTTATTACAGCACTGAACGTGGTGAAGATTTCGCCATGGGTATGAATGAAAAGAGCATCAAGACAGCCTACGACAAGCGTATGGAAGAACACGAGGAGGAGCAAATGTATGGTCGATCATCCACTGCCAAAAAGGAAGAAGAATTGTTGGACCGTATGACGTTCAGCTCAACAGAAGTGCCTTCACAAACCAACTATGTGGTGGGAGCCATGCGTGATGGTATGTGGTATGCGCACACAAAATGTTTTGTAGATGCTCACAAAGGTTGATATAGGCGAGTTGCATCTTACTCCTGTTCGCAGCACCATCCAAATGCGTCCGGCATTGAGATACATTGACAAGATTGATGAAAAGTTCAAAGCAGCCAACAAACGGATCCAAGACATTGAAAAGGATGATGCTCCTGCAAAGAAACCCGCTCCATCAAAGGCACAGGCATTACAGGTAATAGAAAGGGAATGGAATGGAAATCTTGGATCATCAAGTGAATCTCACTATGATGGCTTTTTTTATTCAAGGTATCCATGAAAAACACAGAAAAGGAGAATCCAGCACGAAGAAATGCATACTCGATGGCAGTGCGGAATGCAGAGGAAGAGAATTGGATCCCTGTGGTATATTATGATGAAACGGTAAGTGGATATTGAGGGTATAACGTGGGTGTTGGATATCATTTTAATTTGGGAATGTGGGGTATGTAGACACAACAAGCAGAGATTATGTATGAAGAGCTCTTTACACAAGAAAAGGAATCCCTCAATTGTACAACATCCCGACCCCAGTATCTTAACCAGCTTAGTGGTGTTGGTAAATAGATGCACTTTCCTCATCCATATCCATTTATAAACCATCATGCAGCATATTTGACAAGACACACAAAAAGCAATGTTACATCATTTATTCGAGGACGGCGACTTGGAGATCACAAAGAGTTTCAGGAGATGGGCCAGGTGCATTAACGACACCAGCCTTGATGAGAGTGGACACAGTGACTTGGAGAGCACGGCTTGATACATGCGAATGATCTTTGGCGTAGGACACGGTCTTGAACCAGTTGCGAACATCTTCTTCCTTGTAATTGAGAATGTTCATGACCAGTTGCACCGATGTGTCTTCCTTTTGAGCCACAAAGAGGTCGGTAGCTTTTTGGATAGCTTTGAGCGTACGTTGCAAATCAGCAGCATGGTTTTGTAAAAGATCCACGTGAGCAGCAAAGAGGAAAGCAGGCCATGGGGGCGTGATTTGACCGATACGTCGCACTTCACCCGAGTCATGGTATGGCTTGGTAGTAAAGGTTTCCCACATGAAGAAATCGGATGAATTATCATTGACAGAGTCTCGCATAGCTTGGAAGTTGTTGAGCACGTTGAAACCAAACACGTCCGATTCATTGTTGTTGTTGCCTTCAAGCCATCCTTGTTGATCAGCCAACACGTAGGCCATAATGTGTGATCCAGAGCCATATCGCGAAATGGCCACTTTGCTATGGTTCAATGTATCAATGGAGCCATGCTTGGATTGAGAACCAGTAGAGATAGCCCAGCAGAGAGGTGCATCGACGTAAGTGCCCACGATCTTGTACCAATCTTGGCCCTTGCTAATACCAGCAACAAGTCCCTCCGTCAATGCAATCGCAAGATCAATCTCCCGATTTTGAAGCTTTTGTGTCATCTATTATTATACGCGTGTCAACCATCATATTTGAACGCATCCTATAGCCCATGCTTACTTCACCAGTGCCACCTATAGATATACATACAATTGGTTTAGTACATGTTCTCGTATACAATCTCTATAATAAAATAAGGGCTTACCAGGGCAGCAAACAAGTTGCACTGACACACTGTTCTCCTCAAAGAAACCTTGGTCGCGAGCAATGTACAAAGGGGTTGAGAAATGCTCGGGTACTATGGTAGTATACAACAAGCATAAAGGTTAGCAGCAGAGTCTGTAATGCACACGCTTTTCTACATTACCGTAGCCAATTTTGATGGTGGTGGTTGCCATGGTAGGTTTTGAATTAGGAGAACGGAAAGGAAGTTTCCACGCCGAAACATCTTTAATCTGGCGCACATCATCATCGACACACCCACCCGCCATATAAGGAAGTGTTACTGCTAAAAGGCTGCATATTTCACAAGACCCGGTATCATCATGAGGGATTGTTGTTGTTGGTTTGGCGAGTCATCACATGGCAACATGGATGGTAGTAGTAGTATTAGGATTGCGTCTTTTGCTTTGGCGGTCGTAGATAGATGGCCCCCATTTGACCTACATACAATACAATGATGTGCTAGAATTTATTGTGGGTTGAACCATTGTTACTACATACATGTGGATGACTATAGTACATAACGCATGATGATGATGGGAAAGGATAAAAGACTATGTGGTGCATCAACAAATGATTTCCTTGATGGTTACTTGTGAGCCTAATCTCGATTGGGCATACAACAATGCTTCACGAGAAAGGGAACAAGGTTGGATAGCAGAGGCTTGACCAAATACAAATTCACGCAAAGAGGAACCCGAAAAGCTGTCAACGAAATAGCGTAACCCTGTGTCGCTGATATAAAAACATCGCGTTGTTTGTAATCGTTCAAGCATGACAAGATTTCTGCCAATAGCGTCAAGGACCTTATCAGTCAATGCCAACATGGAATCAAGATTTAATTGGCGTAGACAATGTTTGCTGTGCGTTTCTTCCACAAATTGTACCAATGCGCTGGGAGAGACCAACAAGCAGCCTGAGAGTGATAATGATTCAAGATGGTCCAATTGACTTAATGCTTGTAATCCTTCGTCGGCAAGGAAATCAAATTGGGCAAGCGATACCTCTTCCAAGTGTGGACATTGTGATACCAAACGTACACAAACATCATGCGTCTTGAAGCATCCCATCCCTGACGTCAAGCAAATCCTTTTGAGATGTTGAGCATGGCCTAAGGTCGATAGGCCTGATGACACGCTACGAGCGAGATCGTCTGAGGAAAGATGTAACTCGAGCGTTTCAAGACGTTGATCGTATTGAGAAAGAAATGTGGCAAGTCCTTCCGATTTGATTCGATCCACGCCACGTAGACATAGTAAACTTGTTGTAGTACCACCAGTAGTAGACGAGGAGGAGGCGGCGGCGGCGGGGTTGATGGTATCTGAAAATATGGTTGTCTCCAGCCTCGGACAATAACGTGCAAGTGCATCAAGGACATCGCCCACGTTTCGAAGGTCGTGTGAATTAAGTCGTATGTGCCTCAGGTTGGGTAACACGGGAATCAGTCGTTTGATCAGGAGAGCATCCAATTTGATGATATTGTCAAAGTCCATCTCCAACCTCTCGAGTGGATGTTCATGAATTGAAAGTGGAGCCAATGATACCACAGGAATGAAGTTGATATCCCAAGATGAGTAATAGGTGAGGTGTTGAAGATATGGACAATATTGTAAAATGGTATCCAACACAATCTCAGGAAGTGGGTTGCAAAAGCCATGTTCCAATTTGAGCGTCGTCAAGGTACTGCCAACAAACATACAAAATCGTCGGATATCTCTTCCATCAAACTCCTCTCGTAATGTAGCTATGAACGATATACCATTATTAAGCTATATTGATCCCCCCTCATTTTCCCTCCCAACCCTTTGTAGTATGTACCTGTGTGGACGTTCTTTGGTAAGTGGCGTGATATATAATCCAACGAGCCGGCTTTAATGGATAATCTTTGGACATGATCCCACGGTAAGCTCCTTTGATATGCTTTCAGGTCCTTTTCAAAGCTGCAGCATTGATCAGATATCTCGAACCAAAGACCAGGCCAACTGAAGAGAAATGCATTCCACGATTGACAGACACCGGTACACTTGATGCATTCACGGAATGAAAGGCGATTGAAAACAACGTCGAGTACTTCGGAGGGGAATGAAGAAACAAAAGAGCCGTTGTTGGTTTTGTTCAGTGTCGTCATGGTAACAGTGTTGGCAACGAGAAGAAAAAGAATACAGTGTGAAAGATTGATTAATGGAAAGTGCAACAGTGCAAAGCCAGCTGCATGAAAATACGATCACTCATTATGCTGCCTGACAATGCCACATGGTGGTCCTTGATAAGGTATATACACATATGCATACGCATTTCTCCCATCATGTATTTCTCTCACCCAACATTCAACCCAACAACTACAAATGACTATCCATATCATTGTGAATCTCTTTTGACGACAACGAGAACTCTATTATCATCAGCCTCCTACAGGTATTACAATCCAGATAAATTGCAGTCGGCGCCACGCAACACAGACCAATCCTAATTTTGCTACTCAGCAGCGTATGGCTCGCTTCATCCACCTTATCTATCAGTGCACATTACTGTATTCAGCATACCATCATACGTGACACACCAGGTGGGTGGCCATTATTGCGGCAATCAATCACGAATCCTACAACAGCCGTATTCCTGATGTAGTGGTTCTTTACAAGTGACAAGATGGTTCAAGGTGAATTGGAGGGTGCAGGGTCTACCATTGGAAACACAAAGAGCGGGAAAGCGGCTGCTATGGTGATAGGTGTAACCATGTATGGAGCCGTCAAAACAAAGAGAACTTCTCCTCCTCCTCCTGCATACTTACTACTTCTTTGTTCCCTTTACTCGCTATGTATATTCATATACTTGCTTCGCCCAATGATAGGAATACGTGTACGCAATCTCGTGATCACCAATAAAAGCGAGTTTATGTGCCTGCAATTGGCAGAATAATGTGATGATGTCAACAAGCTTTTACCTTTCTAAAAGGTCGTATCCTTATTTGTGTCAATCAACAAGCTCTCACAAACAAAAAAGTGGGCGTTTAATGATGCATCTTGATATCAGTCAACTCACAACCATCCATCAACACGAGACCCACTCTTTATGAGATTTATGGTATTGAAGTACCAATTAACATGTCAGCCGCCACGTGAAGCCATGTGTGTGTGTCTGTGGTGCTGAGATCGCTTTCCCTTCACACTTGAAATCATCGTGAACTAAGCTTCTTTAAAGAGCTCTTTTGCCTTTTTCGAAGTATCAGATGATGCCTAATCAGCATGTATGTGATACACCAGCAGTGGCGACTTTTATTCCTTTGCTTTGCGGATACCATTATCCGCTGGTCTTTCTTTTTCTCTCTCTTTTTTCTTTTCTTTATACCTTTATCTCTACTACAACACACTACTTGAATCCACAATCATAACATCCTCATGGGAAATCGATACAGCAATCCATACGATCCTTATTGGTACGACTACGATCCAATGTATGGCGGCGTAGGCGGCTATTATGACTACAATCTCAGTGCAGTGAGTGTCTTTCGATATTGATGGGTGCCTATGATGGATTTCTAATGACATTGTAAAGTGGCGTCCAAGGAGTAGAGGATTGTTTGGGAGCGGGTATGGGTATTATTACTCGCCCTATGCATCACCGTACGACTACTATTATCCAGCAGCAACACAATACCCATACTTTAACAATTACTACCAGCCGATGATGCAGCCATATTATTATCCTCGAACGCCCTATTTCTGAACGTGTATATAATAACGATCGCTTCTTCTTTCTTCTTTACTTTTGTTTGTACTACTGCTATCTCCTTTCCCTCCCTTATATACATATCCCTGCTCCACTTTTCACCACCACAAGCAACATACCCACCGGCTCAACGTTGATTGTATTGGGCTATAGAAATCCCTTGTATACAAAATAAATCCGACATCTGACCTAATTTGTCTTTTGAAATCGGCGCAGCCGTTCGTTTATTTGGTGGCACTTTCTTGTCAAAAGACGCACACAGCAAATGCTTTGTCATATGGGTATTCTGTATTCAAGAATAGATAACGTGCCATCAACCGTGATCGGGCCACTATAGGTGGTTGTAAGCCCTCTTCGTCTTTTCACATCCCCGTTAAAAGTACAACACCCTTTGTGCTCATCAGCGGGATATGGAAATAGAAACACGCATGACAGCGGAACAACGTATTCCGTTCCCGGAGGAGAAGTTGATCGCGCCGTTTGGCTGTGTGTACAGATCGCCCTTGTACATTTTGAGTTGTCATGTCGGGAGAAAAACAAAACATGGCCCCTCTTTCTTATACAACAATGAGCATTGTGGCCCATTGGAAAATGATGGATGATTGTATGCTTTGCTCACATGTCGCATGATCAACCATAATAAGAGGCTTCTTCTTGATCCTACCTCCGCACACACAAAGCGTGGTGTGTGAGAGTCTTATCAAGTCTCATGTCCGTGGACGATCCATTTTTCTCACAGAACGTGATGAAGTCATGCTTAGCATATACATGTGTTACCATGCACATAGTCTCTACGTCTCCTCAATAACATACAACAATGCTGCTGTTGGGTGCTGTAAATTTTATCATCCTCAATGATGCATGTTTTTTGACGAGTCATGATTGGTGCTATGCTAGAAGTGATCCAAATGCAGGGTCATAGCAACGTGCGTGGCGCATTATATCATTGAGAGGTGTGTATTTGACATGTCAATCGGATTTTACTTTCACAAAGACCGATGGGAGGTCCCTTGAAAAAATTGATCGCTGGATGTTGTGGCACATTGATACTATATTATTATTGCCATGGCAACACAGAGCAAAAATAAAGGTTCCTGGCAACGTCTTTATTACGTCGTCGTAATAGCCATGCTTTCATTTTGCATCGTAAACAGTCGAACAGCATCACATCATTGGTCTCAATATAAACAAAGCACGTGGCCTTTCCTCAGCTCTCCCAAACATGCGGTTTGTATTTTGATGCACCAATTGCCATTCACCGACGGCTGATCATGTGTTGTAGTTTGTGGTGCGGAGGTGGTTAAACAATGTACGCACGTCATTCACAAGCTGAGTAATGTTTTCTCGAAAATGGGAAGAAGGATACATGTATTCTTTGGAAGCGTTTTATGTTACAAATGGAATGATGGTCCAATGTAATAATAGTAATAGGGTAGTAATAGTGGTATCAGTAGATGACAGGGAAAGCAAAAAAAAAGTAAAAGATGAAAAAAGAGGAGGGATGTTGTGTGGTTCTTCTATGCTTGATTGTCACCATAGCCAGCCCAACGTCGCATGTCTTGACCTTTCATCTTGACAACGAAAAAGAGAAACATACCAAACATGTTGAGACCAGCAAGGAGTACAGAGAGATATCCAGGGCCTATAGCCTCGACTACGGGTTGTGCAATAAGACTCAGCACAGCTGCCATGCTCATGCGCATTAAATTTGATGCCGCTGTCACCGATGCACCTTGACCTGGCATTGAATCAACGAGGTATGCCATACCTGCTGCATAGACTTGACTCATTCCAAAGCAGACAACTCCAAATGCCAAGATGGGTATCCATACAATCCATTGTGCATTAACACCCCACCCAAACATGAGTACGCCAAATGGTACCAATACCACACCACCAGGCCTAATAATAAATGTTAGTGCACGTTCATATAAATGTGTGTTGTTGCATCTAGTACCATGCATTGATAGTAAGTCGATCTTCAGCCTTGGGCGTACCACCACGTTTTTGCCGTGCTCGTTTAAGCAAGTAATCGGATACACGTCCCGATACAAAGGATCCTAAAATGTTGCCCATGCCTGCTCCAAGGTAACTAAGACCCGTTTGCCATGATGCAAAGCCATACGTTGTTTCGAACAAATCGGGAATCACCGTTTCAATAGTGAACATGGTACCAAAACAGCTGCCCGTTTCGAGAGCAATCATCAACACAAATAGATGCCGTAACAGAAATACGCTACGCACAGGGTTAAGTTTACGTAGGCGTCCTGAAGAATCCGATATGGGTGTATCCAATGTAGGTGACATGCCCGTCAAAGACGCCGTTGCAATGGTGCTACCAATATCCACGTGTTGTTGCTCTTCATCCACTGTCAAGTTATTGGTGCTACTTCTTTCGGTGGCTGTTGTTGTTGTTGTTTCGGTTGCTGACAAGCCATTTTGTTGTTGTTGTTGCACGCGTTGTCTTTTCTCTGCGTCAAGAGGTTCCCATTTTCCCTCCATTCGATACGTCTCGGGAAGGAAAAAGAATAAAAAGGTAAACAAAAAGATACCATATCCAGCACAAAACCAAAAGGTAGATCTCCAGCCAAGTACAGTAGTAAGTCCTCCGCCAAGTATAGGTCCTATATATCATTGAGAACCAAATCCAATATGCAGCATGTGCCTTTCAGCTTACCAACAAGAGGACCAAAGAATTGACCAATGAATAGGATACTGAATGCAGCACCACGTTCGGTGATTTCCCAGCAATCGGATACAGTGCCTGCACCCACCGATACCGTCACTATCATAAAATTCAGCCTACTATTACCCTTAGGGTGGCATTATGAGCGACTTACCCGATGTTCCAACTGATTGCACGCATCGTAGAATGATAAGCATATACACATTCAGTGATATGGCACAACCAACGGACGCCACCGAGAAAATCAGGAGTGAGACAAGATACAGAAACCTATTTTACATCCATGAACCTTCTTTTTCTCTATGACATGGTTGAAGCATGTTTGGTTTGGCCCGACCTAAACTTACCTTCGAATATGGTAGTAATCCGACATGGATGCCCACATGATTGGCTATTTTAACATTTGAGTGGCATGAACAAGTTAAAGTTCAGTTTGCGTCAACTTACACCAATGCCACCGAATAGCATGAACAAGGATGTCGTAAGAGTTACCTCGATATCGGATGCCCCAAACTCGGTAGTGATTTCTGGGATGCCTGGAAACTAGCAATGCATTCGTGTTATCAATTAATTGGCTACTATTTTCACGAATCGTTGCTTACATAGATAGTGGAGCAGAATCCATTAAGTGATCCACCTAATGCCAAACATACAAGAATCCAACGTTTTTGCCTTGCTGAAAACAAACGAGGATCATGTGGAACGGCTGGTCGAAAAGCCATGCGAGATCGAACAAAGGACATGATGGTGAAGGGCTCCGGTGGTCGAGGTGGTAAGGGTTCATCATGGATGGTTAATATTGAATATGCATGGTGTTGCGATCCATGATTCGTGGCCCCTGTTGTAGATAATGAGGTGGAAGAAGAGGAAGAAGAGGAGGGAGACACCATGGTTGCTTCAGATATTTCTTCATGTTGATGATGATTATTACGATCCATGATCGGCTTTGCAAGAGAAAGGAATAAGAAACAAAAAGCAATGATGGCAAGTTTTATGGAAAAGAGAGCAAGGAGGTGTGATCGAACCCGAATACTACAAGCAGAAGAGTAGTTACCATTGAAACCCCTTTGGTACAAAAATCATGGCTCATCGAGTAGTAGCAGTAGTAGTATGAGATCGCTGACGTCGTTGTTGTTGTTGTTGTTGTGTATATATGCTATGCGCGGCTAACACTTGCAGCAAACATGTTATCCCGGGAACTAGTTTGAAAATCAACCATCTCCTGGATGGCATCCTGTTTCCAATTTTTAAGAAGACAAGAGTAGCAAACAATTTGTTTATATATAAAGTACGATGGGTAAACACTAATGGCACTGAATGGACCGATTAGCTGTGAGGTATCCGTTTCCAAAAAAGTAATGACCAACGCCTGCACCAAGAACCACTGCTATCATGAGAAAGCCGTTGTAGGTCATAAACACGAGCATGAGCCAAAAGCTGACTGCCACGAGAAATGCGTAAATCACTGACAGCGCCATGTGTTGATGACGGCTTAATCTGCTGCGTGTGTTGATAATGCACAAGGTACGGATGATGGATGATTAGCATGTTTCACAACGGCGGATAAACCCTATCACTCGTAATTCACACGCCATTCCTTTTACCTTGGTTTTCCACACCCTGATGATTGTTGCAACAACGTAGTGTTTTCATTGGCAGTGTTGGTGGTAAGTTCTTCATCATCTTGACGCTTCTTGGCGTTGACATTAAGCCACGTTTGTTCCAATGCACTGGACCTGGCTCGTACGTATTCAAAGCAAGCAGCAATAGCAAATACAGCCAAACATGAGATCAGTAGACTTGGGATGCCTCGAATGTGCCACCACTCAAAAACAACGCAAACATCCTTGATTTGCCAGTTGAATATCATCTAAACAATGGTCATATAAGCATTTAGCCTCGTCGTCATCATCATCATGGTTGGGCAGCAACAAATGCTTACATACATTCATCGAACACATATCATCATCCATTGGCATATCATGATGTCCTCCACCGTGATCCATTGTTGTTGTTGTTGTTGTTGAGATTGAATGAGAAAAACAAAGAAAAAGAGAAAATGGGAAAGAGAAGAAAAGGAAATGTATTTATGCAGATGTGAATACGAAAAAGGAAGGGGGAATTGCGACATTTTTGCTATCCAGGCAAGTTGTTGTGCGATGATCACCGACTCTTTAAACGTCGTCTTTTCACTCGTGATGCGATAGATCCTTCCTCTTTGATCATCCCGGTGTCTTGAGTATCATGGGTGGTATTGAATTTGAGGCATTTTGGACACACATACTCTATCATGTATAATAGTGTCATTATTCAATCCATATTGTTGTTTCATAGGAGGTACTCTTACTTACGAGTGCTCTGAGGATGTGTAGCCAGGCCGTTGAAAGCAAAGCAAAAGTTGCATATCAATGCATGATGACCTGGTCGTTGTGAAGATGTCTGGTATAGCTCCAAAATAGGATGGTCTGGTGGTACTTTGGCTTTCAATTCGTTGAGCTTGGAATCGTATCTTGCCCTTAGCCATGCTAGCTTCATTCGAGCTTGTCCCTGATGCTGCTTGAACCACCATTCTACAAGTCGTTGACCATAGCGAATACTACCAAAGAACAAGGTGAATGATTCATCCCAAATAGCATGCTCATATCCAATACACCAAGTCATACTTACCATAACGGACTGACAATAGCAGGTGTCACGGCCAAAGTGATCGTGTCCCAATGAGCATCGCGTAAAGCAAAAAAGCAGTATCCAACATAGACGATCCAAACGATGCCACTGTACAGCATTGGGAGCAACTGCATGCGACGTGAATGCCGATCCAATCGTAGCAATTCGTTGGCGGTGTTGTCAATGTCGTCTTCAAGATGGGTCAAAGCCTGCTGTAAAGTATCCAAGCGAGGATAAGGTGGCTGCATCAAGTGAGAGAGGTGGATGAATAGGATATTAGTTAGCCATAAGCCATTGAGAATGAATGTATTGTTTGCTTACCTTCTGGCGGTCAATAAACAAAAGTTCATTCATGCACCCAAAAGTATCATCCAGCGGGATAAAGAAGAGCGATAATGCATGATTGAGATCCCAAAGCAACATTGTCACATTGCAACAGCCACCAACCACTACCATCACATGTACACTGCCCATTACATAGGTATGATATCGTTTGAATTAGAATGTTGTATAGGACGAAGGGGAATAAAAGGAAAAAGAACTACATAGGGATCCATCAAGCGTGTTTACGAATTTCCTGCAACTGACAACTTTTTGAGATGTTCCATAAACACTTGAAGACTGACATCATCGGTGAAAATGGCAGCACCTTGAGGAGCACCATAGGGGGAATTGGAGGCATGGGTTGTTGATGGATTAAGCTTGGATAAAAGGAAACGAGCTTGTGAGCCACCTTGATCGCAAACAATATAACGTGGTACAGGGAATCGATCCATCAATAAATCTTGAGCATCCAATACAGGCGTTTCGAGGAGCTGCTTAAAGTTCTCATAACCCTCTTGATCCTGATATCCAGCCTCTCTCCATTGAGCAATCGTTTCACCATGGAAAATGAGTAAATGGAAAAACGTGTCCAACAAGAGGATGACATCGGGCTTGATAGATATTGAATCGAGTAAAACAGGCTGAGGTGGGCTATCGAAGCCATAGGATGTAAGGGTAGGTTGGATCATGATCAATGAATTGTCGACATTTTCACGGTTGATGACGTGGCTACATTACATATACAAGTGAGTGATGACATTGGAACCTTTTACAATCATTAGTACTTACCGATAGAAAGCAGTTTCATCAGGTGAGTTGTTGAATACTTGAAGGAATTGACTCCTCCGCAAGTGGAACATGAATTGAGGGTAGATCGAAAAGTTCTCTGAGAGGCGGAAGCTGTGTGGGTCATCTTTGCGATAGTCGGCAAAGCGTTGGCATAGGCGAATCAACATGCGATCGAGCCATCTTAAAACATCAGGACCATCATCAATCTCGCCCTTGAATACAGCAATACGTGACATGAGTACAGCAGCTGTTTCTTGATCAAATGAGTTTGCAATCTCAGGGCTTTGTCCTTCGGCAAAGTTGCGAGCGACGGTAGTCACTCTCAATCGAAATTGGCCACTTGAATGCTGATAATGCGTAATGAATTGGATTAATCCACGTGATCCAGGTTGCAATTGCACTGTGGGCTGATTCACAACTTCAAAGTATACACCCATGGTTGTCTTTGGTGTAACTGAGCACATTTTCCATGCCGACGTGTTGGCAATGCCGATCTCCGTTTCACCGACATAGGTCGATTTCTTGTTGGCTGATACTGCATGGCCGATCAATCCACACACCTTGAGCTCACGTGTTGTCTAATATGAAATAGCATATTAGAGTGTGATACTACTACTCATCACCCACTCACTCACTCACCTGGACATCCAAGGTAGCATTGAAACCCATTTGTAAATGACCTTGTGCATCCTTTTGGAACACGCGCTGGAAACTTTGCTTAAAGATGGCTGTATTGAAGGAATCAGCAAGAATCATCACGCCACCTGTCGAGTTGACCATGGATTTCATCTCCAAAAGACCAATCTGATCCAAACATCCAGCAAAGATATCAATGGTATGGCCGTTGGTGGATGCACGTTTGCCCAATCCTTCATAAAACTGCAACCATGTGTGCCGTTAGTATCTTCCTTTGCTCCATAGATAATCTCTTGCTGTTTTACCTTGATTGCCTTTTTGTAGTATTTGGCCGTCTCCTTGTCAATATCATGATGCGATCGAATAGGCTCACGAAGCTCGTTGCTGACAACCATACCAGGGCCTTCAGTTGCAGGACCACCACTGAATAACATGACACGTGCACCGGTGTTAGGGAATGTAGTCTATGCCAAAAGCATCAGCATGGATTCATTTCCTCCCACACAACCTCTTTTTTTATACCTCGAGCAATCCAACAGCTACACCCATTGCAACACCGGTACATCTTTGAGCACGCTTATCGCTGGCAACAGGCCATGGATCACGTTGTAGGTTTTCAAGAATGGAAGTCAAGGCAAATTCGCAATCCTTGATAGGGAGCAAGAATCTAACAAGTAGGTTGAATATGGCATGATACAAATAATTCTATCATCTTTCTCTTTCTCTCTCTTACCTATTAGCTGCTGTGCTGACTTGAGGAGGTTGACCAGGACGAGCTGCAGGTTGACCGGGACGTACAGAGGCACCACTCAAGCCAAGCATGTCTTGTACTTGCTTTCCAGTATACTCCTTGGTACCACGAAATACAAATGACTTTGGGCAATCTGCGAAACCAAGTTCATGTACTTGGGTCTATATAACATGATCATTAGAGCATTATAGAGGATGTGGGAAGAGAGTATAATACATACCATGGTACCATAAGTGATAAGACCCACCCAAGCATAAGGGGGCAATAGACTCAAGCTTACAATCAAAGCATCTTTGAGAGCCTTAAGATCCTCATCATCCAAACAAGTATCGACGACGTATAAAAAGATGGGCGGGATTTGGGCGACTCGATTCAAGTTGTATTCGATGGTGGTATACTTTGGCAATAATTCGGCTGGCAGATTGGTATTGGAGATATCCTTGTAATGAGGTGGAAAGGCGTTGCGTTGAAGACAAAAAGGACATATCCAAAGCTTGCCACGAACATCGATCTGACTGAAAAAGGGCCCATCATGAATATCACTACTCACATCCACTATTACTGCTATGATTCCTTACCAATATGGATTCAAAATAGCTCGACAAGGGGCCTTACACATCACAGGCTCATACCAGATAGGGTTCTCGATAAAGTCGTCGCGTTCTTTCAATGGCGTATAGAGACACGAAACTGGAACGACCGCCTTGGTAGCTTCAATGCGCGATGAGGGCCATGCATTCCAAGAAAAGCGGATGCCATCCTAATTGGATACAATGAGATGCTTGTTCTTTGGAGTATACCGAATAAAAGAGTGTGAATTGTACCTGTTCTTCAATCTCGTCGAAATTCATGGTGGAGTTGGTGGAAGAGGTGCAGCTTACAAACGTGGCAAAAGATAAGCGTTGTTGGAATTTGAAATCCCAGCGCTCATCATGCACAGCTTGAATCTTGTCCATTTCCTATTGGCATTTGCCTCATCAACTTTCGCATATGCCAAATACCTATAACATCCTCAGCCATCCAAGTGAAAACGCTACGTTTATCAACCAACTTTTATCGCCTTTCCTTGAGCAATTGACGTACGTAGTCATAAGGAGAATAGTTCGTTTCATGGTATATGGACACTTTTGAGACTCCAAGTAAGAGAAGCGTACTGCTGACAACATCCACCAGTGGAAGTGGTATGCCCTATCTATTGCCATGCTTTATATCTCGTGTATTGGGACGCCCAGTCTACGCATAAAAAGTTAACCTGATAGCTCGCATGACATGAAGCCACCATGTCCTCCAACCCTTTTAAATGTAATCCATTTAATGAATAATGAGAAAACGCGTTAGCTACAATGATTCTTTTATTTCAAAACGCGCGACGTCGTGAGATAGAAAAACTAATAGCTTAGTTGCACACGCTCTCAGAACCGGATGCCTTGGTGTTCAAAATAAGGGCAACAATAAGACCGTAAAGACCCAAGACTTCAGCGAAAATGAGAATCAAGATCTACACGTCGGCAAAAAAGCAAGCCAAAATGAGTTTAAAGAAATAGCGTGAATAGGGCGAAGGAAAGCACACGTACCATGCCGACAAACATTCTGGGTTGTTGAGCAGTAGCACGAACACCAGCATCGCCAGTGATACCGATAGCAATACCAGCGGCCAAGCAAGAAAGGCCAACACTCAAACCAGCACCAAACTGGATAAAACCGCTAAACAAGGTCTGCTTCAAAGCAACTACAAAGATGATGATACCAAGCGTTATTCTCTTGTTCTCTTCCCATCTTTATCCATTCATTACTTACGACCACTGGAAAGCAAGACACTGACAACGACACCATAAATACCCAAGATACCAGCCATGACAACGGGGACAATACACTTGATCAAAAGATCAGGACGAAGGACACCCATAGCAGAGAGACCGACACCAGATTTGGCAGTGCCATACGCGGCTCCGAGACCTTGAAGAGTAGTGAAAGTGATTAGTCAAAAGGGTAGTTCAAGTAGTCCTTGTTTCAACTTACAGCTAAAAACGATGGCAGCAGTGCAGCCCATGGAGCCAAAGAAAGGTGCGTAAACGGGACTAGCATGGAAAAAGACGACGACGAGTTAGATTCATGGGGGTTGGTAGTGCACGCGAAAAAAGAGGATTGGGATGAGAAGGCATGAAGGGGGGACGACGTACCAGTATTCCATTGTATTGGGGATGTGTGTTTTATATAAAAGGTATCTTCAAGTGGAAACAGGAATAAGCAAGGGAGGTTTGGTAACTCGAATGCAGAAAAGGGGATGAAGGGAAAAAGAGATTCAAACGGACCCACCTTTCCTCTGCTGACTCTGGCTCGCTTGCTGCTCGCTCGCTCGCTCTCTCAGTCGAAAGGCGCGTGCGGAAAGCAAAACTGGTGACGTATAGCAACCGCTCTTGCAACCTGAAACACACGCACCTATCCTCCTTTGTGTTTCATTTTGGATTACGCCACATTGCGGTTGACCCACTTTTGACGCCATGGATGATGATAATGATAATGCCCTTCACATAAAAAGGAGCCATGTTATTCTTTCTTTATACTACAAATGACTTTTTTTGAAATACTATGCGATGACATGACATGAATGAATATAAATATGGGTGGGTTGGGATGATATATGCTATGCAACAGCTGTGGATTTGAATCCATTCTTTTCTGACCAGTCAATGATGGCATCGAGCATATCCATGATTTTATCTTCATCGCCTGCAAACACATCTAGTAGACAGACACAAATGTGAGTTTCAAAAGTTGCCTTCTGTTGTGTAACACTCTACCTTTGATGGTGTATTTGCCATCCACAACGACACCTTCTCGGCCCATAAACTTGAAAGCGGCTACGATATTATCCAAGGCAATCATGTTGGCTGATGTTCCTGGTTGTACTTGCGGCCTTCGTACTGTCTTGCGTCCAAGTGCTTCCAGTAATAGAATCAACGCCTCTCCATTTCGGAAAGCATCTGATAAATCATGAATGGGTGGAACAATATGCTCGTTGACCCAGTGAATATAGTCATCTGCCGATTCCCATTTGCCTTGACGATGGCTCATGCGATGTTGAAGGGGATCAATCAAATCTTCATCGTCATCACTCAATACGGTTTCCATCACCATGGGCAGTTCATTGGAAGGATAGTGATGATGAGATTCCATGATCATGGAGGGGGTTGCTGGTAAGGGTGCAGAGGGTGGTAACGACAATGGATGATGGGATCGCTGTTCATGATGATAATGTTGTTGTTGTTGCTGTTGTTGCTGTGCTTTGCTCAGTAACATGGAAGGCGGTCGTGGTCGAAGTTGACGAGCCACATCCAAAGGTACCGTGGCCACATGATTGGAGGACATGACAGGAGCTTTGTAGTACACACATAATAATCAATTATTTAATATCATGGCATCATTCACTATTGCCCTGTGTTACTTACATGCAAAATCACGGATGATGGTAGCCTTCATGAGAAGTTTAATCCACATTCGAAGCGATTCCTTGGTATCGGTATAAAAGTAAAATGTGCGCTCACGCTCATGCTGTGCCTTGAAGCTGTATTTGCCGGCATGAATCGATTCATCAGGGACAATCTTGTACCCACGTAAATGAATAATACCCCGCATACGAGTATCCTTTATACATATGAAATAAAGGTCATTTAATGTCATCCATCATCTCGTATCATGGCTATGTATTTGGTTCCTTCTTACCTTTGGACTCTTAAAGTAAAAGAGATTGGGCCCTTTTAAAACAAACCATCGCTTGTTCCAAGTCTTGTACTTGTCACCTTGCTTGTGGAGCCAGCCTTCATAATCAGGTGCCTTGAATGCATCGGCGGATGCACGTGACAATGCACTCGGCTCAGCCGGACGTCTATGTACCGCCCATTTTAATAAGTAACACTTATTACGTGATCCCATCATGTATGTATACTCACACAGACTGTGCAACCGATAATTTCCTTCCAATACCATAATCCATTGGATGAATCTATTGATACGTTATTACCCATTGACATTGTGAAGGGGGGGCAAGGAAGATGTATCATATCACTTACAGGAGTCGTCGTCGTTTCCTGCATACCAGCTGCAGGTGCGAATGGATCGGATAGGATGATGTTATTCTCAAAGCTCGATTTGGGTTGACTCGCTTTGTCGATGCTGGTTGTGGTGCTGGTGACGTTACCGCCATTGGAAGAAGAAGAACTCGATACTTTGGAGGAAACCGTTCGAAAAGTGTTGGATCGGCTCATGGATGAACTTGACGTTGGCGAGACTGTCAAAAACGAATCATGTGGTGGCATGGGTGCTTTGCGTGGGAATTGATACATGCCATCGGTGCCTTCCGCTGCTGTTGCTGCTGTTGGCGATACCGGCGCCGTTGTTGCAGGTGTCATAGTAGGAGGCTGATGATGCTGATGATTGGCTTTTAATGCGTCAATGGCATGCATGATTTTATAGCGTCGTCCATATGCAGTGATTCCAAGTTCTTTCAAAGCATCACCATTGAGCTCCATGAGGATATCACCCGAGATCTCTTGTTCTATGGACATGTGTAACTAACTTTTGTGTATGTCAATGGCTCCATTATTGCTTACCAACAAATTGTCCAGCAACGTTGTCGAGACCAACAGATCTAAGCCAATCAGCTACTTGGTCCACTGACCACACTTCAGGTTTGGTAGTAGGTGTCGATTCACTTGGTTTGGGTCGAGGAGGATGAAATGATGTCGATGTTGTCGGTGCTGGTGGTGGTGGAGGTGGTGGTAACGCATCGGAAGCAACATTGAGTTTGGTGTCTTCATGACATTCATCAGGCGTAACATTGCTGCTAGACGTAGGTCGACTTGAATTACTTGTTGGTGGAGAAGAATCCGTTGTCGAACTTGAAGAAGGCTTCATGGTGGATGTGTAATTCATTGGGAAAAGGCCGACACGCCCTTGAGGATTACGACCCTGTATAGCTCAATTCCCTTTAGTCAAGTGTATAAGATATAGAACGTCGTTGCAATAAAACCAGTTACCTGCCACCAGCCATCCATGTACTTGTCATCCTTCTCTAGTACTGTGATAGTGTCACCAATATGGAAGGTGATCTCGTCTTCATTCTCGGCCACGAAATCATGGATCGCGTAGACGATGTCTTCTGGCATTGTTGTAAAGAAGTAGTGTTGTTGTAGCAAGGAATGTCACGGGTGGAGAGAAAGAGAGAGAGAGAGAGGAGAGACTCTGTTCAGTGACAGAGGAAAAATAAGATATATGTAAAAGATGTGAGAAAAGGAAAGTGATCCACTATCCAAAAGGGAGAAGAATAATAAAAACGAGAAAGAGGTGAAAACCAAGGACATCTTTCTCATGGAAACACAAAAAGTAAGCGGAGCGATAGTAGGACAAAGGTAACACGCTGCCCGAATACTCATAATTAACAACGTTGCATCACTGTAATATCTGCAACAGCCGATCCCAAACTAAGTAGCATCATATACTGTTATTGTTTAGGCTATTGTTGTTGGTGGTGGTGCAGTTGTTACTACTCGTGGATCATCGTTGCATATCAAAAGATAACTTTTTAAAAGATCAACAATGTTTCCTTTCCATTTGTGTCACCCACAGTAAAGTTGTTTTGCTACATTGGCAAAGTTATACCAATGGCGGCATCTTCACATGCCTGCTCACTGCCCCATCAAATACGTAGACAATAGAGCTCCACTGTGTCTCTCTCTCACTCCCTTTCTCTTTCTCACCATTCAACACGTACATGTCTCACCATCGTGCAGTAGTGGGCTGTGTTACACACGATGATTTGCGACTAGACAACGTCGCCTCAATCCATTGGTCGTGTTTCTTGTTGCTTAATCCACCATTGTTTCGTTCCTGAACAACGCATTATTACATGTTTTACTTTTGCACCCCTGCTATTAGAATGAATGACCCACATCCCAAGGACGTAGATTTCTTTTATATGATTTTAAAATGAGCACAATTGGGATCATGGATGATAGACCTTCACATGTCAATAAAGGAGTAGAGGTTCTGGATTCTATACCTCGCTCGCTGTGGATTGCTGCCAATCCTAGGGAGTGGGTGAGAATAGAGTTTGTACTACGTAATATTCGGTGCTAACACCTTTCAAGCAAGTAACACCGTCACCATGATGATTTTTTTATCATCGCCACCATCACCCAGCAGTCTGGACATTACGTATGGAACCAAGATTGTAAACAACAAGAAAGATGTATACAATGGGCACATTAGATAATGATCCCATTAGGACAATCAATGTGATGTAGCAAAAGGTCATTGTTTTATTAGCTCATGCATTGTAGATATCAACCCAGCAGATAATACAAACAATATTGCAATGAATGGTTGTGCAAAGATCACCTTGGATCATTTATGCAGTGTTTAAACTCATGGTTGCATTGACCCCCAACAGCAACCTACTACATCACCACACTTTTACAACCAACAATAGTACATCATGCATGCATGCGAGCGAGTGTGGATATGTGTGTGAATGATTTTTTAGATTGATCATGGGCACGTGTGTTCATGGTTCTTTTTTTTTCTCTCATGGTTCAACTCAAGTAAACCTGGGTTGCTGTTGCAGCTGCTGCGGTCTGCACAAGGTTTCCCTTCCCCAACCTTTCTCAACAAGGTCCGTGCGTTGACTCTTTTATGCTGCTCATTTCGACATGGCAACAACACACCCATTGCAATGGACTGACAACCAGCATGCCACCACTCATTATGTCAATGTCAGGTCGCCTCCATTGGTACTCAAAGGTGGAAGTGAAGGAGGAAGAGGAGGATACGTTGACTTGAATATCTTGTACAATGACGATGACGACGACGATAATGACGATGATGATGGACGTATCCATGGCAACAACAGCAGCAGCAGCACTGAAGAAGAGGAGGAAGAAGAAGAAAAGGAGGACAAGCTTGCGAATGTATCATTGTATAAGCGATCGGCTGCTGAGAGGATCGAATGGCAACAAATGCTTCATTCAGTATTGATGGGCCAAGTGATCCAGTCTGAGAAGAAGCGATTTACGGTGATCCGGAAAGAACAATCCAAGCCTACAGCGGAGATATGGATTTCGATTCGTGCATTACTGCGAGGTCACACATTGCAAGATGAACGTCGATTTCTGGATCATAGTCGACGTGAGATGTACGACGTGGTCAAAATGATTTACAACTTTTGCGTGGACGATCAACAAGAGGAACAGCCTTACGACCAAGTAGCAGGTGCGTTGCGTACAGTGGATCGTGTGGAGAGCCTTTTTGCAACTCGTGCCGACCTTGTTGAAGCCTATCCGGATTATGCAGCTGCCGAATGCCAGAGACGTCTTGATGCTCTCAATGCATGGTACACAACCACACATAGTCTCAGGATGCAGAAATGTATATTGGAGAATTGGATGGGATCATTGGTTCCCAAGGATACCTTTGTCGAACGTCTTCTCAAAGAAAGCGCATTGCAAGACACCTTCAACAAACGTACATTGTCAGCCCTTCATTCCTTGCTTGTCAAATCCAAGGATACCATTGTCACCAACAACGCATTGTTTGTGGAGATGAATTTGCCATCTTTCATGTCCCGCCTTCGTGAGCTTGCTACTTTTCCTACCTTGCTTATTCAAGAAGCCCTCAAGTTGCGTTTGACATATAAGGACCACAGCCATGATGAAAGCGCACCCAAAACAGTCATTGACACTATGGTGGAAGATTATCGATCCCTGCTGACATTGGCTTGTCGTGTGAAGGTGCAATACGAGGAATTGGCAAGTCCGGCACCCGGATGGGATCTCATGGGAGAAACAAAGTTTATGGATACCGCCGTGTTACATGATTCAGTCAGATTGTACTTTAAAATGATCGCTTGGAGACTCAAGAGTGAAAAAGGCAACACCATACGTCAATGTGACATTATGGAGCGAGAATGGGATTATATCCGATATACGGTGTGCAAATCAATTGATCAAGTGGATGGTGAATGCAGTGCCCAAATATGGCAAGTTGAATGAGGAAAAAGAGATAGGCATGACCTGGACACCCGGCTAATGCATATGATAATGGTTCTTTAGTGCATTGGTAGCCAACACACTCCTTGCCGATCTCATTGAGGATTATGCAACCCATTTTCCAAAGTCCCAGCAGGATTATTGTCCACCGCCAGAAACATTCCATGCGTTATGGACAAGAACACGCAAGCTGTTACAGTTCTCAAAGTAAGACGCTAATCAGCATGGTGGTGATTGCTTATTTCTTATCATCATTGTTGTTACATGTAGATTCTTCCTGAGTCAATTTGAAAACGCTACAGAGTATGCTATCAACCCAGAGAGCAGCAACGCTTTCATCCAATCGCTTCAACAAAGTGGTCATTGCTTGTTGATTACGGGGACCTTTGAAAAGGAACGTGTATATCTTGCTGCATCACCTACACTTGCAGGACGTGAGGAAGCAATTACAGCCATCATTCAATCCTCCTTTCTCAGTGACCACCATGTACCATCATCATCATCATCAGCAACACCTACCACAACCACAACCACATCACCAGAGGATTACATTATAGCCTTTTCACAATGGCATGATATTGTATGGAAAGGATGGGTGCAACGAGTACCATTAGCGTATGTGACCATGGGGCTCAAAGCAAATCGTGCACGGATCATCTCGAACCACCGATTAAATTCTGCAAAGTCGGCATTTATACACAGCACGCACGGTTGTGTAACCACCCCAACAACGAGCAGCATGCTGGATGCGATTCATGAACACAAAGCCAACTTGACTTGTATCAACAAAGAACTCCTTGGTGTCAAAAGCATCGTGTTGAGATTAGCACACGCCAATATTGAAAATATGGACGCCATCCATGTGCCTGGAGCTGACCCTGATCTTGTGCAAGAGAGCTTTGGTGCTGCAAGTGATTTATGCATGCGTGCATCTCGATTTTTGGATAAGAACACGCGACATCAGCTGGATACCAGGTTACTTCAATTGGCTATTCGATGGATGGCATTCATCACAAACGAATGCACTCCCACAGATCGCCGTACTTTTCGATGGGCTGTAACAGCACTTGATTTTGCGCAGGTGGTGACAAGGGGCAACAACGTTCTCATGCTTCAAGATAATGACTACATGCGTCTGCAACATTACGTAGCACGATGCATCACATTATTGATTTCACACTTTGATGTGCTTGGTACACGATGGCGTGAATATGATTTGACTACCGAGCAACGTAGAAGAAGAATGATGCAACAACGACGACAAAAGCGTGGTGCAAGTAAACGCCATTCATACAATCGACACCACCAAGAGGATGAAGAAGTCGATGATGATGCAGCAGCGGTAGCAGCAGCAGCAGCCAACATGCGCTTTATACGTAATGAATGGATGAGACACATTCGTATGCTCGAAGAGACTCGTAACGCCAATGAGCGAGAAAACAAATTGGTGGGCCGTGTTTTGGAAGATCAGAAGCCAGAGGATCGATCCATGTTGTATTTGGCACCATCCGCATCCAGTATTTCATTTCGATGGCAACAAGGACGCTTTATTGGTGCAGGCACATTTGGCTCGGTGTATCTTGCCATTAACTTGGACACTTCTTGCATGATGGCAGTCAAGGAAATACGATTCCCAGATTCAGATACCTTATCATCTTTTCACAAAAATATCAAAGAGGAAATGGAAGTCATGGACATGCTCAATCATTCAAACATTGTACAATACTACGGCATGGAGGTGCATCGAGACAAGGTGTACATCTTTATGGAGTATTGTGAAAATGGGAGCTTGGAATCATTGTTGCAGCATGGTGGCTGTATCCAGGATGAACGATACATTGTCGACTATGCACATCAGCTACTAAGAGGTCTTGCTTATCTTCATGAAAACAACGTGGTGCATCGTGACATCAAACCTGATAGTACGTATACGACTCATCATCCCTTGATTTGTATGACACCATCACTAATAATGATGGTTCTTTTGTAGATATTTTGATCGATTACCAAGGCGTTGTCAAGTTGTCTGATTTTGGTACAGCCAAAGTACTTGTGGCACAGGGTCAACAAAAGACAGCCAATCGAACAGCATCCTCCTCCTCCATGGCGACGAATAACAATACGCTTGCTGGTACACCCGTTTACATGGCCCCTGAAATCATCACCGGTGGAAACAAGGGGCGTATGGGATCCATGGATATTTGGTCGCTAGGGTGTTGTATTGTCCAAATGGCAACAGGACGACGGCCATGGAGCACATTGGAAAATGAGTGGTCGGTCATGTATCACGTGGTCACAGGACAACCACCGTTGCCTGAATGCTCTCAACTATCACCACTTGGTTTGAACTTTTTGGAGAAATGTTTTATCCGCAATCCAAACAAGCGTCCAACAGCAAAGGAGCTGCTAAATCACCCATGGATCACCAGCTTTGACAATGTCGATGACTCGTATTAGTCCCTTTCCTTTATTCTGTGAAGCAGGCAGTATACCAGTAATAGCTATTACACCATCTCTATCATGTCCTATATAAAAATGCTTTTTACATGTATCATCTATTGAACATTGTCCCTAATGCGATTGAACAAGGATCATTTTTCAGATATCATCACGCTTACAGCATAGGTAAAACATAAAGGTACTGTTTCATAATAAAGCGTTGAGGACTTGTGAGAGAATCGTGATCAGCGTTTCCGAGAGCATCTTGTGTGAAAGTTTCATGTGTGAGATAGGAAATCTCAATATCAAGGTTTGATGTACAGTGTTCATGCATTTATACAAGAGGTGTCCGACCTATTAATTTCCACTCCTTCCACTCCCACAACTTCTTGCCTCTTCTTCCCATTCTCAACTATTGCTCCATCCAAGTATACAACTACGATTGTCCTGCTTCAACCCAACATGTCAATCCTACAATTGCCTTGATCCGATTGTCTTTGTCTGAATGGCACATTCATGGCGTCTACACAGCCTTCTTGTCACTCTTCTACAACACACGAGTCTCTTGACACAACACACGCACTTGCACTCTCCTCTACCACGAGCAATCGTAACAGCATTCATTGCAGCAGTTGCTATTAGCAAAGTCTTTACTCTATTGTCTCAAACAACGTTCACAATCGTGTCACTCTACTACAACACACGCTCTTGCACACTCGTCTGCCACAATCAAACGTAACAGCAGTTGCTATTAGCAAGGTCTCCATGTCTCATGTTACTTGCAGCAACCTGCCTTACAGCCATTTTTGCGTGAACAGCAGACAGCCATTGTATGGAAGCAGCTTTATTTACTCGTTGCAACTTGCTTTAATACATACGGACCCTTAATGAATGATGCTCATACCAGCTATCAGCTACTACTGCGCAATACAAGCATTCTTCACCTGATTGAGATGCGAAAAAACGACCAAGCAAGTGATCGACCAATAGCTGGATGGAAAAGAAAGTACGTCAGCAAGCGAGCACAGGAGTTCTTTCTATCAACATGTTGGACTTGCATTGGTTGTGGATGGATGGGTGGATGCAATCAAGCACAGTGATAGCTGATCCTGAAATGTCGTCTTGGTTACATGACTCGTCGTCAATACGAAGGATGGACAAAGGTTACCTGGATATGGCTGAGGCTGAGGATGACGGATTGAATGGTATGGATGGGAGGGCTTATATCTTTGACGGAAGGGAATACTCAAGTCAATGCATGCAGCAGCTATTTTGCAATTATGGATGAAGATGCTTATGACAACGACACAACGATACCCACTGATTCTATGTCACCCACTGATTGGTCTCTGGAATGAAAGAGAGGATAGAAATTGAAGATCGGAAAGCGAGATTAGATCATCTACATCATTGTATCCAGAGGTTGTCATCTTATTACATTCATTAAAGCTTCTTTGTTCATATGCTCAGAGACGATAGGGAGTGACAATAACGGATTGTATACTTGTTTAAATAGATGCTTGTATTTGTAAAGATAAATAAACCCATAGTAATTGTACCCAACAATAGAGCTTGTTGCAGTAAGCCTGGTGCATTGTAAGCTTTAAATCATTACGTTTGGGGAAGAGTAAGCTCTGATACAATGTGGCACGAGTGCATACCTATGCTTTCCTATGAGAACCATCAGCATGCGCTACCTTGTATGTAAGCCTTATACGAGAACGAACCCTGGAGACAAGCAATACCATTACCCCTCATAATCGAGTGCACTGATCATTTTTGACTTGTCAACCATACCATGGTTCACTCGAAGATTTCCCCTGCGGTCTACCAAAGGCGAATCTTACTATGGGGAGAGCGTCAATCATGCACTCTCCATCAATGAGAACCCTTCAACCACTGCCTCTCACCTTTATTACACAAACGCGCCCCTCTGCATCTTTGGGTTGGCCATGATGAACATGAGACTTGCACACAAGGTGCACTACACCCCGCCGAGCAACATTGTTCGATTAAATACCCCACGCTTCATTGTAAAATCTTGAGTTACGGGCGTCTTTATATCTTACATATGCTGTATGCATGATGCTATATAAAGGGTTCTCGTTGTTCATTGTGAAGTAGAATGACTATGATAGAGCAAAAGATGTAGACGGGCGTGTTTGCGTAGCACAGCTCTTTTGCATGAATCGAATGGCCAATGTATGATACGAAATACACCATCTATGATTGGCAGTTAACAGCCACTTCCTCACAATCGGCACTGTTGTTCATTTTTGTAACATGTGAACAATGCTCCTGCTCCAGCCGAGCATTTCCATCGTTCAAGTTTCTTGATCCGAGCCGATTTGACTGAGCTACGCTGGAACAGCAAACATGAAAATTCTTGAAAGACAGACCCTGCGAATGTCTCCGTCTTTCAAACTTTTGGACGCTCCCACACAAAATCTTCAAATGAAGCGTGAGGTTTTTATTAGAGAAAGTTGATCAGCATGCTCGAGAGCACCCTGCTGACCAATTTTCAAGTTGGAAGTGGGCAACTTCGGGGCGATGGGCCGTCCGCTCTTTATTGCCCATCATCCACCATTTGGGCTGCTCCCGCACTTTAAATCTTCACAATGAAGTCTGCGTCTTTTAAATGAATGAAGTCGATCTGCATGTCCCAGCGAACCTTCTGACAAAGTTTCACGTTCGAAATGGGGAATCCCAAGATAATACATAGTGTTTCCATAAATCATGAATCTGGCGCTGACCTCCATTCCGGCTTACATAGTAAATCCCATATTGCACCCTCCCATTCAGAATTTACCAGTGAAGTGTTAGTTCTTTTATAATACAAAGTTCATCAGGATGTCCCAGAGCACATTGTCTGAAAGTTTCACTATCGAGGTGGCCAATCTCTATATCAAGGTTTGATGTACAGTGTGCATGCATTTATATAACAGGTGTCCGATCTAATTAATTTCCACTTCTTCCACTCTCAGCGTCTTTCCTCTTCCTCTCGTTCTCAACTGTTGCTCCATTCAAGTATACAACTACCACCTGCGTACGATTGTCCTTCTTCAACCCATCATGTCAATCCTATAATTGCCTTGATCCGATTGTCTTTGACTCAATAGCAAGTACATGGCGTGTGCGCCCCACTGTAACACACGAATCTCTTTTGACACAATACACGCTCTTGCACATCCCTCTTCCACGATCAAGCGTAACAGCATTCATTCCAGCAGTTGCTATTAGCAAGGTCTTCACTACATTGTCCCAAGCAGAGTTCACAACCTTGTCACTCTACTACAACACACGTCTTGCACCTCGCCTGCCACTACCAACGTAACAGCAGTTGTCATTAGCAAGGTCTTTACTCCATTGTCTCAAGTACTTGGCAGCAACCTGCGTAGTGGCTTTTATTACATGAACGGCGAATAGTCATTGTATTGAAGCAACTTTATTTACGTGTAACAACTTGCTTTGGTGCATACGGATTCCAATGGATGGGGTGCCATGTCAGCTATCAAGCACGCTGCAATACAAGCGATCCTCACCTGGTTGAGCTGCAATGAAAATGCCCAAGAAAGATATGGATCAACAGCAGGATGGGAAAGGGTGCATACCAGCAGCAATCGCATGGCTCTTTTCAACCAACGTTTTGGATCTGATGGATGGATGCAATCAAGGAACAGTGAAGGGAAACCTTGGGATGCTCCTTTGGTTACTTGTGGCGTTGTCAGCAGGAAGGATGGATCATGCCACGTGGAAACGGCTGAGGACGGTGATGGGTTGGATGGGATTGAAGAGAAGCGTCCTATAGTCATGGATCATATTGGAATACTCAAGTCAACGCATGCAGCAGCTGTTTCACAATCATGGATGAAGGATGTTTATGACGGCAGCAACCAAGAACACAATGACACAATCATCCCTATTACCTCTATGTGATTCACCCATATCTCATTCAATTTACATTACTGTTCCTTTATCATCTTAGTTGATAAACATCCACATTACCATGTCTTGTTCTTCGACTTATGCACATTGAATGAAAATTGGATTCAACATGATGTTTAGGAGGGTGCATATCGTGCTACTGTATCAGCTCATATGTGCGAGATGTGGATCACTTGGTTGTTTCTGGATTGAAAGGGGAAATAGTAACTTGAGTTCGGAAAGTAAGTTTGGATCATTTCCCACCATCATATGTATGGAGATGCCTTTGTTCTTTTGTGACAGTATTCATTCTTCTAAGCTTCCTAGTTTCGAAATGCTGTGGTAGTTATCAAACACTTGCATTGCAAAGACAATAAATTCAGAGCGAGGGTGCCCAAAATATGTAGTGCTTGTTGTATAAGATTGGTTCATTGTAAGCTTATTTCACTTTGTTCAAGAAAGAGCTGTGATAGGATTTGGCACGAGTACATGAACATACCATGCTTATCTTTTGCTGCTTTATATAAGAACGAGCCATTCCATACGGGCTATGATAGGCGTACCTCACTATGGGAAACAATTCATCATGCACTCACCACCAATAGCATTGTCCCTGAAGCCCTGACTTTTTAGCTCAGTTACACAAAGAGGTCCTTCTGCATCATTGGCTCTACCTCGTCTAGCTACTTGGCATTGATCAAAGACCACCTCTCATATAGCATCACGCTTAAAGCATATGTAAAACATAAAGGTGCCTGTATCTCTAAACTTTACAATCAAGCGTGGGGTCTTTAATAGAACCATGTTGCTCGGCGGGGTGAAAGCGATCTTGTGTCAAAGTATGAAGTTCATCGTGGCCAATCCCAGATTTCG